TCCACCACTGCAATCCAAACTTGGTGAGTCTGTTTCCTGCGGTCGCAAAAAACGTGGTTGCTGTAAGGGGATACAAACTTCAATTCGCCCGGCCATCCATCTCCCTGCCAAGCCCACTACTGCAGCACTCATAGAAGTTGCAGCAGCGGGGTAAAGAGGAAGGAGGTCAGGGAGCAGACATGGCTGTGTAAGCATGGATGCGTGTGAACCGATCGTTTTTGTACAGTATGTCGTGTAAACCTTACAAGGGCACCTAATATCTAATCCCACTAGCATCATCATTTGTCAGGTCATTAAACGTCTCAACAACATGCTTCGCCAATTTCATAACAGTGTACTCCACAATGACCTGCATAGTAACCCATCCAAATCCACAGTCAGTTAACAAAAAAAAAGGAGTGAAATGTACAGTTACATATACATGTGCATAAAATGGACACGGCAGAAGTGTGCCTGCCTTGTACGTACCTCCATCCATTATCTATACATCCATGGTCGGATGAGCAGTGAATGATCAACATTAACAACAAGAATACGAAACAAAGGAAACAATAAAAGTGTGCACTGCACGTACCTCCATGTATGTATCCATTGTCGGATGAGCAGCATCAACAACAAAAGAGGGAACAAAGGAAACAATGGAAGCGTGCATCGCACGTACCTCCATGTATGTATCCATGGTTGGATGGGCCCCAGACATCTTCTCATACCCATCGTACCACATGGTCCCTGGGGCCCACAGGTGCTTGAAGTCTTGCCACAGGCGAATGTCATAGAGGCGCTTCAAAGGGTCAAAGAAGCCTGGCGCGTGCTCATTGGTTGCTATGTACAGTGTGCGTCCAGGTTCAATGAACTTGGGCAGCTTCTCCAGTAGCCTGCAGGTGTGTGGTGAAGGGGAAGGAAAAGGGGATTCCAGGGGATGAAATGGGATAAGTGAAAGTTGTGGAGAAATGGACGGATATCATGTTGTTGTATGGGACGTAGGGACCTGAGCATCCGGCTGCATGGGATGTGGGAAAGTGAGATTTGCTGTATGGGAAGTGGGGATGTGATAATCCTTGCTGTATGGGATGTGGAGATGTGAAAATATCGCTGTGTGGGGTGTCAGGATGTGTGAATTCTGCCCTATAGTTTGTGGCGACGTGAGCATGCTGCTGCATGGGATGTGGGGATGTGAGCATCTGGCCGTGAGGCATCTGCACACAGAGATCCTCACCATGAGGCACAGGAATTTTCATTAAAGTGACAGTGTACTGTGCCTAAGGCAAAGGAATTTTCAGTATCTGAGCCTGGCACCTCTCACGTGAACCCTCTTAAGCCAACTAAAAAAATCACATGCTCCTGGACAACTTACAATGCTGCTTGCGTGTCGTTGTCAAGGTGGGGCCACATGCGCGGGTCAACCTTGTCTCCTCGCCTCACATGTACGGCATCGTAGTCCCCCCGTGCATCCCCCTTGACACGGGCGCAGCTAGTGCGAGCAGCTCTGGCCAGCAGCTAGTGCGTGCGAGCAGCAGCTAGCGCCAGCAGCTCGGGCCAGCAGCTCTGGGCGGAACCCAACCACAACCACTGACGTGACTCAAACCACGCCCCCACTTCAAATGCACGTGCTCCTGCACAACTCACGATGCTGCTTGCGTGTCGTTGTCAAGGTGCGGCCACATGCGCGGGTTGACCTTGTCTCCGCGCCTCACATGCACGGCATCGTAGTCCCCTCCGTTCATGGACCCTGACATGCCAGCAGCTAGTGCCAGCAGCTAGTGCCAGCAGCTCTGGGCGAAACTCACATCTACTGAAACCGCACCTAACCACACCTCCACTCAAAATACACCTGCTCCTGCACAACTCACGATGCTGCTTGCGTATCATTGTCAAGGTGCGGCCACATGCGCGGGTTGACCTTGTCTCCGCGCCTCACATGCACTGCATCATAGTCCCCTCCGTGCATCGACTGGGACATGGCAGCTGCTAGCGCCAGCAGCTCTGGGCGGACCTCCACCCCTTGATCATCGTGCGTGAAGGGCGTCCCTGGCAGCTGAAGGGGGTGGGGGAAGCAAAGGTACGGGCAGGGGGGTGGGGAACTGTATGTAAGCATGTAATAACCCCTGTGCATTGACCGTGACATGGGAGTGAGGCCAGCTCCAGGCAGAACCCAACCACTTGCCCATGGAGCTCGAAGGGTGTTCATAGCAGCTGCAGGGGGATTGGTGGGTGGGGAAAGGATTGGTTGGTGGGCGGAGGATTATGACAGGCAGAGACAGGGTGAAATACGAGCCGTGACTCACCTTGCACGTACTGTAGCCGTACGAAGTGCTACGTATGATAAGCGGCGTGACTGTATCGAGCGCCACTGCAGCAGTGCTAGCCGCTCGCTTCACCACACGCACTCCAAACGGCGCCTCTTCAGCAACGCTCTCCCTCCGCCACGCCAATGCCTCCTCAAGAAAGCCCTGCAGGGGAGTGAACGGCACTCTGGTAACACATGGGGAAGACGGAGAGAGCATGGAGAAGGGGTGAAGAGAGAAACGATTATTCACGGGCTTTCTTGAGGAGAGGTGAAGGGCACACTGCGAACCACATGCACCCCAAACGGCGCCTCCCCAGCGCCTTCTGAGACATCTCAAAAGAACGGCGCCTCCCCAGCCCTTCTCTCCCTCCGCCACGCCAGTGCCGCCTCGAAAAACCCTCACAGGGAAGTGAATGGCACTCTGGTAACCAGTGGTGAAGACTGAGAGCATGGGAAATCGGGCAGACAAGCGAGAAAATGAGTGTAATTAGAAAGTCACAACGTAGAGAAGACGGAAGAGGGGCAATATGACAACCACAACCAGTGAGGATATAGAAGGGGATGTAAGAGAGATAAACTGGGTTACTCTGCGGAGATACTTTGCGGACTTGATTTAAATAGACGTACTCGATTGACGAGAGGTCGATGTGCTCGTAAATAGCCTTGTACACGAATTTCCCGTTATTGTGCAGTTGGTTGAGGCACACGCGCATGTCCAGCACCAGCGTCCGGTTCAGATACCGAGCCTCCTTGATTCGGCACGCCAGGCTTTTTCGGAAATGCTTCACGCCCGCACACATGTCCCGGTTTCCTGTCACAAATAAATATTTCCGGTCAGGATGGAAATATTCCCCCCGGCTGACCGGAACCCACTCCGTCTCCCACTCAACTTTATGGCCCACGTCCAGCTGTTGGATTACGATCGGATCATCCAGAGAGCTAATATTAGCCGTTGCTTTCTCAAGTGCCACGAGACCCGTCGAGTTCCGTTGTCGGCGCCGCGATTGGCGGCCCCTGTTCTGCTGTTTAGTTGCAACCTTGTCGAGAGATAACGCCGACTCCGACTCGTTCTGAGACTCCTTTTTGGGACTCAAAGGATGGGAGGTTCGAGACTCGTGGTATCTCATCTGCTCTGCATGGCCGTTTGATGAATCCAGATCCAACGGTTCTGAGACAAGGCTGTTCCGGACACTGCCATCCAACGGTTCTGGGAAACGACTGTTCTGAGTCAAAACACTGCCATCCAACGGCGCGAGCTTCAAATTGACGGCGTGACCTCGCGACGACGGCGACGACGGCGACGGTGACGGCGACGACACGATCAACGTCGCGTAACGCTGAGGCGAGATGCTCGCCTTGCGCGATTGCTGATCCAGCCCACCCAAACGAATTGGTTTTTCAGAATAGTACGGCGGAGAGTCCACATCGGTTCTACCTATAACGCGAATAAATTCCGGGGAAGCTTCTAAAGGCCATTGGACTACGAGGATAACAGCTACGGCGAGCAGCAGAGCGAATGCGATCGGCGCGATTCGCGCGTGGATGCGATTCGCGGCGGAGAAGGCGGAGGAGGAGAAGTCAAAGAATGTAGGTAAAAATCGCTGATTCGCGTCGTCGGAATGACCACTGGACCCGCTAGTAGTAGTGTCGCGACATGGAGATAGGTTCAGGGAGACTTGCTGATGCGATTGCTGATCAGACGTCGGTGATGGTTGTTGGGAGGCGGGAACGGCCGTGAGGACTAACGATGGGAGACATTCGGAGGAGCCGGAGGAGAGGCCGTTAGTCAGATGGGAAGATGATGGAGAGGAACCTGCTGAATCCATGATTGACTGGGGACTGGAAATGTTCAAGACTTTCGTCACGGAGAAGGTAGTTAAGCACGACGATTCGAGTGCATTGACGGAGGAAATAAGGCGAATTCAAGAGACGTCGCAAGGATAACTTCTTGGCTAACGCATCTCGCCTTCCAATGGTTTAGCCGAATCAGGATTCAGTGACGACAACGACTCACGCCTCAGAACTTAGACGGCGGACTTGACTACTACAGCCACGAGAGCGAGTGTCTGCCAGAGCGGGCTTGATTATGATAGAACATGAAAGATAGGTAACGCGTGGAAAGGGGAAGAAGCGTCATCTCCCCTTCGCGTTCCTACTCTGGTGGTCGATTATTACAACACGACAAGCTAAGACATCCGCCACAGATGTGGGGTGCTTGAAAGATTCAACTCACCACGGAACATAAGTTGTCTGTGCAGTGTACCAGGAAGAATACTGGGCACCTACGATCCACTACAGCATCTGATAAATGCGGTTCCACGGGCTGGTAGAGGACCTATCATCGCAGGCTGCGGTAAGTTATTGCGCTGCGGGATTTTAGGGATCTGCGGTGCGGGCTCTGCAGATTCTGTCGATGGGGGTGAGGGAGATGCAAGGTTGCTTTTGAGAGGGTGTCTCAAGTACCTGGTCCGCCCCGAGCCGGTCCGTTGCCAGAATTAGCGTGCCTGGTCCGGAATTCTGGTCCGACGGACCCAGGTAGCAGACCAGGTGTGGACCAGACACGGACTGGTCTGTATGATACATCGCGTCGTGGTCTGTACAGTATTTGCGAGTTGAAACAGAGCGACGAGATTCGATAGCGAGTTACCTTTTTTGTGCAAGGTAAATTTCCCCCATGCCGTCAAGCACGAAATTCACGAAGGCCGTACATTTTCGCAAATGCATGTGGGAGGTGCTACAGTGTCGGACCAGCCACAGGCTGGTCTGCCGAGCAGATCTATGGCACCGATGTAGTGCCATTCGAAATTTATAACGGGGTTAAAACTCCCGCATCCCGGACCAGTCCGTCGCTAGTTCACGTGGTGATTTTCGAGCTGGTCTGACGGGTCCGCTTCGGACCCACGTGAACTCCCACATTTGAGACACGTCCTGAGGCTGCTTGGTTCGGGCAACATCGAGGCTGCTGAAAGAAATCGAGCCTGAAAGCGTGGCACGGCCTACCTTGAGGGCGCGTCAACTCCGACAAAAATCGACGATCGATCCTGCGCAGGGTCGACTTTGACTGAGTTAGAGGAGTTTGTAATACATTCTAGCTGCAATCGCGGGATTGCAGTGCGGTGAAAGATCGATATGCACGATCGAGCGTCGTTTTTTGCAGGAGTTGACGCGTCCTGAGTTTGGTTTGACACAACGAGCCGAACCGAAGAACCCCAGATACGCCGAAGCACCGACTGCGAATGAACGAACCATTCAATTTCACTAGCGCGAGCCGCGGAAGTCTGGCATGTCAGAATAGATTCTGACATGATAACACCCGACCCAATCTTGTGGCAGGTCGACCACGGGTGGCGCGTGTTCAACTTGGGCCAATCACAGGATGAGCTTTTGAAAACTAGCTCTGTGTTACAACTCGACATTAACAGGTCCATCAAAACGCTAACAGATCCATCTCCAACCCACGAAAGGCTAGTCTACACAGAAACCTTATGAAGTAGTAAAACATTCCCTCATGCCGTCCAGTTTCAGCCGCCATTACCACATTGGTGGGGTGGAGGGAAATTGCAGGCCAAGGAACACTGTAGACTGGCTATTGTTGCAAGAACCACTGTTTCATAGCCATTCGAATACCATAGGCTTGAGAAAAACGACGCGGTCTGTTATGAGACATTAGGGGTGGTCATGCGCAGCCATCAGAACCCGCGGTCAGAAAGCGGCCACTACGCGGCGCAATGGCGGCTCTAACTCCCTCCATTCTTCCCTACCCCTCGGTTCTCTTCCCCTGGCTCTCCGATAGAAGTTTCCCCGCAACGATTACCACTACTGTCAGCGGTTTGCCAGAAGCAGCGTCATTGTCGTGGTCTCCTTCTGATTCAAACCATGGCACCGGCGGTTTCACCTCCTTGCTCTCCCTCCATCCATCCACCACTAATGTCACTGCCTTCCTCCCGGCCGCGTCTTCCGCTGCGACTTCCGGCGCCAATCTCTCCGCAACCGACGCCGCGGTGGCCGGAATTGGAGCCGCTTCGCGCGGCAATTCCCCCGAGCTTTTCTCATCCGTCGCATTCTCTCCCTTTCCGACCGTCTCCTCCAAAATTCTCGGCCCGTCCGCTGCGCCACCGCCGCAGCCGCCGGCGCCGCCTCCGCACTTTATAGATTCGTTCTGCCAGCCGCAGTTTAACGGATCGTGGGCGTCGATTACGAACGAGCTCGGCGCGTTCACGCCCTGCTTCATCGACATTGTCGTACTCGGTACAGCGTACCTCGCTATGATTCTTCTAGCCGTGCTGCGGCTGTACGTTCTCTACACCACCCCGCGCGCGCAGCAGCGGGCTGTTGCGCCCGGGTGGCGCGGGGAGCGGGGAATCGTGGCGGCTGCCGCGCTGGCGCTGACGTGTGCGGTGGTCCCGCTGATGCAGCTGAGCGCTCGCGTGTCCCTGAGCTCTTTTTTTAAAGACGCTGATTTACCGCCGTATGAGGTAAGAGCTGCGCACCTCATGCTTTAGAAGCCCCTCAAAAGTCTCTCGCGTGTCCCTGAGCTCCTTCTCTAAAGACGCGGATCTGCCGCCTTATGAGGTAAGGCGTGAGGTTTCCAGTGCGACTCAAGTTTCGCTCTAGCTTGTCCTTAAGCTCCTCCACAGATGCCGATTTACCGCCTTATGAGGTAATGTACAGCTTACATGGCGAAAGGTGACTGTTGAGTCGACTCAAAAGGCAGCTGAGTGCTCGCGTGTCCCTGAGCTCCTTCCTTACAGATGCGGATTTACCGCCTTACGAGGTAATGCATGTGGTTGCCGAGCCGACTCATATACGTCGCCATACGTGGGCGCGTTTCCTTGAGCTCCGTCTCTACAGATTTGTGATTACCGCCTCATGAGGTAATTGCCGCACTCCGTATATGCTTAAGTTTTACAATGCATTGAGCATAGCGGTTTCTCACTCCAAGTCCGCTCTGTAATGCTCTTGGTCCCTGTTCCCCTCAAATCATCTTATGCTCTCCCCCAGGTCTGCTCCTTTATCCTCGCCTTCCTCGCCTGGGCGCTCACCTCAACGGCGCTCTTCTGGGAGCGCAGGCGCATGGCAGTGAAGGGCGCGTGGCTGCTGCGATTCAATCTCGCTGTTTCCCTCTCCCTGTTTCAATCTTCCCCAGGTCTGCTCCTTGATCCTGGCCTTTTTAGCCTGGGCGCTCACAGCAACGGCGCTCTTCTGGGAGAGGAGGCGCATGGCAGTGAAGGGCGCATGGCGTGGTCATGTGGTTGCCATGTGGTTTGATACTCTCCTCATTTCAATTCTATCCCTTGCTCTGCCAGGTCTGCTCCTTGATCCTCGCGTTCCTCGCCTGGGCGCTCACAGCAACGGCGCTCTTCTGGGAGAGGAGGCGCATGGCAGTGAAGGGCGCGTGGCTGCTGCGATTCGCAGTGCTCTACGTGATGGTGGGGCAGCTGGCCAAGCTGCGATTCGTGCTCATTCTGCAGCAGGACTTCCAGGCGTGAGTGCTGCAGTGTGATGGTTGTCCTGAGAGTTCTGTTGCTGGTATTTGGGCGCGTGGCTCCTGCGCTTCGCAGTGCTCATTCTGCAGCAGGACTTCCAGGCGTGAGTGCTTTCCATGGGACGGACGGACGGAGTGCGATGCATTGGTGCGTGTCTTTGCATCTTTCAAAACCAGTCCACTCATTTATTGCAATCCGACCGTTGTATCCCCCTTAACAATTGGTGCCTGAATCCTGGTTCTTCCCCTTTACGTTCTCCCACGTTTGCATCCTTCCCACCCTTCCCATCCCAGTTTCTTTGTGGAGCTATTCTTTGGCTACACCTCAGCCCATGTAAGTGTTCATGGCAATTCCTGTGCAACAGATGTGCAACAAAGAGAGACTTCACTTACATGAAGTCCCTGCTCCCATCACTCTTTCAGCTGACACAATTGTTTTTTCCTCGTTCTCCTCCTTTACCCATCGCTTTGAGCCGAGCCCCCAACCCCACTCCTCGCCCACCCGCCCTCCCCCTTTCCCTTGCATCTCCTTTGTTCATAAGTTTTCCTGGAATGCTCCAGGTCTTTCCAGTCAGGTTGGCTTTTGAGTCGACTCAAAAGTCACTTTCCCTTGCATTTCCTTTGTTTGTAGGTTAGCCCCGTGAGGGAGGGAATGCTTCAGGCCTTTCTAGTCATCTGCTTCTTTTCCCTCTTTTTCTTCCTCTGCTTCTTCTTCCTCTCCTTTGTCGTTATTATTCCTCCCTCTCGTTCCCCCCACCCCTCCTTGCGCTCCCCTCTCAAACTCACTTGCTTAATTCCTTCATCCCTTGCCTTTCCTCCCCCACCCTCACTCTCTCCCATTCCCTCCTCCCCTCTCCTCTTGTACCCCCCTTGTACCCCCCATTGTTCCCCCTTGTTCCCTCATGTTCACCCCAGGTGCTTCTAGGCCTGCTCGCGCTCTTCTTCTTCCCCACCCTGCTACCTCTTGAGCACCCTTCTCTCGGCCTCTCCTCCTCCGCCCTCTCTCCTTCCCTTGCACCCACTCTGTACCTTCCCCTCTTCCCCTTCCTTCCCCCTTGCTTGCCCCCCCAGGTGCTCCTAGGCTTGCTTGCACTCTTCTTCTTCCCCAGCCTGCTCCCTCTTGAGCACCCTTCGCCCGGCCCATCCTCCTCTGCCCTCTCTCCCCTGCTTGTACCCCCCGTGTAATCCCCGAACCACCTTGTACCCCGCTACACCCGCTTGTACCCCTCCATCCCCCTTGTACCCCCAGGTGCTCCTAGGCCTGCTCGCGCTCTTCTTCTTCCCCACCCTGCTACCTCTTGAGCAACCGTCGCCAGGCCTCTCCTCCCCCACCCTCGCAGCCGCAGCGGCAGAGGCAGCACCGCTCTTGCCACCTGCAGCAGCAGCAGCAGGGGCATGGGCAGCAGCAGGCGCAGGAGAGGCAGCAGGGAGTGGTGGTGGTGGTGGTGGTGGTGCGGGGTATGAGCCGTTGGCTGCAGGGCCTGTGGGTGGGGTGGAAGGAGAAGCAGCAGAGGAGGAGGGAGGAGACAACCAGGGGCAGGTGTGCCCGGAAGACCACACCAGCTTCATCAACCGTACTGTTAGCTCTCACCTGTAACCTGTTTCTTAAACCCCACTGTCCATACCCTTTTATATTACACCTTAAGTCCCAAACAGTGCAGTGCACTCGTGGCACCTCAGCTTAAACCCGAGCTTCATCAGCCATGACCTCTGATCTGATCTGATCTGAATCTGATCTGATTTGATCCGATCCGATCTGATCTGATCTGGTCTGATGATCCCTAAGCCCCAAACCTCAGAATCGTTTACCTTAGATGTTAACCCTGAAGAGAGTGCTGTTGAGCTGGAACTGAGTTTTGCCAACCCAGCACCCTTCTCCTCACCCCTTCCTCCCCTCCCCTTCCTTCCCCCACTCCTTCCCCAGGTCTGACGTTTGGGTGGATGACGCCGCTCATGGCCACGGGGTACCGTGTTTTGAAACGTCTCAACCCCCCGCCCCTCCTCCTCCCTGCCCCTACCCCTCCTTTTCCCCAGGCCTAACGTTTGGGTGGATGACGCCTCTCATGGCTACGGGGTACCGGCGCCCATTGGAGGACAACGATGTGTGGCGGCTGAACGATGGGGACCGCACTGCCACTGTCTATGGCAGGTCAGTGGGCGTGCATGGTGGGTGAGTACATGATTGGATGAATCCTCTCCTCTCACGGGTTACCGGCGCCCATTGGAGGACAACGATGTGTGGCGGCTGAACGATGGGGACCGCACTGCCACGGTGTATGGCAGGTGAGTGGGCGTGCATGGTGGGTGAGTACATGATTGGATGAATCCTCTCCTCTCACGGGTTACCGGCGCCCATTGGAGGACAACGATGTGTGGCGGCTGAACGATGGGGACCGCACTGCCACTGTCTATGGCAGGTGAGTGGGCGTGCATGGTGGGTGAGTACATGATTGGATGAATCCTCTCCTCTCACGGGTTACCGGCGCCCATTGGAGGACAACGATGTGTGGCGGCTGAACGATGGGGACCGCACTGCCACTGTCTATGGCAGGTGAGTGGGCGTGCATGGTGGGTGAGTACATGATTGGATGAATCCTCTCCTCTCACGGGTTACCGGCGCCCGTTGGAGGACAACGATGTGTGGCGGCTGAACAATGGGGACCGCACTGCCACTGTCTATGGCAGGTGAGTGGGCGTGCATGGTGGGTGAGTACATGATTGGATGAATCCTCTCCTCTCACGGGTTACCGGCGCCCATTGGAGGACAACGATGTGTGGCGGCTGAACGATGGGGACCGCACTGCCACTGTCTATGGCAGGTGAGTGGGCGTGCATGGTGGGTGAGTACATGATTGGATGAATCCTCTCCTCTCACGGGTTACCGGCGCCCATTGGAGGACAACGATGTGTGGCGGCTGAACGATGGGGACCGCACTGCCACTGTCTATGGCAGGTGAGTGGGCGTGCATGGTGGGTGAGTACATGATTGGATGAATCCTCTCCTCTCACGGGTTACCGGCGCCCATTGGAGGACAACGATGTGTGGCGGCTGAACGATGGGGACCGCACTGCCACTGTCTATGGCAGGTGAGTGGGCGTGCATGGTGGGTGAGTACATGGTTGGATGAATCCTCTCCTCTCACGGGTTACCGGCGCCCGTTGGAGGACAACGATGTGTGGCGGCTGAACGATGGGGACCGCACTGCCACTGTCTATGGCAGGTGAGTGGGCGTGCATGGTGGGTGAGTACATGATTGGATGAATCCTCTCCTCTCACGGGTTACCGGCGCCCATTGGAGGACAATGATGTGTGGCGGCTGAACGATGGGGACCGCACTGCCACTGTCTATGGCAGGTGAGTGGGCGTGCATGGTGGGTGAGTACATGATTGGATGAATACTCTCCTCTCACGGGTTACCGGCGCCCGTTGGAGGACAACGATGTGTGGCGGCTGAACGATGGGGACCGCACTGCCACTGTCTATGGCAGGTGAGTGGGCGTGCATGGTGGGTGAGTACATGATTGGATGAATCCTCTCCTCTCACGGGTTACCGGCGCCCATTGGAGGACAACGATGTGTGGCGGCTGAACGATGGGGACCGAACTGCCACGGTGTATGGCAGGTGAGCGCGCGAGCACGTGCGTGTGTGCGCGCGCGCGCGCGCGCGCGTGTGTGTGTGTGTGTGTGTGTGTACGTGTGTGTGTGAGTGTGTGTGTGTGTGTGTGTGTGTGTGCGTGCGTGTGTGTGTGCGCGCACGTGCGTGAACGTATGTGTGTCTATCTGTGGGTGCCATGACTTCCCTGATTTGCCCATATGGACACTCTCGCAAATCTTACTTGCCCTCCACACCACTTTTTTGAGCGCCTAAAAAATTACCTCAATGCACGCGCCTCAAAAGGGGTGCCGTAAGGCCATGACTGCCCTGATTTGCCTATATGGATATTCTCGCAAATCTTCTCGACTCGCCTCTCCACTCCGCTTTTCTCTCGCCTCTCCGCCTGGCCTTTTTCTTGCCTCCGCCCAATCGCGGCAGGTTTGAGCGCGTGTGGAGGGAGGAGGAGGGGCGCCCCAAGCCGTGGCTGCTGCGCGCTCTGCACTCCTGCTTTGGCCGCCGGTGAGGGGAAGGAAGGTGTGGGAGGGGAGAGATGGGGATGGGAGGGAGTGGTGAGAGGGTTTGAGAAGTGTGAGAAGAGAAGGGCCGCCCCAAGCCATGGCTGCTGCGCCCCCTGCACTCCTGCTTTGGCCGCAGGTGAGGGGAAGGAAGACGTGGAAGGGATGGGAGGGATGGGGGTGGGGAAGGGAGTGGTGAGAGGGTTTGAGAGGTGTGTTAAGAGAAGGGGCGCCCCAAGCCGTTGCTGCTGCGCGCCCTGCACTCCTGCTTTGGCCGCCGGTGAGGGGGTGTGGGAGAGGAGAGATGGGGGGGGAAAGGGAGTGGTGAGAGGGTTTGGGAGGTGTGGGAGGAGAAGGGACGCCCCAAGCCGTTGCTGCTGCGCGCCCTGCACTCCTGCTTTGGCCGCCGGTGAGGGGAGAGGATGTGTGGGAGGGATGGGAGGGATGGGAGGGATGGGAGGGATGGAAGGGATGGGAGGGATGGGAGGGATGGGAGGGAGGGAGGGATGGGAGGGATGGGAGGGAGGGAGGGAGGGAGGGAGGGAGGATGGGAGTGAGGGAGGGGAGGGAGGAGAGGGATGGAGGGGAGGGACGGGAGGCATGGGAGGAATGGGAGATTTGGAAGGAGAGGCGAGGGGGGGGACAAGAGGTAGGGGGGACGTGGATGGATGAAAGGAGGAACAGTGGGACGGTGGGACTTTGTGTGTGCGCATTGTCAAGTCAGCATGCATGGTAGGTAGGTAGGAAGCCCACTGCTGCCAGTGCAGAGGGCAGCAGCGGAACCATGTGGAAAAGTAGATGGATGTATCTATTCTTTGGGTTCTTCTAGTTCACTTTTGAGATTGGTATATGTTCATATATGTATATGGTAACATTATGCGGTCGTGGGTTTGTCAGATTTGATTCTGTCTAATGGGTTGTGGTCGTCCTCATTCTCCCCCTTCCCACCTTCCCCTTCAACATTATCGGCCAATTTTTCTGCTCGTTTACGCATGCTGCATGCACCATACCATACAAAAATGTCATCGGGCTTTGATTCGTTTCAATGCTCGTAATCGCCTACACATGCACCACACATATACCATCTCACAACCCCTTCCCCACCCCCTTGTTCTGCCTCCCCGTCCCTGTGTTCTTCGCTATTCTTCCCGGAACTTGCATCACTAACAGGTTCTGGTGGGGTGGTTTTTGCAAGGTATGCTTCCCTCTTCCCATTTGAATGCTAGCTAGTTTTTGAGACGTCTCGAATCCCAACTTCTATCACGTGGCGTTTTTGCAAGGTATGCTTCCCTCTTCCCTCTTGAATGCTAGCTAGTTTTTGAGACGTCTCGAATCCCAACTTCTATCACGTGGCGTTTTTGCAAGGTATGCTTCCCTCTTCCCACTTGATTGCTAGCTAGTTTTTGAGACGTCTCGAATCCCAACTTCTATCACGTGGCGTTTTTGCAAGGTATGCTTCCCTCTTCCCACTTGTATGCTAGCTGCTGGTCGGATCCCCATCCCCATCCCCATCCCACGCCCATCAACACTCACCCATCCCACTCCACCCCATCAGATCGGCAACGATGCGTCTCAGTTTGTGGGGCCGCTGATGCTCAGCCGCCTGCTGTCAGCCATGCAGTCAGACGAGCCTGCATGGCACGGTTACATCTACGCCACCATCATCTTCCTGGGACTGGTATGATGAGGCCTAGGCGCACCCTTGTAACCCTGGTGTGCTGTGTGCTTTTATGCAGCCGACGCACACAATGCATGGAGGATCAGGGGTCAAGGTTCAGCCATGCAGTTGGCCGAGCTAGCTTGGCACGGCTACATCCATGCCATCATCATCTTCCTGAGGGTGGTATGAAGTGCCTGCGCCCTGATGTGGTGTGTGTCATGCACGTAGGCACATGTGGTGTGTGTCATGCACGTAGGCACATGTGGTGTGTGTCATGCACGTAGGCACATGTGGTGTGTGTCATGCACGTAGGCACATGTGGTGTGTGTCATGCACGTAGGCACATGTGGTGTGTGTCATGCACGTAGGCACATGTGGTGTGTGTCATGCACGTAGGCACATGTGGTGTGTGTCATGCACGTAGGCACATGTGGTGTGTGTCATGCACGTAGGCACATGTGGTGTGTGTCATGCACGTAGGCACATGTGGTGTGTGTCATGCACGTAGGCACATGTGGTGTGTGTCATGCACGTAGGCACATGTGGTGTGTGTCATGCACGTAGGCACATGTGGATAGAGTATGAGGAGTTTGAGACGTCTCAACAGTCATTATTTGGACAGAGTATGAGGAGTTTCAGGGTCCAGGCATGCAGTCCAGGCCCCCTTCATGGCACGACTACATCCATTACACCCCCATAAATCCCCTAGCACCGCACACCACCCCTCCTCCCTGCACCAGGTGGGCGGGGTCATCTGTGAGGCGCAGTACTTCCAGAATGTCATGCGCGCTTGAGAGGCTCTATCACCATTCCACCCCCATTGATACCCTAGCACCACACATCACCCCCGTTAACCCTGTGTCACCGCACATCACTCCTCCTCCCTGCACCAGGTGGGCGGGGTCATCTGTGAGGCGCAGTACTTCCAGAATGTCATGCGTGTTGGCTTCCAGCTGCGACAAGCCATGGTACGTACATTGGAAGGGTGCTGTGCGGTGCACTGCGGTGCGGGGTTCCATAATGCTAGTTGGCAGGCCACGGCCCACGGGTGGTCGGTTGGCAGCGTGCTGTGCTGTGCTGTGCAATGGGGGGGGTGCACTTAAGGGGGGGGTTGCACTGATAGGATTCAAGAATGATTGAGTAATGAGCCAAGGAGGCTCTATAGTACAAGCATGCAAGGAAGAGAGGTTGGAAGAAGGTGCAACCCTATTGGCCACTAAGTTGGCCAATGGGTGAGATGCCTTGTGGAGTAGGGAACCCCACAATGGTGCTAGGTTGTGATTGGTTGGCCTTAGGACCAAATGTTGGCAAGTGCCAACCAAGGACCAAGACCAAACCAAATCTTGACCCAACCACAAAGTGTGGTTGGAGTGTACACCCAACCCCCCAATAGCTTAAAGAGCTACACCTATTCTAGCCTATGTATGTTGTATATAAGATACATTTACAACACAACCCCCCAACATGCATAAGGCTAGAAAAAATGTAATCAGGAGGCCGCCAAAACTGGTGGCGGGGTGAGCCCAAGGAGACGCAACAGGAAGGAGTGGGACGCTTGGGGAAGAGCTTTGGTGAAGGTGTCGGCGAGGTTGGCTGCGGAGTTGATTTTGCCAAGACGAATGTGGCCGGCCTTTATGAGATCGCGAATGAAGAAGTAGCGAAGCTCAATGTGTTTTGAGCGCCCATGATACACAGCGTCCTTGGTGAGGTGGATGGTGCTGGCGTTGTCACACCAGATGGTGGGACAGCGTTGGGGGGCTCCTAGCTCATCAAGGAGGAAGGTGAGCCAGCGTGCTTCTTGCGCGGCCATGGTCGCAGCGTAGAGCTCTGCTTCGCAGGAGGAGAGGGCGACGGCAGAGGAGCGTGTGGACCGCCAGCTGATGAGACCGCTGCCGAGGGAGAAGCCATAGCCCTGAGAGGACCGCCGATCCGGTCGAGAATCAGCCCAGGAAGAGTCGCTGTAGCCGTTGAGGAGTGGTGGGGAAGGGCCGCCAAGGGTGAGGACATAGTTCTTGGTGCCACGAATGTAGCGAAGGACACGCTTGGCGGCCTGCCAGTGCTCTTCCGTATGCTTGCCTGCGCCAACGAACCGGGCGAGGACGCTGATGGGGTAGGCAAGGTCAGGGCGAGTGGAAACCATGGCGTACATGAGAGAGCCGATGAGTTCCGGATAAGGATGGGAGGAGGGAGAGGGAGAGGAGGGTGGGGAGAGGTGGTGCCCAACCGAGAGGGGAGTGGGCTGGGGGTTGCCGCGCGCCATGTCAAACCGGTCCAGGACCTGGTGGAGGTAGTGACCCTGAGAGAGTGAGATGGTGCGGGCGGAGCGGTCGCGAGTGATGGTCATGCCGAGGTAGTTCTGCAGCTCTCCCAGGTCTTTGCACTTGAGACGGCTGCCCAGCTCCGCCTTGACAGTCTCGAGCTCGGCAAGGTCGGCGGTGAGGAGGATCATGTCGTCAACATAGACGAGGATGTAGAAGGGGGAGGGGGAGGTGCGGAGGAAGAGGCTGGCGTCAGAGCGGGAGGTGCGAAAGCCAAGCTCAGCAAGGGTGGCAGCAAGCTTGGCATGCCACTCCCTGGGTGCCTGACGGAAAACGTACACGGGTCGGCGCAGCTGCCAGACGGAGTCGGCGGGGAAGGGGAGGTGGAAGCCGTCTGGGCGCTCCATGTAAATGAGTTCACGTAGTACGCCTTGCAGGAAGGCGTTGGAGACATCCATCGAGTGGATCTCCATGTTGAGGCGAGCGGCGAGGTCGAGTACAGCGCGAACGGTAGCAGGTTTGGCGGTGGGGGAGAAGGTGTCGAAGAAGTCAAAACCATACCGCTGCGTGAAGCCCTTGGCGCAATACCGGGCCTTGTAGACGGGCGGCTCTCCTGGTAGCTGTTTGAAGCGAAACACCCACTTCCCCTTTACCACGTTCGTAGAGGAGGGAGGGCGAGGGACATCAACGAAGGAGGAGTTGGCGATAAATGCCTCGAGCTCCTTGATGATGGCGGCAAGCCAGAGCGGGGCGTCGGGGCAAGCCATGGCCTCCTCGTACGTGGTTGGGACGAAGATGGAGGGAGCAGAGGAAAAGGCGAAGACTGGTGTTCCAGACAGGTCAAGGGGACGGGTTAGAGGTGGGAGTGGGTCAGTGGACGGAGGAGAGGAATAGTACGGGGTGGACTCGTCAAAGACGACATCTCTGCTGCGAATTAGTCGACCGGAAGGGGGATGGAGGAAAAGGTAGTCGGGGGAGGAGGGGTTATGACCAAGGAAGACGCAAGGAAGGGTACGAGGGGCAAGCTTTCCAAGGGAGCGGGATCGGTCAGACGGGTGAATGAGGACATAGGCCTTTGAGCCCCAGACTCGAAGAGGGGAGACATCGGGTTTGTCCTTTGTCCATAGCTCAGTGGGGATGGTGGAGGGGAGGAGGGGGTGAGGGTAAAGGTTAGTAAAGAGGACGGCATGAAGGAGGGCGTAGCCCCACAGAGAAGGGGGGCATGAGGCGTGGACAAGAAGACACCGAGCCGTTTTGGTGATCTCCCGAACACGGCTCTCAGCGACACCGTTCTGCTGTGGGGAGTGAGGGAGGGTGTGAGTCTGGAGAATGCCGCGGGACTGGCAGTAGGAGGAAATTTGGGTATTAAGGAACTCACCACCACCATCAGAGTGGAGGCGACGAACAGGGCGGCCAAAGTGGGTGTTGGCTTGCTCGAGCCAAGCAATGATCGCGGTCGGGGCATCCGCCTTCGTCCGAAGGAGAGAGACGGACGAGTACCGACTGTGGTCATCGACGAGCACGAGGAGGTAGCGATGGCCTTGGCGAGTGGGGGAAGGGTTAGGGCCCCAGAGGTCCATGTGAACAAGATCAAGTGGCTGAGCAGCAGCGGAGGGGGAGCTCCGGTGCGGCTGCTGCTTGAGCTTGCTCTAAACACAGACGACGCAAGGGGGGGCAGGGGACTTTGGGAGGGGAGGGAGGGAAGAGGGGAGACCGTGGAGGAGACCGGAGGATACAGAGGAGCGCAGAGTGGCGAAGTTGGGGTGACCTAGCCTGTGATGGAGGAGGATGGCAGGGTGGGAGAGGGAGCGACATGAGCAGTCAGAGTCAGGGGGGCGGGGGGGGACGGGTGGGTTAGTGGAGGGGAGGGGAGGGGGGGGGGAGGAAGGGGGGGGGGCAACTTGGAAGGTGAGGGGGCGAGGAACCCGAAGGGTGTATAGACGGGAGCGGGGACAGTAAGGAATACGGGCGAGGAAACGACCTGTGGAGGTGTGGTAGAGATCACAATGGTTAGCACCACCTGGGGTGAGAGTGGTGATCATGGATTGTTGGAGGGACCTTTGGGAGAGGAGGTTGGTGCGAAGGGAGGGAATGTGAAGACCTGTGACAGTACCTGAGGGAAAGAGAGGACAGGGAAGGGTGGAGGTGTTGTGACAGGGGATGGAAAAGCTGCTATCAGCGCCAAGGAGGGACGTGGATGTGGGAAGAGGATTGAGTTTGCCGGCATCTCGAAAGACATTATCAGTGGCTCCACTGTCCAAGACGAACTCAAGGGTGGAGGAGGGTGGTTTCATTAATAGCAGGGGCATACATAGGAGATGCAACAGAAGGAGGCTGACTAAGGAGACCAACAAAGCCAGAGGAGGGAAAGGGGGTCACACTGCCACCTGTGGACGGCGCAGGGGATGGACCGGAGAGGTGGGCCGCGGAGGCCGCATTTCCGGCGGTCCAGCTGGGAAACGGTTGCTTCTGGGGGACAGGAGGAGGAGGGAGGAGAGGAAGTTGGGGCTGGAGGTCGAGCTGCTGCTGGAGCTGCTGAAGCTGCTGCTGGAGCTGCTGGAGCTGCTGCCCATACTGCTGCGGTCCCTGCTGCTGGACACTCTGCTGCTGCTGCTGCTGCTGCTGCTGCTGCTGAGAGGGGAGAGCAAAGGCCTGGTGGGCCTGGGAGGAGGAGGAGGGGGCGTAGAGGGGAGAGGTGCGAACATCGAGGGGAGTGGGGCGGGGATTAAGGGCGGACCAGGTAGGGGGGAGGAGGTAGGGGAGAGTGAGGGTGGCGCGGAAGTGTGGGGCAGGGCGCGGATGAAGGTGGGGAGGTCGCGGTGATCGTGAGCAGGCGACCGCGAGGGCGCGGAGGTCAGTCGCGGCGGCGCGCCGGCCGGCCGCGAGAGCGCGAGGGTCGGCCGCGGCTCTGCGTCGGCCGTCCGCGTCAGCGCGAGGGTCGGCCGCGGCTCCGCGTCGGTCGTCCGCGTCAGTCGCGAAGGCCGGCCACAGCTCCCCGTCGGCCGTCCGCGTCAGTCGCGAAGGCCGGCCGCGGCTCCCCGTCGACCGTCCGCGTCAGCGCGAAGGTCGGCCGCGGCTCCGCGGTGGCCGTCCGCGTCAGCGCGGGGGTCGTCGGCGCTCGCGCGCTGGCCGTCCGCGCTGGCGCGCAGGTCGGCCGCGGCTCCGCGCTGGCCGAGCGCGTCGGTGCGCGGGGTGATCGTGGCCGCGCGCTGGCCGAGCGCGTCGTCCGCGACAGCGTGCTTGTCGCCCGCGACGGCGCGCTTGTCGTCCGCGACGGCACGCTTGTCGTCCGCGACGGCGCGCTTGTCGTCCGCGACGGCGCGCTTGTCGTCCGCGACGGCGCGCTTAGTGAGGCGTGGCGGCGGGAGGGAGGATTGCTGCCACGGGAGAGCTGTTTGAGGCCACGGGAGGATTGAGGCCGCGGGAGGGAGGATTGAGGCCGCGGGAGGGAGGATTGAGGCCGCGGGAGGGAGGATTGAGGCCGCGGGAGGATTAGATTTGAGCCGCGAGAGGCTAGGTCTAGGATACGGAGAGGAAATTACGGCCTAAGGATCGAGGGAGGTGGCGTGAGCCATTTGGCTCTGAATACCATGATAGGATTCAAGAATGATTGAGTAATGAGCCAAGGAGGCTCTATAGTACAAGCATGCAAGGAAGAGAGGTTGGAAGAAGGTGCAACCCTATTGGCCACTAAGTTGGCCAATGGGTGAGATGCCTTGTGGAGTAGGGAACCCCACAATGTTGCTAGCTTGTGATTGGTTGGCCTTAGGACCAAATGTTGGCAAGTGCCAACCAAGGACCAAGACCAAACCAAATCTTGACCCAACCACAAAGTGTGGTTGGAGTGTACACCCAACCCCCCAATAGCTTAAAGAGCTACACCTATTCTAGCCTATGTATGTTGTATATAAGATACATTTACAACATGCACTGGGGGAGGGTTTCAGTGAGTGGGGTTGCACTGGGGGGGGTTGCACTGGGGGGTGTTGCACTGGGGGGGGTTGCACTGGGGGGGGTTGCACTGGGGGGGGGGGGGTTGCACTGGGGGGGGGTTGCACTGGGGGGGGGTTGCAGTGGGGTGTGTGCAGTGTGGGGGGTGCGCACTTAGGGCGGGGGTACACTGTGGGGGGTTGCACCCTTATTTTCCTTGCCTTTTATCCCGACACTCCTTCACAATCAGTATGCTAATTGAGCAAAGTATGCACGGACGGACGAGAACGATGGGTGAGAAGGGTTCTGTGAGTTTTCCATCCCCATTATCTCCCCATCTCAAAAACCGTCCCTATTGACACCCCAGCAACCTCGTCTTCCTCGAGAAATTGTCTTCAATCTAGTCCACCCCCCGATATATTCTTCCTCCTATCTTGCCATCCCTGTCCGGCCGTCCCATGCGCAGGTGGCAGCGGTGTTCAGCAAGTCCCTGCGGCTGAGTCACAGTGGGAGGCAGGGCTTCAGCACGGGGCGAATCACCAACATGATGACCAACGACGCTGAGTCCCTGCAGATGGTACGGTGCCATGTGATGCGGTGCGGTGCGGTGTGGTGTGGTGTGGTGTGGTTTGGGGTGGGGCTGTGTGGTGCAGAGTGGTACTCGCAGTTTTTGTGACATTTTAGTTTGTGGCACTAGCAGCAGTACAATGAACCAACAATTTTGGCTTCACCTCGTCTATCAAAAGTGCATAAAACTATTGAATTGCTCTCTCACTCCTCTATAATCACCCCTCCCTTTCTCATGCTGCTCTCCCCCCTCTCCCCTCTCCCAGGTGTATCAGCAGCTGCACGGCCTCTGGTTGGTGCCTCTCCGCATCCCTCATTGACTTGCTCTCTCCTCCACCCCTCTCCTTGTCTCCCTCATCTCCCATCTCCTCCTTTCAGGTGTGTCAGCAGCTGCACGGCCTCTGGTCGGCGCCTCTCCGCATCCTCGTCTGCATCTTCCTGCTCTACCAGCAGCTGGGGGTGGCATCTGTGCTCGGCCTGCTCATGCTGCTCCTCATGATCCTCGCTCAAGTGAGTGAGACCTGACAGCTGTGGCTGATGAGTCTCTTTTTGACACGTCTCAGAAACTTTTATTTGGGGATGGCATTGCTGCTCAGCCTGCTCATGCTGATAACCCCCTGCCAGGTGAGTGAGACGTGGTGTTGGATGGCTTGCTCCTTTTATCGGTATGGTATTGTGTGCTCTGGTATGGCGGGTCCCTCTCCGAATCCTCGGCTGCATCTTCTTGCTCTATTAGTAGTTGGGGTTGGCATCGCTGCGTGGCCTGCTCATGTTGCTGCTCATGATCCCCACAAAAATGAGTGAGACCTGGTTTGATTTCTTCTAAGCGTATGGTATAGTGTGTAAGAACTTAAGCTTGAAGTGATGTATTAATAGTGAGCTCAAAGCTTTTAAGTACACCCCAAATTAGCAAGGAATGGATGGGGAGGGAATCGGGGGCAATCACAAGATGATCAGCTGAAATTTCCAATTGGTGGGTTGGAGGTTTCGGGTGATCACATTTGGGTTTGGTTGGGATGTGGGTGTACACCCAACCAAACACAAAGTGCAAACTACCCTAAGTTAGGATATAAAAAATGCAAGTACACAAGAGATTGCGGGCTAACACTGACATAGTGCACTCTGGTATAGTTGGCCACTCGGGGTACCTTGTTTGCATCCTCTTACTTTCCCATCAGCTGAGCTAAAAAGGTCATCTTTCCCTGTGCTTCTCTCCCCATGCTTACTTTGTCAGGATCCCAGCCAATAGACCACTTGTTAAGTAGCGGATGAGTGCGCCCATAACCCCTCAGGCAAACGTGTCTGTAATCCTTCCCTAGGAACAATCGGGCATCCCCAGTGCAGATGTTATGACATTCTTCTCTTCCCTTCACTCTTCGTGGCTCGTCTTCTGCCTCTATCCCCCTCTTTCCTCTCCTCCCTTCCCTCCTCCCTCCCCCCAACCAACCCTCCTCTCTCCGTGCCTCCCCCCCTCTTCCCTCTCGCTCCCTCTCCCCACCACCAGGCAGTGATTGTGAACAGGGTGCAGAAGCTGGTGAAGGCATCACTGCAGCGCAGCGACAAGCGAGTGGCGCTGATGAGTGAGATGCTGGCAGCTATGGACGTCGTCAAGTTGTACACGTGGGAGGAGAGCTTTCAGAGCAAGGTGGCGCGGGTCCGAGCGGATGAGATGGGGCAGATCTCCAAGGCGCAATACATCATGGCGGTGGGTTGTGTGCGGTATGACAAGGTGGAGTGGACGAGATGGATTAGGTTGTGTGCGGTATGACAAGGTGGAGTGAACGACATGGGTTAGGTTGTGTGCGGTATGACAAGGTGGAGTGGACGACATGGGATAGGTTGTGTGCGGTATGACAAGTTGGAGTGGACGAGATAGGGTAGGTTGTGTGCGGTATGACAAGGTGGAGTGGTCAAGATGGGGTAGGTTGTGTGCGGCATGACAAGGTGGAGTGGGCGAGATGGGGTAGGTTGTGTGCGGTATGAAGGCGCAGTTCACCATAACAGTAGGTCATATGCTACAGCGCACGTACACTGTTGAGTGTGTTGTGCAACAATTACATCTCAGTGGGTAGTTTCTCACCTTTGGACTTAAGAGGTCATGGGTTCAACTCTCCGCAGTCGCACTTTCCATTCTCATTATGGTCACCATAACATGTTCACACTCACCCATAATGCAGCTTAGTTTGGTGGAGTGTGGATATGTCATGGTGAGCATAATAAGAATGGAAAGTGCAGCTGCTGAGAGTTGAACCCACGTCCTTTGAGATCAAGTGTGAGAAACCACCCACTTGGACATATTTGTTGGTGCTGGTGACACTGGTGTCATTGATTTGTGAGTGGAGACTGAAACCCCCCCTCGTTCCTCTCCCTCCGCCCCTCACCAGATAAACTTCCTACTGATGAGTGTGTTGCCGGTGCTGGTGACGGTGGTGTCATTCGGCTGCTACACGCTGTTGGGCCACCAACTCACAGCCGCCAAGGCCTTCACTTCCATCTCCCTCTTCGCTGTGCTGCACTACCCCCTCCATATGTTTCCCAGCCTCATCACCCAGGTCAGTGTTGTACCTCTTATTAGTGCAGACTTCAGTGATTGTGTACTGTCTTGACTACCTCATCACCTCCAAGGTGTTCAACGTCTTATTAGTGCTGGTTCTTCTGATTAAACGTTGGGATTAAGGACAGATGCTATGTAGATTAGGAGCAGAAATAAACTCAACTCTTTGGACTATGTTTCACGACATGAATTTTGTATTTACAAAAGACGTCGCCAATGTAAAACACACTATTAGAACTTCACCAAAATCGAATTTGTTTGTGACCCTAAACCGTGGCTACCATTCACAAGTTGAATCGTAGCAAGAGGTGGAGTACATTTTACGATACAAATTTTAACGCACCTGAAACTTAACTCATATGCAATTGTTCAACAGAAAACCACAAAACAAATTAGAGTAGCAAGAATCCAGATAAAAGAATGTGAAGAAGATGAAGAGGAATTAGGGAAGATCCTCAGGGAGTCATTAACCAATGAAACTACATAAGCACACCAAATCCACATCTTATAAAACTCAAGTTTCACTCTTGTATTTTTTTTATTCTTCTCTATGCACCTCACTCAAGTTGGCTACACTTGTCTACCTAGTTTTGTTTCTCCCAATCATTTGACAGCAACTACAGTGAACTGACGTTTCTTCAACCCCCCAATTGTCTATACCCCTCGTAAATTCCCAAAGTCGCCGTTGCCAAATATAAAATGTATACGACCGTTCTTAACTTTCTCGTTCGTAGTTCGATTGAGGCGATTCTTGGTTCGCCAAAAAGCTCTTGAACTGAAAAGTCATTTCGAATATTCGCTGAAGCGAAATGGAATTCACACACACTCACAAAGTCCATAATATGCCAAACACAAAATTTTGCACACACACAGACCATGTATGAAAGATAAGAGAATATGATGGGAGGCAGAGAGATATGATTGCACCACACAACATTGGATTCCACATATGACCTCTCTCACTCGCCTGCAGGAGTTGCTGTTGGGACATGAGACGGCACCTCTTTTCCCTATCGTTCATCTCTCCACTCCCCCTCTTTTTTCCTTGCAACAATCTCTGCAACACTCTCCAACACACCAGGTGGTGAATGTGAGCGTGTCTCTCACTCGCCTGCGGGAGATGCTACGGGCAAGTATGGTGGGCATTAACGCCCATGCTCCCGCCACTTATCCTGTTTATCCCTCCTCCAACCCCCATCTACCCTTCTGTTACACCCTTCCACCAGGTGGTGAATGTGAACGTGTCTCTGACTCGCCTGCAGGAGATGCTACTGGCAGATGAGACAGACATTGATGCCCCTTCTCTCCCTTGCCCTTTCTGTTCCCCCCATTCACTTCTGGCCGACGTTTTGCACCCCTCCAGGTGGTGAATGTGAGAGTATCTCTCACGCGACTGCAGGAGATGCTACTGGCAGACGAAACAGACATTGACGCCCCTGCACCTGATCTTACCCTCTTTACTGCTCACCTCCTCTCCCCCAATCCTTCCACACTTCTGTTGCACCCACCCACCAGGTGGTGAACGTGAGAGTATCTCTCACGCGCCTGCAGGAGATGCTACTGGCAGATGAGACAGACATTGACGCCCCTGCGCCGCCCATCGACCCCGCCAAGCCTGCAGTTGAAGTCTCCCATGCCTCCTTCGCCTGGGGCGCTGCTAACGCTGCTGCTGCCAACACTGCTGCTGCCGCTGCCAACGGTGCTGCTAACGCTGCTGCTAAGGAGAAGGGTGGAGTGGGGGGGGAGGGGAAGGAGAAGGACGTGGGGGGCACACTAACAGATGTGACTCTATCGGTGGAGCCTGGCAAGCTGGTGGCAGTTGTGGGCGCCACAGGTATGGCATGCAGGGTGAACCGGGCGGCACAGGTACGGCATGAAGGGTGAACCGGCACAGGTACGGCATGAAGGGTGAACCGGGCGGCACAGGTACGGCATGAAGGGTGAACCGGACGGCACAGGTACGGCATGAAGGGTGAACCGGGCGGCACAGGTACGGCATGCAGGGTGGTCAGTGCGGTTCAGTCAGGACGCGACAGGTACTGTTGTGTGTGGGCGCCAGAGCGGGTGAGTGTGGGTCAGAACGGGTCAGGGCGGGTCAGTGCAGATCAGGATGGGTCAGGTCGGGTCAGGATCGTCTGAGCACCTGGTGTCAGTCAGGGGACTGCAAGGCCATCCTTATTCTTGCGTCCCTCCCCCATTCCGCCCAGCCCCACCCTTCCCCATCAGGGCAAGGCAAGTCGTCGCTGGTCAGTGCGCTGCTGGTGGAGGGGCCCATGGTGTCAGGGACTGAAAGGCCTTAACCCTGCCTCCTTTTCCCACCCCCCTCAACTCATGGCAGGGCAAGGCAAGTCGTCGCTGGTCAGTGCACTGCTGGGCGAGATGCCCATGGTGTCAGGGGACTCTCCTCCAATCATCAGAGGCCGCGTGGCTTACGTCTCACAGGTCGGTGATACCCACCCTTAGGAGATGATCTTGCATCTGGTGCCCTAATCAGTCCTTTTATTTACTTACCAGTACTGTTCTATGCAAGTGCACATTCCTTTGCCTTGCTATGTTTGATCTGCCCATGTTCCTTCTTCTGAGCCATTTCACGTTTTCTCTGTTTTATGTGCCATCTTTCCTTTTCCTCTTCCCAAATCACATGCTGCCACGTGGCACACGTGGCCCGAGCAGGTCTCCTGGATCTTCAACGCCACAGTGCGCGACAACATTCTGTTCGGGCTGCCCTATGACCGGCAGCGGTACGAGCGGGCAGTGAGGGTGAGCGCCCTGGAGAGAGACCTGGAGCTGCTGCCAGGAGGGGACCTGACGGAGATAGGCGAGAGGGGCGTGAACGTGAGTGGGGGGCAGAAGCAGCGCATCAGCATCGCCCGGGCGGTCTATTCAGATGCCGATGTTTACTTCTTTGATGATCCTCTCTCCGCCCTCGACGCCCACGTCGCCAAGCAGGTGGGTCGATGTTTTGGGGATCGGGATGGGGTTTGAGGGCTTGGGGTATGGGATTTGCAGCTCAAAGTTTGGGGTTCGTGGGCAGTGAGAGTCACCGTGCGGGACAACTGAGTTCTTCAGACGTCTCAAAATCTCACTTCTTTCACGTGTGGGAGATGATCTGGGGCTAGCATAGCGGTCTACTCTGATGCTCATGGTAAGTTTGACGACCCGCTCTCCGCCTTCGACGCCCACGTCGCCAAGCAGGTGGGCATCTGTATTTTTCTCATGTGTTTTGTGTTCTGTATCTGTATCGCTGCATGTTTATGCAAGTGTACATGTGGGCATGTGTACATGTGGGCATGTGTACATGTGGGCATGTGTACATGTGGGCATGTGTACTTTTGGGCATGTGTACATGTGCGCATGTGTACATGTGGGCATGTGTGCATGTGGAATGTGTACATGTGGGCATGTGTGCATGTGGAATGTGTGCTGCATGTTGGCATGCACGCAGGTGTACGACACGTGTGTGAGGACGGAGCTTGCCGGCCGCACGCGCATCATGGTCACCAACCAGCTGCACTTCCTGCCAGGTACTTAGTTGGTAGAAACTGTTGTGGTAGCAAGAATGTCCCAGTGGGTAGATTCTCACCTTTGGTCTTAGAGGTCGCGGGTTCAACTCTCAGCAACAGCACTTTCTCTTCTCATTATGCCCAACATGACATTCCCACACTCCACCACACTCACCCACAGTGAAGTGTGGTCACAGTTGGCATTGCCATCTGTCCACCCATCCCATACTCACCATGCTGGCTCCTATGGTGTGCCACATGCTGCCATGTAGGCTGTTGTTCCAGCCTGGCCCACATGTGCAACATGTGGCCTCAATTGCTAGCTTGGCAAGGTTGGCTAGCCTTGCCCTCAGCTTTGAGGTGCTGCAGCTAGCCTCAAGAGTTCAGCCACATATATGTGGCTTCCCACTTCTCTAGAACTCATCCTTGGAAAGGACATTGCTCTAGCCTGTCAGGCTTGTACCATCTTCCTACTAAGGATATATTGTTCTTCTCTCATTGTGCCTCAAGTTCACCGATCCTCATTCTACATGCTATCAGAGCAAGGCTTCTAGCTGAGTGAACGTTGCACACTTGATGGCTCAAGTTGAAACGCCTCTCGGTCGGCACACCCTTCCCATCTTGGAACCAGATGGTTCCAACTTCATTCCATGGAAGAAAAAAATCTGCTACATCTTCAATGTCCTTCGGTTGATCTCCTTCCTTGGAGATCCCAAGGTTGCTTCGGGCCCTTCAATTTCCTCTTCCACAACCAGCGGTGGAGAGACTACCGAAGGCAACAGCGGTGCAGCCCCTAAAACAGCCCATTCGATTGCTTCGCTGCCGGATGAAGAAAAAGAGGAGCATGCATACTATCTTCTCATGTCAGCCGTCCATCCTCAACTATCGCTCACTCTTGCTCAAGCCAACACGACAAAGGATATGTGGGGATGCATCATGGCACGGTTCGACTGCATGGGCAACCATGCACAAGTGGCTCTCCTCCGGGATCTCATCACTACACGGATGGACCCAACAACAAGTCTTCGCTCCTACTTCGATCGAGTTCGAAACCTTACACACCAACTCAAATCTGCCGGCTTTGAGCTACCATCATGGGTGGTGGTAATCTCCATTAGGGATGAGCAAATGGCGAACACGAACATGTTCGTGTTCGCCTGGGCTCGAACATGGCCGTTCGGCGAACCGAACAAAAAGGGTGTTCGAAGTTCGCCAAGAGAGGCGAACATTTCGAACGTTTTGGCGAACACGAACACGTTCGCCCAGAACATGTTCGCGTTCGCCTTAAAGGACCTTCTCAGATCCAAGTAGAGTGAAATCCAAATGTTTCACATTCCCTTCCCCCACCCCCCAAGCCAGTCCCGCCCTGCTTCATCCATGCTAGTGCCAGCGTGCAACGGCGAAATGCTAGATCTACGCTTAAGCAACGGCGAAATGCTAGATCTACGCTTAAGCAACGGCGAAATGCTAGATCTACGCTTAAGCAACGGCGAAATGCTAGATCTGAGCTTAAGCAACGGCGAAATGATAGATCTGAGCTTAATCAACGGCGAAATGCTTGATCCGCACTTAAGCAATGGCGAAATGCTAGATCTATACTTAAACAACGACGAAATGCCTTGATCCGCACTTAAGCAACGGCGAAATGCCTTGATCTGAGTCCAAACACCAAGGCCCGCGACCTAAAAATTGGTCGCGGGCCTATTCGTCGACGAACACATTGGTGTTCGTCGAAGGCCCGTGTCGAACACGAACACGTTCGTGTTCGACGCGCCTCGGCCAGCTGAGCCGTGCGAACGGCGAACGTGTTCGGGCGAACACCGAACACGTTCGCCCCGAACAGTTTAGGCCAAAAAAAAACCCTGTTCGGTTCGCCTCGAACACGTTCGAGGCGAACCGAACAGGTGTTCGTCATATTGCTCATCCCTAATCTCCATCATCCTCAACCTTCCGGACTCGTTCAAGACCCTTACTGAAACCATTTGCACCGTGAAATACATAAAGTCTATGACGGTTGAATACCTACAGTCACGCCTACTCGATGCCGAGTGGGAGCGGTCACAATCTGGTACAAGCCGCAACATGGAGGGTGCATACAACCTCAATTCCCAGCCCTCCCACCCTCTTCGCTCCGGTTCACGCCAGTCGCCCACCTGCCGTTACTGCAAGAAAACGGGTCACACCATCGACGAATGCTTCAAATTGAAGAAGAAGAAAGAGCTTGAAGAAAGCTCTAAACGGGAGAAATCCGCCATCCAGCCCTCGGTGCATGTCTCCACCAGCTCCTCTGCTGAAACTACTCCAACCCCCACACCACCTCCTGCCCCATCAGCTCCTCAGTCTGTACCTGATTCCCGGTACGTTGACATTGCTATCAGCACCCGCCACCACCCCATCTTCTCCACATGGACTCCTCTCGTCGCTGCTGTCTTCATTCTCACCTTCCTCCTTCTCCTCCTCCTCTTCCCTTATGGGGTTCCCTACGCATCGGCATTCACGGCCTCCTCATTCAACATGGAGCGGACTTCGTCGTGGCTGGTGGACAGCGGCGCATCCTCCCATATCTGCTCGGATCGTTCGCTGTTTTCGTCTCTCAAGAAGCCCAACGAAGATATCCTTGTTCGTTTTGGTGGGGGAGAGACTTACAAGGTCTTGGGAGTCGGCACGGTGGTGGCTACACTTCGGTCACCAACATCGGAAACCACCATTCAGCTTGACAACGTTTTATTTCTCCCTTCATCAGTTCACAACCTGCTCTCTGTTTGTGCACTTGGTGCTGCCGGCGTTGCCGTCTCGTTCCCCGCTGCTGGGCGCGTTGTTCTCACAGCTGATGACGCTCCTATTGGCGAGGGATACACCCGCAACAACCTGTTTTATCTTCAACTGCATCATGGGAGCAGTGCTGCTCCTTCTATCAAGCCAACTGCATGTCCAGCCTCCACCACCACCTCCTCGTACCTCTGGCATCGTCGTTTCGGGCATCTTAACATGCAGGACTTGTCAACACTTCATCGGCAGCAGCTGGTCACCGGTCTTCACCTCTCCTCCACCTCGATTCCCCCCTGCATCTCGTGCTATCGTGGGAAACAAACACGTCAGCCGTTTGGCGTGTCCCATTCTCGCACCACAGCACCACTCCAACTCATTCACTCAGATATTGCTCGACCGTTTTCATACGGAACTACCATTGGCGGTGCTCGCTACCTTCTCACCTTCATCGACGACTACTCCCGCCACATTACAGTGTATCTCCTACGCCACCGGTCGGAGGCACTTTCATGCTTCAAGGCTTACGTCACTCGGGTGCACAACATGCATTCCCCACACACCATCAAAGCCTTTCGCTCTGACGGTGCCTTGGATTTCACTTCCAAAGCCTTCACTTCATTCCTTACAGCTCATGGCATACACACCTCTCCACGCCATACACACCTGAGCAAAATGGAGGTGTGAGCGGGCCAACCGGACTTTACTTGAGATGGTCCGCTCCATGCTACATGATGCACACTTGGACAAAGGCTGGTGGGGCGAAGCCGCTCTTACTGCTGCCTATCTCCGTAATCACTCCATAAGTCGGGGTGGTTCAACTTCTAAGACTCCCATGGAACTATGGACCGGTGCACGTCCGGATGTATCACACCTCCGCATCTTCGGTTCACCCGTCTCGGTCCTCATTCCTTCCCAACAGCGTTCTAAGCTCGACGACCGAAGCACGGCCGGCATCATGGTTGGATATGGTCATCTCGACGGCACCAAAGCTTACCGCATCTATATTCCATCTCAGCACCGTGTCATCCTTTCTCGTGATGTCATATTCATGGAGCCCTCTGCACCGCCTTCCGACGACCCTCGCGACCCTCCATCGTCATCTCCACCCACAATGTCCTTTCCAAGGATGAGTTCTAGAGAAGTGGGAAGCCACATATATGTGGCTGAACTCTTGAGGCTAGCTGCAGCACCTCAAAGCTGAGGGCAAGGCTAGCCAACCTTGCCAAGCTAGCAATTGAGGCCACATGTTGCACATGTGGGCCAGGCTGGAACAACAGCCTACATGGCAGCATGTGGCACACCATAGGAGCCAGCAAGGTGAGTATGGGATGGGTGGACAGATGGCAATGCCAACTGTGACCACACTTCACTGTGGGTGAGTGTGGTGGAGTGTGGGAATGTCATGTTGGGCATAATGAGAAGAGAAAGTGCTGTTGCTGAGAGTTGAACCCGCGACCTCTAAGACCAAAGGTGAGAATCTACCCACTGGGACATTCTTGCTACCACAACAGAAACCATTTAATTTTTATTCCTGTTACTCAGGAACGTCCTTCCACTCTATGATTTCCCCTCACTCTTTCCATGTCCCCCTGCCCTCTCTCCCGCAACGGTTGACTCGGGTGGTGATGATGATGGAGAGGGACACAGTCCCCTCCACCTCAAGTCCTGTACCTCTGAGTCAACCCAAAAGTCACCTCATTACAATGGCCCATGATCAAGGTCAAGGGCCATACTCCCTCCTCAGGTCCTGCACTTCATCCTCAATCCCTCTTCTTCACATCCCTCTCCCTCTCCCCATCTCTCCCCCCTCTCCCATTCTCCCCTCCCTCCCCTCTCCCTTGCTCTCCCCCCCTTGCAGCCGTGGACTGGGTGGTGATGGTGGAGGGGGGGCGCATAGCAGAGCAGGGGCCGTATGTACAGCTGAAGGCGTCGGCACCCAAGTTCCAGCGGCTGCTGGAGAAGGCAGGCGCGCTGGAGGAGCACGGGGATGGGGAGGTGGGGGGGGAGGGAGGAGGAGAAACAGCCGGGGACGCGGGCGGCGGGGGGTTTGAGGCGAGCGCTGAAGCGGCAGCAGCTGCTGCAATGTCTGGCTGTAGCAGCAGCAGCAGCGGTGGTGGTGCTGGTGCTGGTGGTGGTGGTTCTGCTGCTGCAGAGAACGGCGTTTCTAGCAGCAGCGACCAGGTTGGGGAGAAGAGCGGAGCAGGGAAGGGGGAGAAGAGCGGAGCAGGGGGGACAACCCTAGTGCAGGCAGAGGAGAAGGCGCAGGGTGTGGTGAGCGCGGCAGTGGTGTGGCGGTACGTGAGGGCCATGGGGGGGACGGGCGTGCTGGCTGTGCTCATCTCGCTCTACGTGCTTGTGGAGGCAGCCAGGGTGCTGGCGAGTGTGTGGATCAGCATTTGGACGGGCGAAAGCGGTGGCAGTGGTGCGCATGGGTCGCTGTACTTCGTGGCGGGGTATTCACTCATCTCGCTGGGCCAAGTGCTGCTCACCTTCGCCAACCAGTATTTTCTCGTGAGTCCCTTCACAGCCATAAGCAGGCTATGACTGACTGTTGGTGAGTGAGGGCCATCAGCCATGAGTGGGCCCGCTATACACACAGTCCTCATCTCGCTCTTCGTGCTCGTGGAATAACATGCTGAGTGGTGGTGTTTGTGGTTGGAAATAGGCTGACAGCCCTTGACTTGATTCCTGAAAAAGCACTTTTCACAACACCGTTTAATCATGATCTTTTCTCTCTCGTCCCACATCGTCCTTTTTGCTCCTCTCTTCTCCCCCGCACCTTGCAGGTGTTTTCCTCCCAGCGAGCGGCTCGTCGTCTGCACGATGCCATGCTAGCGGCCATTCTGCGAGCTCCCATGTCCTTCTTTCACACCAACCCCGTGAGTCATCAATGTCTCACCTAGAGGCACCTCAAAATTAGATTACAAGCCATGCTGGCAGTTGTTCTCCAAGCCCCCATGCCCTTCGTCCACACCAACCTCGCAGGTCATCACCTCCTATCTTGTTGTAAATAAAGAGATAGTAGAGTTCTTCTCCTAAATAAACTCACCTCTCTGCCTGAAGTGTGTATTCTCCTCCCCTCCACTCACCCTCCTCCCCTTGCAGGTGGGTCGTCTCATAAACCGCTTCACCAAAGATACAGCGGACATAGACAAGAATCTGGCGCAGTACACGTCTCTGTGCCTGGGCGGCATATTCCCCTCCCCTCCACCCTCCACCCCCCACCCCTCCTAGGTCGGTCGCCTCATAAACCGCTTCACCAAGGATACAGCCGACATCGATAAAAACCTAGCGCAGTACACGTCGCTGTGCCTGGGCGGCATATTCCAGCTGCTCTCCACCTTCGCCCTCATCGGCGTTCTCAACACCGTTGCCCTCTGGGCCATCGTGCCGCTGCTGCTGCTCTTCTACATTGTCTACCTCTACTTCCAAAGCACCGCACGAGAAGTCAAGCGCTGGGACTCCGTCACTCGTTCCCCTGTCTACTCTCAGGTACGGCTTGAGTTGACACATGAAGCACATGTGGGAGTGGGCCATCGTGCCGCTGCTGCTGCTCTTCTACATCGTCTACCTCTACTTTCAAAACACCGCCCGGGAGGTCAAGCGATGGGACTCGGTGACACGCTCCCCAGTCTACTCACAGGTACAGAGTTTAGGGTGTAGGGCCGGCACTAGCCACACACCTGGGCCATCGTGCCGCTGCTGCTGCTCTTCTACATCGTCTCCCTCTACTTTCAAAACACCGCCTGGGAGGTCAAGCGCTGGGACTCCGTCACTCATTCCCCTGTCTACTCACAGGTATGCCTTGAGGCAACTCAGTTTTTCAAGCCAAATGCCCCATCCTCCCTCAAAACCGCGCTGCCTCTCCCTCCAAACTCTTTCAATTCCTATCCCCATTTCCTTCTCCAACCCCGGCGTTACCCAGTTCTTCTTGCTCTCTCTCAGTTCGCGGATGCACTGAACGGGCTGGCGACCATAAGGGCATACAGGGGAGCACAGCATGGCAGCCAAGGACGGTCACCACCAACCCCCCTTTTTCCCCCAATCACCCTCCACACACAACCCCAACTCACCTTCAGTTCGCGGAGGCACTGAACGGGCTGGCGACCATAAGGGCGTACAGGGCAGCGCAGCGCATGGCGGCTATGAACGGGCGGGCGGTGGATCGCAACACACGCTTCACCCTCGTCAGGATGAGCGCCAACCGCCATTCACATACACACTCACCCTTTTTCTAACTCATCCCGCAACTTTCCCCTCTTTCTGGCCCTCCCGCCCCACATCCCCCCCCACCCTCTTTGGATTCCTTCTCCTGCCTTCAGTTTGCAGAAGCATTAAACGGCCTAGCAACGATCAGGGCGTACAGGGCAGCGGCGCGTATGGCAGCCATGAACGGGCGGGCGGTGGATCGCAACACACGCTTCACCCTCATCAGCATGAGCGCCAACCGCTGGCTCGCCATCCGCCTCGAATTCCTCGGGGGACTCATGATCTTCGGTCAGTGACGTGATGCTTTTCAGGGTCCCGTGATTGCTGCTTGGTAATGCTTCATTGGGTTCAGTTCAGGGATTGACTTGGTTCGGGGTTTGCCTTGGTTCAGGGTTTGACTTGGTTCAGGGTTTGACTTGGTTCGGGGTTTGACTTGGTTCGGGGTTTGACTTGGTTCGGGGTTTGACTTGGTTCGGGGTTTGACTTGGTTCGGGGTTTGACTTGGTTCTGGGTTTGACTTGGTTCAGCCTCGTGATCCTCTGTCTAGAATGTTTGTTGCAGTACCTTAGTAGTGGCCTCGCCTTAGCGCAGGTGCTTCGACAACCGCTGGCTGGCCATCCACCTTGAGTTCCCGGTAGGGAGGCCTCATGATCTTTGGTCCGTCCATGAATGTCTTTCCAAAGGCTCATAGTCGTCTGTCTAGCATGGTCTTTCCGACGCCTTAGTAGACGCATGGGCTCGGGCGTCACAGCTAAGAAAGGCTGGTTTCGAATTGCAACAAGCCTGCTAAGTGTGTGGATTGATTTATAAGACTCAATCTAGCATTATGAAAAGTGAGGGAAGTCGTAAGCAAAGGTCCATTAGTCTGAGGCCAGACACATAGGCCCAGATGCGCGTGCAAACGGGTTTCGGACAGCAAAGGCCTTCATCAACGCACTAAAGACAACCAATCTAACTACAAATCCTTTGTACGGCCTCCCTCCTGTAGGCTGCCAGAGTCATCAAGCTTCCTTTGCGACTCCAGTGAAGCGGGACTTCTGTAGAGCGCCTTGCCAGCTTCTGTAGCTGAGTTGGTGACGAAGCTTCTAGCTATTCCCAACTCAACTGGAATCAGTAGCTGGCAAGGCGCTCTACAGAAGAGTCGCGAAGGAAGCTTGATGGCTCTCGGAACCTACAGTACGTAGGGGGTACAAAGGATTTGTAGTTAGATTGCTTGATAAGTGCGCTGATGAAGACCTTTCTTGGCCGAAACGCGTTCCACATGCATCTCGGCCTAAGTGTCTGGCTTTCTGAGTAATCGAACTTCATTTCCCTCGTTTTTCATAATAGTAGACTACGTCTTATAAATCAATTTACACTCTTAGCAGGCTTGCTGCGGTTCAAAACCAACCTTTCTTAGTGTCTCGGCCCAAGCGTCTCAGCAACTCGTTGCGTGTCATCCGCCCTGAGTTTCTCAAGCAACTCATGATCTTCGGTACTGGTTCAAGCTTTCATCACATCAACTCACTTTACCACATCGCACCTCCCTATGCGACTTCTTGCCACCAGCCATGGAGCTAAGTGGCTAAGTTGCAACTGGCAGAGTTTCGTCTCACACCGCATTGCACCTCTCTTCCCCCTTCCAGCCACGGCAGTATTCTCAGTGATGGACGTGCAGAGGGCGGGCGACCAGGCAGCACTGGCACCGGTGATGGGGCTCATTTTGGTGTATGCGCTGCAAATCACAGCCATGATGACCATGGTCCTGCGCCTGCTCTCCGTTGCTGGTAAAGCACTCACCTCATTCTGATGCCAATGTTGACAGAGGCACTTAGGGGGTTGCATGCATTGGGGCTGGTAATGTGCTCATTCTGTCGTACGCGCTGCAAATCACAGCCATGATGACCATGGTGCTGCGCTTGCTTTCTGTCGCTGGTAAGCTTTTGCTCCCTGTCGCTGGCAAGGCACTCACCTCATTCTGGTGTCAGTGATGCCATCAGCTCTGCCAATCAGTTCCCCCCCTCCTCCCCCGCTCCTCATCTACCCCCTTTTTCCCCGTGCAATATTCCTATTTCTCTTCTGAGAAACTCTTTCAATGGGGTGAAGAGGGTTAGCAGTTACTACGCCGCAACCCCCTCCACTATATTAGTTCCTCACTATTCCTATTCCTCCAGCCATCATTACCCTGGTTTAGAGGGTGACGAGGGTTGGCAGTTACGCTGCAGGCGCCCCCCAATCTCTGCCATTGTCGCTCCTCTCCCGCCTTACTCGCCTTTACTCCTTGTCTCCCACTCTCTCTCTTTTTTTTCTTCTTCTTCTTCTATTAGAAACCTCGTTCAACGCGGTGGAGAGGGTGGGCAGTTACGCCGACATCCCTCCCGAAGCGCCGGCCATCATTCCGAGCCACCGCCCGCCACCCGGGTGGCCGGAGCAGGGGGAGGTGTTATTTGAGGACGTGGTGATGCGGTACAGGCCGGACCTGACGCCCGTGCTCAGGGGGCTCAGTGCGCTGGTGCAGGGAGGGGAGAAGGTCGGCGTGGTGGGCAGGACTGGCGCAGGTGAGAGGTTTCGCCTATGCGTGCAGTCGCTTGCTGCTTCTCTCTCCTCCCTGCCTGCACCTTGTTTGTTTCATATGACTGCGCTGGTGGGTATGGGGAAAGAGAAGGTTGGCGTGGTGAGGGAAGGAGGGGGAAGCACTCGGAGGAGGTGTTATTTGAGGACGTGGTGATGCGGTACAGGCCGGACCTGCCGCCCGTGCTGAGAGGGCTCAGTGCCCTGGTGCACGGAGGGGAGAAGGTCGACGTGGTGGGGCGCACTGGCGCAGGTGAGGGTGTGCCTGTTCTTATGTGGCAGCCCGTCTCATGCTGAGGGGGCTCAGGGGGCTCATTGCCTTGGTCCGGGGTGGGGAGAAGGTCGACGTGGTGGGGCGCACTGGCGCAGGTGAGGGTCTGTCTGTCTGGCTCAGGGCTACTGTTTTGTCATGCTGTGCTGAGGGGGCTCTCTGCGCCACTGTTGTGTCTGTACTGTTGTGTGGGAGGAAGAGGAGGTCAGCATGGTGGTCCAATCCAACCGCAATCAATCCAACCTCCATGGGATGACTTGCCTTGCCATGCCTTATTCACCCTTTTCGTGTTCTTGTCACTGCACTGCAGGCAAGTCGTATTCCACTCCACGCCACCTCCCTCATACCCCATGCGACCCACCTTCTCTTTCCCTTGTCACTGCTGCAGGCAAGTCGTCGCTGTTCAACTCGCTCTTCCGATTGGCCGAGATCGAGAGCGGGCGCATCTGCATCGACGGTCAGGATCTGAAGCTGTTTGGAGTGACAGACGTGCGCCGTGCGCTCATGATCATCCCCCAGACGCCCGTGCTCTTCACTGGTGAGAAAGACGTAGGGGAGCATTTAGGTTAGGGGGTTCCCGACATGGCCCATGGGGTCTCTGCGGGGTGACGGACATGCGCCGTGCACTCATGATCATTCCTCAGACGCCCATTGCTCCCTCCTTGTTCTCAATTGCGTCTCTCCGCCTCCATGTCCCCCTCCTTCCCCCCCCCAGGCACGCTGCGGTTCAACCTGGATCCGTTCAGCGAGCGCAGCGACAGCGAGGTGTGGGAGGCGCTGGGGAGGGCGCACCTGAGGGAGGTGGTATCCCGCATGCCGCTGGGGCTGGACACAGAGGTGAGTGGAAGGGAAAGGAAGGTAGTTGTTTTTCGAGAGCGCTAGTTGTTTTTTAAGAGCGCTAGTTGTTTTTATAGAGCGCTAGTTGTCTTTATAGAGCGCTAGTTGTTTTTATAGAGCGCTAGGATCGAAGGAGGTGGTATCCCGCATGCCGCTGGGGCTGGACACAGAGGTGAGTAAACGGGAAGGGCGGATGGCGCTGAAGAGGGAAATGGAAGTGTCATCGAGGTGTTACATGGGGAGGCGGTATATGAAGTGGAATCTTGCGTCCTACTGTATTTCTTCACATGCTTGCCGTCTCCCCTCCTCTCTCCTCCCCCTCTCTCCTCTCTCCTCCTCCTCTCTCCTCTCTCCTCTCTCTTCCCCCTCTCTCCTCTCTCCTCCTCCTCTCTTATACCTCGTCTCTCCTCTTCCCCACTTGCTCTTCAGACAGACACGGATTTTCCCCTTCAACTTTTTCTTTTCCCACAGGTGGCGGAGGGGGGGGAGAACTTCAGCGTGGGGCAGCGGCAGCTGATCAGCCTGGCGCGGGCGCTGCTGAAGGAGTCGCGCATTCTGGTGCTGGATGAAGCGACGGCAGCCGTTGATGTGGGCACGGATGCACTGATCCAACGGACGGTGCGCGAGGAGTTCAAGGGGCGCACCATGCTCACCATCGCCCACCGGCTCAACACCATCATGGATAGCGACCGGATCCTCGTCATGGACGCTGGCATGGTGAGATGAGAGGGATGAGGTGTAGACCGGAGCTAGTGTTTGCACTACCCTTCACTGCCGTAACTCAACACCATCATAAATAGCGACCGGATCCTCGTCATGGACGCTGGCATGGTGAGATGAGAGGGATGAGGTGTAGACCGGAGCTAGTGTTTGCACTACCCTTCACTGTCGTAACTCAACACCATCATGGACAGCGACCGAATCCTCGTCACAGATGAAGGCATGGTGAGATGAGAGGGATGAGGTGTAGACCGGAGCTAGTGTTTGCACTACCCTTCACTGCCGTAACTCAACACCATCATGGATAGCGACCGGATCCTCGTCATGGATGCTGGCATGGTGAGATGAGAGGGATGAGGTGTAGACCGGAGCTAGTGTTTGCACTACCCTTCACTGCCGTAACTCAACACCATCATGGATAGCGACCGGATCCTCGTCATGGATGCAGGCATGGTGAGATGAGAGGGATGTGGTGTAGACCGGAGCTAGTGTTTGCACTACCCTTCACTGCCGTAACTCAACACCATCATGGATAGCGACCGGATCCTCGTCATGGATGCAGGCATGGTGAGATGAGAGGGATGAGGTGTAGACCGGAGCTAGTGTTTGCACTACCCTTCACTGCCGTAACTCAACACCATCATGGATAGCGACCGGATCCTCGTCATGGATGCTGGCATGGTGAGATGAGAGGGATGAGGTGTAGACCGGAGCTAGTGTTTGCACTACCCTTCACTGCCGTAACTCAACACCATCATGGATAGCGACCGGATCCTCGTCATGAATGCAGGCATGGTGAGATGAGAGGGATGAGGTGTAGACCGGAGCTAGTGTTTGCACTACCCTTCACTGCTGTAACTCAACACCATCATGGATAGCGACCGGATCCTCGTCATGGATGCAGGCATGGTGAGATGAGAGGGATGAGGTGTAGACCGGAGCTAGTGTTTGCACTACCCTTCACTGCCGTAACTCAACACCATCATGGATAGCGACCGGATCCTCGTCATGGATGCTGGCATGGTGAGTGGGTGGGGTGAGCAGTAAGCAAGCAAGGGTGACATATGTGTGCACCCCAACACTCACCGGCTCAACACCATCATGGACAGCGACCGAATCCTCGTCATGGATGCAGGCATGGTGAGATGAGAGGGATGAGGTGTAGACCGGAGCTAGTGTTTGCACTACCCTTCACTGCCGTAACTCAATACCATCATGGATAACGACCGGATCCTCGTCATGGATGCTGGCATGGTGAGCTGATTTGATTGGATCTGAGACAATAAGGTGTCAGAATCCCAGCCACTAACCACTGGGATAAACAGCCTATTTGTGTAGCGGGTGAGTGCGCCTATAACCCCCCAGGCCGACGTGCCTGTAACCCTTCCCTAGGATCAATCGGCGACCTCCAGTGGACCTCTGACACCCCATGCACCGGGATTCGAACCCGCGACCTTCGCTCTGATACCATGTCAAAATCCCAGCCACTAAATATAGGGATAAAAGAGCTTTTGCGGTTGTGTAGCGGGTAAGTGCGCTCATAACCCCCCCGGTCGACGTGCCTCTAACCCCTCTCTAGGATCAATCACGGATCTCCAGTGGACCTCTGACATGAAGTGAGGTCTACACTTAGTATCTGCACGATTGTTTGAGACCACCAAGTACCTGCTCTTCCTCCTCCACCCTCTCCACCTCTCCCCCCCCCCTCTTGACTCTTCCCCACTTCCTTCCAGACACTTGAATACGACACTCCCGCCAACCTCGTGTTGGCAAGGGGCCTCAGTCCGCCAAGTACTCACACTCTTCTCCTCTTCTTCATCCCAACCAGGCACTTGAGTACGACACGCCAGCCAACCTGGTGATGAACGAAGGGAGCGTTTTTGCAGCCATGGTGCGCAGCACGGGCCCTCAGACCGCCAAGTATCTGCTCTCGTTCCTCTCCCCTCTCCCTCTGCTCATTCATTCCCTCCCTTCCAGGCCCTGGAATACGACACGCCAGCCAATCTTGTACTCAATGAAGGGAGCGTCTTCGCAGCGATGGTGCGCAGCACGGGGCCGCAGACCGCCAAGTATCTGCGCAGTGTGGCGCTGGGGGAGGTGGCGCTAGCAGACGAGCTTGCCGGCCGGGCGGCGGCGCAGGAGAAGCAGATGGCGCGCGAGGCGGCCAAGTGGCGGTGGGCCACTGCCGCGCAGTGGGCCCTCGCTCTCACGCTCACTTCGTCCCAGCGAGACTTGCAGGTACATATATGCTACTCAGGTTGCAGGTCCTTCCGCGGCCAAGTGGTGCTGGGCCACTGCCGCGCAGTGGGCCCTCGCTCTCACGCTCACTTCGTCCCAGCGAGACTTGCAGGTACATATATGCTACTCAGGTTGCAGGTCCTTCCGCGGCCAAGTGGCGCTGGGCCACTGCCGCGCAGTGGGCCCTCGCCCTCACGCTCACCTCCTCCCAGAGGGACCTGCAGGTACACACTTCGGAGATGCATGTTTGCAGTTTGCAAGGACGTTACGGGGGGTGCATGCTTTTGAGTCGACTCAAAAGCAGGTTCCAGGTACTTGCTATGATACGGGGGAGCATGCCTCTCAGTGGCCAAGTGGCGGTGGGCCACTGCCACCCAGTGGGCTCTCGCTCTCACGCTCACTGCGTCTCAGAGGGATTTGCTGGAGTGTGTGCCTCCCACATGCACTGTAGCGCTGGGTCACTGCCGCCCAGTGGGCTCTCGCTCTCACGCTCACATCACCCCAACGGGATTTGCAGGTGGGTGCCTTGATCTGGGTGCTACAGACACAGGTAGGTGTGTTTCTGCAGGGTCTGTGCAGTGCATGTGCGAGCAGCAAGCCTCTCAGCTGTAGCACGCGCAGGTGCAGGCGTCCACCTGTGCTGCAGTGGGCTCTGGCTCTCGCGCTCGCGTTCTCGCAGCATGCTTCGTAGGGAAAAATGCCAACTGGACAGCGGAAAGGGGCTCTGGCTCTGGCTCTGGCTCTGGCTCTGGCTCTGGCTCTGGCTCTGGCTCTGGCTCTGGCTCTGGCTCTGGCTCTGGCTCTGGCTCTGGCTCTGGCTCTGGCTCTGGCTCTGGCTCTGCACATGGGTGCCTCCCACGTCACGTGCACTATGACGCTGACCAGCTGCAGCACGTGGGAGCGTCATAGTGAGAGAGGGACGCACTGTGCCCGTGCTCTGCAGTGGGCCCACTGCTCTGAGAGAGAGCGACGCACTGATTCACTGAGAGAGGGACGCACTGATTCTTGAGGCTCCTAAAAACTATTATATCTATGATAAACCTGGCCCCCCTTGCGATTGCGTGCAGGCCATGTGTAATGACAGCGAGGGGGAGGAGGGAGAGAGCGATGCACTTGTGGCCGTCACACAACCGCCAACCTTCCAGGTAAAGCACAACGCACCTGGCTGGCTCGCCACAAGTGAGTTTTGACGCGTCTCAACACTTCCAGGTAAAGCTGCCAGCAAGGTAGGTATCCTATCCACCATGCAGGACATTTTTCACACGTACTCCTTTTGCTGCGCTGCTCCCCCGTGCCTCATACCCCTCCATGTTCCCCTGTTTCCATGGGCCTCTCACATATGGCAAGTAAATGCTCTCATATCTCCTTCAGTCAGAAAATACCCCTCAAACATTTTATTTCTCCATTTCCTCCTCCTTACGTCTCTCGTCTCTCGTCCCTCCCCCATTTCTATCTCGCCACTGCAGAGAGGCGTGCTGGAAGAGACAAGGGATGCCGCCCAGGTGCTGCAGGCGGTGCTGTCGGGGCAGCGCAGCGAGGAGATCTCGTCAGCGCTGACGAGGCGACAGCTGTCGGAAGACAAGTGGTGGACGGCTGTCAGCCGCGTGGTGCAGGGTGAGTGAATGCAGTGGGGTGTGGAGGGGGGTGGGGGGGGGGGTGGGAGTGGGCGTGGATGAGTGGGTGAGTTTGAGTGGGTGAGTGGCTGAGAGGATAAGCTTCTATCATGCATTGAGTGGAAGATTAGTGGACGATTGTCAGCCACATGGTGCAGGGTGAGTTGGGTGTGGGTGTGGGTGTGGGTGTGGGTGTGTGTAGAAAAAAGGGAGCGGGGCAGGGGAGGGTGCGAGTGTGTGTGTGGGTGCGGGTGTTGGTGTGGGTGTGGGTGTGATTGTGGGTAGAGTGTAGGAATGTGAAATTGTTGCGAAGCAGGTGCAGGCGAAGCTCGAGGCAGACGGCAGTCTGTGTGACTGCCAGCCAGCAGCTATCGCCACTGATACACTGTACCATGTATTATAGCGTCTCAAATATGTGCTCCCATCCATTGCATGCTGTGCTGCTTCCATGTCTCTTGTATGCCAGGCCTGGCCCTCATGGCGAAGCAGGTGCAGGCGAAGCTCGAGGCGGACGGCAGTCTGAGAGACTCCGCCAGCTCAGCAGGGGCTGCGGCGGGCGGCAGGTGGGCACAGCTGGCGGCAACGGGGGAGGAGATGGCGGGCGGCAGAGTGGTGTGACGCACTACAAATACTAGCTGCACGGTCTGGAGGTTGCAAATCGCATGCTGTGCAGTCAGCATTTGTAGCTTTGCCTACTCAACTAGGCCTGGTGACAGGCAGGTGGGCAAGGGCTCGCAACAATGGGACGGGGGTGAAGGGGGGGGGGGGGAAGAGGGGGGGGGGAGATGGCAGGCTGCAGAGCGGTGTGACTGTGAGGGAGTGCTGCACTGTGCATGGGGAAGAATTTACAGGCCACCACGGATGGCGCTTGTCGCGCAGATGTCAGTTTATTATACATTCTTTTTTTTTAGATCAGCGACACGAGCTTTTGAAAACCAGCTCTATGTTACAGCTCGATTAAAACACTGACAAATCCATCCATCTCCGACTCAAAACCAACATAGATAAACTTAAACCGAATGAACTACCATATAATATTTCTTCCTCGTGCTGTCCTGTATTGACTGTCGGGTTCGTCTCATGCAGCTGCTGCGGCATTGAGCAGAGCATTGTTGGCATCCTGGCCCAGTGCCCAGAAGAACCACCCTCCATAGCCTTGCGCCTTGGCAAACTGGACCTTGGTGGTGATGGTGGAAGGGTTGTCGTAACCAACCCACTGGTTACCCTTCACCGCATACATAGATGAGGACGGGGCGTGGAGTGTAGCTGTGTAACCTCCAGTGGTTACCAGCTGATTGATTTCCCTGTAAAATAGGACACCAGCTTCCTGTTCGTGGGGTGGAGGGGGAATATGCAGGCCAAGGGAGAGAATGGTGAGAGGTTGGTTGGGGTACTTGGTTAGACTCGGGAAAAAAAGAGGAATGAATTACATTCTGAAAGTGCGAGAGGAAGAAAAGAAAAACACACACAAAAGGCTGTTATCATGTGAGAGGGAATAGAAACATATATCAGAGAGAAGAAACAGGAAAGGGAAGAGCTAACCTGACTGATAGACCCAGCCTGACCAGCCCCAGTGGCCGGAGCTCCAACCCCAAAGCTGCTTGCCGAAGCAAGAGTCCAGGTTCGGCCGTACATCGCCAAGCCTAGCATGGCCTTGCTTCGGGCCAAGCCTCGGGACACCCAGGCAGCCATGGCACCCTTGAGGCTCAGCTGCGGGTTGCTCAGATCCTCCAGAGCAGTGTGCATGCCAGTCCTCAACTCCCACGACCCATGCAGATCGTAAGTCATAACATTTACCAAGTCCAACGCTTTGTTAAGTGTCGGGACGTCATAGGATTGAGAAATTGTCGGCTCATAGGCAGAAACCGCTGCAGAAAGAAGGAGCTTGGATTTTCGGGAGGCGGCTGCTTCGGATTCGATGGCCGCCCGGAAATCCGTGAGCAGGGCGGAGAAGAGGGCGGCGTTGCCTGTTGGGTACTCCCAGTCGATATCCAGACCGTCGAAATTGTACGAGCGGGCGAGGGAGATTGCGGACTGAATAAAAGCAGAGCGGGAGGAGGGGGAGGAAGCAGCGTTGACGAAAGCGGTGGTGCCGGCGTTATATCCGCCGATGGAGAGGAGGGTTTTGATGGCGGGGTTGGCGGCCTTTAGAGCGGAGTTGAAGCGCAGGTAGAGACCCTGGGTGACGTCCACTGCTGGGTTGGAGGGGACGACCTGTTGAGGGGAGACCATAGGAAATGTGAAAAAAAGTCACGGGTCATCTGGAGCAGATGGTATATTTGAGCACGGCATACTCACTCACACCTCCTTTACCTGTGTGGTGCCATACCTTGTACGTGGTGGCGTCGATGGAAGCAAAGGCGTAGAAGACATGCGTGAGCTTGGCAGCGGGCACGGCCGAAGGGTCCATGCCCACCCAGTTGACAAAATACGCCATGCGCTTCAGCCCAGTAGAGGGGGGCGGCGGAGAAGGGGAGGTGGACGGGGGAGGAGGGGAGGGGGAAGGAGATTTCTGGGGAGGCGGAGGCGGAGAGGAGGCGGAACCGGAGCACTGGGACTGGCAGCCATCGCCGCAGTGGGAGGGGGTGGAGCCACACCAACCCCACTTGCTGCAGCAGAATCCGTTCGAGCAGATGCTGTTACCGTTCGCTGCCCCGCACTGCGAGTTAGAGGACACGGGCGGAGAGGAACCGGCGGACTCAGGGGGGGGCGGGGAGGAGGGATTGCCCGCGCATGGGCCGGATAGGCAGCCAGCGCCGCAGTAATCGACGGTGGAGCCGCACCAGCCCCACTTGCTGCAGCAGAGGTTGTTGGCGCACCGAGCCGTGGCGGAGCATTGCTGCGCGCGCGCGCGGAGGGGGAGGTGCGCCGACGAGAGCAGCAGCAGAGCGACAAGGAGGAGGGGAAGGCGCGGAGACCGCGGCGACAGCGGTATGATCGCCATGCTCTGTGAGATTGAGCCGACTCGCCAAAAAAGGGCCTTTGAGAATTCTCACAAACCAGCTGATTTTGAGAGAAATGCTCGGTGTGGGGAGAGAGGCGCCGTTGAGAACCACGAGTGGCTAGTACAGGACGATGTCGAAAAATCGGTGCTATTGGGTGAATATCGGCGTGGAGAGGTGATACTGCTTCTGGGGTGGTTGAGTTAGAATGGGGAGGCTGGTTCGAGTGGTGGCTTTTGGTGCAAAGTGGTGGCGCAAGGCTGCGTTATATGCACTCTGATGGATAGAGCGAGTGGAGTGGTGTGCAGAGAGGAACGACTTGTTTCTCCCTGACGGAATCGCGACTCGGGTGGACTTCGTTCCTAGGACCACGATCGCGACTCGTCGCATTCGGAGTGTCCACATCGCTTCGACTTCGGAATGCGGCTGCGGTACGTCGGCTACAGCGGCTGCAAGACCGACGCGCTGCGTGCTTGTGAAAAAGGTTGATATTACTACACACGTGCCGCGGACGATAGAGTTCCATCGTGGAAACACCCATGATCCGTGCGGACGTCGCGACTCGGAACGCGACGGTTATGTTTGAAACAATTTGCTGAAAGGAAGAACACCGACCGACGTCAAGAACATCGACCTTTCTCGCACAGACGTTCTGGTCTGGACAACTATCACTCGAACTGAAGTCTGGAATTTCTAGCAAGTCCGACCGTTTGAATGGCAAAACCACATACGCACACAGCACAGCCCATATGGCCTGCCGTGAAAGGCACGGGATTTGGGTTGGGGGGGGAAGAGAGGACGGGGAGAGAGGGCTTCGTAACCCAACCCAACCCAACCCAAACCCAAACCCAAACCAGCCCAACCCAAACCAACCCAGCCGACCAACCCAACCCAAACCAACTTGCTCTTCGTATCAAAAGCGAGTCGCGGAGAAACTTTGTTCGGCTTGTGTTCAGAATATCGGTTGAGAACGATCCCAGAGGAAATCTAAACGGTCCAAGTAGTTTGCGTTTAAAATTGTTCACTTCTCGGTTGAGAATAAGTCCATGAAAACATCAAGGGTTGTTAGCATTTGAGAAAATGATAATAGAAGCACTCATTCTAGTTTGAACCAGATAGAGCCTGTACAAATCCATCACCTTCCTATCAATGTCTACGCATCAAGCGGATGTAGAAATAATTCTTTCCTGATACAGTTGACTGAAGGTGCATCTCATGCAGCTACTGCAGCATTGAGCAGAGAATTGTTAGCATCCTGGCCCAGTGCCCAGAAGAACCACCCTCCATAGCCTTGCTCCTTGGCAAATTGGACCTTGGTGGTGATGGTGGAAAGGTCGTCGTAACTAACCCACTGGTCACCCTTTACCGCATACACGGAGGATGTTGGGGCATCTAGAGTAGCTGTGTAACCTCCAGTGGTTACCAGCTGATCGATTTCCTTGTAGAATAGGATACCACGTTCCTGTTGGAGGGGTGGAGAGGGAATATGCAGGCCACAGAAGAGGGTGATGAGAGCCTGCTTGGAGCTGATTGCTTGCATTGCATCTTTTAGAAACAGGAATGAATAGTACCCTGCAATTGTGAGAGCAAGGAGGAGAGTAAGAAAGAAACGTAGGGGAAACACAAAATGGTTCGTAATTATGCGAGCAAGGGAGGGAAGCACGATGCAGAGGAGAAATGGAAAAAGGGGACTAACCTGACTGATAGACCCTGCCTGACCAGGCCCAGTGGCGTCAGCACCAACCCCAGTGCTGCTTGCCGAAGCAAGAGTCCAGGTTCGGCCGTACATCGCCAAGCCTAGCATGGCCTTGCTTGGGGCCAAGCCTCGGGACACCCAGGCAGCCATGGCACCCTTGATGCTCCGCTCGGGATTGCTCAGGTCCTCCAGAGCAGTGTGCATGCCGGTCCTCAACTCCCACGACCCATGCAGATCGTAAGTCTTAAAATTAACAAAATCCAGTGTGTTGTTAAGCGTCGGGACGTCATAGGATAGAGTTTCAGTCAGCCCGTATGCAGACATTGCCGCAGAAAGTAGAAGGTTCGATTTCCCAGAGGCGGCAGCTTCGGATTCGATCGCCGCCCGGAAATCCGTGAGCAGGGCGGAGACCAGGGAGGCGTTGCCTGTTGGGTACTTCCAGTCAATATCCAGACCGTCGAAATTGTACTTGCGGGCGAGGGCGATCGCGGATTGGATGAAAGTAGAGCGGGAGGACGGTGAGGAGGCGGCGTTGTCGAAAACGGTGGTGCCTGCGAAATAGCCGCTGATGGAGAGAAGGGTTTTGATGGCTGGGTTGGCGGCCTTCAGGGCGGAGTTGAAGCGCAGATAGAGGCCCTGAGTCACATCAATGGCTGGGTTGGAAGGGACAACCTGTGTGGGGGGGGGGAAGAAACATGGGAGGGCATCAAGGTGATGGAATATGAGAGGGGGAAACGAAACAGGGCATTTGAAAGGCAAGAGGAACTTCACGTGGGGAATGAGGCAGCCGAGACTGCTAGCTCGAAAAACATGTAATTTACCTTGAAGCGGAAGGATAATCTGACAAGCATGAGACGACTGGGAATGGAAGAAAATATATGAATAACTACCTGCTCCAGATGGCACGGAGAGGAGAGGATGACAAGACAATACCATACCTTGTCTGTGGTGGGGTCGATGGAAGCAAAGGAGTAGAAGACATGTGTGAGGTTGGCAGCAGGGATGAGGGATGGGTCCATGCCCACCGTGTTGACAAAGTATGCCATGCGCAGCAGCCCATTAGAGGGGGGAGGGGAGCCGGTTGGGGGGGGAGCGGAGCCCGTTGGGGACGGAGGTGAGGCGGACGGGGGCGGTGGAGAAGCGGAAGGCGGAGAAGGGGAGGGGGAAGGGGTTGTGGTGGGAGGCGGAGGAGGGGAGGGGGAAGGGGATGTGGTGGGAGGCGGAGGAGGGGAGGGGGAAGGGGATGTGGTGGGAGGCGGAGTGGGCGAAGAGGCGGAACCGGAGCACTGGGACTGGCAGCCATCGCCGCAGTAGTCAAGGGTGGAGCCACACCAGCCGTCGATGCTGCAGCAGAGGCCGTTCGGGCAGATGCTGTTGCCGTAAGCTGCCCCGCACTGCCCGTTAGTGGACACGGGCGGAGGGGAATCAGGCACGGGCGGAGGCGAACCGGACGGAGGCAGAAGTGGGGGGGGGCTGGGCGCGGGAGCTGGGGAGCTGCTCTGCGGGGGAGGGGGAGAGGCGGAGGTGCTTTCCGCGCGGAGGGGGAGGTGCGCCGACAAGAGCAGCAGCAGCGCGAGCAGGAGGAGGAGGAGCGGAGACCGCGGCAGCGACGGTGGTATAATCGCCATGATCGGCCGAGTTGAGTCGATTTGCAAGGCTGCTGATGATCAGGGAGAGGGGAGTGACCCTGGGCGACGGCTTATGAGGCGCAGAACGGATGGATGAGATTCGCCTCTGAGAATCACGAGTGGCTAGAACAGAATGGCGTAGGAAAATCGGTCCTGGTCGGTGAAGATCGGCGGGGAGAGAGGTGAGGTTGCTGCTGGGATGGTTGAGTTGAAATGCGGAGGCTGAGAAATGGTTAAGTTGAAATGGTTCGAGCGATGGCGTCTGGTGAGAAGTGACGGGGCAAGAATCTGCAATATAGTATGACAGGGACGGGTGAAGCGGACTCGCCGTGAGTGGCGGTTTCATCGTAGGAACACCCATGGCGTCGCGACTCGAATCGTGGCGGGCACGTAACAATAATCGTTGCTAAGGAAGAACGCTTCCGTCACGGACGCGCGGCCGCTCTTGCTCAGGCCGACGCCTGAGCTGGACTATTATCACTTGGACTGGACTCAGGACATGCGAGCTACAACAGGCGTCTGACACGAGAATAATTGTGGGCTGCGTTCTGCGGCCGCATCGGAGCCTGATGCGCCCTAGGCTCGGCAAATTGACAAATTGAAAAATTGAGGCTCGGTAATGTCCAAATTGAAATTGGAAAATGGAGGTTCGGAAAATGGACACGCAGGTTCGGGAAATCGGAAATTCGAAAACGCAAATTTCGACATTCCCAATTTCGAATTTCGGGCATGTCAATTTTCGATCTCAAATTTCCGAGGTATTCCAGGGTGCTGAAGGTTCTTTGAAGCAGGGAAGCACGCACCTGACACCTTCCCCACACCCCTAATTTCGAATTTCAACTGCCCAATTCGATTTGATGCGCGCATCATGCGCGTTCCCTGCGTTGCATCATGCGCGCATCAAAGATGCTAGGACGATGAATTTCTCGGAAAGCGGCGACATGAAAAATCGTGTTGCCAAAAAGACCGTTCTGCAGGCATTCGGGCTTGGTTTGCCTCGGCAGCCAAGCGCTTATCGCGAGCCTTGATAACCTTTCAGCTGGTTATCAAGGAAGGCTCCTGAAACATCGGAAAAAAATTGCAATGTACATTGATGCGGGCTAATGCGGCCGCAGAACGCAGCCGTGGTTTGTCCACAACCCTGGGAGTATCAAACCACGCACGGCCTAGTGCCGTGCCTTGAAAGCCACGGGATGGGGTCAGTTGGCCTAGTCGAATTTCAGGGGAGGACAACATCGAAGGTGGACCTTGGGATCTCATTTTTGTTCAGTATGATCGGTTTAGAACGATACTGAGGCCTATACGAAAGTAATTTTTGGTTGTGTCTTTGCGGCTTGTTCGCTTTGGTGATATCGGTTGAGAATGTTTCTGAGGAAGTTTGAATAGTCATTCTGCTTTGCCAAGTAAACCCCCCTTTTTTACGGGTTAGTTTTAGTAGGTATAGAATGTACAAAGAGGATATGATTTAGTGCTTTTGAGCACAGGGGTGTTTAATATGCTGTTCTACAGACTTCCATCAGCGCAAATGGTTTGTTAGTGAACTGCTTATACTAGTCTCATCATGAGACTCTCATGAAAATTTCTCCCCCTGTAACTCAAGGTCTCGGTCACTCTCTCCTAAAGCCCTGATGCTGGTGATACCATAATGAAAGGACAGGGCGAAACGTGGGGGAAGGAGGGACAGAAGGGAACACAGGGAGCGGAAGGGAAAGTGTGGGGGCAGAAGGTAAGACATACGAGGCAGAGTGACATGTGGGGAGAGTGGATAGGACGGACGTAGGCAAAGAGAGACATGCGGAGTGGAGGAAAAGGAGAGAGGCACGTTGACACATGGGGAGAGGCAGGGGGACACATGGGGAGTGGCAGGGGGAGGTGGAGAGAGGTCGGGGGACACATGGAGAGCAGCAGGGAAAGATGGAGTGAGGAATGAACACGGGGGAAAAGTGGCTGGATGACAAAGGACCGGGGAGCAGGGCATGAGAGGGGCGGACCTTAACTGACAGGGCACATCACTGTGGGGAGCAGGGCACAGGAGGGGGCGGACCTTTGAGGCACTTCCATGGAGTCAAGGGCAGGAGAGGCTACTCGACTCGACAAAGGACTCTGGGGAGTTTATTTTTGAGAATTCTCAGATGTAAACTCAACAAAGCGGGAGAGATTACCCAACAAAGGAGTGTGGCATGATAGAAGTTGAGTGTTGAGACGTCTCGACACTCAACTTGTATCATGAGAGGGAGCGGATGTACCGCCAAGGAGTCAAGAGCAGGAGAGTTTACCCGACAAAGGACTGTGGGGAGGGGGGTCGAAGCAGGGCGTAGGCGAGGGCAGAGGGCACCCCCCAGACGAATGCATTGAGGATGAGAACGAGGAGAGGCGTGAGCGGGCCGAGAGACAGACCAGCGATGGACCCTGGCTGTTTGCACGGGTGGGGAGTGGAAAGACAGAAGGAGAGGAAAGACGGAATAAGGAGTGAGGGTGTAGGCAAGGGCGGAGGGCACGCCCCAGACCAATCCATTGATGAGGAGAACAAGGAGAGGCGTGAGTGGGCCAAGAGATAGACCGGTGAGGGAGCCTGGCCGCGCATGGTTGGGAATGGAACATGGGTGCTCAGAAGAAATCTGAGGAGTTGAGCCGACCCAAAAGTGAACCATGCTGCACGTATGGCGCTAGGGAATAAAGAGGAATCTCAGCAGGAAAATAAAAGCTGAATACCGTTTCATTCAACAGGAACAAGAAAAGCTTTAGAAGCGCATCAAGAGCCGTCTTGCGATTCTTACCGTTTCTTTGAGTGGGAACACAAGGAATAGTTGCACCAGGCCTGGACCCAACGCCCCTGCAGTTGCAGCAAACACGGAATAAATATATGGAAGAAGCGAGGGAGGAAGTGGGAGGTCGAGGAAGAATGAGAAAAAGGGAGTGACGAGGAGGAATAAATATAAACGGGAGAGGGAGGAATTGCCATAAAGGAAGGGACATGTGCATGCTTGGAGAAGGCACGCAAAAAGAAAAAAGGCAGAGGAATTATTCCTCAGAAATCTCAAAGTGCCTCAGACGCTTTGGGAAGATGCTGGGTTCCAAGAGGCTGGGTTCCAAAAGGGTGCGTTCTGAGTCGATTAAAAACTCATCTCATCGCAAGAGGAACTACTTTCTGGATTCCATTAGTCTTTCAGATGCTTGGAAGAGACTGAGGACTAGAGCATGCATGTTGGCGTACCAAGGAGAGCTCCTTTGGCGAGCGTGCTTGTATTGAAGGGAATGAGCAGGATGAAACCCCTGCAGCAATGGGAGCGTGGGCCCAGGGCAGACCCACCAGAAGCAAAAGGGGATGTGAGAGAAGAATAACAAGCGAACAAAGAGAATCGTGTACGCCTCCTGCGTCTTTGGTACAAACGATATTCAAGCAACGGATGAGAGGGACACGGACAGAACGAGCATACACAGGAGGAGGGAAGCGATAGAGCTCACTGCGTTCGTGTGAGAAAACAGAGAGGGGAAGTGAGAGCGCACGGGATTTGGAAAGGGAGAGAAGAGAAGGAGAGTGAAAAGAGAGAGCGAGGGCGGAGGGGACGACAGTCCAGCGATGGAGGAGGGGGGTGATGGGTCGAATGGATGGAAACAGTGACGGCGAGAGAGAGTGGAGGGGAAAGGAGAGGGGGCGAGCGGAGGAGGGGGCTAATCACTAAACGCACCAGATGCCTCCCCTCACGACTTTCTGGCACACCAACGGCGGCGAATAGCTGTGCGTGACTTTTCAGGTGACTCAAATCTAAGGAACGGACGACGAGAGGACACTTGACGCACCAGATGCCACCCCACACGACTTTCTGATACACGAATGGCGGCGTTAACTGCGGGTGAATCGCGATGCCTAGAATGTCCATGAGTCCCGCCGCCGCAAGCAGCGGCACGGCTAGCCCGATGCACAGCCCGCCGATCGCGCCGGACGAAAATGCAACCGCGACGCGAGAAAGACCGGCGCGAGTTTTCTCGGAGATTTGTAAAGCCATGGCGGAACGCGAGGAGCGAAAAATCCGCGGGTAGGAAATAGCTAGCTGTTATTGGTTAGGGTTAACATCCTAGGTTTGACGCGCTCAGCCTAGAGGCTATGAGAAATCGACGCTCAATGTACACGCGGCTCATGCTTTCCATAAGCGACATAATGAAAGGAGGTGGTCAAATCGGCGAAACGAGGTCCTGTATCTACCTGAAGCGCGCTGGTGTTGCGATTGAATTGAGCAGTGAACAGGCAAGACGTAAGAAATTCGGTATTTTTCGCGAATCATAGACGAAGTAATTTTCGTGAGAACAAGCCCACATTGCACTTCATTGCATCACTCTGCTCTCTATATAACGAAAGTTCGACCCTGTCTTCGTCCTTCGGGACATCCGTTAAAATTGGAACGATACAGAGAAGATTAGCATGGCCCCTGCGCAAGGATGACACGCACAAATCGAGAAATGGTCCAAATTTTTTTGGCGATCTGACGGAGAACTTGGACCAATCGGAGCTCGCCAGTGTTCTTGATTGTCATTCCGGTAAGCTTTTTGTTATCGATCGCGCTCTTTTGGGCTGATCACCGCGACAGCGTGTCGGTGGTAGCCAGACGTAGACGTAGACGTAGCCACATAGTTTGTCGTAGTGGTGGCTTTTGCTCCGTGAACAGCGCATCTGCGGTTCTCTAGCAATGAGGCGCAAATACGCATCGAAAGGCGTTCACTCGTGCACAGATAGCACTTCTAATTCTCAGCAGATCCTAAACCATTGATAGTATTTGTACCCGCGCGGCGCGTCATACCACTGCTCCGCCTGGTGTGTGCGGAAGCAGCGACGCCACGACCCACACTTTGCGGCGATGACGGCGTGAGCTCGCCGCGCGGGCGTTGCGTGAGCCCTGATACGTTGCAAACGAGATTCCACACGTTTCCGAGAGGACCTCTGAGTCAAGAGGTGAACTGGCCGCGGGGTCTTTGGGTGAGCTCGCCGCCCGGCCGCTTCTCGATGGGTTGCTTTCGGCCTTCGCGCGGCGCGATCGAGTCGTTCCACGAACTTTCGATCGCGACCTTCTTGCCACGTGGCATTCGAGCTCTCCTCCTCACGATCGCCATCGTCTTAATCGTCACAGCCCCGACCGCGCTAAGCGAAAGCGGAAGCGAAAGCGGCAGCAGAGACAGCGGCGCGCGCAGCGACGTAGATGTTTCTCAAAGCAGCAGAGACAGCAGCGCGCGCAGCGACGTAGATGTTTCTCAAAGCAGCAGAGACAGCAGCGCGCGCAGCGACGTAGATGTTTCTCAAAGCAGCAGAGACAGCAGCGCGCGTCTCGGGGAACGTGGATCCGAGCACGTTAGATTAGAAGATGCTGGTGATGATGATGCTGATAATGTGGATGGTGGCATTGAAGATGGGTTATTTGAGGATGGAATGGAGCATGTACCCGAGGACGAGGGAGAGTTTGACGAGCACGATAGCGAGTCTCCTTTTGACGAGGACGTTGATTTGGAGGGCTGGGATGACGTGGAAGACGGCGAGTCTGACGTTGATGATGACGTGGTTGGCGCTGACGTGGATGAGGGCACAGATTACACAGAAGGTTGGGGTGATTCTGCCAGTGAGGATGACAATGAAGACGGGGATGAGGATGAGAATGAGAATGAGGGAGATTACGCAAATGAGGATGAGGATGAGGATGGGGATGAGGATGAGGACGGCCATGGGGAGGAGGAAGGCTTTGAAGATGGCGATGGGGAGTTCAGTACAGAGGACGATGGTGATCATGATAATGATTACGATATCGAATCAGAACTTGGTTCGGGATCTGATTGGGATTCGATACCGGATATAGATACGGATTTCGATCTGGCCGGCATTTTTGCGTATGAGAAGGAAGGTTCCGCGATGGTGCCGCTGCCAGAGAGGGAGGCGCGATTGGTGGAGGATTTGCTGACGTGGATGGAGAAGCACGGGGGCCAATCGGTGGAAGGGGGTGTAAGATCTAAGATCCAGGTGAGGCGCTGTCAATGCTCTTAGCAACAAACCGGCCTTTTCACTTTTCAATTGCTCTTCTTCTCCTGTATTTTCATTCAATGTTATATTCCTTCCTCACCCTCCATTCCCCCACAAACCTCTCCTTTTTCCCCATTTCCCCTTCCCCTTCCCCCCTCCCCCTCCCCCTCCCCCTCCCCCCTCCCCCATTCCCCGGACTTCTCCCCCAGGTCCTAGCCATTTCCTCCCCCGCCTTCTACTCCTGCGCGCCCCCCTCCCCCCCGCTCCCCCCGCGCCTCCCCCTGGGCATCCTAGCTTCCGCCACCACCCCCGCTGGCTCCCCCCTCGCCTCCATCCCCTTCCCCCTCTGGCTCTCCCGACTGCACGGGGGGTGGGATTTCGCCCACAACCGCCCCGCCCCTCCCCCTCCCCCTCCTTACAAGAACGCTGGCGACGATGTGACTGTAGCCGCGTGGCTATTAAGAGAGTGGAGGAAGGGTAAGGAGTCTTTTTACTCCCCATGGATTAATCTCCTCCCGGGGTATGTGCCGCTGCCGATATTCTGGGATGAGGCGACACTGGGGGAGTTGGATTGTGGGGATGCTATAGAGAGAATAGAGGAGGCGATTAGGTATGTTGAGGAGGCGTTTTCTCTCAGTTCGAGTGAGAGTATTGCGGGTGCTTCTATGGAGGAGTTTAAGTGGGCGGTTGCGATCGTGTGGTCGCGATCCGTGCCGATCTCGGCCGTTGGTTTGAGGGGCAGTGGGAAAAGGGGGAGGAGGAGGGGGAGGGGGGGAAGGAGGGAGGGAGGAGGGAAGGCAGGGGAGGAGGGGGAGGATGAGGAGGAGTTTTGGCAGTATATGGAGGAGGAGGTGGAGAAGGAGGATGATGAGGGAGAGGGGGAAGGAGAGGAGGGAGGGGAGAGAGGGGAGGGGGAGGAGGTGCATGTGTTGCTGCCGCTGCTAGATCTCTTCAACCATGAGTTCTACTACACTGCAGACTGGCAGGTACTGATAGGTGCGGACAGGTATAGGCAGGTTCAGGCAGGTTCGGACGGGTGAGCAAGCTCTGGAGGTGAATGGCCAAACATGAAATTGAGTATACTATACAGCAGAGTGGCAGGCCAGACGTCTGGAGCTGAGTTGATGTTTGTGTATCCAATCTATTTTTAACTGCTTTTTCCTACTTCAGCTTCCTTATGCCTTTCCCACTCCTTTCACTCCTCCTTCTATAAACAAGCCTGGACCTCTATTTCTCTCCTCCTCTCCTCTCTCACTCCACTTCTCTCCACTCCCCTCTCCTCTGCTCTTCTGTTTCTGCCACGTCAGCCCACCATCCACTCCTCCACCGCTGACATCAACATCTTTGCTGCTGACGTCATCTCGCCAGGCCAGCCAATCAGCGTTGGCTATGGCTCCATGGACACCGCCCAGTTCCTGCTGCTGTACGGCTTCGTGCCGCCCAACAACCCGTTTGACCGATTCGTCCTTTTCGAAAACGCCGAGGCGCTTCTTGACTACTACGAGACGAAATATCTTGCTGCCACATCAGGAGGATCAATGGGAGGAAAAGACACATCATCAGAAGAGGAAGACGAAGGGATGGAGGGAGGAGGAGCAGGAGGAGAAGGAGAAGAAGAAGGGGGAGGAGGGGCAGCAGCAGCAGCAGGTTCTGATGCTGGTACTGTAGATGGAACTGATGTTAATAATGAATCAGACTATACTGAGAAATACCCGTGGCTGACTGGTTCGTTCGACCGAGACTCGGCTGCGGCTTCAGTAACCGCCGCCATAGGTGCGGTGGAGGCTCGGCAGGTGGACTACACAGCTGAGCACGACTTGGATCGGCAGCTGCTAGGCATGGCAGCAGGGGCGGTGGCAGGTTCGGAAGCACTTGCAGTAGGCCGGGAGGGGTATGTGGATGCACGGCTGCTAGCCGCTCTGGCTGCTATTGGCATGCCGTCACATGGTGAGTGCAGAATCATGCCCTCCCGAATTCACTCCTCGTTGCCAGGTTCAAGTATCAAGTCGTCCCTCCTGACGCAGGGCGCCCCCAAAGTAGCCATCACATGGTGAGTGAAGTGAAGAATCACTCCACGTTGTCAGGTTCAAGAATCAAGTCGTCCCTCCTGGATAGGCAGGGAGGGGTATGTGGATGCACAGCTGCTGGCTGCTCTGGCTGCAATCGGCATGCCATCACATGGTGAGTGAAGGATTGATTAACATCGCACGTTCAATTCGATATGTTAGGCAGGGAAGGGTATGTGTATGCTCGCCTGCTGGCTCCTCTAGTGGCCGTATGCATACTGATGTATGGTAAGTAGATTATTTCTGAGAATTTTCAAAAATAATCTACATCGCCAAGGAATCACTTAGTGCTGTCAGGTTGGACTATGCGTGTGATGAGTCGATTTTTGAGTCAACTCAGAAATTGAATCATCTCACATGCGGAATCACTTATTGCTGTCAGGACTCAGGTTGGACTACGCGTGTGATGAGTCCAACCTCACATGTCAGGACCCAGGTTGGACTCAAGTAGCAGCGAGGTTGGTTGGTTTTCGAGAGTTCTAAACGTATCCCAATGCTGTAACTTTTGCATCGACTCAAAATTCACCTAGTTTTTTCGAGAATTCTAAACGTATCTCAGTGCTGTAATGTTGCACTTAAGCAGCAGCAAGCATTAATACATCTGTTGCTCCCGTCTCCTCCTTCCTTCCCTTCACCCGTTCAGACCCTGCTTTTGACTTCCATGCCTTGGCTGAAACCATTCTTCGCCTTGTATTTCGAGTCGGTGTCACCTGTGGCATGCTCAAGCAGCAGCAAAAACTGATTTCTCTTTTTTCTTGCCCCTCCCCCCCTCTACTCTACTCCCCCAGACCCTGCTTTTGACTTCCATGCCTTGGCTGAGACCATTCTGCGCCTTGTGTTTCGAGACGGTTTCAACTGTGGCACGCTCGAGCAGCAGCAGACGTACCACCTGGCAGTCCTGGAAGCAGCAGCAAACGTACCACCTCCTCTTTCCAACACACCCCTCTGTCATTCCCCTGATTCCCCCTCCCCTCCACCCCTTCAGACCCTGCCTTTGACTTCCACGCCCTAGCGGAGACCATTCTGCGCCTTGTGTTTCGAGACGGTGTCACCTGTGCCACGCTCAAGCAGCTGCAAAAACCAATTTCTCTGTTTCTCGCCTCTCCCCCCCTCTCCCCTACTGCCCCAGACCCTGCATTTGACTTCCATGCCTTGGCTGAAACCATTCTGCGCCTTGTGTGTCGAGACGGTGTCACCTGTACCACGCTCAAGCAGCAGCAGACTTTCCACCTGGCAGTCTTAGAAGCAGCGGGAGCAGAAGGAGCAGCAGGAGGGGAGGGAGCAGCAGGAGGAGAGGGAGCAGAAGGAGGGGAGGGGGCAGAAGGAGGGAAGGAAGCAACAGGAGCAGGGGAGGGTAGTGGTAAGGACAGACCACACAGTAAAGCAGTAGAGGCAGCTGCTCGCTCAGCAATGCTTGCTGGCTCCATTATAGGAGCTGCTGATGTGGTACGTAACATTCTGCGCGCTACACTACGCGAATTCAAGAGCACGTTTATGGAGGATTATAACCTGCTAAAGAAGACGCTTGTAGAGGATGCGTCGTGTGAAATGGGAGACAGAGAAAGGGAAGGCAACGCAGAGAGAGGAGGTGAGGGGTATAGCGGTGAAAGGGACAGGCAGGGCAGTGGTGGTGGTAGCAGTGGTAGCAGGAGGGAAGATGGGAGAGGAAGTGAAGGGACGTGTGGGGTGCCTGTATTACAGCTCCCAGAGGAGAAGGTTCAGGCTATTAAGTTCCGGCTCTCAGCTAAGCAACTGCTGTTGCGAGCTCTTAGTTTTTTAGAAGATGTGTGTCCAGAAGAAGGGGTGTATGATGCTGATTATGCTACTGAGTCAGATACTACAGAGGATGACAAGTGACTGATACTGTGTATATTGAGTCTTACTAACATAGACCTTCTGAATCGCCAAAAAAAAAAAAAAAAAGAATAAATGGAGTAGAAAAAGTGTCATACTGTGCATCATACGAGCCCACTCCAACCGATTGTGGCATTGAATTTCTAATAAATGAAGCTAAGAAGGAGCTAATACTGTGTATAACGGGTACATACATGTAGGTTAGTTATACGTTATGCATCAATCCAGCTGTAGCTCTAAAGAAACTAAGGTCAACAAATACCGGTACCAGTAAGCTGTGCATTGGGCATGGGGTGAAACAGCGAGCTAGGCATTGGGCTTGGGTTCCTTTGCCTTGACAATGATCACAGGGCAGGCACTGGCATGAGGGGAGAAGGGGCAGAGGAGGCAGATGGGGCAGTGGGGCAGAGGGGCCAGAGGGGGACAGGGATCAAACACGGATCTAGGCATTGGGCTTGGGTTCCTTTGCCTTGACAATGATCACAGGGCAGGCACTGGCATGACAGCAGAGGGGGAAGATGGGTTGGAGGGGGCAGAGGGAAAATATCAAGCTCGGGATTGGGCTTGGGTTCCTTTCCTTTGCCTTAACAACGATCACTGGGCATGCACTGGCATGACGGAGAGGGTAAAAATGTGGAGAGAGGGCAGAGGGAGCAGAGGGGCGGAGGGGACAGAGAGGTTGGAACCATGAGCATTGGGCATGGGGGGGCGGGGGGGGAGGGGACAGCGAGCTAGGCATTGGGCTTGGGTTCCTTTGCCTTGACTGTGATCACCGTGCATGCACTGTGGGAGAGAAGGCAATAAGGCAGGCAGAACGCAGAGGGAGCAGAGGGAGCAGAGAGGGCAGAGGGGACAGAGGGAGCAGAGAGGGCAGAGGGGACAGAGGAAGGAACAGGTAGAAGCAATCAGGAAGCAGTGAGTGCAAGCCACAAGGCATGCAGGAACAGGGGAAGTGTTTGGGGCATGGGAAATGGGGCATGTGGAATGGGGCATTGAACATGTGGCATGAGGCATTGGACCCACCCACCTGTGGTGCGCACAATGACTTTTGAGTCGACTCAAAAGCAGATGGCTAGTGCATGCACTCCCCTCAGTGCATGCATCCGCTCCCTTGGTCTTATTGACTTTCAAGTCGACTCAAAAGGCACGAGGCATTGGATTCACCCACCTGTGGTGCGCACAATACTCGCTGACCGAACCAAGCAAAGCTCTGCAGGTAGGGGGAGAGAAAGAGAGGGGGGGGGGGGGGAGAAGAAGAGCAATCGCGATTACAAGTTACGGACATGTCACATGCATGGTAACCATGGGTGGTTTCCACTATCAGCCTCTGCACGCTCACTATCAGCACGCCTGCACGCACTCAGTCAGATCCACCAGGTGATTCCATTACACATGATGGCAAGACACGCAGCTCCTTCCTTGCTCACAACTCATTTCCTCACGGGCGGTGACTGCCTCTGCATGTACTTAGTCGATTTTTTAGTCGACTCAAAAATCGACTAACTTCACGGGCGGTGACAGCCTCTGCATGCACACTATCAGCACGTCTGCATACGCGCATCAGTGCATCACTGCCCTGGAAATCACTCCCCTGAAAATCATCTCCCCCAGATCACCTCTTGCTCGTCCCATTCCATACGTCATCACACTCACACCAGCACAGCCCGGCACTCACTTCTTGACAGGTGACAGCCCCCGCGTGCCGACGATCAACACGTCTGCACACACGCGCATCACCTCCCGCTCGTCCTTAACACACGCGCACCAGCACCAGCACCAGCACCAGCACCAGAACCACACTCCAGCACTCACTTCTTGACAGGCGATAGCCCCCGCGTGCCAAATCAGCACATCGGCACACACGCGCATCACCTCTCTGCAGATCACCTCACCTCTCGCTCGTCCCAATCCTGTACATCAACACACTCACACCAGCAGCACCACACTACACCAGCACCATACTCCAGCACTCACTTCTTAACAGGCGATAGCCCTCGTGTGCCCGCGATCAGCACGACTGCACACTCGCGCATCACCTCCCTGCAGATCACCTCCCGCTCATACTTAACACACACACACACACACACACACACACACACACACACACACACACACACACACACACACACACACCAGCACCAGCACCAGCACCAGCACCAGAACCACACTCCAGCACAACACTCCAGCACTCACTTTTTGACAGGTGACAGCCCTCGTGTGCCGACTATCAGCACGTCGGCACACACTCGCATCACCTCCCTGCAGATCACCTCCCGCTCGTCCCCCACCGCTATCTTCCAATCACAGTCCAGCTGCAAGCAAACCGAACGAAACAAAAAAAAAAAAAAAAAAAAAAAAAAAAAAAAAACACAACAAAACAACGCTTAAAAAAAGGTCACTGACGCCACTAATATTCGTGGTGATGAGATTCGACAACCCTAAACTAGTATCTGCAGGTGGTTTGAAAAAAAAAAAAAAAAAAAATCACCTGCATTAGCACCTCAATATTTTTATTAAGTTTTTTGAGGCACCGCCTCAGACACTGTGCTCGTGTACTGCTGTCTTCCCTTCACAGTGCTCTTAAAGCACGATGCACACTCTGCAAGAATACTCATCCGTGATACGCACACTCGCATCCACAACAGCGCATTTCTTCACGCAACAGCCGTTGTTAACGCACTCGCATCCGTTACAACTTACAAGAGAATGCAGATCCCTTATAAACACACTCAAATTCGCTATAAGCACACTCACATCCGCCACAGCGCATTTCTTCATGTACTTCTCCACTATGGCGCGTGCAGCTGCCTCTGTTATAAGTGCAGTCAAACCCCATATAAGCGCACTCAAAGCCCATGTAAGCACACTCAAACCCCATATAAGCGCACTCACATCAGCTACAGCGCATTTCTTCATGTACTTCTCCACTATGGCGCGTGCAGCTGCCTCTGTTATAAGTGCAGTCAAACCCCATATAAGCGCACTCAAAGCCCATGTAAGCACACTCAAACCCCACATAAGCGCACTCACATCAGCTACAGCGCATTTCTTCATGTACTTCTCCACTATGGCACGTGCAGCTGCCTCTGCCTGCTGCTCCAGTGTTGCTATGGCGTCCGCTGGGAGCTTGCCCACCATGTCTGGAGGGAAAGGTATGTGGAGGAGGGAGAATGACTTATGGACTGGGATTCCGTGCCTCTGCCTGCTGCTCCAACGTTGCTATGGCGTCTGCTGGGAGCTTGCCCACCATGTCTGGTGGGAGAAACGGGATGGGAGTGGTCAAATTGGGGGATTGAGGGAACGGAATGGCGATGGATCAGCAACTTGCAGCTGCCTCTGCCTGCTGCTCCAACGTTGCTATGGCGTCCGCTGGGAGCTTGCCCACCATGTCTGGGGGGAGAAACAGTGGGGGAAGCGGGAAGGGGGAGAGGAGGGGAGCAGGGGAAAATGTCTTATTGCCTGAGATGGCCTGCGTGAGGTGCTGTTCTAATATCACTATGGCGCCTGCCCGCTGCTCCAGTGTTGCTATGGCGTCCGCTGGAAGCTTGCCCACCATGTCTGGGGGGGGAAACAGGGGGGAAAGCGGGAAGGGGGAGAGGAGGGGAGCAGGGGAAAATGTCTTATTGCCTGAGATGGCCTGCGTGAGGTGCTGTTCTAATATCACTATGGCGCCTGCCCGCTGCTCCAGTGTTGCTATGGCGTCCGCTGGAAGCTTGCCCACCATGTCTGGGGGAGAAGGGAAGACGAGAAGGGGGGGAAGGGGGGGGAAGGGTGGGAAATTATGCCTGAGACACTGAGATACCATGCCTGCCTGCCTGCTGCTCCAACGTAGCTATGGCGTCCGCTGGGAGCTTGCCCACCATGTCTGGTGGGATAGGCGGGAAAAGGGGTTTCCAACAAGCGACTGATTTCCGGACGTGAAGCACAGAGCGCACGACTTTTAAAAGAAACGCTTACATTTGAACTCAGCTTGCTTACCATCAAATGACTTGCGCACGTGAATGAGGCGCACGTGGTCCTGAGCCTTACAATAATTCCAAGTGTGGTTCCGCCGCAAGTGACTTTCAAAGAAGTGCTTATCTGAACTCAGATGTCGGCTCACTCACTTACCATCGAACGACTTGCGCACGTGGATGAGGCGCACGTGGTCCTGAGCCTTGCAATAATTTCTCAACGCCCAGTTGAACGCCAGCTCTGAACCTGCAGGGTGAGAGGGAAGGCAGGGAGAGGAAGAGCACGATGACGGTCAGCTATGCACGCGCATGAGGTTCTTAAAGCCCAAAGGAACGCGAGCTCATGCGAGGCAGGGGGGTGAGACAGACGGAGAGGAGAAAGCGTTGGCAGTTCATGAGCGTGAGAGAGGGAGGGGGGGACAGAGAGAACAGCGCAGAGAGCACTGTCGCAGCATGTGAGTCCGCGTGACTGATGACGCGGGCGTGAGAGAGAGAGGGAGGCCGTGAGCAGATGATGTGGATTAAGCAGATCATGTGACTTGGTTGTTGGAAGGAAGAGAGTGAGGGAGGGAGGGAGCGAGGGAAGGAGGGAGGGAGGGAGGGAGGGAGGGAGGGAGGGAGGGAGGGAGGGAGGGAGGGAGGGAGGGAGGGAGGGAGGGAGGGAGGGAGGGAGGGAGGCAGGCAGGCAGGGAGGGTGGAAACTGAGGAAGGAGGATATGAGGATCGTGAGAGGACGGTTGGGGGAGAAGAAAATACAGGGGGGGAGATGAGCGCGAGTGAACATGTGAGTGTGCTTGTACGTGGGTCTGGGTGCTTGTATGTATGTATGTGTGTGTGTGTGTGTGTGCGTGTGTGCGTGTGTGTGCGTGCGTGCGTGCGTGCGTGCGTGTCTGATAGAAAGCAGCAATGTAATGATCGCAACGTACACTCGCTTCCATCCACCGCTATAAGCACCTCCCGCTGTTCACTCGTTAGTAGCTGCTCCATCGTTATAAGGTGCTTTTTCAAGTCCCGCTTCAACTCCCGCTTTAACTCCCGCTTCAACGCCTGCTTCAACTCCTCCTTCCGCCCTCCGGCTGTAGCACAACCCACAGTCACACTTCTGCTTACTCAGACTTGCTACAGCCGGCAACTACAGCCGTGGATACGGCAACGTCAACCGTCACTACAGCCGTAGGTTCGACCCAGTAGAACCTGACGAGTCGAGTAGCGGTACCGTTGCTACAGCCTGTCGAATCGGCCACTACAGCAACCGCCGCTACAGCCGTTGGCCGATACAGCTACCAAGGATGCGAACTTAAGTGACCCAGCCCAACACGGAGTACACCTCGAAAACACCCTGAAAAGCAGGCCTAAAGAATGGAACTCATATTGGATGAGGAAGACCGAATCTCGCCAGATGGAACTTTTGCTCTAGTAAGCTGGTTCACAGAGTCCGTGGCTGTATCGAATCCGTCTTGTATTGAGATTGTCTTGAAAACAAGATTGTTGCTCTAGCCGCTTTGCCAAGAAGGAATTTCAAGGCAAAACTATGCACAAGTATCGTAGACGTATCATACACCTCGTGTACGCCAAAAAGTGGCGGTACGTGAGCGATACGCCACTACTGTATTAGCAATGCACTCCAAGCGGCCGAGCGTTGTCACTTCGCCTCCAGCGGAGAAAGAAGCCACAAGTAATACGCCTCTTGCTCCGTCTGTCTCAATCGATCGGAGGACAAGCTCGAAGTTCAATGGATATGGTCGGCACGATGGTGATGGGCGGGCTGGTGTGCTGTGACTGGTCAGAAAACGTGCACCGACAAAACAAACCCCGTACTTGCACAGTGACAGACACTTACAATGTTCAGTTGTAATCTCTTCATAAATACTACTACTTTTTCTACACTTACAGAAATTATATTTCGCCAAGTATCCATCTACTAGCCTTTGAAAGCATTAAAAAAATCTCTCAGTGTCACAGTAATTAACCAATATTTCACATATTATCATCAAATACGTTCTAACCGTATATGTTTTTTCTGTATGCATTCACCTTCATCATGCTATACGAATAAAGGTGCATATATTGCTTCAAAAAGCCGCCATAGGTTACCGATCATGTATCAAGGTTATATGGCTTAGCATTGATTAGGTTGCGTTTGGTTCTAGTGATATATAGGTGGCTTTAGAAAAAATCTAGCACACGCATCATATCATGGCGGATCTGTGTCGCACCTTTCACTCAAAAACTTTTTTCGAAGGTTGTTTTGCTCTGGGGCATCGAAGGAGGTGGCGGCAAAGCTTGTTTTGCAAAATTCCGCACATGCGAATCCCATGTCTGACACGGTAACCAGACGCGAGACAGCTGCGTCACGAGCAAAACCCTAAACGTTCGGCCTCTGCGGTTGATGTTTGCTTGGTTTAGGAGGATTGACTCGTGGGTGAAGTGGATGTGTCGGGGTTCAACCGCGCCTGCGATTGGCTGCTTCCTTCCGCCAAATCCCCGTCAATGCTTGGTTGCCCAATGCCCACACACAACCCATACTTCTGTGCCCGTCGGTCAGGGTCTGCCCGAAATCTAGAAAGGTGTTTCGGGAGGACGCGTGATGAGCACGAAGCTGACATCGAACAGAAAGACCCGTCACTTTCGCCATCGCAAACGTCGCGGTCAGTGAAAAAGGTATCAGAAACTTACAAGTGACCGTCGGACCAGCTTCTGTTATTTTTTCTTCCATCCTTCTCAAGGCCACCATCAGCGTAGCCGCATGTCTCCCCAAGACCTTCGCAAAACGGCTCCCCCGAGCCGTTCCGCACTACGCCCATGGTTCAGTTGCTCCGCCGACTAGTCCCAAACTCCCCCACTTTTAGCACGGCGGAACGCCTGGGGCACAGCCTAGCGCCAGCAGGGCGGAGATACCTGACAGAGCTTGACGGAGAGCGAACAGGAAAGCAAGACGAGCGATGTGAGGGGAACTTGACGGAGAGCGGAAAGTCAGCAGCGCAGCGCTGGGCCGAGCAAGCCAAAGCAGTGGAGGGCGAGCAGGAAGAATCTAGGTTTTCTTTGGCTGCTGCTGCTGAGGCTCCCTTGTTGCCATTGCAACAACCCTAGAGAACCTCGGGAACCTCACGGTCCGTAATTCGCGGCATTGCAACCTCAACCTTTGTGTCTGCACAGTAAGAGCACGTTCGTTTTAGGATTATTGCTGCTGCGTGCTAGCTCTGAAAAGGCGACATTGTTCGTAGAACTGATTGATTTGTTCGAGGCGTGTCCTGAAACCGAATCCTGTTTGTAGTAGGATGTTCTTCCAGACGAACCTATAGCAAGCGTGCTTTTCTCCGTCGTGAAGCTTAGAACAACTACTCCGTGTTGCCTCACTACTCATCGCTAACAACAGCACCTTTGTATCTCGCTTCTTGCTGCAGCCTTTCCTGCCAGTTGTATCGCGAAAATGCCGCCGCCAGTCGCGCCAGCCGTGCCAGCCGCGGGTCATTCTCTGCATGATATCGAGGGAGTTTGTGACTATTGCGGGGAGCCCTGTGATAGTACGCAGGACGAGCTGAACGCGCTCTCGTGCACGTTCGAAGGATGCGCGAGCTCAGGCGTGTACCATCAACACTGCATCGAGGCGTTTTTAAAGAGCATCCGGCTGGACAAGTATGGTTTTAAAACTCACGCCTTTAGTTACCTCCTCGCTGCAGCCAGTTCCTGTCAGGAAATGGTAGATCGGTAGATGGGATAAAGTCTCGCAGTAGCTGTGAGAAATCACGGTAGTTATCGGGGTGCTAACCGAACAGGAATTCCCGAATAGAAACCACGGTTTCTTTGGGGTCAATGCTTTTTCCATTTCGCCTCCGTTAAACGTCCTCCAAGCTTGCAAGGATAGCGTTCCGTCTCTCTCCGTCAAGGTCTTCTTTGGCGCTCAACGGGAAGTATTTGAGCACATCCTGCTGACGTGGTTTAGAATCCTCCTGTTAATCTTCTTTTATTTAGTTCCAAGTTTTCCTTCTCGGCTCACTATGGGTTGTTACAAGCTGTGCAGCAAGCATTAGGCGATTCCACGTATAGCAGCATGTAGCAGCAAGTTATCTGGTATCTGAAGGCCGTTTCTTGGTGACACAGCAATTGGCTAGCAATTGGCTTAAAAAAAACCTCGAAATATGAAGAATCACTACTTTAGACTTGAAACCATCTATCCCAAGCGTCTAGTAGCCTCCGTAGTTCATCCATCCTTTTCATAACTCCGCGTAATCCTCCTCTCTCTTTTTCTTTCCACCAATCCTTTAACCACCCCGTGATGACCCCACCATGACAATTCTTACACGTCTTTCGTCTCTGCTCACTGTAACGCAGGCAACGGAAGACGGGCTTCCAATGTCCACGTGGCAATGGCAAAGCGACGAAGTTCGACAAGCCGTGTCCCGGACGTGTAGGTTTCTCCTTACGATTGTGATTCTTGCCATGGATCGCACCCTGTATGTTCTTGTTTTTTCTTAGCCTTCACCTAGTTTCGCGAATTAGCATCGGACGATCTTGGTCTTCGTTGATTTTCACCGTCTTCTTGGACCGAGTGTTGATTTTCATTATTTTTATGGCTCATACAGTCATCTGCGTGCTCTCCTACATTTGCTAATACCACTACCCTTCCCTCCATGCTTGTACCGTTGTTCCACTAGTCCATCTTTTTTATCTCATACCTGATGCGTCTCTCGCCTCATGCGGCTAATGCCTTCGTCCTGCTTTGTCTCTCGTCTCTCTCGTCCGTGTGCTCGTCCCCGTGGCTGTCTTCCTTGCGTTTCCCTTTCACTGATCTCGTGCCACTCCTGCGTCTCCAGATCACCAAGTCCCACCCGATTCATGCTCGGAACGAAAACAGGTGCGACATCTCCCTGCACACCCTTTCCTGCCTTTCTCCCCCTTTCCCCACCCTTCCTCATCTCATCCCCTGTCTCCTGCGTCCGTCTCCGCGCGTTTCAAACGCCGCAACGAAGTTAGTCTGCAAACGAATGCGTGCGGATGCGTTTGTTTTCCGCCTTGGCCGTTTCTTCCTGCGCTGTGTTCCTCTCCACTATAAACTTTGTGCGAGAAAAGTAGTGCGTAGCTTTCCCGCTTGCCTCCCGGCTTATCAATTCGTCTTCGTGGCTCATCTCCGCGGCTTGTCCCTCCTCGGTTTCAGCAAGAGGCGGCGCTGGGTCAACAGGCCGGACCGGACAGCCGGCCCTTTTATTAGGCATTCTTAAACACACAGGCATACTAAGACATATAGTTCTTTGTTTCGTCATCTTATCTTTCACTTCTTCCTCTCGCGCTCTCCCCGTTCCCCTCTCTCTCCGTTGCAGCAAGAAGCGGCGAAAGGCCAAGATGCCCGAGCCCCCTCCAGCCCCTGTGGGAGCTGCGGGGAAGAAGGGCGGCAAAAGCAAGGACGACAAGAAGGCCGACAGTAAATCCGGCGACGGCAAAAAGGAAGGAAAAACGAGCGATAGTAAAAAGGAGGGGAAAGCAGGCGACGGCAGCAAGTCGAAAGGATCATTCTCCGTGCCCTCCTCGTCTTCCAAAACCTCCACCTCTTTACCCGCCGCCCCTGCGCCAAAGCCCACGGTCGCGCTACTCGTGCGCTCGTCTCTCCCCCCCGCTGCCAAGGCCGCCGCGTCCGTGGCCAAGTCCGCGTCTGGTGGGGCCGGCCCGACTTCCCCGTCGACTACTAGCGGGGGTATAGGCGCGTCTGGTGGGGGCAGTGGGAGTGGGGGAGTGCCGGTGAAGGTTCTGTCTAAGTCGTGGAGTGCTGCAGCTGCGGGGCTGAAGGATGCGGCGGCAGCAGCTGTTGGTGCTGTGGGCAGCAGTAGCGGTAGTGGTGGCGGGAGCGGGCCTGCGAATGCGTGGTCTTCGTCGCCTGGCATCGTGTCCGGACCTTCCAAAGGGAAGAACTCGGAGGTGAGATATGCGAGCCTTGCTGCTCTTGCCGTTGGTGTTGTGTGGGACTAGCGAGAGTAGTGACTGCAGTTATGGTGTCATAAGTGGCGACAGCAGGAAAGGACATTTGTTGCCAGTGGCGGAAGTGGTGGCGAAACTAGTTGCGAAAAGCAGTGTCGCGGGTTGTGGTGGCAATAGCGGCGATGGTAGTTACGAGATCAGTGGCAACAGGAGAGGCGATCACAGTGAGCGACATTAACATCGACAGGAGGGCGAAAGCAGTGGCGGCGGGAGTGGCGATAATAATGGCGACAGTACTGGTGGCAGAAGTGGCGACAGAATGACGACAGTAGTGGCGTCGGTAGTGGCGGCAGTTGTGGCGACACTTGAGGTAGTGTTGACAGTGGTGGGAGTTGCGGTGGTGATAGCTGTGGTACCAAAGTGGTAATCAGTAGAACAATGGTGGCATTGGAAGTGCGAATGCATTGTCGTCTCCCCGTGTCGTTCTGTCTGGACCGCCTGAAAGAAAATACGCCTTATTGTCGCTTCCACTATCTGTTTGTACGTTTTTTTCTTTTGGCAGAGCAAGGCGGAAAAGATTTCGTCCCCGAAGGACACGTCATTGCAACAAGACGCCACTACCGGAGGCAAGGCATCTGACAAACCTGCAGCAGGAGGAACAGGAGCCGAGGAGAAGAGCAGGAAAGACAAGTCCGGGAGCAAAGCGGCTAGCCAAGAGGGGGAAGGGAAGGCGGAGAACGGTAGTAATAGTGGTAGTGGTAAGGGGAGTCAATCCAGACAGAAGAAGAAAGGCAAGGAGCAATCGGTTCCCGTACCTGCGGTTCCTGCTCCGGTGACCGCCGCCGTGCCTGCGAACTCGGTTTGGAAAGCCAAGCCTGCTGCGCTGCTGCTTCGGCCAGAGGCTGGGAAGGCTCAGGCACCGAGCCAACAGCAGGCACAGCAGCAGAAGCAGCCATCGCAGCAGCAGCAGCAGCAACCGCAGGAGGAGCAGCAGCAGCAGGGGAAGCAGGCTGGAAGGGCGACAACAGAGTCGCAAGGGAAGGCAGATACCACTGTCACCTCCTCTCCTGTACCTCCTCCCCCCATCAAAACCACAACCACCGTCTCCCCAGAACCCCCTCCCCCGTCTTCCACCCATCTCCCGTCGTCCACTTCCCTCTCCGTTTGGACCAAGGAATCCTCCTCACTCCACTCCGCCTCTCTCCACTCCTCTCTCCATCCCGCCCCCCCGTCCTCCTCCACTTCCTCGTCCTCCACACCAACTGAGTGCGAATTCTCCACCACCTCAGGGCTCTCCTCCCCTCCTTCCTCCTTCCCCTCTACCCCCCGCGCCATGGCTAGCCTTTCCCCCTCCGCCAGCATGGGCAGTTGCGCCGACCACCTCCCTGCTGAGCCTGTTACCGAGCCTGCCTCCAGCCCAGCTGAACCGGTTGCCGAGCCTAGCGTCGTGGGGTCGGAAACGTTGTTGAGTGGGGAGGGGAGTGGGAGCGGAAGGGCGGTTAGTGATGTGGGCGTGCAGGAGGGGTTGCGAGTGAAAGCAGATCCGCAGGCACAGCAGCAGCAGCAGCAGCAGCCGCAACAGCAGAAACAGTTGCAGCAGCAGCCGCCGCGAAATACGGTGTTGGCTGCAGAGGGTGTTGCAGCAGGCGAGGCCGGCAAGCACAGCAATGTGACAAATCCGGGCATGGGCTCAGTATCCGTTGATGGCAGTGCTGCTGCTGACAACGCGGCTGCATCTGTTGGTGCCGCCGCAGCTAGTGCTGCAGCCATTGCTGGTTCTGCAGAGACGGCTGGTGCTGCGCCGGCTGTGAGCAGTGGACTGCGCCCGTGGAGTGATGCGTGCCGCTTTGCCCTGGAGACGAATCGCCGGCGAGTCTACGTGCGCCAGCTGCAAGAGTAAGCGCGCCCCCTGGCACCTTGCAAGCGATCGCACTCATTGTGAAGCTGGAATTCCCTACGCGAGGCAGGGGAGCAGTGCTGATGCTGGTGACCCTCGCTGTCTCTCTCCACACTTTTTGTACCGTCTTCACTTCTTTTCCTTGCTCCATGTCTACCTCCCTCCCTTCCAGGCTCAGGTTCCCTCTGGGAGAGGCAGTGCAGGCGGTGCTGGTGTACGGGGGCGATCTGGGTGGCTGTCTCAACCACCTGCTCGTCTCTTGACTCCGCTCAAATCCCATCCCTCCACTCGCTCCATGTCTGCCTACTCTCCCTCTTCTCCAGGCTCGGGTTCCCCCTGGGAGAGGCAGCGCAGGCAGTGCTGGTGCACGGGGGCGACCTGGGTGGCTGTCTCAACCACCTGCTCGTCTCTTGACACCGCTCTAATTCTACCCCTCCACTCCCTCCATGTCTCTTTCTCTCTCGCCTTTTCCCCCCAGGCTCGGATTCCCCCTGGGAGAGGCGGCGCAGGCGGTGCTGGTGCATGGGGGCGACCTGGGTGGCTGTCTCAACCACCTGCTCGTCTACCACGAGTGCTCCTGCCGCCCTTCCGCCCTCTCTGCTTTCACGCCCTCCCCATTCGTCGTGAGTCCATTCTTCATGACCCTATTTCTTCTCCTGTCAGATTGTGGTGTTACATGAGCATGCGCCTGGTATTCTGTGTATGAGCTTGTTCTCAAATCTTATCGTCTTGCCTGGTTGCTCTATTCGTGCGTGGTTATCTGTGCGACTTGCTCCTTGGTTTCAGGATATTTCCCTCGAGTTGCAAGCTCTTTCTGAGATCATGTCAGCTGGGTCGCTGCCCCAGGTACCATCCCACACGCCCCTTGCTTCGCACCAATACATCCTCTTTGCGCACCTGCGGATTTTTTATGGCTGCGCCCCTTGGCCTTTCTGACAGTCCCATCCCTTGTCCCTGACGTTTCCTGTACTTTTTCCAGTCCCTCGTACTTCATGTCTCATCACTGGCTGATCCTGCATGCATTGCTGTGTACGTGTTCACCCCTAATCCTGCATTCGTTGCCGTATGTGCGTTCGCCCCTCATGTCTTGTCTCACCAGGACCTGTTGGAGCATGCATTGGTGCTGGCCTCGGGAGACATCAGCTACGCGCTGCACCTCGTCATCTCCCATCCCCACGGCCTCCCCTCCTCCCTCCCCTCCACCCAGCCCTTCCCCTTCTACTCCTCTCCCCTCCCTTCCACCACAAACACCGCAACCACCACAACCTCCTCCTCTGCTCTCTCCTCCCTTCCCCCTCCTCACCCCTTCCACTCGAACCACTGCATACCGCACAACACCACTGCCTTCTCTGTTGGACCATCTGACCCTGTGTTTTCCCATCTCTCCCGCTCCGCCTCCCCATCGCCTGCCCCGTCGCCACCCTCTCCTCTCCCTGATTACACCATCCCATCTCCCTCACTCGTCATACCCCTCTCGAATACCAACCCAGGCACCTACGCCCACGCCCCTATGACCACACTCACTCCCACCACTACCTCCTCCGCCTCCTCCCTCCAGCACACATCTCTTCTCTCCGGTATTTGGTCTAGCTCATCACCGAACCTTCCTTCTGCCGCCCATAATAGTCCCGCACCTCCTCCTGGGTTCAGCCCGAGCCTCAATGCTGCTTCTGCTCCACTCGGTAACAGTGCCAGCTTCGGTACTCTCGAAGCGCGCAGTGGAAGTCCTGCCCCGAACCTCATCCCGGGCAGCGGATGGAATTATTATGGCCTCCCCGAGTTGAAATCGCAGCAGCGTGTTGAACCCGTGGGAGGGTGTGAAACTGGCAGGAAAGTTTACGTGCCCGAGAGCATAGGCAGGTTGTGGGGGGCATCAGGAGGAGCAGCGGCAGGCATGGCGGCACAGGACGATTCGCAGTGGTTGTGTGGGGTGAACAGTGACAGGAGCAGCGGCACTGCAAGTGGGCTCAGCAGTTGCAGCAACAGCAGCCACGGTTATTCGCAATATTCTGAAGAGGAGGGGCTTGGTGATTCGCTGTTGCTGCTTCCAGGGGATGAGGAGGATCTTTTCTCCCGGATCCTTCCTGGCCTGCTGGGCTAAATTGCAGTGCTGTGCTGTAGACCTGTGCATCTGGCCCGGTTTTGTATAGCTGGGCCTAAATTTTGCTTGCTATGATTGAATCGGAAGGGAAACTTGTGGACGGGTCTTGAAACTGCTCGGAGGTTGCTGTTCACCCTGTATCTTACGTTTGCTTGAACTAAAACGCTTGCCCTTGCTTGTGTGTTTCCGTTGAGGCCAACAACTGCGTATTTATCGCTGCACTCAATGTAAATTGTAGCGATGACCTCCATGGCGAGGTCATACTAATCACCCAGCTTGGTTGTAAGGAATTTTCTCGCATTCCTTATCGGGGTTCACTACTGCTGCGCGTACAACCCGATTTTCGGAGTTCGCACGTTCGGGCGATTTCCACGCTGCCGAAGCTCCTCGCGTCGCCTTCGGCATTTCCATCGCCAAACCTGCACCCAACCTCGCTCACCCGAGGTTTCCTCCTAGCTAGGCTAGCCCTACATTAGTCTGTGCATTCATTGTATTCTGAATTGATTCAGTCACAGTCTCGTTATTCGTTTACCTGCGTACTCTCTTTTACAACTCATAACACATGGTATCAGAGCTACTTTCCTAGTTCACCCCGCTTTTCGAGGGTAGTTTTGGTGGCATAGGGTGTGGTTGTTTTAGTGACTACACGACGGTTGGCTGCAGAGGTTGTTAATTCAATCCTGCCCGACTCCGATAGTTCGTGTTTTCACTTGCCGGGTGGCCACGGGTACCCAACTGCCCACCAGACGTAGTGCTAGACACATGGATCAGGAGGCTGTTAACCGACTGATGGCGCAAGTGGCAGAAATGGCGAAGGGTATGGAATCGCTGCAAGCGGAAGTGACAACGCTGAAGGAGGAAAACGCCGAGCTACGCCGGACGCGAGGTGAAGCGCGTCAGACGTCGCCTGTGGACGAAGGCGAGGGCAACAGCCAAGTGATGGGCAATCCTCTGGACGAGCTCACACGTGACTTCGAAGAAGAAGATAGGCAGCGAGCGGCAGCAGCACCAGTTGCAGTCACGACGATCAAAATCAAGCCCGTCAACCCGCCCCCGTTCAATCCTACGGATAAAGCGGTTACGGTAAAAGGGTGGCTGTTCGGGGTTGAGGTTTTCTTCACTGCAGCCGGAGTTAATGACGATGCCACGCGCATTAATTACGCAGTCTCGCTTCTTCGAGGTGCAGCACTTGAATGGTGGCGCCGGACCTTGGAAACAGGGACGCCGACAGGTGTGACACATGCGGCAGACGGAACTTCTACAGTGGTTAATCAAGTTGCAGAACCAATCTTCGGTGTGACCAAGATACGCACATGGAAGGAGTGGGGCGCAGCCTTACGGGATCGCTTCGAGCACGTATCCGCCTCGGAGCAAGCTCGCATGAAGCTGCGTGCATGGTCGCAGATGGGATCTGTCCAAGACTACACGGCGTCATTTATGGGCCTCGCCGACCAGGTCGATGACATGTCGGAAGCTGAGCGGTTGGATAAATACGTGAGCGGCCTTAAATACGAGATACAGTTTGAGGTTCGTCGCAGCCGCCCGACATCGTTTCTCGAAGCAGTACGCGTGGCAGAGTCTACTGATGCGCTGATGCAGTACGCGAGAACGGCTTCCAGGGATGGGAGAGGTTTTCGTGGCCAGACCCATCGGGCCACAATCAACGCCGTCCATACACCCGACCGCCCTCCTAAGGGTCAGTGTTTCCGGTGTGGGAAGGTGGGTCACTGGAAGAACGAATGCAAGGAGAAGATGCCGCTGACAGGGGACGACAGGAAGGAGCAGGGAAATGGGAAGAGTCAGTAAGTAACGGGCCCTTTACTGACTATGCTCCGTCGCCCGAACACCACCATCCCCACCGAGTCGTGGTTCCGATTCATGCAATCGATCGCACTCGGCCGAATAACGGGGATAATCATGTGGATCACCCTGTGCTGGTCGCTGGCAAGGTGGGGAAACATCATCTGAAAATGTTCGTCGATGGAGGGGCCAGCCATAGCCTCTTCAACTTGGCGAGCGCAAAAAAATGCAACATGCAACTTGACAGGTGTCTACCCGAAATCGACGCACGACTCGTGGATGGGACGCCTCTGGCGATAACGGAAGAAACACGGACGGTGCGGATCGAGTGCGGCGAAGATTTCGGCTTCAGCATGAAGTTTCTCGCGACGACGCTGGACGGCTGCGACGTGCTGCTGGGACGTGATTGGCTGCGACGACACAACCCCGTCATCGACTGGACAACGGGATCGTGCTGCGTCAGCAAGCACGAGGGGCTAATTAAGTTGCCTGCATGGACACCTGACTACATCCAAGCCCCGTGCGTCAAAGCCATCACCATCGCCCACCACTTCAACAGGGGTGCGCAGCTGTTCGCCGTCCGCTTGCGCGAGTTGGCAGTTGACACCGACGGAAAAGACATCGAGAAATGGTGTGCAGCTGTACCTCCGGATTTAGCGGAGCTAATTCGACAGTACCCCGACATTTTCCCGGACGATTTGCCACCTGGGCTGCCACCCGAGAGACCCGAAGACCACAAAATCCAGCTGGAACCTGGCGCGCAACCTACTGTTCGGACACAGTGGCGGTTGTTAAATTGTAATGTGTTATATGTTGGTAGGCTGTAGTGGGGTAGCCAATATGGGGTTTGCTACTTGTACCAAACTGTTTCATTCAATGCACCCATTCTTGCCTAGTTCTTTTAACATGGTATTCAGAGCAGGAGGTCCCTAGGACCTACCGACCGTTTTTTTTAGGGCCCACCACCGCTCGCATGCGGTTACCACGCTACCCCGTGCCCTAGCCTCGTAGCGCCCTCGTGCGCCCTCGTTAGCGCCCTCGTGCGTCCTCGTTAGCGCCCTCGCGCGCCCTCGTTAGCGCCCTCGCGCGCCCTCGTTAGCGCCCTCGCGCGCCTCTCGTTAGCGCCCTCGCGCGCCCTCGCTAGCGCCCTCGCGCGCCCTTGTTAGCGCCCTCGTGCGCCTCTCGTTAGCGCCCTCGCGCGCCCCTCGCAGCGTCGCCCGCCCGCCGAGCCGCCCGCTCGCAGCGTCGCCCGCCTACCGCGCTGCCCGTTTCGCAGCCCGCCCGCCGCGCTGCCTGCTCGCAGCGTCGCCCGCCCGCCCGCTGCCCGCTTGCAGCGTCGCCCGCCCGCCCGCTGCCCGCTTCGCAGCGTCGCCCGCCCGCCGCGCTGCCCGCTCGCAGCGTCGCCCGCCCGCCTCGCTGCCCGCTTGCAGCGTCGCCCGCCCGCCCGCTGCCCGCTTCGCAGCCCGCCCGCCCGCTCGCTGCCCGCTCGCAGCGTCGCCCGCCCGCCTCGCTGCCCGCTTGCAGCGTCGCCCGCCCGCCCGCTGCCCGCTTGCAGCGTCGCCCGCCCGCCCGCTGCCCGCTTCGCAGCCCGCCCGCCGCGCTGCCCGCTCGCCGCGTCGCCCGCCCGCCCCGCTGCCCGCTTCGCAGCCCGCCCGCCGCACTTCCCGCCTGCAGCGCCGCCTGCCCACCGCGCTGCCCGCTTCGTAGCCAGCCCCCTGCACTGCCCGCTCGCCGTGTCGCCCGCCCGCCGCGCTTCCCGCCGAGCTACCTACCTGCAGCGCTGTGGCAGCTTCCTTTGCTCAGTCGCACTGTCGCTATGGCTTCCATCCGCGTGCTGTCGTTCGATGCTGAGGGCCGCCCTGTGAAGTTCGCCACTTGGCTGGATGACCTGCAGCTGTTCCTTCTGAGCGATAGCAAGGAGCATGTGTCGCTCTATGATTACGCGTCTGGTGCTGCACCTGCCCCCCCTGCCACAGCTGAGCTTAGTGTTCGTTCCCACTGGCAGACTCGTGACGCAGCTGCTCGCCTAGCCATTCGCAGTCACCTGCCGCTAGCTGAGCTCGAGCATTTTGGCGACTGCAAATCCGCTAAGGCCCTGTACGATGCTGTCGTTGCTCGCTACTCCTCGCCTGCCACAGCCGAGCTTAGCCGCCTCATGCTGCCGTACCTGTTCCCTGAGCTGTCCACCTTTGCTACAGTCGCCGATCTTATCACCCACCTTCGCACTAGTGATGCTCGCCTGCGTGCCGCCCTTCCCACCGAGTTCTGCGCTAAGAATCCCCCTCCCCTGTACTGGACACTCCACTTCATAGTCACCCGTCTCCCTGACACCCTCAGCTCAGTTCGAGACCACTTCCTTGCTCGCTGTCCCACTGAGCTCACAGTCGCCCTCCTAGAGGAGCAGCTGCTAGCGGCCGAAAAGAGCATTGTAGCTGTCGGTGCTGCTCGTGGCGCTCCTCGCACCCCCATCTTTGAGGGGTGTTCTCCCTCTCCCCTCGCTCCCTCCTACGCTACTGCTGCTGCTGTTGACTTCCTTGGTGCTGAGTCTGCTGGCGCTGCTTCTGCTCCTGGTGGGAGGCGCCGCACCGGCAAGGGCAAGGGGGGCAAGGGTGGCGGGGGTGGCGCTGGGGGGGGAGGAGGTGGGGGAGGTGGGGGGGGAGGCGGTGCTGGAGGGAGCGGTGGCGGGAGCGCTGGTGGGAGTGGGGTCGGCGGTGGAGGCGGGGGCGGCGGAGGAAGCAGTGGCAGTAGTGGCGGCGGCGGCGGTGGCGGCGGTGGTGGCGGTGGTGGCGGTGGCGGTCGGAGCGGTGGTAGTGGTGGCGGCGGAGGTCGGAGTGGAGGCACTGGCTCGGGCCAGAGCTCCCACCAGCAGCAGCGTCCCCAGACGACCCAACAGCTTCGTGAGTGGCTTGCTCAGCGTGGGACGTCGGGGGGCAGTGGCCGCTGTTCCTATGTCATTCGCACAGGTGACCGCAAGGGACAGACGTGTGGGAGGTTCCACACCCCGTACCGCTGCTTCTCCCGCCTTGACGACGCTTGGCGTGAGGAGATGGGTGAGGATGTTGAGCGCCCCCGCTGGGCTGAGCTCATGAGGGCTGGTGTTGATATCTTTGCTCTTGACTATGATGCTATTATTGCTGCCATGTATGCATTGACTGTTAGTGCCGAGGGAGACTGTTACTTGTGTGTGCCGCCTGACCCAGGTATAGAGCCCGCTGCCCTGGGTACTAGTGAGTCTGCTCTCTCTGGTATGGTGCCCCCTGTACTTGCTCCCTCCAGTGCTGTCCCGGCTGTTTGCGAGTCTGCTCTCTCAGGTACAGCACCCACAGAGACTGCTCTCTCAGGTACCGCACCGGCTGAGGCCTGTCACACCTTCACCCTTGACTCAGGTGCTTCCCGCTGTTTCTTTCGTGACAGTACTGAGCTCACACCGCTTCCTGCACCGGTCCCAGTCTCCTTGGCTGACCCCTCTGGGGGCCCAGTCCTTGCCCAGTCCACCACTGTGCTCCCTTGTCCGGCGGTTCCGTCTGGCTCGTTGTCTGGTTTCCACCTCCCCTCGTTCTCGACGAACCTGGTGAGCAACGCTGTCATCCAGGATCAGTGGGTTGACACCTTTACCCCTGGAGGACAGCGTGTGGCGATCTGCACGTGCTCCAGGACCGGCCGTCACCTGGCTACGTTTACCCGTCGGCCGGGGTCGAGTCTCTACACACTGACCACTGCGTCTCCTCAGGTCGCTGCTGTCGGTCAGGTGTCCGCGTCAGGTCTGGTGGCCCACGCCTGTGAGTGTCGTTCCCTGTCGCACCAGACTCTTCTCTGGCACCACCGCCTGGGTCACCCCTCCTTGCCACGCCTCCGTGGCATGCACCGTCGCCGCCTTGTGTCTGGTCTTCCCAGGTCCCTCCCTCCCCTCCCTGCCTCGCCTGCGCCGCCTTGCCTTCCTTGCGTCGAGGGGCGGCAGCGCGCCGCTCCTCACTCCTCCTCGTTCCCCCCGACAGAGGCTCCTCTGCAGACCCTCCACCTGGACGTGTGGGGCCCAGCCCGCGTTCGTGGCCAGGGCGGTGAGCGGTACTTTTTGCTGGTTGTCGACGACTACTCGCGTTACACCACGGTCTTCCCCTTGCGCACCAAGGGTGAGGTCCCTGCTGTTCTGATCCCTTGGATCCGCACAGTTCGTCTCCAGCTCCGCCGCCGTTTCCGGACGGATCTTCCTGTCCTGCGTCTGCACTCTGACAGAGGTGGTGAGTTTTCCTCCGATCTCTTGAGGACCTTCTGTCAGGCGGAGGGCATCGAGCAGACCTTCACGCTTCCGGACTCCCCACAGCAGAATGGGGTTGCTGAGCGCCGCATTGGCCTGGTCATGGAGGTCGCTCGTACCTCCTTGGTCCACGCGGCGGCTCCCCATTTTCTGTGGCCGTTTGCTGTCCGGTACGCCGCGCATCAGCTCAACCTCTGGCCCCGTGTCTCCTTGCCGGAGACCTCGCCCACACTGCGTTGGACGGGGGAGGTTGGCAATGCGTCGCGCTTCCGGGTGTGGGGTGCTCGTGCCCTTGTCCGCGATACGTCCGCGGACAAGCTCTCCTCCCGCACACTTCCCTGTGTCTTCCTTGGCTTTGTCCCTGACGCGCCGGGCTGGCAGTTTTACCACCCCACCTCGCGCCGGGTCTTCGCCTCTCAGGACGTCACCTTTGACGAGTCGGTCCCTTTTTACCGTCTCTTCCCCTACCGCACTGCCCCCCTCCCTCCCCCGCCGCTTTTCCTTGCTCCTGGTCCCCCTCCGGTAGACCCCCTTCCCCCTCAGGGTCCTGCTCCTTCAGGTGTCTCTCAGGTAGACCCTCCTCCCGTCGCTGAGCCTGTCGAGGTCACAGGTGACTCAGGTGCTGCTGCAGGTGGTGCTGCTGGGAGTGCTGAGCCTGGGGGTGCTGAGCCTGCGGGTGCTGGGCCTGGGAGTGCTGGGACTGCGGGTGCTGGAGCTGAGGGTACTGTGCCTGGGAGTTCGGCGTCTTGGGGTGCTGAGCCTGGGGGTGCTGCGACTGGGGGTGCTGAGCCTGCGTGTGCGGAGTCTGGGGGTGCTGCGCCTGCGGGTACTGAGCCTGGGGGTGCTGCTACTGAGCCTACGGAGCCTCGGGTTGCTGCGTCTGGGGGTGCTCCGGTTCGGGGTGCTGAGCAGTCTCTCACACCGCAGCAGCTTCGTGACTGGTACGTCCGGCGCTTTCGCCGTCCTAGTGGCTCGGCTGGAGTTGGGGGTGCTGGAGCTGCTCGTCCTGGGGGTGCTCGTACTGGGGGTACTGGAGCTGCCGGGACTGGTTGTTCTGGGAGCACTACGACTGGAGCTGCTGGAGCTGGGGACTCTGGAGCTGGCGGTGCTAGCGGAGTTGGAGCTGCCGACTCTGGGGGTGCTCTTCCTAGCGGTGCTGCGGACCCTGGGGGTGGCGCTGCTGCTGGTGCTGCGGACCCACCTGGTGGAGCTGCTGCTGGTGCTGAGGACTCGGACGTTGGAGCTGCTGCTGGAGCTGAGGACCCGAGCGGTGGCGCTGCTGCTGGTGCTGGGGACCCGGACGCTGGAGCTCCTGCTGGTACTGAGGACCCGGCCGCTGGAGTCTCTTCTGCTTCTGGAGACGCTGCGCGGCCGCGGCCGTACTTCGTACCGCTCCTTCAGCAGGTTCTTGGGCAGGCTCCTCCTCCTTGTCCTCCTCCCTCCGTAGACTGTCCTCCGCCTGTCCAGCCGCAGTCACAGTTACCGCCTACCTCGCCTCTCCCTGCTCCCTCTCCTTACACTGGTCCCACAGGAGGTCTTACAGAGCGTCGTGAGCCTGAGTCTCGTCCTGCGTCGCCTGTTCGTACTGCTCGCACTGGTAGTCGTGTCCGTCGTGAGCGTCCTCCTCCTGTCCCAGGCACTCACTACATGACTCTGCGTCCATCTACTGCTCCTCAGCGTGTCCCTCTACCGTCTCCTCCTGCGTCCTCTTTGCCTGCCGTTCCGGACCCTGAGTCTGACCGGTATCGTGCTGAGCACCCTACTGTCACGCGTCTCCTAGCTACTGTTGTCACTGACCCTACCTTTGAGTCCTCGGCTGCGTCTGCTCTGGTCGCTGAGTTGGTTGACTTTGCTGCTGCCTGTCGTCTAGACTACGCTGCTCGCCTTGTTGCTGAGTCTGAGTCTGCGTCTGTCTGTCCTCCGTCCGTCGGGGGTGAGTGTGCTCTTGGCACGGACGTCCTTGAGGATAGGCAGGAGGACTTTGACTCTCTCGCGGCTGCTGTACCTCATCTCGTGGCCTGGTTGCTTGCCCCTGAGGGAGACCCGGATGCACTAGACATCCCCACTCCGCGCACTTACGCAGAGGCAATCTCGGGTCCCTACTCCTCTCAGTGGCAGACAGCCATGGACGCAGAGATGGCATCCTGGAAGTCCACAGGCACCTACGTCGACGAGGTTCCCCCTCCTGGGGCGAACATCGTCGATGGCATGTGGATTTTCAGGGTGAAGCGGCCGCCAGGTTCTCCGCCTGTCTTCAAGGCTCGTTACGTTGCTAGAGGCTTCAGTCAGCGTCAGGGGGTCGACTTCTTCCAGACCTTCTCCCCCACCCCGAAGATGACCACTCTTCGGGTTCTGCTGCACGTTGCTGCTCAGCGTGACTACGAGCTTCACTCTCTTGACTTCAGCACAGCGTTCCTGCAGGGCAGCCTGCACGAGGAGATATGGCTGCGCCGCCCACCTGGCTTTACTGGGTCGTTTCCTCCTGGTACCCAGTGGAGCCTCCGCCGGCCAGTCTACGGTCTCCGCCAGGCGCCACGTGAGTGGCACGACACACTGAGGACTACACTTGCGGCTCTTGGGTTCGCGCCGTCTACTGCTGACCCGTCGCTGTTTCTGCGCACAGACACGTCGCTGCCGCCGTTCTACATTCTCGTGTACGTCGACGACTTGGTCTTTGCTACTGCTGACACTGAGGCACTCGCTCGTGTGAAGTCGGAGCTGCAGAAGAGACACACCTGCACTGACCTGGGTGAACTGCGTAGCTACCTTGGCTTGCAGATCACCCGGGACAGAGCTCGCCGCACCATCACCCTGACTCAGTCACACATGGTGCAGCAGGTCCTTCAGCGCTTCGGCTTCCAGTTCTCCTCACCACAGGCCACACCTCTGGCTACCAGCCACTCGCTCTCAGCTCCACCTTCGGACGAGTCCGTAGAGCCGAGTGGCCCGTACCTAGAGCTTGTAGGCTGCCTCATGTACCTGATGACTTGCACGCGACCTGACCTCGCGTACCCTCTTAGCATCCTTGCTCGTTACGTTGCGCCTGGGAGACACAGGCGAGAGCACTGGGAGGCTGCTAAGAGGGTGCTGCGTTACTTGTGCAGTACATCAGGCATGGGGCTGGTGCTTGGAGGACGCGACAGAGTTGTCCTCACTGGTCACTCGGACGCTTCTTGGGTGGACGACCTGGCTATGCAGCGGTCGTCACAGGGTTACACCTTCAGCCTTGGCTCTGGTTCTGTCTCGTGGCGGTCCACCCGCTCTTCTTCTGTTCTCGGCTCTAGTTGTGAGGCTGAGATCTACGCCACAGCCATGGCTGCACAGGAGTTACGCTGGCTCACCTACCTGCTGACTGACTTGGGAGAGCGGCCTAGTTCTCCTCCAGTTCTGTACGGTGACAACAAGGCGGCCCTTGCCTTGTGTCAGGAGCACAGACTGGAGCACAGGACGAAGCACATTGCTCTTCGCTACTTTCTTGCTCGAGAGCTTCAGCAGCGCGGTCAGCTTCGGCTTGTGTACGTGGACTCGAAGGCCAACACTGCTGATATCTTCACCAAGGCGCTCCCGCCTAGTGATCATCAGCGACACTGTACTTCTTTAGGCCTTGTGTCCACATTCCCTCATTTGCTTACTGCTTGACTTTCTTTGTACTGTACTTTATATATATCTTGTTGCTTGCTTGCTAGGTTTTGATCACTGTGTTGCTTGTCTTGTACTATATCTAGCACTGCATGTGAACTGGCCTTGTGCCCTTTGCTTGTGCTCGGAGTGTGGTGACGTTGTGATCCACCCTGGGCTTGCGTTGCTTTGCTAGACTGGTCTTGTGACCCTTTGTTCTCCCCCACTTTGCCTATGGGGGTGTGTTAAATTGTAATGTGTTATATGTTGGTAGGCTGTAGTGGGGTAGCCAATATGGGGTACAACCTCAACTAGGGTTTGCTACTTGTACCCAACTGTTTCATTCAATGCACCCATTCTTGCCTAGATCTTTTAACAGCGGTTGACCCAACCGGAACTCGAGGAGCTACGCCGACAAATTGTTGCACTGTTGGAGAAAGGCTTCATTCGGCCGAGCACCTCCCCGTTCGCGGCACCGATCCTGTTCACTCCAAAGAAGGACGGCGGGCTTCGCATGTGCATCGATTATCGCGCGTTGAACCGGGTGACCATCAAATCTCGCTACCCAATCCCACGCACCGACGACCTTCTCGATCAACTTCGCGGCGCTCGCTACTTCTCGAAAATCGACTTACGTGGCGGTTACCACCAGATTCGGGTCTTCGCCGACGACTGTCACAAGACCGCGTTTCGTACACGCTACGGGAGTTACGAATTTACAGTGATGCCTTTCGGCCTCACGAACGCGCCTTCGACATTCCAACTGACCATGAACAGGGTTTTTCGCGATCTTCTAGACCGATGTGTCATCGTCTATTTGGACGATATCCTGATTTTTAGCAAGACACGGGAGCAGCATCTCCGCGACCTGGACGCAGTATTTAAACGGTTGCAGGAGAACCGCCTCATCACCAAGGGCTCTAAGTGCGAGTTTTTTAAGCAGGAGTTGGAGTTTTTAGGGCACGTCATCTCCCGCGACGGCATTAAAATTGACCCGGCGAAGATTAAAACCATACAGGAGTGGAAGGCCCCGACTAATGTCACGGAGCTTCAGAGTTTTCTGGGGTTCGTGAATTACGTCAGGCGGTTTATCCCGAATATGGCGGGGATAACCGGCCCGCTGACCGACCTGCTGCACAAGGACAAGAATTTCGTGTGGGGGGAGGAGGCAGAGGCGGCTTTCCAGGAGCTCAAATATTTTCTCGTTTCTCCTCCTGTACTGCGCATCGCCGACCCATCGAAGCCGTTCGAAGTTGTAACCGACGCCTCTGATTTCGCCATCGGAGCAGTGCTTCTCCAGGATTTCGGGAACGGGCTGCAGCCGATCGCCTACGAATCACGCAAGCTGCAAGCTGCCGAGCGCAACTACCCGATCCACGACAAGGAGATGCTCGCCATAATCCACGCGTTTAAACTGTGGCGATGCTACCTGGTGGGCGCCAACGTCACTGTGCGCACGGACCACAAGTCCCTACAGTACCTTTGAGCTCAACCGAACCTTAACCCGCGACAAATTCGGTGGCTGGATTACATGGAGAGCCACTTCACCTACCGCATCACGTACAAGAAAGGGGCGAATAACATCGCCGACGCCCTGACTAGACCGACCGTACAATCCGCTGCTGTACTGATAACCCATTCGAACCCGCTACTTACAGGACTATTCACCCACGGCTACACTACGGACCCGTTTTTCACGACAGGAAATCATAAGCAAGCCACGACGCAGAAGGGGGATTTTTACCTAAAAGCCGGCACCGACAGGATTTGGGTCCCCGCTTACCGGCTACTGCGTGAACTCCTCATCCAGGAGGTCCACGATTCGAATTACTCCGGACACTTCGGGGTTGATAAAACCCAGAAATTACTGCACCGTCAATATTACTGGCCCGATTCTTATGTGTCCTCATGCAGGGTGTGCCAAGCCATGAAATCGACACGTCAGCGACCAGCTGGGCTGCTGCAACCCCTCGAGCCACCCGAAAGACCGTGGCAACAGGTGACGATGGATTTCGTCACGGGGATGCCAGCTGGGCCGTCCGGCAACGACGCTGTTCTCGTCGTCGTCGATCGCTTCACGAAAATGGCGCACTTCGCACCATGCCGAACGACGATCACAGCCGAAGAAACTGCGCGCCTCTTCATCTCAACGGTCGTGCGACTACACGGCATCCCTTCGGCGATCATCACCGACCGGGACCCGAAATTCACATCCAAGTTTTGGAAGGAGACATGGGCGCAGTACGGCACGAAGCTACAGTTCTCATCGGCATACCACCCACAGACGGACGGACAAACAGAGCGCACCAACCAAACGATGGAGCAGCTGATACGGACGAACTGCCCCGACCCCGCACGATGGGAAGATTCCCTCGCAATGTTGGAATTCGCCTTCAACAACGCACCGTCGAGCACGACTAATCACTCCCCGTTTTTCCTAAATTACGGGATGGATCCGACGGTCCCCACGGCGACTTCGCTCGAAAACCCGGTCCCGAGGTCACAAGCTTTTGTGACGGAACTTCAGCATATACGCGAGAAAGCAGCAGACGCAATTCGCAAGGCGAATATTACTTCCCGCAAATACACCGACCTCCTACGCCGGGAACTCGTCTTGACTACTGGGCAATTAGTGCTCCTCGACACGAAGAACCTGCACCTGCCCGGTCCATCGAAACTACGGCCCCGATTTTGCGGACCGTTCAAGATTATCAAGATGGTGACACCTGTCACCGCGAAGCTGTTGCTACCAGACGACTGGCGCATTCACGACGCCTTCCACGTAAGCCTGCTTCGCAAGTTCGTGCCAGCCACGACCGACATTGCACGTCAGCAAGCTGCCCCGACAGCTCGACCTGTCCCAGAGCCGACACTCGACCCATTGAAAATTCTCGCCCATCGAGTTCGACTTGACGCAGCTGGCCGACACGTGGATTTCCTAATCCGCTGGACTGATCGCACCAGTGAAGACGACACGTGGGTGCCATCCGCCTCGCTCGACGCCTCGCCACTTGTTGGTGATTACTTGGCGCGCAAGCGTGTTTCGGATATTGACCGCCTTTCTTAAGGGGGGGGGGGGGGGGTGGTGTAAGGAATTTTCTCGAATTCCTTATCGGGGTTGACTACTGCGCGTACAACCCGATTTTCGGAGTTCGCACGTTCGGGCGATTTCCACGCTGCCGAAGCTCCTCGCGTCGCCTTCGGCATTTCCATCGCCAAACCTGCACCCAACCTCGCTCACCCGAGGTTTCCTCCTAGCTAGGCTAGCCCTACATTAGTCTGTGCATTCATTGTATTCTGAATTGATTCAGTCACAGTCTCGTTATTCGTTTACCTGCGTACTCTCTTTTACAACTCATAACATTGGTGACCTGCCGAACCCCAGCAGCTCCGCGTACTGTACGCGCTACAGCTGTATTGCGCTACATGAAGTACAGATATCACGTTTCGTTACAAATCTGCGTGGTTCTAGCAGTTTACCCTACACTAAAGACAGATTTTCGTGGATCATAGCACAAGATCATACATTGGAACCAAACTAGTAAAACCATTCTCCACATCACCAGCCACAAGTTCAGTCGTGGACATGTTGGTCTGGCTTGTCATGTCATCCATAGACCAACATAAATCTTGGTGTTAGACGTGCCAATTTTCCACGCCAACTTGTCAAAACATACCGTATCTGGTGCACGTCGAAATGGTTGAAGGTTTATGGAGTTGTACTTTACAACCGAAACATCATTGATAAACAAGGGCAGTCGCAGAGTCGTCGTGAAATCTTCAGGGCACGTGTTTCCCACAGTCCAGATGGAGTGGATGGGCGGGGAGGGGGTGCTTAAGCTTCTAGAAGTTCATAACCTGTGCCTGTTTGTTTGAACTGAAGGGGGAATGAGGCGAGAAAGTGACGGTGGGGGACGAGGGACGTCCAGAGGAGTGAGATGGGAGGAGGGGGCGAGGGACCAGATGGAGTGGATGGGCGGGGAGGGGGTGTTGAGAGGGAGGAGGAAGCGGGAGAGAAGGGGATGGACGATCGAGGCCCACGCACGGGAGAATGGAGGAGGGGGGGAGTATACAGGGGAGTGGGAGGTGTTGTGGGAAGGATGGTGGGAGGAGTGGAGGGAGGAGTGGAGGGAGGAGTGGAGGGATGAAGCGAAGTGGAATATGGGGAGGAGGAGGGCGAGGGGGATGGAGAAGTTGAGGTGCGGAAGGATGGTGCCATGCCGGTTGTGCTTTGCGTTGCTGATGGGGGAGAAAAAGGCCAGGGGAGGAGGGAGGGAACGTTTTGAGGAAGAAAGGGGGTGGTGGGAGGAGGGGGGGTTGAGGGGCGTTGAGACAAGAAAGAAGAGAGTCAAGAAAGGAGGGACAAGGGATAAGCAGCACAGATGGTAACAATGCAACTGCTTACATAGTAAACTACAACCTCGTTACGTCGTAACCGTGCAATGTGCTTATGCCATAACATGGCAACATTTTTAACATGTAACTATTCCACCTGGTACCCAGCTAACCTGGTAACCAGCTCACCTGGTAACCAGCTCACCTTGTAACGAGGGCGATCATCTCCCCCTGTGCATTCACCACTGCCCCTCCGCTCGCCCCGGCATGCACTGCTGCAGTCGTCAGCACCATCGCTGCCACCCTCCCCCCTCTCTTCCCTCCTCTGCTCCCTTGATCATGCTCCCCTATCTGCTCCGCTGTGCTTCGAGCAGCCTCTAACACCCTCCCTCCGCTCTTCCCTCCCCTGCTCCCTTGATCATGCTCCCTTGTCTGCTCCGCTGTGCTTTGACTCGCCTCTACCTCTTGCTGCCCGTGGCTCAACCCATCAGGCGCGCTAGTGCTGCTGCTCTTGGCATCAAGTCTCTGCTCTTGCTGCTGCTCCTGTTCGTGCTCCAAGTCGACTGTGACAATCCGGGAAACAATGCCTGAGAAGACTGATGGGGGAGTGGCTGGAGGAGAGGGAAGGGGAGGAGAGAGGAGGGGCGTGAAGGCAGAACAGGAAAGCTATCAAGTCTCTGCTCTTGCTGCTGCTCCTGCTCCAGGTTGACTGTGATGACCTGAGAGACAATGCCTGAGAAGTCTAGTTTTGAGGCGCCTCAAAACAAAACTAAACTAGTTTTGAGGCGCCTCAAAACTAGCTATCAAGTCTCTGCTCTTGCTGCTGCTCCAGCTCCAGGTTGACTGTGATGACCCGAGAGACGATGCCTGCGAAGACTGACGGGGGGTGGCTGGAAAAGAGGGGGTTGAGGGGGTGGGAGAGGATGAAAGCAAAATGGAAAAGGTCTTGGGTCTCTGCTCTTGCTGCTGCTGCACAGTTGCTCCAGCCACCCCACCGTCAGGTTTCTCGGGTCTCCGGCCTTGCTGCTGCTCGTGCTCCAGGTCAACTGTGACAATCGGAGAGAATTATAAATCATAATAATAAAGGTGCCAAAAAAAAAATCTGTTGCGCGTACCGAGGGCAGGAGGGAAGACAGCGTAACCAATGACGACAGCTGTGGAGCCACACTCAGGCTCCGAGGCACTCGGACGAATGGGATGGACAAGTAGACTGCTGCTGCTGTGTTGTTGTTGTTGACCCCCTTCTCTTGCATCTGCTGCTGCCTGTGCTGTGGTCGTATGTTGGTTCGCTTGTCTGGGATAAGTATGACTTGATGGTGCAGGTGGTATCTGGTGGGGGTGTGGGCTGTGGTCCAAAGGTGCAGGTGCAGGTGGTATGTGGTGCAGGTGTAACAGGGCAACGTCCAGTGAGCCAGAGCACACATAGATGATACCCGCTCGCACCCACGCCGCTGGTGGGGATGCGCAAGAATGGGTGGAGGATGATGGAGGGGAGGTGGGAAGGGGGGAGAAGCATGGGACTCGAACCCAGATGTCGTGTGCAGGGGGCGAGGAGAGGAGGTCAAGAGAAGGGGAGGAGAAAGGGGATGAGGAGGAGGAGGAGGCGGAGGAAGGAGAAGAGGAGGAGGCAGAGGGAGGAGAGGAGAGGGACCGAGAAGGGGTATTGGAAGGGTATGGGTCTTCGGAACGTAAGTTTCCGAAGCTTGATCTCGGTACTGACAACTGCTGCTTGAGCAAGGGAGTGAGGATGTGGGCGTTGGTGAGAATGAGGCCTGAGGGGGATATGATAACCCCAGAGCCCCATACTGTCCCTCCCACCACTATGCCTACAACGGAAGGAAGTGCTGCTGCCACTGCTCTCACCACTCCTCCTCCTGCCCCTTCTCCTGCCCCTCCTCTTCCTGCTCCTATGCCTTCTCCTCTTCCTGCTCCTATTCCAACCATTGCCTCTCCTCCTTCTGCTGCTCCTGATGCTGCTTCTCCTGCTGCTTCCACAGCAAATGAAACGGATGGCCGTGTGCCTGGCAAGGCAGCTGCAGCAACGGAAGGCTGTATGTGTGAATCCGGTGAAAAAATTACGCCAGTGCTGCAAGCAATCGGAGCTATAGGTACCCTGTTTAAGAGCTGACCCAGCACAATCATCTGCTTTTGAGGCGCCTCTGAATCAGGACAGTAGGTGCTGCCAGCGACAGGAGCTCTGGCTACTGCTTGGCACAATACAGCATCGACATTATGAAAGGGTGAAGCATTGATCTCCAGAAAGGGTATATCAGCCAGAGCAGAGACTTGCTGCCGCTGCTGCTGCGATTGGGGCTGCTGTAGTATTTGTTGGGCGGTTGTTGATTTGTGGGAGTGTGGTGATGTGTCGGTCACCGATTGGATGGCAGATGCAACCAATGAGATGGACGCAGCAACCTGAAGTGAGAGGAGAGAGTGAGAAGGGGAGTGGGGGGACAAGTACTTAGTAAAACGGAGGGATAGTCACAGCTTGTGGTAACAAAGAGAGTCCATGGCTTGTGGGCAGGCAATAAAAAAGATCAGAGCAGGGGGTGTTTGATAAATCAACAGCTTGCGAGCAGGGGGATAGAGATGCTGATATCAAGCTTTGATTTATGGAATACCTCAACATCAATCTTGAGTTTTAGGACGTCTCACAACTCTATGAATCCTCCGAGGTTGTAGAGCTTGTGGGGTGATGGGTGAGTGATGCGACTAACCGGGATGGAAACGGTAGCTGACGTCATAAGAGGATGGTTGATTGTAATGGGTGGCAGGAGCATGGCCTTGATGCATCCCCTAGTGTCAAATACGGGAGACCCCTCCATTCCTGTCATGCCATGTGAATCGTGGTGTCATGTCAGGCCAGACCATGCCATGCCATGCCATGCCATGCCATGCCATGCCATGGGATGGGATGGGATGGCACGCCATACGATGCCAACCCATGTGATGCCATGTCACCAGGAATTTTGCTGTGATGTTCCTGAGACTAGTACTACAGCCCAGCCCAGGGAGCAACGGTAATACCTAGGACACCTTTGGATAACTTCAGCAAACAGCGGTACATAAAATCGGGCGGGAATCACTTCAATGGAACGTCTTGATGAGATCAATCCTGGTTGCAAGCTGTCGTTTTATCTGACCAGGCAAGGATTGATCTCTCACCTTCTCACCATGTGGCTTCCTAAATGCTAAATCTTATGGCAGCTCAAGCGTTGGGACATGTCAAACCTTTTACAAGATTTTGTTTGATTCTATTTTCTCCCCCCTGATCACTTTTGAGACGCCTCAAAAGTCAAACTTCTCCCCCCTGATCACCACCACTACCTGGCAGGAAGGGCAGGTCGAGGGCCAGGAGCCCTGCCGGCAGCACAGCTGACAGCACTCCAGATGACAGGCTGACAGATGGGCAGTGAGTTCGGAAGGGGTGGTGGGGACGAGGTAGAAGGGAGGGGACGAGTGAGGTGGGTGGTAGGGGAACCGGAAGGGCAGGTCGAGGGCCAGGAGCCCTGCTGGCAGCACAGCTGACAGCACTCCGGATGACAGGCTGATGGGGGTGCAGAAGCAGCAGTGGGGAGGAATTGCGTAAGGAAATAAGAGAGTGGGCAGGAAGAGATGGGGAGACACAGGTCGAGGGCTAGAAGCCCTGCTGGTAGCACAGCCGACAGCACTCCGGATGACAGGCTGATAGACAGACAGTGAAAGGGGAGGAGACGAGGAGGGATGAGTGGGCGAGATGGGAGAAAGGGACTCGCGGGTCGAGGAGGGGTTGGGACAGGAGGAGGAGGGAATGAGTGTGCGAGTTGGGAGAGAGAACGGTAACAGTTTTATGAGTAAACCGCTGGTATCAACCGGGCTACTACAAACTATCTTCTCTAAGCGCCTCAAAAATAGACAGCACATGTATAATCTGGGCTACAATGTGATACAACAAACTGTATACTTCCAAATTGCTGGTTGCAACGGAACGTGGCATTGACTACCCCTCGCTGTGTACCCCTTATAAGCACCACCTGCGCACCCCACATATAAATCACATGCGTGCCCTTGCAAGAATCACCCACGTACCCATTATAAGCATCACCTGCGTTCCCGTTATCAGCATCACCTGTTGGCGAACAAGGTGGGTGCCAACACTCCAAACGGCGAGCCGACCAGCAGGACAGGATCGCCAGGTGTCGACGTGTCAGTGGTGGAGAGGAACGATGGGGGCTGACCTGGCAGTGCGTGACAGGAGTTGGTGGATAAAACAGGTGCACAGGTGATAATCATTTTTTTTTTGGCACCTCAACAATATAAAATCAAACGGAATGAAATAGTCGGAAACAATATGCAGTGGGCAAGTACAATGATTTGAGTATTGAGGCTTCCCAAACCCAGCGAGGCTTGTCCCTCATACCTTCAGTTCATGTGGAAGCCTCATCTGCTCATGCAACATGCCTCGCATTTCTCTTGAGGCTCCTAACAAATCATACCCCCCCCCCCCCCCCCCCCCTTTTTTTTAAGCGCCTCTACAATAGACTCAAAAGTCATACCTCCCCATACCTTCAATTCACGACTCAGCCTCATCTGCTCGTGCACCATACACTGCAATGCCTCTGCTGCTGCCCCTGCCGCTGCCTCTGCCCCTGCCCCAGCCCCTGCCCCTGCCCCTGCCCCTGCCCCTGCCCCTGCCCCTGCCCCTGCCCCTGCCCCTGCCCCTGCCCCTGCCCCTGCCCCTGCCCCTGCCCCTGATGGCAGTTGGAGTCTAACACGCAGAATTGCTAGCTCAAAAGAATCCGATGCTGCTGCTGCTGCTGGTGCTGGTGCTGCAGGGGAGCGAGAGGACGACAAGGAGGAGGGTGAGGAGGAAGGGAGAACAGGAGAGGAAAAGGAAGAAAAAGAGGAAGAGGAAGAGGAAGAGGAAGAGGAAGAGGAAGAGGAAGAGGAAGAGGAGGAGGAAGAGGATGACGAGGGGGGGATGTCAGGGGTAGAGGCTTGGAGTGATGCTGCGTGGGAAGAGCTGATGGCTGGAAGCTCCACCTAGGAAGACACAAAGGAGCAAGGGAGGGGGGAAAAATTTGAGGCGCCTCAAGAATCCAGCAACGGGACTTGTGTGAAGCCAGCCAGGGAGGAGCTGACACCTAATGAGGTGCCTCAAAAGAGGCCTGAATGGGGGTGGGAAGGCACTGGAGCTAGAATCCAGGCAAAAAAACTGACCACCTTCTGGTACCTTCTTATACATTCTTCCACCCTTTTCCACCTTCTTCCACCTTCCAACTACTCCTCACATCTTCTTTGCTAAGACAGAGGCAGGCACTCACAAAGCAAAGGAGATCCGCTGGTAGAGAGAGGGGCTGTGAGGGTACCTGCAGGAATGAAGGCTGGCGGGTGACAGTGGGGAAAATGAAGGATTTTGAGTTGATTTAAAATCACTAGTGGCAATGAGGGAAAGGAGGGTTTGGTGTGCGTGGGGACGAGTCACAGAACAGGGATGAGATGAGAGGGACGAAGGGACAATGGAGATTTGAAAGTAGAAAAGGCATAGCAGGGCGTTTGATTTTTCAAGCTTTTTAAAACTAAATGTGACTGACTGAAGCAGCACCGACTGTAAATGTAGCATTTGGTGTAAATGCTCTACAGCATGAAACGGCTCAAGCACAGTCTGAAACTAAATGCTGTACTCTACATCGTACAGTAATTACCTCAAGCACACTTGCGGCTGAGTTTTGAGGCGCCTCAGATAAAAGCATGTGCAATTGAGCGGTGCTTGCCTTGAAAAAACACGCCGGCACATGAACAACGTGCGTGAACTCGCTGTCACACGCAGTGCTGCCCGTGTGTCGCATGACATATGTAAGGAACTCGCTGTAGTAGGCACATATGTCATGGCAGGCACTGTCACAAAGCTAGTAAGGCACTACTAGCAATACTATCACCTCAAAGGTAATGTCGATGCGCGTGCCAGGAAGCAAACGGGGAGCCGATGCACGTTGCTGCTGCTGCTGCTGCTGCTGAAAGGGCCAGCGTTGCTGTGCTGAGTGGTATTTGGACGACTGCTGCTGCTGCTGCATCACAAAGGAGCGAACAATCCTCCCGGGAACAATCACCGTCACCTCCTCCCCATCCCACCCGCACCTGCTAACCTCCTCCCCATCCCACCTGCTCCTTTTACCCTCCTCCCCCTCTCCCATCACTCCCTTCCCCCCATTCATCTCCCCATGCCCATCCCACCCAGACCAGCCACACTTCTGCTTTCCTGCCAGCACACCCCCTGCCCCTCTAGCATGTCCCTCAAGCTGCCTTGCAATATCGATTAGCCGCCCTGGCAGCACAATACCAGACGCTGACACGGCTGTTGTGCCGTTGCTGCGAAGGCAGGTGGTACGGGTGGGGGGTATGGGAAAATATATGTTATTGAGGTGCCTCATAACAGTCGACAGCTGCCCTGGCAGCACAATACCAGACGCTGACATGGCTGTTGTTCCGTTGCTGGTTGGAGAGGCAGTTGGGAGAGGGGAGAGTGGGAAGGGGAAGATGAGGGAGGGATGGGCGGAGAGTGGGAAGCGGAAGGGACGAGTCGCCCTGGCAGCACGATACCAGACACTGACACGGCTGTTGTTCCGTGAGCTGGCAAGGCAACGACCCAGTCGGGATTTTCCATGCATCTCGCCTGGTAAATCCCGTCCTGTTGCACGTACAAATCCCCGTCCCCCTCGCATTCCCCCACATGATTGCCCAGCCTGCTTCCTACCTGGACTGGTAAAAGTCAAACCGCAGCAGCTTACGGCCCTTGGGATCCTGCAGTCAACAAAAGTCATTGACAGTCAAGTCAAATGAAGTCAACGGCAATCAACGGGAGATTTCACCAGCAGATAAAGGGAGAAGCGACGAAATGACGTCGTTCAGAGACTTGCGGGGCCCTGCACGAAAGAGGCGACACCTAAAGTCGACTCATAAACCACTCAGTTTCGTGAAATCGGAGGGGGAGGCGATGAAACGAACACAATGAGGGACTTACGGGCCCCTGCACTCGAACGAGGCACCCCGAAGATTTCGCCAGTCGCACGACTCTGTCGTCCATGACTCCCTTCATCCCAAAGTTGGGATCGAGAGGGTTGGGTTACCGAGGTGCGGGGTGGGCACTAGCAACTCAGGGATAGAGTGGACACACTGTACGCGCGCAGTAGCTACACTATACTCCCCCCACCTCGCGCCAACAATGCTTGGCTTTCGTGCCAGGGTTTAGGCTCGTGGCAAAGCACCACCACGGAAGTGCCTTCTTTGTGTAGACTCTGACCAATGAATGACTACCTTGTTTCCCGGGGGCCCAAGCCTACAAACCAGGTACCAAGCCTGGACTTCAACTTCGTCAAACACTGAACCTCATGTTACAGTCGGACGCGTAAAATTACGCACACAGCGCGGTCCCAAAACAAATCTCCCGAAAACACCACAAACAGTGACAAACACGCCGTGGAAACAACCAAACACCCCACAAATGCGGATCGGCCAATGAAAAACCGGCTCGCAGACTAGAAAATTGATGGGCCGTCGATGAGAGACCAACAGTCCGTAACAGAGCGCGTCAGCATAAAGAGTCATTCGTTTAGGCCAGACGTACAATTACATCAACTAAGTGCATAGAAATAACCATTACTCAGGGGTTTCCATTACACTAGCGCCAATCCCAATATTACAAACAACAAACTACGGTACCCAGAAAATAGACGGCCTACACATACGGCCATAACCTGAGTGCGAACAATATGACACATCTTCTAGAATTGGCGAGTCTGATGTAGCATAAGTTGATGCTCGTTTACCAACGGCCATCTCAAAAAGGACCTACAGCTACATGCATACACCTTCAGCTCAGGTTTTCCAGATATGCCCTGCTAAGAACAGATAGTCATTAAGGAACCAGGTGTCCTTTTTAACGAAGGACGCAACAACGTGCACAACCCGCACCACATCCCGAATTGGGACCACGACATACCCGGTGACAGGGCTGCCGGGGGATTGCTTAACATAAGTGGACGCACCCAAGGATGCATCCACCCCTGCCTTGACCAAGCGTTGCAGGAACACAAGCCCGGAGTTCCGTGATGCTTCCGGCCTGAAAATTAGCAACACCTTGCCAACAAACGTCTGACCACCAGCACTAGCCTCCACATAGGAGAAGCACGGTCTCCCGTGAAAGCTTGGAGAGGCTCTGACCCAACCAGGCCCTTCGCGGTCAGATCCGTCAAGTGCGACGCCGGGTACAGCCAGGGCCGGATGCACCTGATAACCGTATGGAGGGTTGCAGGATCAGGACAGACATGGAGGGAAAACGGGAGGGGTGAGAGTGAACAGGTGACAAGAAGCGGCTTTCAGTGTATGGGCAGGTTCAGCAATGACAAGGTGAGAGGGCTGGCAGGGCGCGCAAGATTCACCTCTCCCTCCTTTAGAGCCCGGCCCCCAATGTGCAGCATCAAGTAAACACTATGTGGGTGGGCTGGGCACGGAGAAGGGGGACGGTGGGCGACGGGAGGTGAAGTGGGGTTTGTGATGTGGGGCCAGAGTGTGTTGTGTGTCCATGTAGGGGGGCAAAGGTGAGAACGCAGAGCCAATCCCTGAAGGCGCTTCAGCGATGGGTGACCACACATCCCAGCAGTTGATGCCGTTGAAGTGGATGTAGAGGTCGGGGGGGGGGGGGGGGGGGCGATGGATATGGACTAAGGGGGAAGGGAGGGTGGGGATGTCGGTGAGGTGGCGCTGTGGATATGGACTAAGGGGGGGGGGGGGGGGGGCGTATGACACTGTAGCAGAACATGAGAGGGATGTCAAGCCCCACCTGAAGGCCGTGACCCTAGAAAATTACGAGGGTGCGTGTACCAAGGAGATGTTAGACCAATGCTGTCCACATGAATGCACGGTATATGATGTACTGCACGTGATGCACCACACGCAACACCCACTTGCAACATACAGTGAAACACCTCTACCCATGCCAGGGTCTAGGGTACATGGAGCTCACCCACCTGAATTGTCGTGCATTCCAGGCCATATCGAGCCATTGCAGAAGAGAGGTGTGGCATGTCCTCCGGCAAGGACTTGCAGTAGGCCTCCCATATGTCCACCGCCTTGCGCTTGCCACCTTGGCCGTTGACAAGCACCATCGTATCGGAAGTCTTGGTCATTGCAGGCTTGCCGGTCAGCATCACCTGAAGAGTGTGTGGGGCCAATTGGAGCAAAGAGCACATGACTATGGACCACCCCAGGCAGGTCAACATGAAACCATGGCGAGCAATACATGCGGCAATGAAAACAGTCACACATGGCATGCATATTGGGACGCACCTCTGCCATAGCCGTCATGTACTTCTTGTCGCCTTGAATAGCGGTCGGCAGAACACCCATGGCCCGCCTTATCTCATCCGCTGAGATGATGGCCTTGTTGATTTGCCTTCGATTCGAAGAACGGTACGGTCGCTTCACCAAGCGAACATGACTGTGCTCAAACAGGTTCGTAGAGTACTCTTCGGGCACGGCCCGGGTCTCTAGTGCATAAGGGAGGTGCGTGAGCGCATGCACCTTGATCAGCTGCCACTTGGACGTCTGTTTTGGAAACTGCCTCTTCAGAATAGCTAACAGGCTGCCACACCCATAGAAAAGGGGAGGGGGGGGGGGTGGGTTAATACACGCACTGAGTCCCCCGCAGCCAACAAAGGCCAACCCGAAGGGTTGAGCGTTGGAGTAGCGATGTTATAGTACTAAGGGGTGTAATTTGTCACATCCATCGTGTCATTACAACTCACTTTTGCTGCTTCTTTGTAAGAGCATCGATGCTGTCTTCGGTGTGAGACTCCACCCGAAAAGCTGCGGCGTACCACTCCAGGAACGTCTTGATGACGGCTAATTCTGCATCGGACAAGATCCCTTCGAAAATGAACATTGAAACCTGCATCATCGCTCTGTGTTCGGCCGCAGAATAGTTCGCACCGCCTCGAAAGTACTTCCCGGGTTTTGGGAGCTTAACTCCGGCAGCTCGTGCGAGATGGTACAATGTCTCGTGACGCATGAAATACGGAATCACATACGCCACCCAAATCAATACTCGTTCCCGCTATAGGACATGAGTACAATGCAAAAAGGCCAGGCTACTTCACATACCCATCCATGATGGCAAGCACCCCGGGTGAGTTTGTTTCCCGCAGCTGATGCAAAATGTGTTTCCACAAACCGATGTCGACAACATGGAGCACATCGGGAAGGACACACCCGTACGGATTGCCCCACGGTGTCCACGCGAAGTTCCATTTCCAAAGGAAACACTGCACACCGGAGTATCAACCCATCATGAATGTCTTTCTATGAGGCGTGGCTGCCTATCAGTATGATCAGAGAACTGTTCGGGCACGTACCTCGATAGGGTGTGTTCCTAGGTCTTGGGCCTTCTTGGGGTCTTGCATTGCCTCACGCTGGCCCTTTATGTCGCGCACTTTAAACAGACGGTCCATGCAGTCTAGGAACTCGCGCGGAACCTCGCACATGGAGCATGGCTTGTCTGCCCGCTGCTGCATTGTCCCGGTAACCTTGCAACCTTCCGGATAGTCACACACGTACGCGTACATGAGGGGGTACACAATACGTTCGACCCCGTTCGGGTCGTTCATTGCTGCCCCCCTGTTTGGGTTCGGGATTTGCAAGGGTGGTTGAGCCCGTGCGCCAAATGAACCACCAAAATCAAGCAGTCCGCACGGAAGCCCATATACAGAAGCTGTGCAAGCACACTCACGAGTAGGAGGCGCTGATCAAAGGCTCGAACACAATGTCAAGGCACTTGTTGAAGAGAGCGGTCTTCACGCTTGCGGGAAGATCCCCGTCCGGCATCGGCAGCAAAGCCACCAGTGACCTACTCGTGTCCTTCCAACGGGCGTCCCTAGGTATGTTTGCAACGGTCAATTGCAGAGGCCACACCTTCTGACGGCCATTGTGGCTCAGATGTGTCACATCGCTGGAGGCGATGAGTGCCGCTACAACACCCTCCTTGTTGGGCAGCGCCCTCTGTGCAATGGAAGAAAATACAAATATGCATCAACGCAGGCAGCGCCTAGCCATGCATCACTCTTCCACCACGACTTACACCCCCCTTCTTTAAGCCATTGCTCGGCTCACCTGAGCACGTGACCACCATAACGCGGTTTCGGGCGTCGAGTACACCCGTTTCTTGTCTTTGTCGAATTCGACCCGCAGTCTCAACTGGAAGCCAGCGCTGTTGCTTGCGTTCCCAAAAATGCTTTTGAGTGCCTGGAATCAACGTTCATGACATCATCCGTGAGACTCTACCCTCCAACCCTGGTTTGCTCACGTGCACCTTTAAATGCAACCCCTTGTTTCCTCGGCAAGGCGTAGCGTACCTGTAGAGTGTCACAGTACTCGAGCTCAACTGGCTCATCCATGCCTTCCACCTGCACCATCCGTTTCCGCCACGTCCCATGGTGCTTACCAATCACTTCCTCTGCGTACTTGTCCAGATCCCGTGCGCCCTTCCATCCTGAAATTTCAGCACGGTTGAACTGAGGATGGTTCAAGACACGGAGAAGAGATTTCACTTCCTCGGTAAGCCCAGCCCCGTTCCGACACGATTTCACGAAGCGGTACAGCTCTCTCCTGGAATCGAAGGCTGTCGCGAGGCTCTCCACCGTTTCCTGAGTCACCCTCTCGTCTGTACGCGCGTCGGGCCGCAACCCCTCACTAAACGGTGTATTAGCTCGTTCACGATCTGCGGGGTCAATATCGTCAGAAGGCGCCTTGGCTGGAGTTGCGTCGGGACTCCTAAGCTGATCATCATCCCGCGACGGTTCCGCATGCTCGCACCGTGTGCCTGGTTTGGTGTGTGCCTTGAACGCCGTACTATGGGAAAATGGTCGTGAACATGTGTTGCATCGGATCACGCCTGCTAGTATCACGGGAACTATGAATGTCAGAAAGAACATCGTACAGAGTACGGCGAGCGCGATGCGGTTTGGAATGACGCGCGTCATTGCTGGATACTCACGCGTCGAAAAGTATGTTATAGACTCGTGCTGCTAGTACGTCATCCAGCGCATCGACGCAAAGTTAGGGTTTGCGTCGTGTGCAGCAACATCACTGACTGAACATCAGTGTGTTGGTCGATTGTATGGTTCCGTGGCAGCTTAGGTAACCAGTTATTGCATGATTCGTTACCAGCTTTGATATGCGGGGTTTAGTGACCATCACAACGATGAATCGGTAGAAAGTCGGGTTTGCAAATTGATAGGACATAGAGTCCCAACAATATCTCGTTACATATTTCCTTAGGGATTCTGTCTTGTGATTAGAAAGTTAATATGTATGACTCGTTATTTATTTGGTGGTTCCTTCAAGGCTGAAAAAGGACATTGGTAAACATGAAGATGGTGTGTTTTGTGAATGCATAGTGGTAGGTTATAATAAATAGGCCTGATATACCAAGACATTCTGACCCGTTACAGAACATTCACAACCAAGCTACTGAGCGTGGTTATCCTTGCACCACTTGCAAGGCAACAGATGGTCTGCCAGCTCTACAAACTTGTCATAGTGGTCATAAGTGCAATGCAGTGCCCCATTGCGGTCTTGAAGGCAAGCAAATGCAGCTGCACATTAAGCAACAAATAGACATATATTGGCGGTGGTGGTTAATGGTGTGAAGCATCAACACGAGACGCGGATGACAAAACGAACAGCGTACTCACGATTGCGCATTCGTTCCCAGCATTCCGTGCATTTGTAGCATTCGTGCGAATGCACCCTGGCCTTGGGGGGACGCTGATCTGGGTCGGCACACATCTTGTCAGCCTCTGCCACCGCAGCCATCCTCGCGCTGATGACACGCTTGTGTGACGGCGACGAACGCGTGGGCATGCGGTTGTTTCGGCGGCGGCGTGGGTCACGTCTTCAAGTTTCACCCGACGTCGTTTGGGCGAACCCTGCCCCTGGAAAAATGCCAGGACAGGGTCCTCGCTGGTCTCTGAGGTGGATGCCTTAACGCCAGAGGGAGCGTCGTTGCGCTCAGGTGCGACGGGCAAATCAGGCTCCACTTGGGAGTCCTCGATGACGACGTAGTTGGACGGGTCGATAGGCTTGGGATTGCGATTAGCCATGGCGCTAGAGCACTTTAGGTGGCTAGGAACGTTGGTTCAGGAGTGTTAACAGCGGGAGCACTGAACTGCGAATGAGTGGTGAAGCATAACTCAGGGTACGGTATTTACAGGTGACTCAATGGCTTGGTGTGTGGGGATATCCAGAATCTTAGCCGTTCGTGGCATCTAGCAATCTAGGGTATCGGATGCATCTGGAGGGTGTTGGGTTAGTGCTTGACAATCGACGGCTCTAAAACCAACCAGTCAACCAACATTTGTGTGCAAGATGACATTCCCTTCGTATTGGTCGAGAGCCACGTATTTGGATCGTGGTTGCGCTGAGCTATTTTGTGAGCTCGGAAACCCCACCCCATCCAATGCGTTACCCTGACTCTCGGTCTCGTTGTACCGTTGATTATGATATCAAGTTCCCTTCTGTCTGGTGTGGCGCAGGCAACGGCTTCATTTGCGGTGACACATGGATCTTTGCCGTTGGTACCTTTTTGCAATGTATGGTGTAGGATGCATCTTGAGGGTGGGGTGTGAGTGTAGAGCAATCGACGGCTGTAAAACCAACCTGTAAACCACCTCCTCTTTCTAAATCAACCACCCCTTCTTACCGGTCGACAGTTTGGTGGTTGGATCGTGCCTGAGCAGCGCTGTTCTTTCTGTCATGAAACCCTAGCTCCTCACACCGTTGTTGTGTGTTGTGTGTGTAGTCAACACAGCACAGTCTAGAGCTCGTTGAAGGATTGTTCCTACGGTGGTTACGCTTCCCTTGCTCCACCACGTATTTAAGAGCAACAATGGCACCGTTGCGGCATAACGGAGCAGGATTGTTAAGAGCCTGTTACTGGCTAGTAATTTCTCACCATGTCTCAGCTTTTCGCCGCTGCCGCCATCGCCGATGGCGGGATTGGGAAACGCGTTCCGGTTCCCAATAGATGGTTCCAGAACCCCGACTTCGAGAGCGGATTGCCTCGCGGGCGTCTCGGCCGTGCTGGTGATGGCGAGACCGTTGCGGTCAATCTGACCCCTGTGGAGCATCAGGAGATGTTAGCCTACTTTGCCAGCAAGCGAGGTGCACAACGCCTTGAAGATGGCGAAGACGAAGCCGGCACCGGCCAAGAATGTAAGTATAAGCTACTGTTAATAATGTTATGCTTGCCTATACAATTCCTCTGACTCTCTCCTTTCCTGTTGGTATTAATACTCTTACAGATGGAGATGAGAACGCAGTGAACGTGCGACCTCTCGACCGCACGCGGGGAGACAACTTTGTGGCAGGCAAACAAGGTGCAACAGTTCATTCCAACGCCAAGCAGAAGCAGCCTGCGCTGCCACAGAGTGAGTGTTCGGGTTGGCGGCTTATGTTGGACGTGTGTTCATCACAAAGCCCTGACTCACCTGCAATGTCTTGTTTTCAGGCGATACAGGTCGCAAGCGGATGGTGCACTCTTTGAGTAAGGGTCATGTGGCTCCATCCCGTTCGCACGCTGGGAATGGGGGGGCGGAAGAGACTGAATCACGTGGGTGTTCCCCCGCGTTTAGTTTTCAACCTTTGTTAGTAGTTGAAGGCTAATCATCGTGAACCGCGTCACGGTCTAACTGATGGCGGTGCTGCTTCACATGTCCATGGTGTGCACAGCGTGTGGGGGACGTCAATCAGCTGAGTGGACGTATGGCCTACATGCCTCCGGATCCGACGCCCAGAGGGAACCTGCGAGATTACGGCTGGGACGCTAACAACGTTGACGCCATCACCGATGCTATGCGTGCCATGCAGGGGCAGTTTTCTGACATGAGCAAGGCTGTCACGGCTGCCGTCAATGCTGTCAAGGACTTGGGCGATCTGCTGCAGAAAACGCTAAGCCTGCAGCAGGAGACTTCTAACCAGAAGCGATGTTGCCACGCACCCAGCCTCGATGGCAATCCCCCCCATGCAGGGTGCTTCGACAGGCTCTCAGGGCACCGGCTCCAACCAGACCCAAGACACCACGCACGCGGCGGAGCTGCAGCGTTCCGTTGATTCGATCGTCGAGCCTGCAAAACTCTCGGTATGGCACCTTTGTGACCATGGTAAAGCACATTCGATGCTGTTGCCAGTCTTTTTGTGAATATGTAGCAGGACAATGTGCACGTGAACTTCCTTGTTGAGTCTCGTATGTTCTGTTTTGTGCGTGCCTTGAGCAGTCTCGCTACGTGCAGGTGTTCCAGAAATGTATCATGGTAGGCGAGTCAACTGGCGACAAAGGGCTGTCCATGTGGCCGAAAGTGGAGATCGTGGCAAAGTGGAGTGCAGCGACAGGGGCAATCGGGGAGCATCTGCAAGCCAAGCTGGTATTTTGTCTCAAATTTTCTGCCGAGCATATGGCAGTGTGGTCTGCGGTTTCAGCAAGGATGCGTGGTGGCATCACCCGGATCAGCAAAACGGTGCTGTACCGGTTCTTGGGCATTCCCCGCTTTGTGGGTGGTTTGCCCAAGGAGGTTCAATGGAAGCTTGTCACCTGCAGCGTGGTGCGCACCCCCCGGGATGCCTACCAGGAATATCTCCCTGGTGATGATTGATGCGTGATGGGGTGTGCATAGTATATAGGCGACTGTTCAGCTGTGGGTGTGGTGTGTACTGACGCATCACAGTCTAGCGGTCCTTCCTAAACTTTGTTGTACTCTGGTGCCTTGTCATTCCCCTCCCCTGGGGCAGATGGGTTCTCGATGACGTGGCACTGCAACGAGATGGGAGTGCCGTTCAGCACGTGGCAGTTTGAGATTTTCATCGCGGCTGCCTACTGGCGGAACCTTGAGCGGAAGAACCTCATACTTCACCCCTACAACGTGGCGTTCGCACTGTACGGGGTGAGTACTCCCCGGTTGTTCCTGCCCAGACGGAGTGTTCCCTGAATGTTTGTGGCTCTGCCTCATGTGTTTATCGTTGTGTATGATTACGAGGTGTGTCTTCTCCCCACCCGGTTTGATGGTCCCGCAGGCTGAATACCCCGTTGTGCACCATGATCAGTACCGCACCGGGCTCCCGACCAAGGACACGCCCAACATCCACAACACCGATCGGATGCGGGCCATCGTGTGCAACTGGATGCGGTTCACCATTCTCAAGTGGCGTACCACTAGGGGTGGTCCTCGCTGGATTCCAAGTGCCAAGGCGTGGCAGTTCAGTGAGGGTACGCATTACAACGTGCTCATCCGCTTCCCAAGCCCGGAGGAGTTGGCGGAGATGCCGGAGGAAATTGTGGGGGGTGAGGCTTATGACGGCGACGATGACCAGGAGGCTTCCGCGCAGGCGGCTGCAACCTTGGAGGGGTGAGGGGGGGACAGGAAGCTCTGGAAGGGAGTGACATGTCCGTATTTATTAATGAGGGGTGAGGTAGATTGGGGAAAGGGGAGGGGGGGTGTGGGGGTGACGCGCTAGGGTCGGTAGCTGTGTTCGGAATTGGTGGGCTGTTGTATCAGAGTCATAATCAATGAGATTTTTTTTGGGGCAGAAACAGTGGATGTGCAAAGCTCTTAGTGTCGTCATTGTCTAAACCCTGACCTGACTAAGCGCTAGGTGACATAGAATGTACATAGTGCGTACTATGCCTGAAATGTATAACCCTGTAGAATCGGTGTGTGGGGCTGAATCAAGGTACGCACATAGTGGGTACTTCAGTTTGAACATTGTTCGGGTGTAGTAGGGACCCCATGCCTATTCTGCACGCAGTGTCGAAGTGCCTTGTATGTAGGAGAACATGTAGACACATTGTGTCCGGGCACTTTATAGTCACAATGGAGGTTCATTGTCAATGTGCTGTAGGTACATTGTTCAGGCGAGGATGTTGTTTGGGATGTTGGTATTCTCGAAGGATCCTATCAGGCAATCAGGCAAATGCTTGAGTCGGGTAGTCGATGCTTGTACAATTTCTGTACAAAAATTCAAGTATAAAATCATATAGTAGCTACGACGCAAAAAACTGCGTCAAATTCGCCGCTCTGGATCGCCAGTCTAGCCGTGGTTTCATTATCGCTGATTCGCTTGCCCCACCTTTCATCCTCTCGCGCTTCCCTAGCTAGTAACTGTCGCTGTCTGCTTTGTGGACGAACTTCGCTAGGGTGCGTCGACATGCGCGGACGTCACGGAGGGTTACGGTGCATTCGATGCGCGTGTTCTGTACATTTGTCCGTTTTCCCAGGGAATTCAGGGCTGGTTTAATTTCAGCTCAGAGTTTCTCAAGGCTAGTCTTCCTTTTGGCCCGTACTACGGGAATATCCAGACGGGTCGAAACGGTCATTTTGCAACTAGCTGATACGAAATTCGTTTGATTGGGCCCACGTCCTAAGTGCAGAAGGGGTAGGGTGGAAATCTCTGGGAGTGAGATAGCCCTAAGAGGGGTTAAAAAAAACAAAGAATTTGAAGGGTGTGAAAGATCTTCCCATGTTCGACAAACACCGCCACCAAAATACCTCGATATAGCTCTGTTTCTTACAGTAGAGCCTTCGTATAGCGGAGTCGTTTAGGACGTGGTGCAGAACGGGTCAAGACCCGGTGCACCGAGGCGTCCCGGGGCGTGCCGGGGCGCCCCAGCTCGCCCCGTGGCACGCGTCTCAAATTCGGGTATCTTTCCAAGAGCTGAGGTCGGAACCTTCGTCCAGCAATGGGCGAAAGCGAAAAATTACACGCAAAATTCGGCCAAGACTGTCTACATGGTTACTTGTCGCCAAACACTTCGCTAAACAAATCTCGCAATTGATCCCTCCCCAAATAGAAGTCGCAATCATAAAAAAAATATCAGCGAGATTCTTGCGTGACAATTTAGCTAGTAACCAAGATTTCGAAAGTTCGCATGCTTTTCGAGAATGCTTGGGCGCTCCAGGGCACGCCCCGGGGCGTGCCGGCACGCGTCGGTGCATCGCCTCGTCCCGGCACGCCCCGGGACGAGGCGATGCACCGGGTTCCCGTGTGCACGGAAGCTTCGAAACCCGGTGCACCGCGGTGCATCGGGGCGTGCCGAGGCGTTCTGCACCACGTCCTTAGAAGATTACTCGCCACGTGTTTTAACCCGTTAAATCACACCTCGTTTTAAAGCATATCCCACCGTCATTATAGGACCTGACATGATTCCGCTGCAAACACCACGGTGCCTGATCCACGAACCTGTGAATTGTTTGTGAAGTGTCCTCTCCGGGAGAGGTAAAAATGTTTTAGTAGAAACATTTTGAAGGGTGTGGGAGGTCCTCGGGTGTTCGACGAACACTATTATTCAAATACCTCTTTATAGCTCAGTTTTCGACAGTAGAACCTTTGTATGACGGAGTTGTTTAGAATCTTACCCTTCATGTCTTTGTACCCGATAAATTACACGTTTTCTAAAATCATAGCCCACCGTCCATATGGGGATCTTGCCATATTCTGTGCCTGCACGAACCTGCGGAATTTGTTCGTAAAGCGCTCCTCCACAAATACGTCACCAGAATTGTGGGCAACCCCTGGGATGGGGTTCTCATTTATTTTAGTAGAAACGATTTGAAAGGTGTGGAATATCTTCAAATGTTCGACAGACACAGTCATTCAAATACCTCGTTGCAATGCGGTTTCCGACAGTAGAACCTTTGTACGACGGAGTCATTTAGAAGATTACCTGTAAACTTTTTTACCCGATAAATTGCACCTTCTTCTAAAGCATAGCCCATATAAGGGCTGGATCGGGCTGCGTTCCAGATATATCAGGGCTCGTTTCAGCCAAGCGACAGCCCTGCCCGTAGTCTACTGCGTCTCAAGTGGCCAACGGTCATCAGTCATCGAGAGAATAGAGCCTGGTGCATATTCGCGATATAAGTAGAGAAGCCTACTCTGTTAAATTGTCGAGAAGCATCTGTACCAACTTCATATATGTTGCCTATGCTGCTTTCAACAAGGAAAGGTTTTCGGTAAACGGGCCTTTCGAACGCTGCAGTTAGGTTTCTCTGCCGCAGCGGACAGCCTGGCCGTCTGTCGTGACTTGGTGGCCAGCTCTGGCACCACCGCCCACCACACAAGCAGGAGCACCAGCTCACCAGTAGTGCACTTGTCGTAACAGGCATCGCCAGTTGGCTGGCTGGGTTGAGAAGAGCGATCACTGACCGTCCGATGGTCGTGAGGTTGTCCACGTTATCGCGGTAGAGTGGACGATCATTTCGATCGCCAGCGAACTGTCACGAACGGTTGTTGGATGCGAGAACTGAACGAAAGATGCAAAGAGATGACACGCGGACCGCGGTGGACTGTACAGAGCAACACTGTTTGGCAAATCGGCATCAACCCGACCCACAGCACAGCATGGCCTGAGGGAGAAAAGTTCAACAACACCTCAAAGGGTTCCGTACGCTGACGTTGGGCTGGATGCGCCCTCCCTTGGTATAAGTGCTCATTCACTTCAGAGGGGTGGTACGACAATCAGTCACAAGTCGATTTGAACTGTACAGATGCGACGTGTCTCCATGAAGGCACAAAACACCCAAATGCTGGAGAGTGTCGTCGGATAGTGTCGTCTCGCGTCGTTTCGTGTGATACGTGAAGTGAACCTCGAGAAATGGATAGAACCCAGCTCGAGTCACCACGAGAAGTTGTGATGTCGAGTCGGAGTATCGAGTGGACACTGACATGACGTGACGACAAGAACGGGTTTCGTTTTCGCTGGCCTCGCATATCGCAGCGCGAACACAAAACAGGTTACAGGTTATACAGTGCAACAATGAACAGTGGGCACTACACAGAGCAGTTGTGTGGTACCCGTCCCCGCCTTCATCCACTCCATAGCATTTCAATTCCATCCACCTGTCCATATCAAAATGGATGCGATTAGTATTTCCCGTCAGCATGCACCTCCCATCGCAGATAGGTCTACGTAGTTAGTATATGTAGTTATTTTGCGTGGACGCCCGCGCGGTTAGCATGTCCCGCCATCCACGGTATATCCCATTCACCCCCAGTAACACCTGACTAGAAGAATTCATCCGTAATCTACTTCGCAAATCTTCACCTTGCTTTCCAAACATGGGTCGCAACAGTGCGACCACCACCAGCAGCGGCGCTGGGCATTCTAGCGCAAACCCTAACCCTAGCAACGGACCGCCACGAACCACGGGCCGGCAGGGCCGCCACAAGCACAGCTACAGCATGGACTATTCAACAGCCTCTCCTCTCGCGCTTCCGCCGTCCGGTCCTAAGCCTAGATCGCAGAGCAACAGCCCGGGCGACAATGGCGGCCACCGCGGAGGCGGCGGCGGCGGCGGCGGGAGCAGGCTGTCGCCTCTCTCCGGCGCGACTGCCCACGCGGGTGGCGGCGGAAGCGCGAAGAAATCTCCGTCATGGATGCCGCATCTTAGTCCGCGGTTCCTATGCTCCGCGGGAATGCCGCCGGAACTTCAAAACGGCTATTTCGGCCATTTGGATCTCGACGGCGATGATGATGACGACGATGACGAAATTCACGGCGGCGAATTGGGTAACCGGTCGCGTAGCGAAGTTCTGTACAGGTCCCGGCCCGTCGCAGACGCCGTCGAGGTCAGCTGCAGCCGCGGCGGCGGGTACTCCCGCGCGAAGACCGAGATCCCGCGGAAAGCGCGCGCCAGAGCCGCAGCCGCAGCCGCCGCATCCTCCCGCGCGCCTGCGCCTCGAAGCTGCGCCACAGACGGGGGGAGAGGCGGCGGCGGCGGCGGTGGCGGCGGCGGCGGCGAGCGCGGGCGCAGCGGCGGGGCTCGGCGCGCAGCAGCAGGAGGAGGCGGACGCCGCCGAGGAGGAAAACGAGGCGCAGTTTGGCAGAGCGAGCTCTATGCCTGCTTCGATGCACCGCCGGCGGAGATCCCTAGGCGGCGGCCTGGTCTCCCTAGGGTCTGGCGGCCTGACCTCCCTAGGATCCCCCGGTGCGCCTAACGGTCTGGCTTCGTGCTTGCAGCCTAGATCGTCGGAAATGGATGAGGACACTAAGATCCGCTTTACAGAAGGACCCGCTATAAGCTCTAGATCGAGCTCTGGAAGGATCGGCGGGGTTGTGGACGGGTCGCTGACCTCTGGCGATGATAGTGGTCGGTTCGGTAGCGGTAGGTCCGGTAGCGGCCGGTTCGGGAGTGCTAGGCTTGGTAGTGGTAGGCTCGGCAGTGGTAGGCTGGGTAGTGGTAGGCTTGGTGATGATCGATTGTCAACCGATTCGCTCTCTGGCGGCAGGGAGAATGTCAAGGGTGGGGCACCGGATTCGAAAGTTCGCCAAAGCTATTCTGGAGCTTCGGACAGCTCTACTAGGCTCGTTGACAGGCCGGGGGACATAACAAGAGGGGCGATTCTGGATAGGCAGGTTGAGAGGCTGATGGAAGAACAAACCTCAAACAATATCGCGTACAAAGGAAGAGGCTCGCAATCAGGGCCGTTGATATCCCGAGGGTCACTGCAAACAGACGGCTACGATCAAGCTGGGACCGAGCACACAGAGGAATCTTCCTCCTCTCACCTGCCACGGAGACCTACAGGTGCTGCAGAGCGTCTCAAGTCCCGCAGCTACATTGGAAGGAGCTTTTCCGGTGGGGGTATGGACTCTATAGCTGCTTCTGCTGCTGCTTCTGCTGCTGCTGCGGCTGCTGCTGCTGGTTCAGTGTCTAGCGCTGAGTCGAGTAGAAAACCAGGTGCTGCTGCAGAGAGGCTGAAGGCGAGTAGTTTCATTGGACGGAGCTTTTCTGGTCGGGGTGCGGAGTCTGCATCTGCTTCCGCTGCTGCTGCAGCGGCGTCTATCCGCGCTGCATTACGGGCGTCCGTGCTTCGAAGCTCGTCAGGTGTGGGGAAGGCGAAACAAGCAGGAGAGGGACAGGGGGGAGAGGGACAGGAGGGGCAGACAGGAGGGGGACAGAAAGTGGGAAGGAGAGGGTCGGGTCGATGGTCCGTTGCAAGGAGCTTTTCAGGCGGCTGTGCTCGCACAGATGCAACTGCTGCTGCTACTGCTGGTTTTGAGACGTCTCAAAACTCGGTTGCTAGAAGCTTTTCAGGCGGCCATGCTCGCACAGATGCAACTGCTGCCGATACGACTGCTGCTGGTGCTGCTGCTGCTGGTGGTGGTGCTGCTGCTGCTGCTGCTGGTGATGATGTTGCTGCTAGTGATGATGCTGCTGGTGGGTTTCGGGTAGACAAGTCACGTTCGGCCAGAGTGGGATGCACGGATTGGGAGGAGGAGGAATTCGGAGTGTGTGGCAGGGAGAGCAGGGACGCCGGCATGAGAGGAGAGGTGGAGGAAGAGTGTGGGATTGATGGAAAGGAGAGTACTGGCAATGAGGAGGGGAGTGAGAAAGAGGAAGAGAGGGAGGAAGAGGAGGACGACGGGGAAGAGGGGGAAGACGAGGACGGCGAGGAAGTAGCTGTAGGGAGCGGGTTGTGGGAGGATTATAACGAGGGTGGAGCTTTCAGAGCTGAGATGAGCTTACGCGGCAGTGGATGGTCCGCAGAGCAAGGGCAACACGGAGCAGCGGATTGGATGAAGCACCCCAGCAGCAGGTTGATTGCAATGAATCGAGATGAGGTGGACGAGGAAGAGGAGGGAGAGGAGGAAGAGGAAGGGGAGGAGGGTGAACGAGAGGAGGGTGAAGGAGAGGGAGAGGGGGAAGAGGAGGGAGAGGAGGGGGAGGAGGACGAGAGGCAAGGCTTCATCCTGAGCAGCGGAGTTATGGAAATGGAATGTGCTGAGTGGCGAGAAGGGGGTTTCCAGGAATCTTCCGAGCCAGTGCAAGATTCAAAACCTGGTGACGCACAGGATCGAAGCTTTCAGGAGGATGAGAAGGAAGGAGAGTGGGTTGGGATGGGTGGGAGGGTTTTGATAGGAGCTCCGTCTCTCAGCCCCAACGCAGTGTTTGAAACGCCCCAGCAGCAGAGAGTGCCTTCTCCAATGCTTATGGGAGCCGCTTCTCTCAGCCCTGACACAGTATTCGAGGCACCTCAGAGAAGAGTGCTGATGGGTGCTCCCTCGCTCAATCCTGACGCAGCTTTTGAGGTGCCCCAGCAGAGGGAGCTGATAGGAGCGCCGTCCCTGAACCCTGACGCGGGCTCACAGGCGTTCTGGGCGAGCTTGAAGGAGGGGAGAGGGGCGGACGTTTGGGATAGGGAGGCGGAGACGATTGCGGAAGAGGGGGATGGGGGAGAGGTAGGGGAAGGGGAAGAGGATGGGGAGGGGGAGGAGGGTGGTGGTTCGAGTGGTGTGTTTGATCTGGCGCAGGGGTTGGTGATGCAGGGTTTGGTGATGCAGGGAGAGGGCGGAGGCCAGGAAGAAGAAGGGGGCTTCGGTTTTGACGTGGGGGAGAGGATCAGGTTTGAAGACCGAGAAGCAGAGAGGGAGGAAGGCAACTGGGACGGAGCAGGAGCAGGGGATGAGGGCAAATGGAACGAGGATGATGGCAGCAGAATGGTGGGGCAAGAGATGGGTGGTGGTGGTCCATGGGAGTCAGTGCGAGATGCAGAGAGGGAAATGGATCCCGTGTGCGGCAGCACTGCAATGCTTTTCAAAGGCAGCCAGAGCCTGGGAGGGCCGGAAATGCAAGGGGAGATTCAAGAAGACGAGGGTCGACCAGACTTGTGGGGAAGGGCGCCAAGGGTTGAAAGCAGAGGTTCTTCCCGAGAGAAGAGCAGCAGCAGCAGCTTTCAGGCGTCGCCTGGTAGGCTCCTGTACTCCGCTTCTGTTAGGGAGCAGCGCACCACCAACGGCAATGGCTTTGGCAACGGCTTTGGTAACGGCTTTGGCAATGGCAGCAGTATCTTTGGCACCAGCAGCAGTGTCGGCAACAGCTTTGGCAACAGTGACATCGGCAGAAGCAGTATCGGCGGCGTTGGCAGCAGCAGCAGCCGCTTCGGCCCGCGCGGGTTCGCAGGAGAGCGAGACATCGGGTCGTTTGCTGACGTGGACAGCGACGCCATGGCACGCCTGGCGCGTGACGCAGCATCCCTGCTGGCGCTCGATTCAACCACAGACGACCCATCTGCACCCCCTCCCACCTCCTCCGCTTCTCGCCCCAGCAGCCCGTTTTCCGGCCCGCTTTCTGGCCTGCTCCGCCGGTCCAAAACCCCCCCTCGCTCGCCAAACCAGACCCCGCCTCGCACTCCCCCGCGCTCCCCCTCCCACACCCCCACCCACACGCCTCCTCGCACCCCCCCGGGCGGGGCCAGTCCGAACCGGTTCTTAGATAAGTGCAGGAGCGCGAGACTCGACCGGCCGAGTAGTCCTCTCAGGTTTGACCGGCCTGGGAGTCCGCTGAAGGGGGTGTGGGGTGTGTTAACGGGCCAGGGCGACGGGGGGAAGAGCGGGTGGGAGAGGATTGATGTCGATGCTGTGGTGGCTAGTGCTGCTGCGGCTGCTTCTTCTGTGGGAGGTGGTGGTGGTGCGGGTGCGAGTGATAGGTTTGTGTTAACAAGAGCAAAGACTGATAGCAGGGGGATGGAGGATGGCGATGGGGATGGAGTGGGGTTTGGTGGCGGGTTGTGGGGAGGGAGAGGGATGGGGATGGGGATGGGTATGGGGATGGGGGCGGGAGTGGGAGGGGGGGCGGAAGTTACTGCTTCTTGGGGTGAGAGGGTGAGCATGGCAGCATCACCCATGGGAAACGATGGGAGGGAAGCAGGTGCGGAGGAAGGAGGGTGGCGTGAAAGGGGAGGAGGAGGTGACGGGGGGTTTGAAGGGAACTTGCTAGAAAGAGAAGGAGCAGCAGTTGCAGCGACGGGATTAGTAGCAAGGGGCATGGTTCAGGGGGAAGAGACAGTAGAGGAAGCAAGAGGAGGAGGGGGAGGAGGAGCACCAGTAGCAGCAGCAGGGGCAAGTACAACGAGGGGAGGGGGAGCAGAGGCAGCCGCAGTAGACAAAGAAGCAGCATTGGAAAACGCGTGGATGATGGCGGAAGGGGAGGAGGAAGAAGAAACTCCAGACTTTGACGATTTCAGCCGCACCCGAACCTTCACATCTGCCATCCTAGCCGGACTCACCAAGAGAGTCACCGGACCTAAGGCTGGGCCTGCCAAGCCTGCATCCACCAAGCCTGGGTTTACCATGCCTGGGTTTGCAAAGAGGGAAGATCCGGGCAGCAGCAGCAGCAGGGTGATGGTTCCGAGGACGGCTAGTGATACGCACAAGGATGGGGTAAAGGAGGGGATTGGGAAGGGCGAGGGGAAGCAGGGCAAGTGGAAGGCACTCAGGGAGAAACTGGAGGAGAGCGGGAGGGGGTTAGGGGGCCCTGGATGGGGTATTCTGGCCTCCAAGCCGAAACCTGGAGAGGAGGGTGGGGGATCTTCAAAGGGTGCTTATGGACTTGAGGCACATGGGTCAGGTAGATTAGGTGGGTCAGGTAGGTTAGGCGGGTCAGGCAGGTTAGGTGGGCAGGATGGGAACGAGGAGAAGGAGAAGGAAGGGGGAGGAGTGTTAAGTTCTGCTCATGCTCAGCACCACCACCACTCCCGGCAGAAGTCGCAGATTTCGTTCGGGTCTGCTGCTGATTCCGCCCTGCTGTCTGGACTGCCTTCGTTCCTTCGCTCAGTCACTTTCACCTCTGCTGAAGCCCAGGCGCACCACAAGCAGCAGCAGCAGCAGCAGCAGCAGAAAAGGGAGGAGAGGGAGGAACAGGTGCAAATGCAGCAGCGGGATGAGATGCAGGCAGAGCAATCAAGTCATGCACAGGAGATTGAGAGAGATGGGAGACCGTACGAGTCATATGAATCGCAGGAACACACACAGCAGCACCGAGGAGAAGATGAGGAGGAGGTCTGTGAAGGGCAAGCGCTTGGGCTTTCAGATCAACAGAATCCGCACCTGTCACAGCAGCAGCAGCAGCAGCAGCAGGCCGTGGGGGTCTGCTGTGCGGTGCAGCTCGGTGGAGGAGGGTACGGCACGGTGCGCTGCAAGTCAGCAGCACAACGAAGGCTTGTGGAGCAACAGTGGGGTGCATGGGAGGAGCAGTGGCAGTGCAGTGGAACGGCTGAGGGACGAGGCTGGACGTGCTACTTCCAACCCCTCCGGGAGCAGAAACCTTTCCCGAATGCGCCCTGGTACCAGTGCCTCTTTCTCTGGCCGTATGGGTGCTTCTTCTGCTACTGGTGCTGTTGCCACCGATGGTGCTGCTGCTGGTGCTGCTGCTGGTGCTGCTGGTGGTAACGGTGCAACTACCCCTACTGGTAATGGTGCAACTACACCTACAGGTTATGGTCCAACGACCCCCACTGGTGGTGATGCGTCTGGGCCTGCTATCAGCCCTGTTGTCACTCCCCGCATCGCCTACTTCTCGTTCGACAAATACCGGGAGGCCGTAGCAGGGGGAGGCTCGTCCGGGGGAGGTGCATCTGCTGAGGAGCGCGATGCAGAGGGGTACCTGTTGTCCCACTCCTTTGGCAGCGGCAGGGCTAGAAGCAGGAGCAGCTTTAGTGGGAGATATGGCAGCAGCATTAGCAGCAGTGGTGGTAGTGGGAGTTTGACTCCCCCTCCTCGAGCAGCACTGGGGAAAAGCGGCGGCAGCGGTTGCCTCACCCCTCCCTCTGGCGCTCTAAGGAAACATGGCAGCGGCAGCCTGACTCCCCCGCCTGGCACACTGGGTACGAGTGGCAGTGGCAGCCTTACCCCTCCTGGCAATGTGTTTAGTCACGGTGGCATGGCAAATGGGAGCGTGACCCCTCCTGGGAGTATGTTCAGCAGGAGCGGCAGCAGGAGAGGGTTCACTCCGTCAGCAGAGGATATGTCTAGTAGAGGGCATGCAGGAGACTGGAACCCTGGTGGGGACAGTAACCACAGCAACCGCAGTAACCACAGCAACCACAGCCACGATGGCAGTCACGGGTTTGAGTCTTCTCGAAACAGCTACGGTCACAGCAGCTACAGTCACAGCAGCCACAGGCACAGCAGCTACAACCAGCGATACAGCTATGGTGGTAGCCACAACCACAGCCAGAGCCAGAGCCATAGCCACAACCACAGCTATAGCCATAGCCAGAGCCAGAGGGAGAGCCAGAGGGAGAGCCAGAGGGAGAGCCAGAGGGAGAGCCAGAGGGAGAGCCGCGGGAAGGACTCTCCCGGTCACTCCCACCTGCAGCGTGGGTTTCCCCACGCGCGTGGGGGCGTTGAGCGAGTGGCGTCCGACTGTGCGGCCGAGAAGAGAGCGAGGGAACGACAAGAGGATAGATGGGATGAGGCAGAGCAAGGAGATGGTGTGCGCGGGCGAGTATTGTCAGGGCGCATGGGTGGAGGAGAGGGGGAGGGGGCGCTTCTGACTGCTAGTCTGGGAAGGCGGGTTGGGGAAGGGCAAGGCGGCTCGCGTGGGTCGCGGCTGGGGAAGGGTGGTAGGGGCGACAAGGGGCCAGTGCGAGGGGGAGAGGAGGAAGAGGAGGAGGTTGTGGGGGGTTGTGGTTCCGGAGCAAGCAGAGTGGGGGATGCTGCACCGGGTGGGGCACGACCAAAGTACGACAGGAAGGCCAGGTCAGTATGGCTGGCAGGACAGGCATGCAAGCCTGGGGTGATTTTCTTTAAGTTTTGAAACGTCTCAGCAGATTTAGACATCTCACAAGTGGATGCAGCGCCAGGTGGAGCACGGCCGAAGTACAACAGGGAGGCCAGGTCAGTATGGCTGGTATGCAAGCCTGGGGTCTGGTTTTCTGGTTATGGCACTCCACAACACCCGAGTGCCAGCGGCCTCTGCCCTGCAACTTCCTGTGCTGCAGCAGGGGTTGGGAGACCGCCCATCCACCACGCCCACTCCGCCTCTCTGGCTGCTCGTTCTGCTTTTCATTTGTGCAACTCCCCTGCCTCCCTCTCACCTCCACCCACCCCCACCACCAGGAGCCGCACCTTTGGCAACCCGGAAGAGCTCTCGGACCTTTACCCTCCCCCCAGTGCCTTCGAGCGATCCCACTCCACACCCGAGCGGCGGCGGCCTCCCGATCGCCCTGCAACCTCCTCTGCTGCAGCAGGGGTTGGGAGGCCCCCCGTCCACCATGCCCATTCCGCCTCTCTGGCTGCTCGTTTCCTGGTGAACGGTCATGGGAGCGGACAGAGGCAGAGGGGAGGTGAGTCCGGGCGGATTGGAGGGAGCAGATTGTCAGGGAAATATCAGCAGAACCAGGGGTGGGACGAGCAGCATGGGCGTCATGAGGACGGGCATGTGCACGAGCAACGGTATGAGGAGAAGCAGTATGAGGAGAGCTATCAGCAGCAGGTGCAGCAGCAAGTGCGGGAGAAGAAGCAGGTGAAGGGGAGGCATAAGGAGACAGGGGCAGTGCTGCATGTGGCGTGGAGACAGTTGGAAGTGGAGGAGGAGGAAGAGTGGGGCAGGCAGAACTCCGATCCTGTCAAAGGTGGCAAGGGGAGGGTGACGGCTGTAAGGAGGCTTGTGGAGGACGAGGAAGAGGGAGAGTGGGGCAGGCAGAACTCAGATCCTGTGACAAGCGGCAGGGGGAGGGTGCAGGCCGTAAGGAGGGAAGTGGAGGAGGAGGAGGATGGAGAGTGGGGACGGCAGAACTCAGATCCTGTGAAAGGGAGCAGGGAGAGGGTGAGGGCTGGAAGGAGACGCGTGGAGAATGAGGAGGATGGGGAGGAGGGAGAATGGGGGCGGCAGCACTCAGAACCTGCAAAAGCCAGCAGGGAGAGGGTGAGGGCTGGAAGGAGGCACGTTGAGGCCGAGGAGGAGGAAGGAGAATGGGGTGAGGAGGACGGAGAGTGGGGCAGGCAGAAACACTGGAATTGTGTGAATGATGGCAGGGAGAGGGTGAAGGCGGGGCAGAGGCAGGTGGAGGAGAGGGAGATGGCTGGATACGCTGGGGATGGTTATGATGAAAATGCAGGGGAGGAAGAGGAGGAGGAAGAGGAGGAAGAGGCAGGGGATGGGGAAGAGGTAGAGGAAGAGGAGGAGGAGGATGGAGAGGAGAGGGAGGAGGATGATGGGGAAGAGGTGGTGGAGAGTGGACAAACGGGATGGTTCAGAGATCGTGGTACAGGCCTGGGGAAAGGGGCTGAGGTCCATTCTCGGAAAGGGAGAGCAGGGACAAGTTCTGGAACCAAGTCATCTCACAAATGCGACAATGGAAGGCGGAAGGGCGATGGAATCAACAGTGGGAGTGAGGACGAGGAGGGGCAAGGGGAAAGAAACTTTTCTTATGACAAGGAGCATGCACGCGGAAGGGGGGGGAGGAGAGAGGCGGTGGAATGGAGGCAGTGATGGTTATGGGGAGAGTCGACAGCAATGGCATGACAGTCAAGAACAGAACGAGGAGGGGGGGGAGAGCGTGGAGGAGGAGGGAGAGGGGGAAGGGAGTGTTAACGAGGATAGTAAGGAGTGGAGTGAGTGTGAGGATAGTGAGGTGGAGAACGGGGATGGTGAAGAGAGAGGGGAAGTGGTGAGTAGAGATGAGGAGGAGAGTGCACAGCATACAGAACGCAGAGGCATAAATAGAGTGCACAGGGAAAGGGGTGAGGAGGAAAGTGAGGAACGGTACAGAGGCAGAGGTGCGGATGGGAAGAAGCAGTCGCAGGGGATGAGTGGTCGGGAGAAGCAGTATGCACGGGGGTACGAGGAGAGGCGTAACGGAGAAGAACGAGACATGCACAGCAGGTTCAAAGATGAGGAAGATGAAGTGTATGGAAAAAATGGGGAAGACGGGGTATATGGGACAGATGTGTACGATAGGAGCTATGGGGATGCAGGGGAAGGAGAGGGGGGAGATCAGGGAGGATACAGGAATTGTCGCTCTAGGAGAGTAGACCACGCTCAGCAGGAGGGTGAGAGGGGTGCAGCAAGGGGTAGTGGTGCACGCCACTCGCGCACTTCCAGTTGGTTGGACCAGAAGAGTCAAGAGGGCGAAAGAAGTGCAGCAAGGGGTGGTGGTAGTGGTAGTGGTGCACGCCACTCCCGCACTTCCAGCTGGTTGGACCAGAAGAGCCACTCTCACCGGCCCGGTCGATAGCGGCAGCAGCAGCAGCGGCAGCAGCAGCAGCAGCAGGAGTGAAGCATGCTCACCAGGAGGGCGAGAGAAACGCAGCAAATGGTGGTGAAAATGGTAGTGGTGCATGCCATTGCCACCCCCCAACTTTCAGCTGGTTGGACTAGAAGAGCCGCTCGTACCGGCATGGGCAATAGCAGGAGCAGAAGAGTAGCAGGGCCATCCGCGCCATCTTGTGCTCGCTCCGACTGTTAATAAATTCATTCTCTCCAGCAGCAGCTTCTCGAGGCGTGCATCCCTCTATGTGTGGTACATACATGACTTAATAGCAGGCACGTCTTAATTTGCCTGCGACACTTATTGTTGATGCTTGGTGGTGCATGAGCATGCTCCCAGCATCTTGGACGTGGTGTTGTGTTTATTGGTTGCAGGTGGCGTGGCTTGATGCCGTCCATGGGGGGAGTTCCCTTGTGCCCCATCATTCCTGCCATCCTAACACGCCGTGCTGTCAGTGTACATATCCATATAGATTTATAAAGAGTATAGCCCTGCTTTTTCTGTGCCTCCTGTCTCTGTTAGGATGCCAAACCTGCATTGGCAGAAACCAGGCATCATCATTGAATCAATGCACAGGAGATCCAGAGTCAACCAGCGCAGGACAACTGATTGCACAGTACTAGATCTGCAACAGGTAGATTTGAAGCCACTGTTGAAAGGGGGACAATCGCCACAAGCTAAAAGGGTAGCGGTGGTGGTTGACTCAAGTTGCCTACGGTATTTTTTCCTGTGTCAATGTTGTCATGAGTCATGTCATGGTAGCAACCATACTCAGCCAGTCCTGGAGATAAAAATAGTATTTCAATAAAATGTGTAACACGTTGGCATCAATTTAACGCAACCTGCAGTGGTTAGCTGAACAGAAACAAAAGAACGCACAAAACCAAAGGACATGTTACACCACCTTGGAATATGGTATAGACTGGTTTGCCCTCTCCGACATGCCATGCAACCAAAGGCTGTCTACAAAAACCTGGGTAGAGTACCGGCAAGCCAGCATGGCAGTCATGTCTGGAGGCCTCGCATCAATGCTGCCACATTGTTGACCTCTGGCGCTGGAGATGCAATGTCTTCCATCCTGCAGAAGACCGGTTGAAATGACTTAAGCATCGCAGATGCTGGTTCATGAAGGTCTGTTTCATCAAAAGCATCAGGGACTGAACTACGCATTGCAGAGGCGTTACCTTTGCTTGAGGAGCTGCTGCCTTGTCAGGACACTGGTCTGCTGTGTGTGATGACTCCATGGATGATTGCAGTTGCACACCTGATGATTCACAAAAAGCAAGGCACGGAGGCAGAGGTGCAAAGGAATTAGGGCTATATTGATGGTCAAGTTGACTTGATTCGAGCAGAATTGCACTCGCTCCCTCTCTCCCTCCCATGGCAATGCGCAGGATGGCACACTAGACACCTTCCCTCATGCATTGAAAATGCATGGTCAGCCACGCATGTCACACCTGGGTCCTGTAAGCAATCCTTCACCACATTCCTCTACTGCTACCCTGATTTACCCATACATATAACCGTCATCCTTGATCTGCGCATGCCAGGTGCAAGCTCACTTACCCATGGGCTATCGAACTTGTCGCATGAGCATTTTGGCCGGATGCATTTGTGCGATGTTGGCTCGTGTTCCACATGCTTATGCTGCGTGACAGATTGACAGAACGAAGGAAATAGAAAAAGGACGGAAAAGGTGAAAAGAAGAATCTGTAGAATTTGCACAACTGCGAGTCCCTACCGAGGAGCAACTCCACGTAGCAAAGACATTTTACCAGGGTTTTGGAATTTCTTTCAGCAGCAGGATTAATGGTTAACATGCAGAGGCTGGCTTCAGCAAGGCCAGGAAACGATTACGGCGTGAATGACTGAAAGCGAAGCCAGAAAGGAAGAAACCATGCATCTGCAGTAAACAAGTTCTGACACGATGCATTTGTGTACAGATGCATGAAAGATGACAAGCACGCACCTTGCATCTGCAACGAAGGATCCAGACGCCTTGAGCGGGAATGAAGAAGAAACTCTCGCACGCACATTTGGCTCGTCCGCAGACCAGCTGAAATTCAACACAATGCGACGAAGACGACGACGAGGAGCCTGAATGCGAATCGCTCGGCGGTCCTGCCAGGGAGTCCGAATCTTGCGATTCCGGGTTCTCAGACAGCCGTGGGTCGGTCAATTTTTCCGCAGCCACTGTTTCAGAAGAGCTTCGCTGAGTAGTAGGCGGTTTCAGACGATGCTCTCGAAGCCTGTGGCCGCAGATACATTGGGATTCGTCTCGAACTGGCAGGCAGCTGCGGTCGCAATCTGAGGTTGACAATTAGGAATATTGGGAATAAAATCAAGCCCGGACGGAGTCACATGATGGTGGTTAGTGATCACGCTAAGTTAAAGCCACTTCGCAACCCTCGCTTCACCCCTCCGCTAAACTTGGACCTCGCGGACCAATCCCAGTCGACCTCCTACCACCAACTGCAAAACACTCGTACTACTTGAGACCCTGGCTTTAAGTTCACATCTGCTAAAAACGAGAAAAAAAAAAAAGAAAAAGAAAAAAAGATGAGATAATTACAAAAACAAACCGAGGCCACGGTAAGCTCTAGGTGCCGAAGGCATACCACGGCAAGTCCACGTGACCTTAGCCTTGAGGTCGGAAGAAGAGTCCTTGCCGTCCTTGCTAATGGATTCCACGCCAGCAGGCTGCTTTTTGGATTCTACATGACATTCAATTTCACTAGCCTCTGTCTCTACTGCTCCGGCTAAGTCATGTGCTTGATCACTCGTGACCATGATGCTGACAAGCTAAGCAACGGAGCTTCAGCACGTGGTGCTTGGCGACGTCTCGGCTTACCGTGCCGAATCGTGGTATTGAAACTAGCCTGCTGCAGGAATGTGAATGGAAGCAGGACTTCCAGCAAAGCGAATGGTGTGGAGCAAGTATGAACGGGAAGTATCTCCGGAACTCCGAGGCAGACTATGAATGACCAAAGAGATTTGGGTATTCAGTTCACTCACACCCAACTGACATCCGAATGTCGCGGCCTGTCAGAAGCTTTTGAGGCGGATGTGGTAAGATAATATAACGGATCTTTCGTGAAACTTGATAATATTCCACACGATCTATAGCATTAACCCCGAAGCTGGACACAATGACAATAAGTCAAATCGGCAGCGTTAGCGTCAAAGGCTCGCCCGTGCTGGAATTTTTACCTTCCAATTAATGTTTGAAAAAAAAATGCTACAGACCTACCTTCGATACTCAGACCCATCCCTTGAGACTCGGTCACCATACCCACGAGGACTAGGCTCATGACGACCACCAGCACCACCCCCCCTCCAATCCCCCCTACCAGCACCACCAGACCTCCAATCCCCCCTACCAGCACCACCAGACCTCCAATCCCCCCCATCAGCACCACCAGACCTCCAATCCCCGCCACCAGCAGCACCACCCCCCCTCCAATCCCCACCACCAACACTACCTCCTGACATCCATCGATCACCATCATCAATCACCCTACCTGCAACAGCACCACCCCCAGCTGACATCATGCCACCAACCGATCCCATCGCACCAACCGGACCACCAGCAACCCCACCAGCAGCACCAGCAACACCACCAAAGCCACCAGCAGCAGCAGCACCACCACCACCAGCAGCAGCAGCAGCAGCAGCACCACCACCACCAGCACCAGCAGCACCAGCAAAGCCACCAGCACCAGCAGCACCAGCAAAGCCACCAGCACCAGCAGCACCAGCAGCACCAGCTGCGTTTTTCTCAGCATTCTCCAATTCCCGCACGGCTGCTCTCCCCGCTTGCTCCAGCAGCCTCACCGCGCACCCCACCACTCGCCTCTCATTGGCCGGCCGCGGCCCTCCCGCCACCCACCTCCCCAGAATCGAATCCAGCACCGCCCGCAGCTGCACCAGCAGCTCTCCCACGTGCCGATCCACCACAAACTCGATCCAACGGTCCACAATGAGCAGAACCGGCTGAGAAGCCAATGAGGACGGTCCAAACCCATAGGCGCCACCAGCAGCAGCACCGTACGAATTGCCAGAGGGAAAAGCCCCTCCCAGGGGTAGAAATGGAGATGGGGCAGGGGCAAGCTGGATAGGACCTCCGAAGAGGACGATAGAGAGTGCAGGGATGAGGGTGCAGCCACGGATAAACACCTGTGACGTCTGCACCCGCTCGTTAAACGTCAGAAAATGCACTCCCCCGTCATCCAATGCCTTGCCCTGCTGGGGAATCACCCCTGTTGGGTGGATCCACACCCGGCCCTCGGAGGTTCGGAACCCGAACCTCAGCCGAACCTTCTGTTTCCCGCCACTGCTGCTGCCGGCCCCGCCTCGGGCTTCTGGGAGCATGTCGGAGTGGGCTATATGGGGAGACAGACCTGCCACTAGCACGGAACGAGCGATGAAGAGGGATGACTCGTCAGTGTCGTCGATGTGCGGTTCAGATGCAGCAGCATTGGCTCTGTCAGAGCCCGAGGGGTAATCTCGGCCGTCCATCTGCTCGTCCATGCGCTCGTCTGCCACTCGCACATCCCACTTTGACCTGTGCCGCCGACCCTCACTCTCCCTCTCCCTCTCCCGTTCTCTCTCCCGCTCCCGCTCTCTGTCCCTCTCCTTCTCCCTGTCACGATCCCGATCCCTATCCCTGCCGCTGTCCCTTCCCCTGTCCCTGTCCCTGTCTCTCTCCCTGTCCCTTACCCCATCCCTGTCTCTATCTCTATCCCGCTCTCTCTCCCTGTCCCAATCCCTCTCCCTATCCCTATCCCTCTCCCTGTCCCTATCCCTGTCTCTGTCCCGCTCCCTATCCCTGTCCCGATCCGAGCCCCTCTCCTCCCTGTCCCTCCAGTTGTCCCTGCTGCTACCACTACCAGCACCCCTGGAATCACTCAGCTGCGTGGAGCCAGTGCGGGCATCGATGCGAGTCACATGGCGAATGTCAGGCCTACCACTCAGTGAAGATACCCCACCACCAGCACCACCACCAGCAGCCCCACCGGAAGCAGCAGCAGCAGCAGCAGCAACACCACCACCACCGCCGCCACTAGCACTGCCAGCAGCAGTACCAACATCACCACCATCAATGCCAGACTCTCTCTTTACCCCTCTTCCTCCTCCAACCCCTGTCCCCTTCCCCTGCCCCACAGCAGCACCCTGCGCCTGTGCCTTGGGCGGCAAATCAGCATCAAGAGACTCCCCCAATCGGGCCAACCCCGCCCCCCACAGCATCCTCTCAATCTGCATCTTCAGCCCCAGCATAAGCCGCATACCGGTCGGTGCCAGGAAGTTCTCATCGCAGTACCCCATCGCCCGCCCCTCTGCGTTTGCTCTCATCCACCCCTCATGCGCCATCACCACCGCTAGATGGTCGCTGCCCGCCGCCGAGCCTGTCGCGAAGGCTCGGCGCGCAGCATCGGCGGCGTTGCGGTTGGTGATGGGGGAGAGGAACGGATCCCGGGAGAGGGAAGCTGCCGCAGCGACGGAGAGGAGAGGAGATAGGCAGTGCAGGAGGGACCCATACACCAACATCTTGCCAATCCGAGGGTGGACAGCAAGCCGGCTGAGGGTCGATCCAAGGGCTGTGAGCTCTTCATCTTCGTCTAGTGCGCCCAGCCCCTGGAGATTCTCTATGGCATGGCGAACGGCAAAGGGATCGGGAGGAGAGAGGGCCTTGGCGAGAAAGAGGCCGATGTTGGTGCTGCGATGGGCGGTGGCGGAGGAGGGGTAGGAGGAGGAGGAGGAGGGGTAGGAGGTGACGGCAGCTGCAAGAGGGAGGGGTTTGATCTGCAAGCAGATTTCTTCTAGAGGGACGCGTTGCATCTCAGGCACGGAGTTGGGGGCCATGGCCTCGTACACCTGCAAATCGGAGAGAAAAAATATCAACGCGAGAGAGGAGATAAATTTATGTCGATTGCTTTCGAGCCAAGCAAAAAAAAAATTCTGGACAGTAGAAAACGCCTGGTTTCAAATACTGTTCGCAAGCAGGAACCAGCTGGACTTACCATGCGGGTGAAAAGACGGAAGCATTTTCCGGGGCGCACGCGACCAGCTCGGCCCTGCCTCTGCTTCACACTCGCCTTGGACGCCCACTGCAGGCCGGGGGACAGCACAGGGTGGCATGAAACAGGTGGCAAGCAGATGAAGAAAACAAATCTTCCGACATGTACTTGACTCTTACTGGAAGAACAGCATGTGGGGCTGTTGGTTTTTCTCCATGGACAAATCAACAGCCCCCCCCACATGCTGTTGTAGAGATGTTTCTCGCCAGGTGTTTCTTGCTCCAAGTACGTCTCCTTGGACTTGCGATGTGAGTGAGAGCGGTGTCCCTACCTGCACCTGCACGCACTGCTATTGCCGCCTCACCTGCACGCGCATGGAGGAGATGTTCCTTGCAGGCTCGAGGCACTTCTCCTTGGACTTGCCTCATGTGGCTCCTACTCTCTGGCTGTGCTGAACGTCTTTCAACAACATAGAGATCTAAGAGCAACAGCAAAGCAAGAGCCCACCTGCACGCGCATGGAGGAGATGTTCCTTGCCGGCTCAAAGTACTTCTCCTTGGACTTGCCTCATGGCTACCCAGGCATGAGTCGCTCACACAAGTGACTGAAAGGGAGTGATGGGCACCTCACCTGCACGCGCATGGAGGAGATGTTCCTTGCCGGCTCGAAGTACTTCTCCTTGGACTTGCGCCATGTGAGTGAGTGCTGTCACTACCTGTACACTTTGCTGGCTGTAGCTAGTACTGCCCATCTCACCTGCACGCGCATGGAGGAGATGTTCCTTGCCGGTTCGAAGTATTTCTCCTTGGACTTGCCTAATGTGAGAGCGTGATGTTCCACCTGTAAGCATTGCTACCATCTGCACGCACTGCCAGTACTGCCCACCTCACCTGCACGCGCATGGAGGAGATGTTCCTTGCCGGCTCGAAGTATTTCTCCTTGGACTTGCCACCATCCACCACAAACACCACGTCGTCTATTGTCACACTCGTCTCCGCTATGTTGGTTGATAGAATCACCTGCAGAGGAGGAGGGAGCGGAACAAGGGGGGAGACGGCAAGGTGGAGAGATGGGGAGATGTTGGAGAGAATGAAAATGCAACAGGTTATCAGCCGGACAACTGGTCACACTCGTCTCCGCTATGATGGTCGATAGAATCACCTCCATAGGAGGAGGAGGAGGGAGCAGGAGGCGAGACGGAGAGAGATGGCAAGGTGGAGAGAATGAGAGATGAAGAAATGGTCAGATGAGAGACTGAAAACGCACAGACTATAGTTCGGACAACGTGTTACATCCTTCACTATCACATCTGCCACTAAAACACCCACCGCTATCACACCCACCGCTATCACACCCACCGCTATCACACCCACCGCTCTCACACCCACCAACCATCATCACATCCACCAACCACTCTTACCTTGCGCTTCCCCTCTGGAGGGCGATCAAATGCTGCTCTCTGCTCTGCTGGTGGCACCTGCATGGCGTTTCAGCGGGGAGGAAAGGCATAGGGAGGTATTTGAAGGTGTACAAACGTAAGCCAGGAAGTTCATTCAGAGTTGTCTGAAGGCAATAACAGGTGAACCACGAGGTTGGAAAAACCACGCAAGGAGCGTGATAAGGAGTACGGCAACAAAAGTTAGCGCTCGTACACAGCAACTGCAGCATGTTCATACCAAGTACAAACTGCAGCACGGTCTCTCTTTCTCTCTTTCTCGCACAGCCCCTCACACAGGAGGGCAGTGTGGCAACACCTGCATATCCAAGAACGGAGGGAAGGCGTAGCAGAGCCTCACCTGGAGCATAACTCACCTGCGAGTGCAGCATGACAATGTGGAAGCGGTATGATCCAGGGAGGAACTGTAGCTGTCGCTTGGCATCTGCGATCGTGTCCCACCCCTGCACATGTGGACAACGGGCGCAATGTGCCATGAAATGGCATGGTATGAGGAGACGTGCGCATGGTACGTTAGCCACTGGCTTCAGCGATCGTGTCCACCCCTGCACATGTGGACAGTGGATGCAATGTGGCATGGAATGGCATGGTATGGCAAGATGAGGCGTGCACATGGTGTGCTGGTCACTGGCTTTGCAATCGCGTCCCTTGCATACTCATCATCCGCCCAAGACACCCACAGCGGCGTGAAGGAGCCTGCTACCTTCAACACTCATGCCTTTGAAAGTGCAGCACGAGTGTTGAAACAGAGCAGAGGATTGACCGGTGCTTCCACTCACCAGCAGGAAGCAGAGAATCGACCCGTCCTCCCTCGCATACTCATCATCCACCCAGGCCACGGCCATCGCTCCCATCTCAGCATGTGCAAGGTTACTTACTGGCAAGAAGCAGAGAATCGACCCGTCCTCCCTCGCATACTCATCATCCACCCACGCCACGGCCATCGCTCCCATCTCAGCATGTGCAAGGTTACTTACTGGCAAGAAGCAGAGAATCGACCCGTCCTCCCTCGCATACTCATCATCCACCCACGCCACGGCCATCGCTCCCATCTCAGCATGTGCAAGGTTACTTACTGGCAAGAAGCAGAGAATCGACCCGTCCTCCCTCGCATACTCATCATCCACCCACGCCACGGCCATCGCTCCCATCTCAGCATGTGCAAGGTTACTTACTGGCAAGAAGCAGAGAATCGACCCGTCCTCCCTCGCATACTCATCATCCACCCACGCCACGGCCATCGCTCCCATCTCAGCATGTGCAAGGTTACTTACTGGCAAGAAGCAGAGAATCGACCCGTCCTCCCTCGCATACTCATCATCCACCCACGCCACGGCCATCGCTCCCATCTCAGCATGTGCAAGGTTACTTACTGGCAAGAAGCAGAGAATCGACCCGTCCTCCCTCGCATACTCATCATCCACCCACGCCACGACCCTCGCTGCCAGCTCAGCATCGAGCTCGTCCTCGTCAGCGCACCCGTACTTGGGCTGGAGTGCTTGCCGTACCACCGAAGGCACATGGCGGCCCATGAGGTAAGGAAGATCGTCGAGCGAGTGGACTGAGACAGGGTGGATGAAGCCTGGGATTGTGAGCATGGGGCAGTGGTGGAAGTAACTGGGGGTGGAGCGGGGGGGGGGGGGGGGGCGGGGGCAGTGGCGAAGGGGAAGAAATGGGGGGGGGGGAGAGGGGGGGGAAGGGCGTTTACAATGAGCAGTAGGGGTTGGGAGGACGGATAGGGGCAGAGGGAGGGAGAGCGGTGGGCCGAAGGTGCAGTGCAGCGGCTGGCGCACCACCGATGGCACGTGGCGGCCCATGAGGTAAGGAAGGTCGTCGAGCGAGTGGACTGAGACAGGGTGGATGAAGCCGGGGATTGTGAGCATGGGGCAGTGGTGGAAGTAGCTGGGGGAGGGGGGGAGGAAGGGAGAGAGGGCAAAAGTGAAGGAAAAAAAACGGGGGGGGGGGGAGAAGGGGGGGGGGGGAGGGGGTTCACAATAAGCAGGAGGAGCTGGGAGGAGGGATAGGGGCAGAGGGTGGGGAGGAAGAGGAGTTGGGCAATAAGGGTGCAGTGCTTGGCTCAGCACCGATGGCACGTAGGGGATGGCAGGTCGTCGAGGGAGTGGACCGAGACAGGGTGGATGAAGCCCGGAATTGTGAGTATGGGGCAGTGGTGGAAGTAGCTGGATGGCTAGGGGGATGGGCAGGTGGGAGGGGGGTGAGGGGCGTGAGGGGGGGAAGTGGGGAGAGAGGTTGGAGAGGTACGAGGAGGGGTGAAGACGGGATAGAAAGGGGTGGAATAGGAAATAGCAGAAGGTTTGAAGTGAAAACTGTTATCCAAAGTCCAGAAAGACCACCAGGAGGGGGGGAATTGGGGAGGGGGATTATGCAAGCAGCCGGGCGGGAGAGTGAAGTGAGAGAAAAAGGTAGGAGCATAACCAACCAACGCAATGACATGCAGGGAAGAATCGAGGGGTGAACACAAAGAGTGAAGTGAAACAACAGAGGAAGGCGGAACCAACAAGAATGAAAGAAAAAAAACAACACAGGAGTCAAAAGAGACAACGACACATGGTAGTGGAGGATGCAGAGTGGTAAGGTGCGATTCTGCCAGGTTTTAAGGTGCCCCAAAACAGACACATGATGCCGTACCACCAGCTCGCTCGCTCGTTTCACTTTCAAAGGTCAGACGCTGCAGCAGCCACCTCCTTCCTCTCATCCATCTCCTTAACCCATGAGGCTCAGCAGCAGCAGCAGAGGCAGATGGAAATGGCAGCAGCAGGCTGGCAGCAGCAAGAAAAGCTGTGGCATCCCATGCTGCCACTGCTGCTGCCACTGCCACCGCCACTGCTGCTGAGCCTCTGATTCGCAGGCCAGGTTCGAGGAGACGAGAGGAAGGAGGCTGCTGCCGAAGAAATCGAGACCGGGAACAGATGAGTGAGCGAGCTGGCGTCACGCAGGGGGAAGGAAGGGGGGACGGACAGAAGGAGGGGCAAGACTTACGAGGTGAAAAGAGCAGCATGCATAGTGAAGTTCACGATGACCACACAGCTATTGACTTGCTCGCTCTGCTCTGCCTAGCCTAGATGTTGGCATGACAACTCACAAAAGAATGCGATGGTAAAATTTGAAGTAAAAGGTCCATCAAAACTCACGAGCTGAAGAGATCGGCATCGATGGTGATGCTCAAGATGACCACACGGATACGAGAGTGCATACTGGTGCCGAGTTATGTGAGCATCGGCTGGGCTCTCTCTCTTTCTCTTTACCCTTATGAGGGCAACAGTAACACACGGAATTACAAGTTAAATACAAACATTGGTTACTCACGAGGTGAAGAGATCGGCATCGATGGTCGCGCTCATGAAGACCACACGGATACGGGAGTGCACGGCGGGGGAGGAGAGCATCTGCTTGGCTCTCTCCACCCTAACACAATGGTCTTTGCAAAGAAAAGAGGCAATGGTAACTCACGAGGTGAAGAGGTCTGCACCAATGGTGGCGCTCATGATGACCACACAGATACGGGAGTGCACGGCAGGAAAAACAAAGCATCTGTTTGCCTCTCTCCCGTTCCCCGTACAAGGGCAATGGTAACACACGAAGCAACTGGTTTCATTATAGACAGTGGTTGTGACTCACGAGGTGAAGAGATCAGCATCGATGGTGGCGCTCATGATGACCACACGAATACGAGAGTGCACAGTGGGGGAGGCGAGCATCTGCTTGAGCACGATGAGGAGGAAGTCGGTGTCCATGTCCCTCTCATGCACCTCGTCCACCACCACATGGCTCACCCCCTCCATGCCCTCTGGGCTCTGTGGAATGGTGCCGGGGAGATAGGAGGACAAGGTGTCTAAGGAGGCAACAAAAGGGCAAGTCAAGTCAAGTCAGTGTCCATGTCCCTCTCATGCACCTCGTCCACCACCACGTGGCGCACCCCCTCCATGCCCTCTGGGCTCTGATGAATGGTTTTAATGAGAGAGTAGGAGGGGGAGGGAAAGGCGGGGTGTGGAGAGGGATGAATACAATGGAAATCAAAGTGGTGGATGAGGTACAAAAGGGAAACAAGGTATTATAAGGATACAACGGGGTGCGGGAATGAATGACGGGGGATGAGGGTATCTGTTTGAGCAGGATGAGGAGGAAGTCAGTCTGCATGATGTGCGTTGTTTGCATCTGTTGCACTACTACGCCCTCACCCACCTCTAACCATCATTCTCCTAACTCAAATTTCTCCGTAGTTGGGGCACAACAAGCTTCACAGGCGCCCATGGTTTCGGCCACTTGAAAGGCCTCAGGGAACTATCTCCCGAGAGCTTGTCGCATCTGTCTTCGCTTCCTACCTCCATCTCTCACATTCTTGAGCTCACCAGCTTGGAGTTGGAAAGTTGCCTGCATATAAGAGACTAGGGATGAGCAGAGGCCGAACTCGAACAGGTTCGAGTTCGTCCTCTGTCGAACAGCTCGAACAGCCAAACCGAACACTGTTCGGTTCGGCGAACGATTTCCGCCGACACAAGTGTTCGATGTTCGCCCTTGAGGGCCCACGTTTTGTACATGCAGGCGAACTCGAACTTGTTCGAGCCGAACATGTTCGCGTTCGACTTTAAGCAGATTCACTATAGTCACATTTGTCAGAAAGGGTACCTGAAGGTCCAGAAAGATAAAAAAATGGGGTTTGCATGGAGCAAAATTGTTCCTGCATCCCACCTAAGGCTACAAACACCATCCTGTTTTGTAACAGAAATGCAACAATGTAATAAATTCCTAGGCTAACGCGCCGCCACTGCTACTACCAACAGCAGGCTCCGCTTCGCCAGCTGTGTCTCCGGAAGCCCCCACACCCTCCCCCCCCTCCTCCTCCTCGTCCTCCTCCTCCTCCTCCTCCTCCTCCTCGTCGTCGTCCTCCGCCCCCTCGCCCTCAATTGCGAACTCTGGCGGTGCGACGCCTCTCTGTCGGCGGCCCTCGCCTATCCTCTGTCCGAGTGTGAGGTGTACCAGGATCGGAGAACCATGACAGCTCGCGTACTCTTAAAGAGACCTGCCTGAGAGACTTGTGCGACTGAAATTGCTCAAGAGAACCATCTATTGAGAGCTTATCACTCAAACCCCTCAGACGGGTCCGTTATCTGCGAGCAGCTTTCAACTCCAAGCTGGTGAGCTCAAGAAGGTGAAAGATGGAAGTAGGAAGCGAAGACAGATACAACAAGTTCTCAGGAGATAGTTCCCTGAGACCGTTCAAGTGGCCGAAGCCGTGGGTGCCTCTAAAGCTTTCTGTGCTCCAATTACGGAGAGAATCCAACATCTTTTTTTTTTTTTAACCCTACATGTTCGAGGCAAACATGTTCATGCTCGGTTTGTCGTACCTAGCCGAGCCGCGCCGACACGAACAAGTTCGTATTTGCGACGAACACAAATGCGTTCGTCGAAAAATCCCGGCAGCCCTTTTTTTAGGTCAAGGGGAATCACTCGTCGAGCTCATCTTTGAGCTCGACTTTTGCTAATCTCCCCTCCCACAGCCTGAAATACAAGCTCCACAAGCTAGCATACCTAGACTCCAATAAAATATTTCGACAGAACCGAACTGTTCTTTTGGTTAACTTTACAGTTGACGCTTAGAGGTGATTAAGTCGTTAGAAGACGTCCCTTCATTCCCATGCGCCCACCATGTTTAGCCACACCTCCTTGAACGCCCAACATCGCCCATCATGTGACTTTGACGAAGGCTGCCAAAACGCGAACACAAACAACTTTGTCTCAAACATGTTCGTGCTCAGGCGAACACCTTGGTGTTCCCCTTTACAGGCGAACACCAAACACCCCTTTTCGTTGGATGGAGGTGATCAGCCGAGCACAAACATGTTCGTTCGTTGAACATGAGTGTTCGAGCCCGGCAGAACACGAACATGTTTGTGTTCGCCTTCTGCTCATGCCTTTGGGGGATAATGCAATGTAGCGAAACAAGGTATATACCGCGCAAAGCAAAGCACCGTGCATATTGCACTTGTGTTGCAAATTATGACACTAGTCGTGCACCAAGTACAGGGTAACAAAAAACCAGTGCAGCAGACCATGCCCCACACACACCTACGCACTACCAATGGGGATATCAGCCATAGCAGCTCACGCCATGTCCCACACACACCTGCATTCGGCTCAGCAGGACGCCAGCAGTGTAGAATAGAGTGCTAGCTCTGGGCCTTACTACTCCCATTCCGCAAAGACATGCTACACTCTTACGGCTGAAGACTAATCAATCAGCACAGCATCCCAGACCCCACGTGCAAACGCACCTGCATTCGCCTGAGCAGGATGCCGACAGTGCAGAAGAGGATGCTGCCTCTGGCTCGGGGCGGGTTGCTGTCCAGCCGAATGCGGTATCCCACACTGTCCCCCAACGCCTCACCCCTCTCCCATGCCACTCGCTCTGCCACACTGTAGGGAGGTGGTGGGATATGGTAACACGAGAATGAGCGAAACCAAGAGTTGCTGTCCAGCCGAATGCGGTACCCCACACTGTCTCCCAACGCCTCGCCCCTCTCCCATGCCACTCGCTCTGCCACACTGTTGGGGGCCGGGGGGGCGCGAGGGGGAAGATGAACGGAAACGAGAATTTTCAACCTAGACCGATCACCAATGAGGAATGGAATAATCTTTTAGTCGACTTAAAAATTCGGCCAAGGCTGATCACCAGTGCTGATTACGCAAGCGTCAACTCAAAGAATGGAGAGCTCAAATGGAGAGAAAGAATGGACGCTGCATGTCTAAGCACGTCAAAGTTATTCGATAATAGGTAGAAGAGGAATTACAGCCAAGGAGCATAGTACTGGAGTGGAGGAGAGAGGAGGCGGAGAGAGCACCTCAACGCTGCAATTCTGCAGGGCTGGGTGACTATAACGTGTGCTGCTAGCTATGCTGATTTTGCTTGTGAGACTCCTCAAAAGTAAAATCAATCGACAGGAGGTGGAGAGAGTACCTCAACGCTGCAATTCTGCGAGGCTGCGTGACTATAATGTGTGTGCTGCTAGCGGTGCCATTCCGCTCTGAATCTTCAAGGATAAACTGAGGAACCTGCCAACATCCAAGGAAGACGAAAGATAAGGTGGAGCGCATAGGGGTGCAACGCAACCATGGCATTGCAATGGCATAGGTATTGGGTTGACCACGGGCTGTTTGTTCAACACACGGGCAGGGCTGACCTGACCCACACCTGACTGACTCGTGACAGGCCAGCCTGGAAGTGCCGAGCCTCTCAAATGCTCCCCAAACGATGAGCGACACTGGGGTACCCTGCGCCATGCACACCATAGCATTCCCTCTCCTTCCATGCACACACCCTCGCTCTCCTGTGCCCTCCACCTCTCCTCAAGGCGCCTCTCATAAAACAATTTGTGAAGCGCTTCTATATCTTTGCTTGATTTTTAATCCCCTACCTGGGTGGTTTTTCCGCGGCCAGTCTCCCCAACAATGAGCGACACTGGGTTTGCCTGCACCATGCACACCACCGCATCCCTCTCCTTCCACGCAGGCAGCCTCTCCCGCGCCCTCCACTCCACCTCTTCATAACGGGTCGATTTGTGAGGCGTTTCGAAGGCCTTGCTTGCAACTCAAAGCCTTACCTGCGTCGTTTTACCACAGCCAGTCTCTCCAACAATAAGCGACACAGGGTTGGCCTGCACCATGCGCAACACTGCATCCCTCTCCTTCCACGCCGGCAGCCTCTCCCTCCCCTGCCCTTTTGAGCTCAGACGTCACCTATCCTCCTACCTGGGTGGTCTTGCCACAGCCAGTCTCCCCAACAATGAGAGACACTGGGTTTGCCTGCACCATGCGCACCACTGCATCCCTCTCCTTCCACGCCGGCAGCCTCTCCCTCCCCTGCTCTTTTGAACTCAGACGTCACCTATCCTCCTACCTGGGTGGTCTTGCCACAGCCAGTCTCCCCAACAATAAGTGATACTGGATTCGCCTGCACCATGCGCACCACTGCATCCCTCTCTTTCCACGCTCGCAGCCTCTCCTGTGCCCTCCACCTCTCTTTTCAGCGCCTGAAAGACCATGATTCACAAACCAATTCCCTACCTGGGTGGTTTTACCGCAACCAGTCTCCCCAACAATGAGCGACACTGGGTTTGCCTGCACCATGCGCACCACAGCATCCCTCTCCTTCCACGCAGGTAGCCTCTCCCGCGCCCTCCACCTCTCCCCCATCTCCCTTGCCGCGCTCCTCCTCTCAGCTGCCAATCTGAACCGTTCATCCAGGTACGGATCCCTCGGGTACGGCCCAGATACATCCAACGCCGCTGCCGCCGCAGCCGCCGCTGCTGCTCCTGCAGCTGCTGCTTTAGAAGCAGACGCAGCACTTACACCAGCGCCCGAAGGGGTAGTAGTGGGGATGGAACCGGAGGGTGGGCGAGAGGAGGGGTATTGGAGCGAGGATTGCAAAGAGGAGGAAGGGAGGGTGCCTGTGGAGTGCGGGCGGGGGAGCAAACCAGTGCCTTGGGTGGTGGAGTCGGGAGGGTGGGAGGGGAGAGGAGGTGAGTGGGAGGGAGGAGGGAGAGACGGTGGCTTGGGCAGGCTGGAATGAAATTCGGAAAGCACGTCCTCTAGAAGGGTGATGTCGGATGGATCGAGGGAGAGGCGGGGGGTCTGCAGGGGTAGGTGGGAGTGAATAAATTGGGAGGATATTGGAATGAGCTTTGAGCACCAAAAGCGACGGTGGCTTGGGCAGGCTGGAGTGGAATTTGAAAAGCATGACCTCTAGAAGAGCAATGTCGGATGAATCGAGGGAGAGACGGGGGGTCTGCATGGGTAGGTGGGAGGGAGGACGCAAGGAGAAAAGAAATACGCTTTTGAGTTGCCTCAAAAGCAGGCTGGAGTGGAATTCGGAGAAGACGTCTTCGAGGAGGGTGATGTCGGATGGATCAAGAGAGAGGCGGGGGGTCTGCATGGGAGAGGGAGGGAGAAAATGGGGAAGGTATCGGAATGAGCTTTGAAGCGACTCAAGAGACAGCGGCTTGGGCAGGCTGGAATGGAACTCGGAAAGTACGTCCTCTAGAAGGGTGATGTCGGATGGATCGAGAGAGAGGCGGGGGGTCTGGGTGGGAGAGATATCAGATGGAGCTTTGAGGCACCTCAACCTCAAGAGACAGCGGCTTGAGCAGGCTGGAGTAATTGATTGAAATCAAGTGGTACCTCATCACACACACCTGCCCCTGATCCTTCACCAGCATGCCTGCAGCACCACCGCTCTGCCCTCCCATGGCAGCAAGGTTGGACGAGGAAGGGGCCTTGAGCAACCCCAGCTCGTGCAGGGGCTCACAGGCAGCCACGCACAAAAAAGATGCACACACCGCGCTGCACCGCACTGCACTGCACGCACCTGCCCCTGATCCTTTGCCATCATGCCAGCACCACCGCTCTGCCCTCCAAGCGTAGCAAGGTTGGAGGAGGAAGGTGCCTTGAGCAGCCCCAGCTCGTGCAGGCGCTCACGGGCAGCCACGCAGCAGTTCCTCTCCGCGTCTGCCTTGTTCCGCCCCCTCCACTTCATGCAGGCACTCACACGCCGCCACGACACACAACACAACAGATGCACAGACAGCACTGCACGCACCTGTCCCTGATCCTTGGCCAGCATGCCAGCACCGCCACCCTGCCCTCCCATGGCAGCAAGGTTGGAGGACGAGGGTGCTTTGAGCAACCCCAGCTCGTGCAGGCGCTCACACGCCGCCACGCAGCAGTTCCTCTCCGCGTCTGCCTTGTTCCGCCCCCTCCCCCACGCCACCCACACCTGCGCACCAGCCCCCCTCCCCAACGGCACATCGAGTTCTGCGTAGAACACCTGGGGAAGGGGGAGCGGAGGGGGGATGGGGGGGAGAGGGGATGTGCCACACTGCAGTCCCTCCTCAACAGCACATCCAGCTCGGCATAGAACACCTGGGGTGGGGGGGGGGGGAGAAGGGGGGGGAGAGGGGATGTGCGTACAAGAGGGGATGTGCCACACTGCAGTCCCTTTCCAGCGGCACATCGAGCTCCGCATAGAACACCTGGGGAGGGGGGAGGGGGAGAAGGGCGAGGGAAATAAAGGAGATTTCAAAGGAGATGCGGATGTTGAGCTTTCCTCCCTTGTTGACGATCCAGTCCTTGAACACCGGACAGTGCTGCAGAAAGTTCTTGAGGTTCTGAGTCAACTCGCTGGTGACTTGAACCGTTCCCAAAACCAGAAACCCTAGGCACCAGCACGCCTTTCCATGGTCAGGGCCTGCAGAGGAGACGCAGATGTTGAGCTTCCCTCACTCGTTGACGATTCACTCCTTGGACGACGAACAGACTGTGCTGTGCTGTGCTGTGCTGTGCTGTGCTGTGCTGTGCTGTGCTGTGCTGTGATGTGCTTCACACAGAGTGGCTACTGAGCCTACTCAACAATCACTACCATACCTTGCCATGATTGGGCCCGAAGAGGAGACATGGATGTTGCGCTTCCCTCCCTTGTTGACGATCCAGTCCTTCAACACCGCACAGTGCTGCAGAAAGTGGGTTCTTGAGCCAACTCGCTGGTAACCTGGACCTTTCCTGAACCCGGAAACCTAAACCACCAACCCACCTTGCCATGATCAGGCCCCGAAGAGGAGACGCGGATGTTGAGCTTCTGCCCCTTGTTGACAATCAGGTCCTTGAACACCACACAGTGCTGCAGGAAATTCTTTGGATTCTCCGCCCACACTGACGCCAGCCCACCACTGCTCCCTCCCCCTCCACCCCCTCCTCCCCCTCCCCCTCCTCCTTTTGATCCGGATCCACCGCCTGATATAACGGCAAGAGGAGGGGCTGCTTCTTCAGGCAGGCGTAGCAGATCTAGGTCCTGGGGGAGGAGAGCGAGAGGGGGAGAGGGGATGGAAAGGGAGAGAGGGGAAAAACGGTGGTTAGCCAGAGGGAAAGGGGAGGGACGGGCGCAGATGAGCACATGAACACATGCGTGTAGGCTGCTGACTGACACGTTTGGCTGCGTATAGTTACGCTGTCTGTTTATGATGTGAGAACGACCTTACGTAAGTCCTTTTTGATAATGACATAGTGGCAATAATAACACTGATAAATACTGATAGATATAAGAAACGGATCGAATTATAAGCAACCTTGAGATGGAAGCAGGCATCTATGGCGCACTGCCGCTCTGCCTCCTTCCTCGTCCGCGACGATCCCTTTGCCGTGAAGCTCGTGCGATCCTAGAGGGGTGGCGGAAGGGGGTTCGGAGCACAGGGGTTTGCTTTTGAGTCGATACAGAAGCAGGCGTCGATGGCGCACTGCCGCTCTGCCTCCTTCCTCGTCCTAGACGATCCCTTCGCCGTGAAGCTCGTGCGATCCTAGACGGGTGGAAAAAGGGGGTTTGGGGAGAAGGGGCTTGCGAGAAGGGGGATTATGGATACTGAAATTCAGGGTTCACGGGAAAAAAGGGTATACATAAGCGGAGTTCAGGGGCCCGGGGGTTACCAAAAGGAAGGCTCGCCAAAAGAGGGGCGACGAAGAAGAAGAATCACGGGTTGACACCAGCTAAAGTTGAAAGACGGAGACTGGAACCGAACATGTGGCTAAAGTTGAAATGAAGCAATGAAAAATAACAAAACTCTTGCTGAGGTTACGTTCGGCCGGCCGGTTATGGAACTTTTCCAAACGCTTCATAATGTTACGCAACAACAACGTTGCTTATCCTTAATGCATCTTACGCCTTCTTACATCAACGCGCACGCGAAGCTGCACGGAGACGTCGCCGCCACGTGTCGTTACCGGAACGAGCTCGAACGGCAGGTTCTTATCCGTGTACCGGCCGTGAAACACGGGACTGGCCGCCAGGAGAATCTTAGGGTTTCCCTGAATCATCGCGTCCAGCTTTCCCGCGCGTTTCCGCTTGGATCCTACATCGGCGCCAGCGGACGGCCGGCCGAAGCGGTCTGACGTGGAGAGCTGCGCGAAGGATCGCATCGTGCCTTGAATTTGAGAGGCGGGAGGAGGAGGAGGACCTATTATCGAGGATGGCGTGTACGGGTAACCATATGGCTGCTGCCCTTGTTGCTGCTGCTGCTGCTGCTGCTGTAGCTGCTGAAGCTGAGTGTAGGGTATCGAAGCAGGTCCACTCCAGGGGTCCGTTTCCATACTATACCGCCGGTTTCGCCACGCTGAAGCACAGCGATTTCGATATGCGAAATAAGGAAAACTTGTGGACGCTCGCGGTTGTTACGTGAATGCGAGCGAGACGATCATGGCACCTGATGGAGTACTGGACAGTAAGGACCTAGCATTGGAACCTGAGATTCAGCAAGCTCTGAGAAGATGAACAGCTGCGGTACCCTCGAGGTTGGAACTTGGAACCAATCCCGTAGGCACGTTGATGATGACGAGGCGTGTCTGTTCTTCGGACGTATTTTCCTATTGTGCTCATGTCGTACTGATTCGTTTTGTTTCTGTTCATATTTCCAGAAGTTCAGTTATACACAAGTGACACCTTGTATGAACTTTCATCATCAGTGTGAAATTTGTGTTCCACGAACTTGAAGTGGGGTTCAAGAATGCGGCCTTTTGGTCTCCACTTCATCTTCCCTCCCCTTTTTCATCTGTTCCCAATCGCTCATACCCAAATCGTTTCCTATAACTTAGGATCCGGCCTCGAGCTTCTAGCCATGGCTTCTCTAGCAGAGTGGTGGCTGAACACCAGCTGTCCCGTCGCCGGTTTTCCCTCACTGCGCGCCGTTGCGATCCTCTCAGCTTACGTCGCTTTTCTCATCGTAGCAGGCGCGATTCTTCCAGGAAAAGTGTTTCCTGGAACAGTTCTCGCCGACGGGACTCGCCTCCATTACAAATGCAACGGCTTCCGCGTTCTCCTCCTCCTCCTCGCTCTCCTCGGCTACGGCGTCCAATCCGGGCATCTGTCCGCGACCATCGTCGCCGATCTAGCTGGCGAACTTTTCGCGACGACTTTCGCCATCACGGTACTCCTCTCCCTCGCTCTCTACCTCGCAGGGGTTTTCTCAACCAACGCCAAATCTTCCTCTTTGAAACCGAAATTCCACGGCAACTTCATCAGCGATTTCATCTACGGCGTACAGCTAAACCCGTCCGTGTTCGGACTCGATCTTAAGTTCTTCTGTCTGCGACCCGCCATGATGGGATGGCTTCTGATCAACCTCTCCATCGCCGCGAAGCAGCATGAGCTTTTGCTGAAACTCCCCGACAACTCCCACGCGATCACCCTTGCCTCGTTGAACCTCACCGCCATGCTTCCCGCCAGCGTCGCCAGCAGCAGCATCGCCACCCTCCCTATAATCACACTTCCTATGTTCCTCTACCAAGTTTTTACCGCTATTTATGTCCTGGACTATTTCTGGTTCGAAGAGTACATGACATCCACGTGGGACATAATTGCTGAGAATTTCGGCTTCATGCTGGTTTTCGGGGATTTGATTTGGATCCCTTTCACCTTCTCCGTCCAAGCATGGTGGCTGCTGGCTCACGGCACTGCTCGCGACAGCATCGCAGCCACCGTTTCTCTGCCCTTCGCCATTATCACAGTCGCGGTTTTTATAGTAGGTTATGCAGTATTCCGCGGCGCCAACCGCCAGAAGCACATTTTCAAGCATGACCCAACGGCTAAAATCTGGGGTAAAACACCCCGTGTTGTTGGCGGCAGACTGCTGGTTTCGGGTTACTGGGGCATAGCTCGCCACTGCAACTACCTGGGAGATTTGATGCTGGCTCTCTCTTACAGCCTGCCCTGTGCTTTCTACTCCCTCTGCCCCTACTTCTACCCTATTTATCTGCTGATCCTGCTCCTCTGGAGAGAGCGTCGGGATGAGGCTCGGTGCCGAGCCAAGTACGCGGAGGTCTGGAAGGAGTATTGTAGGATCGTGCCTTGGCGCATTGTGCCCTTTGTCTACTAGGCGGGATGGATGGTCGGATTGGATCGGATGGAATGTGTGAAGACCTTGGGCAGTGTTCACCAGAGCATTGAGCATCTTCACTTCACAGTTGTTCCTTGGATAGGGTTTAGCAACACAATACTCTGTTGCCCACTGAGTAATACAGTATGTAGCAAGCTCCTTTGTCAGAGCTTCATTTAAAACTTGGTATGAGCTTCAAAGCAGCTCTAGAAGAACAGCCTCATACCTGCTTGATCCCCCGTTACTCAACTCCACATCATCCTTAGGCTGCCAGTACACACTCCCTCCTGCTTTCCTCAGCTCATTCAAGTGGGAACCGTCATCCCCGGACACTGAAATGTCCGCATCAGTGAGTGATATCCACACATCATAGAAGAGAATCGCATGCTTTCCCGTGCTCTGGCCCGGTTCAAGAGTAAGATGGTGGATGGCAATATCAGGCCACTCGCCGCTCTTGTCTCTCTCCCAGCCACTCCCCTTCAGCTCTGTACCCTTGGGAACACTTAATCCTTGCAAATTGTCTCTATCAGGCTCGCTAGCGCCGGTTGGGTCCGTAACTGCTGCTGGGGCTTCTGGGGCTGGTTGAGAGGGAAACACCTCGACGGCGACTATGTACATTGGCTCTGGATTACTTTGAAGGGAAACTACCCTGTGAATTTCTGGATGCGTGGTGTAGTTCGCGCAGAAACCCACGCGACTCGGTAGGGAGGTGTCGAGCCATTCCTGGCCGTAGATCTGCTTGCGGTAGGCCCCGCCGCTGACGGCGATGAAGTAGGTGTTGCACGCGTGGCGGTGGAAGAGAGTTTCGGCTCCTGCTGGGATCGTGGCTGAGAATACGCGGACGCGATCGTTGGAGAAGACAATCTTATGAAGCGGCTCGTCCTCTATTTGCACGATGGGATCTTCAGATGCCATGGCTCCTCGTGATGGGCCTAACCTTATACAACGCGCTTCCAGGAAAATAGGCTCGTGTGTGAAAAAGGAAAATAGCTGGTGTGCTGGTGCATTTGTGGATCGTTTCCTTCGCTAGTAGCAGACCCGTCAATAAAGAGCAACTTTTCCTCCTGACTCTTTCCCATAGGCAAAACAGATTCGAGTGTTTGGATTGGTGGGAAGTCGTGCTGCCTCCTGATTGGTCTCGAATATTCAATGTTTCCCTACCAATTTTCTACACCCCGTCGGCCTGCTCGTTTTCCTAGTTTTCTTCCTCAATGTTTTTTTCCTTGGCCTGGGTTCCTGACGGACAGCATGGCCAGGTTGGTGGAACCTTGGCATGACGGGGTCAATTAGAGAATTACCCGTCACGTAATTGTACTTTTAATAAGTAAGGTTCCTGGCTATAAACTCGTGCCTGATCCACGAACCAGTGAGATTCGTTCGTAAAGTGCTCCTCTACAAATAAGTAAGTGCTGGCAATCGCTGTAATAGGCAAATGCTAACAACTTAAAGGGCGTGAAAGAATCGTCAGCTGTTCGACAAACATAGTCAAAATATACCTCCTATAGCTCATTTTTCGACAGTAGAACCTTCGTATAAAGGAGTCGTTTTGGAGACTACCCGTCATGTTCTTCTGCCCTTTAAATTATACCTCACTGTTTAGCATAGCCCACAAGGTTCTTGTTTTTCAAAACCGTGCCTGATCCAAGAAACAGTGATTGTTCGTAAGGACGTGGGCCCAATCGACTTTGATCGGCTCTGATCGGATCGGGTTGGATCGTATCGAATTGCTTCTGTTCGTTTTCCCCGCGCCGCCCGATCAGAGATGATTTTCCTCGAATGTTTTGCGCTCTTGCATAAAAACTCTCGGCCCATTACCAGGTAGTTGCAGGCCAACTTTGGCGAGACTGACGAATCTCAGTATCGTGGTAATGTCGCCATGGCATGCATTTCTCGCCGATCTGGGTGTATTCGCAAGGATTTTCGAGACCCCATGGCGAGGCGTGTTACACTTCGCGTACATCGCCCAGGTGCCCGATCACATGCAATCAAGTGATTGGGTCTGATTGTGTCTGATCGGGTCTGATCGGGCTGTTTGAGGCGGTTGATCGAGTTGGAGCGATCAGCTGATCGCGATCAGCTGATTGCCCCCGATTGCCTAAAATCTGCTTCCCGCCTTCCTCGAAGTTTTTGATTTCCTCTGATCGCGCCGATCAAAGTCGATTGGGCCCACGTCCTAAAGTGCTCCTCCACAAATATGTTACTGGGGTGCGGGCAATCCCTGGGACGGGAAACAATTTGAAGGGTGTGGAAGAATTTGTTGGTGTTCGACAACACTATCATTAAAATACCTTGTTATAGCCTAGTTACCGACAGTAGAACCTTCGTATAGCGGAGTCGTTTAGAATATTACCAATCGCGTACTTGTACCCTTTAAATTCACCTCACTGTTTAGCATAGCCTACCATCTTTCTGAGATTCTTGTTTATTATTCCGTGCCTGATCCACGAACCAGTGATCGTTCGTAAAGTGCTCCTCCACAAATATGTTACGGAAGTGTGGGCATTCCTGGGAGAGGTAATTGTAATAATAGAAACATTTTGAAGGGTGTGAAGAATCCTTCGATGTTCGACAAACACCGTCATAAAAATACCTCGTTATAGCTCAGTTTTTGACAGTAGAACCTTCGTATAGCGGAGTCGTTTAGAATATTACCCGTCATGAACTTGTACCCTTGAAATTACACCTCACTGTTAAGCATATCCCACCGTCATTATGGTGTTGCTGCCTATAATTCCATGCCCGATCCACAACCGGAGATCGTCCGTAAAGTGCTCCTCCACAAATATGTCATTTAAGTGTGGGAGATCCTTGGAGAGGTAAATGTAAATTAGAAACAATTTTTAAGGATGCGGAAGAATTGTCAGTTGGTGACAAACACCGTCGTAAAAATACCTCGTTATAGCTCAGTTTCCGACAGTAGAACCTTCGTATAGCGGAGTCGTTTAGAAGATTATCCGTCGCGTCATTTTACCCGTTAAATTGCACCTCCTTTCAAAACATAGCCCACCGTCATTGTAGCCTGGCTGTGATTCCCCATCCCCTTGTTTCCACAGAAGCACCGCAACACCACATACACCCCGCCAGGGACAATGGTCTTCACCGAGCGCGCGGTGTGTTAGTCGCTTGATGATTCTCTTCAGCCCTCCCTTCTGCACTGCCTGCGAGGTGTGTGCTCCATTCCCTGCACGGGCCTGAAGGTGCGACGCTTTGCGAATTCGTGACGGTCGTTGCTCGGTTTTACAATAAGCGCTGGTGCGAAGACCGCAATCTGCGAGCGGGAGCATCGCAATCTTCACCCAACACGCACGTGCGAAGTTATCGCAAGCAGGTTTCGCGAAAGCAGGATTATCGCAAGCGTAGTTATCGCGAGTGGGACCATGGCCTCCTCGTTGCGGACTCTTTCGACTCAGCTTCTGCCGAAGTCGCTCCAGATTACTGCGACGTCGCAAGATGCAGGATTTGGTCGCGATTGTACGCGAGCTCTGCGCTTCAGGTTGTAGCATCACTCTCGTTGCATTCTTCTCGTCATAACGTCGCATGCTCTCCTCGCATCTCCTTGCGCAAAGCCGTCGCGCTGAACGTTCTCGTCGCACCCCGTTTCTCGTCGCATTCAGCTCGCTCAGTTGCACGGGAGTTCCGGCGAATTCTCATTCTCCTCTCGCGCACCTCTCCTTCTTGAGGTTCCAGCTCATGCGTCATTCGCCTCTCGCATTCCTCTCACCCAGCTCAACCCTTCCATTCTTCCACCCTTCTCACCCCTCTCACCCCTCACCCCTCTCACAAGCCATTTCACTCCTCCACCCGCCTTACTTTGCTGTGCGTCCCTCAGGTATCCTCGCACAAACCAAACCGTCGCAAGGCGTTCGCTATCACTCGCTGCTGCCAGAAGCACCGCACTCTCTCGCACGCCCCCCTCGCGTACCTCCATTTTCGAGAATCAAACCCCTCGAAGTGGAAAGCACCATGTCCAGAAGGGGGTGAGGGTATCAGCGGTGGCGACAGACGAGCAGGGGGAGGGGGAGGGGGAGGGGGAGGGTGCGGAGTGCGTGGCAAGGGCTGACCGCCCTCTGTTCGACCTCAATCTGGCCGTGCTGCTGGCGGGATTCGCGTTTGAGTCCTATAACGAACCGCAGGTGCGTGCTTTGAGCAGCAACCAATGAGCAGCGAGCAGTGATCAAATCTGTGCTGTCGCGCTTTAGAATCAAATCTGTGCTGTCGCGCTTTTGAGCAGAAGAACCCACTTCAATGTGTTTACGACCCATCGGTTGGGACACAAGAGGCGCGTGAATCAAGCTGCCATGCACTCCAATCTGACACGAATTGGGGTTACTTTAGGGAATTCCCAATAGGTCCAACTTCCCAATAGGCCAAATAGATCACCCATATTGCATTGCAGGTGATCTGCCTTCCCTCTCTTCACGACAACTTGTCCATGCTGCTCGCGCCAGTCTTGCAGAATCCCAAAAACACCGTGCGAATTCTGAAAAACCACCTTGCAATGCCTCAAAAAATCGCAGGAGAGCAAGGACACCCTGTGGGAGGAGGACGTGGGCGGCTGCCGCACCATCTTCACACCCTACGGTGTTGCTGCCTGAATTCGAGCTGAGTCATGAATTGTGGTGCAATGCGGTGCAGTCCAGTTCAGTGCATCGGAATGTCACATGCACCCCTTTCTCCCCTTTCTCCAGGAGAGCAAGGAGACCCTGTGGGGGGAGGACGTGGGGGGCTGTCGCACCATCTTCACATCCTACGGCTTTGCTGCTCGAATTCGAGCTGAGTCATGAAGTGTGGTGCAATGCGGTGCAGTCTAGTCCAGTGCATCGGAATGTCACATGCACCCCTTTCTCCCTGCTTGCCGCAGGAGAGCAAGGAGACGCTGTGGGAGGAGGACGTGGGGGGCTGTCGCACCATCTTCACATCCTACGGCTTTGCCTACGAGCTCTACTCCGGCCAGCTCATCGTGACCGTCCATTCCGCCTCTGACGTGCCGGCAGTTGATCTCTGGGTGGGTGGTCGCATGGGGCCCTTGCTGATGTTATGTGTCCTGTGCACTTTTCTGCGCTAACCTTTCCAAGGCAACATTCCAAGCCCCCAAGCACTCTAAATCGGTTGCTATTCCTTTATGTCATGCTCTGCCAGGGCACCAGTGATTCCCACGTGCTGGCAGAAGCTTTGTCAGCGATGAGATCACTCAAACCCGTGTGCACTCTTTGTCACTGCTGCTTGCTCCTCTCCCTGTAACGCCCTGCCAGGGCACCAGCGACCCCTATGTGCTGGCAGCGGTTGGGGAGGCATCGGCGCGCACTCGCACCATCTGGACGTGAGTCCACGCTTTAGATCAAATCGCCTCGCTTTCTCAATTCGCTTTTGAGAGGCACCTCAAGAGTCGATAGTCAATTTATCCCTTCTTGCAGTGGGGTGAAAGGCACCTCAAGAGTCGACAGTCAATTTATCCCTTCTTGCAGTGGGGGGCCAAATGTGTGCATGCCCGGGCCATCTGGACGTGAGTCCACTCTGCCTCGATCAGTCTTACATCGCTCTTCACGCGCCTCAACAAGTGTCTCTTGTCTTGCTGTGGGAAAGGGAGGCCCCTGTGTGCACGTGCACCATCCCCACAGTGGTCACTTAAACCTTCTTGATAGCTGTTTTACCTTGTTATCCCCAGGAGCATGGCACCAGAGTGGAATGTTTTTTGAGGCGCCTCAAAACTAGCTGCTTTACCTTGTTGTCCCCTCCCCAGGAGCACGGCACCGGAGTGGAACGAGGAGATTCGCCTGCTGGTCAATGCAGATGACACCTCCCCCAAATACCTTAAGGTGCAGCAGATAACACCTCCCCCAAGTACCTCAAGGTGCAAATGACACCTCCCTTGAACACCCGAAGGTGGAAATGATAGGTTTTTAGAGTTGGTTTCATGCTTGTAGGTAGCCTTGCATCATCTTCACTTTCTCCTTCTGCTTCACCATCCTCTTATCCTTCCTCTTCTCATTCCTCTCATCTCCATTGTCCTGGTCTGTATCTCTTCTCTCTTTCCCTCGTTGCCCCAAATTCCCGCTTTCCTCACGTCTTTTCTCCTGCCCCTGCTCTCCTCTTCCAGCGTTACCTTCTTATCCCAATGGGATCCCTCCTGTTTATCCATGGGTGCTTCCTCTAATCGTTCGTTCTCCCTTTGTCCACCAATCACAACCATCTCTCTTACCTCTCCGTATGATTCCTCCTCTGTTCTCTCAACCCCGGTCCCTCCCCCACCCCCCCTCCATCAGTCACAGCTGTCCATGTGGGACGATGGAATCGTCATCTCGCCCCGCCGCCTCGGAAATGCTTCGATTCGATTGGACGATCTCCTGGACGGTAGGATCCTTGTCACTGCTATTGTTCTCCGCGTTCTTTCTCCATGCGTGACTTTTGAGTCGACTCAAGAATCACTTAACGCCTTGGGAATTCAACGATACCACTACACTCAACAAGCTTGTGCATTGAGTTTCTGAGTTTCCTTTAACGCTCACGTCCCGATGCCGTGCCAGTCCGCCCAAGTGCAATCTGTATGTATGCGCCTCATAAGATGTCCATACGTCATTCCATAAGTGGGTGCATGCCAAGACAGAGCCCATGAGCGCGAGGTTGCCCTAGAGGACCTTAAGAGAATCTATAGGCGTCTCATGAACTGACTTTTGAGTCGACTCAAAAGTCACCTCGTCCATTCGCCATTACATAAGTAGGTGCTTGCAGAGCTATACCCACGAGCACGAGGTTGCCCTAGAGGCCCTTCAAAAAATCTATAGGCGTCTCATGAACTGTCTGTAACCCATCCCACGATCCATCCGGAATTCGACCTTTGAGGCGCCTCAAAAGCCCTAAAGGGCCTTCAGAGAATCTATAGGCGTCTCATGAACTGTCTGTAACCCATCCCACTATCCATCCGGAATTCGACTTTTGAGGCGCCTCAAAAGCCCTAAAGGGCCTTCTGAGAATCTATAGGCGTCTCATGGACTGTCTGTAACCCATCCCACGATCCATCCGGAATTCGACTTTTGAGGCGCCTCAAAAGCCCTAAAGGGCCTTCAGAGAATCTATAGGCGTCTCATGAACTGTCTGTAACCCATCCCACGATCCATCCGGAATTCGACTTTTGAGGCGCCTCAAAAGCCCTAAAGGGCCTTCAGAGAATCTACAGGCGTCTCATGAACTGTCTGTAACCCATCCCACGATCCATCCGGAATTCGACTTTTGAGGCGCCTCAAAAGCCCTAAAGGGCCTTCAGAGAATCTATAGGCGTCTCATGAACTGTCTGTAACCCATCCCACGATCCATCCGGAATTCGACTTTTGAGGCGCCTCAAAAGCCCTAAAGGGCCTTCTGAGAATCTATAGGCGTCTCATGAACTGTCTGTAACCCATCCCACGATCCATCCGGAATTCGACTTTTGAGGCGCCTCAAAAGCCCTAAAGGGCCTTCAGAGAATCTACAGGCGTCTCATGAACTGTCTGTAACCCATCCCACGATCCATCCGGAATTCGACTTTTGAGGCGCCTCAAAAGCCCTAAAGGGCCTTCAGAGAATCTATAGGCGTCTCATGAACTGTCTGTAACCCATCCCACGATCCATCCGGAATTCGACTTTTGAGGCGCCTCAAAAGCCCTAAAGGGCCTTCAGAGAATCTACAGGCGTCTCATGAACTGTCTGTAACCCATCCCACGATCCATCCGGAATTCGACTTTTGAGGCGCCTCAAAAGCCCTAAAGGGCCTTCAGAGAATCTATAGGCGTCTCATGAACTGTCTGTAACCCATCCCACGATCCATCCGGAATTCGACTTTTGAGGCGCCTCAAAAGCCCTAAAGGGCCTTAAGAGAATCTATAGGTGTCTCATGAACTGTCTGTAACCCATCCCACGATCCATCCGGAATTCGACTTTTGAGGCGCCTCAAAAGCCCTAAAGGGCCTTCAGAGAATCTATAGGCGTCTCATGAACTGTCTGTACCCCGTCCCACGATCCATCCGGAATTCGTGTGTGCGTGCACGCACAGGCGAGACTCACGAGCATGAGGTTGCTTTGGAGGGGCCAGGAGGAGGAGCCACGCTGAAGCTAGCAGTGCGCTACCGCAGCTTTGCAGAGCTGGCAGAGGAGGAGAGGCGGAGGTGAGTAACTGGGAGGGAGGAGTTGTGCAGGAGGTGAGCAGTTAGGATGTCAGAATTGACTGAAATCAGGTTGGCTCTTTGACATGGGATGGAGGCCGCTTTGACTGCAGAACCACTTTCACTGCATCCTACCCACCGCAGTTTCGCAAATTGGGCTGTGTGTTGGGCAATGCAACACTGAACAGTGCAGCCTTCTTACCAAGCAATACGCCTTTGGCAGTTCCTAACCCTAATTCACGTCAACCCTCTCTCGAATGGTCCTCGTATTAAATAAGGGGTGACACAGAGGAAGATGCAAGACACATGCCAAACAGCCCAACAAACCAAACACACTACACAGACAAACACACCTCTAACCTACTACCCCCCCCCCTCTGTCCGACCCTACTGGCCGAACGGGGGCTCAATCAGCTGGTGCAGCTGTCCCTCGCTAAGGGGGACGATGGGGCCCTGCATGCCGAGCTCGTCCGCTGCCAAGGCCTCGTTGGTCTTGGAGCGGAGGGCATTGGCCTGCGCTCTCTGGAGGCAGACACTCCAGCGCTGACGGTACTCCGTCAGCAGCTTGGCTGCCTCGTATGAGGTAGGAGCTGCGTTGGATATCGCAGCTTGGCCGCCAGCTCCGCGCACTGCCGCAGGTAAGCCATCACCCCCAGGGAAGGATAGCCGTAAGTCTCAACTGCAAGGGCGTGGAAGCCCACCCACGCATTCCTTGGCGCATACTTCTCCTCCTTCCTAGCTGCTGCTGCTCTTGCCACCCACCCTGGAGCCCTACTGCACTCTTCGTCCTGGTACGACACGGGGTCAGTCACAGTCACGTCACACAACCACACCTCTCCCGTCAGGGGATGGCGGATGGTGACATCCGCCTTTAGGTTTTCAACGAGAGAGTAGACGTACGTTTCCTTGTGCACTGTGAAACCCGCCTCCGCCCCGATGTTTGCAATCTCATCTCTAAGGGCATGGTGCGTAGCTGTCCTCCCCTTCCCCTTCTCGCAGCGCAGGAGGTGGTTGGGGAGTCGGTCGTCAGGGAACGTGGTGCGGTACCGGCAGTTGCAGCGCCGAGGCACAGGGAGGGGGAGGCCCAGGCGGAAGGCGGCCGCAGTAGAGAGCTGCGAGGGGCCCATCCGGAGCGAGGGAATGAGGGGGATCGCCAGCAGCCAGTCCCCTGCTCCCGGCTCCCTATCTCCCTCTCTCCCTCCCTATCTCCCTCTCTCCCTCCCTATCTCCCTCTCTCCCTCCCTATCTCCCTCTCTCCCTCCCTCCCAGGTGGCGCCTACCCTCTCTAGACGATATCTTCTCAGGCCAACTCCCTCTGGTCCCCGGCTTTCAAGCGCGGCATCACCGCTGCATTGCAACCAGGCAGTAATAGCCTAGTGCTAACTCACACTTCCACGTTGCACCACACCCCTCTCCCTCTCCCCTCCCTCTCTTCCAGGTGGCGCCTGCCCTCTCTAGACGATATCTTCTCAGGCCAACTCCCCCTGGTCTCCGGCTTTCAGGATGCCATCACTGCTGCCTTTCAACCAAGCTATACGCCTTCTCCAGTTCCTAACCCCGGTTCGCCCACCCTCTCTCTCCCTCCCTCTCTCCCGCCCTCCCAGGTGGCGCCTGCCCTCTCTAGACGACATCTTTTCAGGCCAACTCCCTCTGGTCTCTGGCTTTCAAGACGTCATCACTTCCGCCTTGCAGCAACCCTCCACCGCAACTGCCACCGACTCCTCCCCTGCTCCCACCGATGGCTCTGCTGCTCCCGCTACCAGCCAACCCTCGCCGGCCATTTCCACGTACGAGTTTGTCCGGTCTGCCATCCAGCAGTTTGGCGCCCCGTCCGCCTTCCCAACGAGTCTGGATAAGATTCGGGATTCTGTCATCTCAACCCAGTCCTCAACACCAGCAGCAAGCCCTACTGAAAATACTGCAGAAAATGCTGAGTGTGGTAGCCGTGAGAGCAGTGACAGGCAGCAGCAGGTGAGGCAGGCAGTGGGGTTGGCGAGGGAGGTGCTACTCAGGGCAGGCTGGATCCCCCCAGGTGGTACCCTAGACCAACTCAGCCAGGCTGTTATCGGTGCCACTGCTGGCAGTGGCACCAGCGCCACTGGTGGTACTAGTGGCACTGGCGGCAATTCCAGCAGCAGCAACGGAGACTCTGCCCCTGCTGGTGGTGCTGCTGGTGGTGCTGCTGCGTCTGGTGGGTTTGATCTGGGGTTTGCGGCAGCGGCTGCAGCAGGGGGGTTGCTGGAGGGGGCAGCAGGCGCAGTGGCGGGGAGGATAGAGCAGCGGCGAGCAGAGCTCAGGAGAAGCCTCACAGACATGGGAATCACCCTCCCCTGGTACGACCAGAAGAGCGGGCAAGGGGCGGATGGGCAAGGGGCGGATGGGCAAGGGGCGGATGGGCAAGGGGCGGATGGGCAGAGTAGCGGGTGTGATGCAGCGGCAGCAGCAGCAGGGGATTTGCTGGAGGGGCGACGAGTGCGTTGGTGGCGAGGATAGAGCAGCGGCGCGCGGAGTTGAGGAAAAGCCTTGTGGACCTCGGGATTACCCTGCCGTGGTATGACCAGAGCAGTGGGCAAGGGGCAGACGGACAGGCAAGCAGTATTGTGGATGTCACCTCCTCCTCGCAGGAATCATCCTCCTCCTCTTCCTCCTCCTCCTCCTCCTCCCTGGACGATCTGCGTAAGGCTGCTTTCAGGCAGACTGAGGGGGTGCTAGGGTCGCTCGCCCTGCTTGGCAGCACAGCTGGCAGCCTCCCATTGGCCGAGGGGGAGAAGAAGAGCTCACGCGAGGGGGAGGGGGCAGGTGAGGGAGCGAGTGAGGGAGCGAGTGAGGGAGGAACTGAGGGAGTGAGTGAGGGGGGTGTGGTGGGGGAGGAGGAGGCGGAGGAGGCGAGGCGCATGTTTGGGAGTGCAGAGACGGCGGTGGAGGCATGGACCATGCTGGCAAGCTCACTCGGGCAGCAGACGTTTGTCAAGTCGGAGTTTGATAAGGTCTGCTTCCTGGATCACCAGGTGTCCGACACTCAGGTGGCGGTCTGGAGGGACGTGCGGAGGAAGAGGATTGTTGTGGCATTTCGAGGCACGGAGCAGGTGAGATGTACCAAGAGCAGGCGAGGGGACTGCATACGTTTGTCAAGTCGGAGTTTGATAAGGTCTGCTTCCTGGATCACCGGGTGTCTGACACTCAAGTGGCTGTCTGGCGGGACGTGCGGAGGAAGCGAGTCATGGTGGCGTTCAGGGGCACTGAGCAGGTGAGATGCAACGAGCTTCCGAGGCAGAGAGCCTTCACATGCTTCCGAGGCAGAGAGCCTTCACATGCTTCCGAGGCAGAGAGCCTTCACATGCTTCCGAGGCAGAGAGCCTTCACATGGTTCCGAGGCAGAGAGCCTTCACATCCCATGTTTCAGAGGAGTAAATAACTATGTTTATACCATCTCCTCCCATCCCATCCCATCCCATCCCCCTCCGTCCATCCATTTCGCCTCTCATCTTTCACCCCTCGTTTGCTGGCAGACGATGCACAAGGACAATTTTCTATTAACTTTCTGGAAAAACTTCAAACTCCTCTCCCCTCTTCTCTGCTCTCAATCCCCGCTCCTGCTTCTCTCTCGCTCGCTGGCAGACGAAGCTCAAGGACCTGCTCACAGACATCTCCCTCTCTCCGTCCAGGTGAGCAGCGGTGGAGTGAGGTTGACTGAGGTACCCTTGACGTGCGCTCCAGGTGGGGTTGGGGTGAAATTGGAGAGAGGCTGGGTTGAGGCTGGGTTGAGGCTGGGTTGAGGCTGGGGAGAGGATGCGAGCAAAAGTCTTTGTTCCTTCCTTCCTCCCTCACCCTTTTTGATCCTTTCCTCTGCCCTTCCTCCCTCACCCCTGCTCCTCCGCCCATTCCAGCCTCAACTTTGAAAGAACCTATGTTCTTTTTTATCTGAAAATCTTTTTTTCTTTTTTCCTCCCTTCCCCTTGCTTTCTGCATTCTCCTTACTTTCTCCTTTCTCTTCCTCCTTTCCCCTTGCTTTCCCCCTCCTCCCCTTCCAGCCTTGACGTTGAGAGAACCTCGTCGGGCGATTTCGACCAAGACGTCATGGTGAGAGGGATGGGACGTCATGGTAAGAGGGATGTGACGTCATGGTGAGAGGGATGTGATGTCATGGTGAGAGGGGTGTGACGTCATGGTGAGAGGGATGTGATGTCATGGTGAGAGGGGTGTGACATCATGGTGAGAGGGATGTGATGTCATGGTGAGAGGGGTGTGACGTCATGGTGAGAGGGATGGGACGTCATGGTAAGAGGGATGTGACGTCATGGTGAGAGGGATGGGACGTCATGGTAAGAGGGATGTGACGTCATGGTGAGAGGGATGTGATGTCATGGTGAGAGGGGTGTGACGTCATGGTGAGATGGATGTGATGTCATGGTGAGAGGGGTGTGACATCATGGTGAGAGGGATGTGATGTCATGGTGAGAGGGGTGTGACGTCATGGTGAGAGGGATGTGATGTCATGGTGAGAGGGGTGTGACATCATGGTGAGAGGGATGTGATGTCATGGTGAGAGGGGTGTGACGTCATGGTGAGAGGGGTGTGACGTCATGGTGAGAGGGGTGTGACGTCATGGTGAGAGGGGTGTGACGTCATGGTGAGAGGGATGCGATGTCATGGTGAGAGGGGTGTGACGTCATGGTGAGATCGGTGTGACGTCATGGTGAGGGGTGTGACGTGATGGTGAGAGGGATGTGACGTCATGGTGAGAGGGATGTGACGTCATGGTGAGAGGGGTGTGACGTCATGGTGTCAAGTTTAGCATGTTCACAAAGTTCGCCTGCCCCTTGTCTCTGTTGAGTTCAAGCAAGCATCTCCTCTCCTCCCCCACTCCCCCCCAAATGTTTCCTCCCCCTTCACTTCACCCCCTGTCCCCCCCCTCCAGGTGCACGGGGGTTTCCTTGCTGCATATGACTCTGTCCGCGCTCGCCTGCGCTCCCTCATTGCCATCATCACCGACCCCAACCGCCCTGCACCGCTCACCTCTCATTCTTCTGATGCTGATGCTGATGCGGACTCCTCGATCCATGCAGCTGACAGCCTATCAGAGGGTGACACGTGGCGGGTGTACCTGACAGGGCACAGCCTGGGGGGAGCCCTGGCGACCCTCTTTGCCTACGAGCTCTCCCAGTCCAACCTGGTCAGGTGGGCTCTGCTGTTTTCACCTGGTCAGGTGGGCTCTGCTGTTTTCACCTGGTCAGGTGGGTACCACTGTTAGACCTGATCCGAGGGAAGCATTCCAAGCATCCTCAAAGTAGCATGTTGGTGTTTGGTGTTAAGTGGGGCAAATGTGGCAAGTGTGAGTGTGACCATGACGATGCAGCTGGTCCCACTGTGATCTATTGCTGCAGCCCTCACTCTTTCTGTCTTCTCACATGTGCAGATATGGCTCGTTTCTTCCACCCTAACCTCCCACCCTACCCTCCCACCCTACCCTCCCTCCCGCCCCACCTTCCATCGCGACACATCGTCAACATCCACGCCCCTTTTCTCTTTTGTTTCTTCCCTCCCCTCTCTGCCCCCCTCCCTCCTTCCCCCCAACATCCGCCTCACCATGTACAACTATATTCGCCTCCTCCCACCCTGCCTTCCCTTTCCCTCTCTTTCCTCCCTCCCTCTACAACCATCTCTCAGGGATCGCAACATCCATCTCACCATGTACAATTACGGCTCCCCTCGCGTGGGGAATGCAGCTTTCGTTGCCAGATTCAATGTGGTCAGTGACCCTAACGCGCCCTAGCCCTGGTCATGACTCGATAATGACACGATTTACAGTGTAACCCCCAGGAAACCTTTTGAAAAATACTCTTTTAAGAATTTCCTTTTTGAGAATTCTCAAAAGTGACTCAGACCTGGCCCTGGTCATGACTCAACAAAGACACAACGTTTACAGCATGTAACCCCAGGGAAATGCAGCCTTTGTTGCCAGATTCAATGTGGTCGGTTCAGTCTCCCAAACGCCCTACCCCTTGTCATGGCACGTTTCCAAGACCCCCTAACTTATCCCTCCTCTCCACATCACCTTCCCTCCCCCCCACCCAACCCTCTTTCTGAGGCACCTCAATAATACCTCCATCCACACTCACCCACCCCTGCTCTTTTCCGCCAGTACATGAAGGACAGCTGGCGCATTGTGAATCGTGCGGACATCGTCCCCACAGTGCCCAAGCTAATGGGGTACCGCCACGTGTGCTGCCCTGTCTACCTCAGCCCAGGGGGGCCCTCAGGTGACCTTCAGGTGGGTGTGACCTTCATCCGGGTGTGAGATTCAGGTGCTTTTCAGATAGTAATGAATTCAGGCGATTTTTCAAATGATTTGGTCTCATCATGCACATCTGCGCATGTGTGCATGTGTGCATGTGTGCATGTGTGCATGTGTGCATGTGTGCATGCGTGTCTGCATGGTTGTGTCCATCCATGTGTCCATCCATGTGTCTATCCATGCATGTGTGCATATCTACATGGCAGGCGGATGCATCACAGGAGCAGCTAGGAGTGGATGATGGGTATGCAGCAGAGGTGGTGGGGGAGGCCAATGCCAACGACATCCTGGAAGACTATGTGAGTGAGCGCTGCTTGCACACATGCACACATGCACCTAGACAAGACACTCCATGCTAGACAGGCAGCTAAAGAGTCTTTTGGGGTGTTGTTTGCACTGTTTGTGGGATGTGCATTTCGTTTCTACACACCTTGAGTCTAGGATCTTAGGAGAACAGATAACAAACGTGTTCAGGAAAGAGACTGGACATGAAGATGATGTGACCATAGGCTGTGTCTGACTGGTAGAAGATGATGGACTGGTAGAACCATAGGCTGTGTCTGACTTGCGATAAAAAAAAACTGCGATTCTCCCCTCACCCTCTACCCTCTCAGATGAAGGGCGAGCGGCGGCTGATCGACCGTCTGCTGCAGACGGAGGTGGCGATGCTGTCTGCGCTGAGGGATGGGTGGGTCCATTCCCTTATGCCGGCTCCCCCACACCTGCCATGCCCCCCTCTTCCTCATCTCTCTTCCCCTCCTTCCCCTTTCAGATGAAGGGCGAGAGGAGGCTGATTGACCGGCTGCTGCAAACGGAGGTGGCGATGCTGTCGGCACTGAGGGATGGGTCCGGTCCAAACCCATTATGGCGCCCCCGCACGCCTGCCATGCCTCCCTCTTCCCCCTTTCCCCCCTTGTATTCAGATGAAGGGTGAGAGAAGGCTGATTGACCGGCTGCTGCAGACGGAGGTGGCGATGCTGTCGGCTCTGAGGGATGGGTCTGCCATCATGATGCATATGGAAGACTTTTACTACATTGCCCTGCTCAAGGTGGGATACATGGGGACATGTGGTTGTGTGATGATTGGTTCACATCACATGGGTCTGCCATCATGATGCACATGGAAGATTTCTACGACATTGCGCTGCTCAAGGTGGGGTGGCGGATGCATGGTAGGACATGGTAGGACATGGTAGGACATGGCACATGAGTGCATGGTACATGGCACACATCACATGGGTCTGCCATCATGATGCACATGGAAGATTTCTACTACATCGCCCAGCTCAAGGTGGGATGAGATGAGAGGGAGGCATGGCCTCCACAAGCTGCATGGCAGGCCTCCTTGTTTTTCTCTCACCTCTCCCATTTTACACTCCTCACACCTTTGCGACCCTCGTCTACTCCAGTCCCATCTCCCTACCCTTCTCACCACTCTCTCACTCTCTCTTTCCCTCTCTCCCCTCCGCCACCCGACACTCCTTTTTCCCAACGCTCACAACAGAAAGTGCGAGAAAGCTTGGGCGTTTCTCAGTGAATTGCTCTGTTATACCTCTGCCCATTGCTGCTATGCTGCTATGCTGACGTTCCTGAGTAGTTGGTGATGTTTTTTCCAATCCCTTGTGCTTCGGCCATAGGAGCCATGGGCGTGCTGTCACTGTTGAGTTATCAAAAAGCAAACACTTCCACTTCAATGGGAATATGTCACGTGGTGAGCCTGCTGCTAATGCAACAATTGAGAACATTCATACTCAACTTGAAGCATTAAAGCAATTCTGACGATGCGACGCCTTCAACTTAGAACGATGTTGCAGTACGTTCTGTTTCAGCGTGCCTCAACTCAATCACCCCTTCTCATTTGAGAAAGCATATTGCCCTAACATGTATCATATAGCATTGTTACCTATCTTAGCAACGAATTCGAGATTTAACAATCGGGTACAGAGCAAGCAGTTCCAGGGTAGAAATGCTACGAGGCGAGGTGAACGAACCGCTCAAATTTTCGCAAATCGTTTCGTGCACCCTTCAAGACCCTCTCCCCACCCCACCCACAGCTTCTTGCTTCCTTTTCCTTCTGCTATCTCCTGTCCCGTGCCCATCACGGGACGGCATTTCCGCTGTGCATAGAACTAGTCTTCCATTCTCATTCGATCAAACAATCGGACCATTTCTCAAGCAGACGTAGCCAGACTCCCTAATCTCTCGTCCGAGAAATAGTCGTCTGCTCGTCGGTCATCGTGCTTGCTGGCAGCAGTAATCGTTCAATTCAAAGAAGTCGCGTTCCGCGCGCATCATGTGTGTTTCCACGATGGAACCCAATCGTTTACAGCGTGTGTGTAGTAGTATCACCCTTCCCGCACACGCGACACGCAGGTGTCGGTGTGCAATATTGCCCATTCAGTGCCGAGTCGCCAACGTGCCGTAGCCGCAGTAGGCGCCCCTTCAGTCCTCCGTCGTCCCCCCAATCCCCGCTGCCACCCCCCCTCACAAGTAATCCGCTTCACGAATCCTTCAAGCGCCGATCTTCCTGACGTCATTTTATTTATCCACTCACGCGACTCTCAACGACGACTCTCAGCAACCTTCACGCGCAGCGACTTGACTCCCGCCGAAGCCTGCGAGTCGAGTCCACTCAACCCCTTCGTCTCGAAAAATAACTCGAGGGAAAAAATTCCCAGCCATGGCTATTACTATACTCCCGCCGCGTCTTCCGCTCCTCCTCCTCCCGCTCGCGCTGCTGGTGCTCTCGTCGGCGCACCTCCCCCTCCGCGCGCGCGCGCAGCAGCAGTGCTCCGCCACCACGCTTTGCGCCAACAACCTCTGCTGCAGCGCTGCGGGCTATTGCGGCTCCACCCCCGACTACTGCGGCCCTGGCTGCCAATCCGGGCCGTGCGGGGGAGACACTTCCGCGGCCTCTCCCCCTTCCGGCGCCCCTCCCCCTACCGGCGCCCTTCCCCCGTTATCCAGTGCCAACGGGCAATGCGGAACAGCAAACGGCAAGAGCGTTTGCGCCAACAATCTCTGCTGCAGCGCTGCGGGCTATTGCGGCTCCACCCCCGATTATTGCGGCGCTGGCTGTCAGTCCGGGCCGTGCGGCGGTAACACTTCCGCCCCCCCTCCCCAGTGCGGAGCAGCGAACGGTAACCGCGTTTGTCCCCATAATTTCTGCTGCAGCAAGTTTGGCTGGTGTGGCTCCACCCCGGATCACTGCGGCTCTGGCTGCCAATCCCAATGCGACGCGACTCCCTCCAAGAAGGCGGTCCGTTCAACGCGTGGGATGTATACTGGGAGTGTTCTGATCGGTATAGTTTTACCAGCAGCAGTTCTTTTTGCGTTCTAAACAGCACCACGCTTCGTACCGTGTGCTGTTTGGTATGCTCAACTCAGACCGGGGTTTGGTACTGCAGATCGGGGTATGAAGCCAAGGAAGGGTGCTTGATCATCTCATGAGCGCAGAAATACCACTGACAGCAGAATTTAACAATCATATTGGGCCGGGAAAGTGTTGAACCTCGCCTTGCCGTCTGTGCCGCAAACACTGGTTTTTGCTTTGCTAGATTTTCAGCATAGCACATCTTATGTTAAGGGTCAGTTCGTATTCCGGATTCATATTATTAAAGAGGCGGTATACATTTGCTAGGGGAAAGTCCAAAAGTTTATAAAAGGTACATGGTGGTAACCAAATTACAGGGTCCCTCGACTTCAGACACAGCGACAAGTCCAAACCCAACCCCAGTCACCTGACTCACTCGTCAAAAGTTTATACCTAGCCAAAAGTATACTGAAGGACATACCTCCTCGCCACTATGCCCACACCCACGGCGTCCTTACTCTAGCACTAAAAAGGTAACTTCCAAAAGCGGTGCAAGCCATTGCGATTATAGCTCTTCTCACGCATAGGTCATACGCCGACAGAGCCATTGTTTATTTTTCGGCGCCTGATACACGGAGCATTCCGCATCAAAGTGAGAACGCCTTAGCCATTCCCTTTCCTGCGGCCCGATTTCCCTTCGCCGACGCAAAGTTCCTCTTCCCGTCGCCTAATCCCCCTTCCCGGCGCCCGATTTCCCTTTCCCGCCGCCGCCATGAAACCCCAGTCACGCTGCCCGATTCGGAACGCCGCTCGACTCCTTGTTCTCGCCGCCCGATTCCCCGTCATGCCTGGCGATTCTTCTTTCCCGCCGCCCGATTTCCCTTTCCCGTCGCCCTACTCCCCTTCCCGTCGCCCGATTCATGTTCCCGCCGCCCGATTCATGTTCCCGCCGCCCGCCCGTTCCCCTTTCCCGCCGCCCGAATCTCACTCCGCGCCGCCTGAATCCCCTTTCCCGCCCATTGATTCCAGGCGGGCCGCCCGTCTGCCCCTTCCCGCCGTCCGATTCCCGTTCCCGCCGCCCGCTTCCCCTTTCCCGCCGCCCGATGCGCCTTCCCGCCGCCCGCTTCCCCTTTCCCGCCGCCCGATGCGCATTCCCGCCGCCCGATCCCCTTTTCCCGCCGCCTCCCTTTTCCCCTGTCCGTCGCCCGACCCCCCATCCCGTCCTTCTCTCCCTTCCATCCCTTCTCTCCCTTCCCTCCCTTCTCTCCCTTCCCTCCCTTCTCTCCCTTCCCTCCCTTCTCTCCCTTCCCTCCCTTCTCTCCCTTCCCTCCCTTCTCTCCCTTCCCTCCCTTCTCTCCCTTCCCTCCCTTCTCTCCCTTCCCTCCCTTCTCTCCCCCTTCCCTCCCTTCTCTCCCTTCCCTCCCTTCTCTCCCTTCCCTCCCTTCCCTCCTTTCCCTCCAATCCCTCCCTTCTCTCCAGTCTCTCCCTTCCCTCCCTGTCTCCCTTCCCTCGCTTCCCTCCTTCCCGCCCTTCCCTCCCTTCTCTCCCTTCCCTCCCTTCTCTCCCCCCTTACCTTCTCTCCCTTTTCTCCCTTCCCTATCATCCGTCCTTGCAATCTCCTGTCTCTCCCTTCTCTCCTTTCTCTCTCTTCTCTCCCGTCCCTCCCTTCCCTCCCTTCCCTCCCTTCCCTCCCTTCTCTCCATTTTCTCCCTTCCCTCATCCCGACTTCCAATCTTCCGTCTCTCCCTTCCCTCCCTTCTCTCCCTCCTCTCCCATCTCTCCTTTCCCTCCCTTTTCTTCCATCCCTCGCTTCCCTCCTTCCCTCCCTTCTCTCCCTTCCCTCCCTTCTCTCCCCCCTTACCTTCTCTCCCTTTTCTCCCTTCCCTCTCATCCCTCCATGCAATCTCCTGTCTCTCCTTTCTCTCCCTTCTCTCCCGTCCCTCCCGTCCCTCCCGTCCCTCCCGTCCCTCCCGTCCCTCCCGTCCCTCCCTTCCCCGCCCTTCTCTCCCTTCAATACCTTCGCTCCCTTCCCGCCCTTCTCTCCCTTCAATACCTTCGCTCCCTTCCCGCCCTTCTCTCCCTTCAATACCTTCGCTCCCTTCCCGCCCTTCTCCTCCCCCCCACCGTATCTCCGTTACCTTCCATTTCATCCCTACCCATCCTCGTCTCTCCCTCCCGACATCTCTCCTGCTTCTCCTTTCACTCCCTTTCATCCCTTGCCTCCCTTGACTACCTTCCCTCCCTTCTCTCCCTTCGATAGAAGTCTCTCCGTTCCCTCCTTTTCTCTCTCTTCTCTCCCGTGTCTCCCTTCCTCGCCCTTCACTCCCTTCCCTCCCTTCTCTCCCATGTCTCCCTTCCTCGCCCTTCACTCCCTTCCCTCCCTTCTCTCCCTTCCCTCCCTTCTCTCCCTTCTCTCCCTTCTCTCCCTTCTCTCCCTTCTCTCCCTTCTCTCCCTTCTCTCCCTTCTCTCCCTTCTCTCCCTTCTCTCCCTTCTCTCCCTTCTCTCCCTTCTCTCCCTTCTCTCCCTGCCTTCCTGTCCCCCATCCTTCCTTCCTTACGCACTCCTCCAGCCATTCTCTCCTCTTGCAATCCTCACTGCCATCCTTCCCTTCCGCTAAACCTGTAACCAAGCCCCTTTCGATTCTCTTGTCGTCACCTCCCAAGCAACAGCGGCATTGCCATGGGAAATTTCAACATGCATCTCCCACCTACCCCCACCTACTCCCATCTCCCCTCCCCCTACCACCTACTCCAATCTCACCTCCCCTTCCCCCCCCTTACCACGGGATTTCAGCCCACCACGCCTCCCCATACCACCTACTCACATCGTTGCTCCCCTCCCCCTACCACATACAACATACTCCCATCTGACCTCCCCTTCCCCTGCCACCTACTCCCTTCTCATCTCCCCTCCCCTACCACCTCTCCTGGCCCTATCAAGCACTCTTTGCTCACCTCCCATCCCCCTACCAGAGGCATTCTTCTCACCTCCCCTCTCCTACCTCTTCTTACCCCCTCCTCTACCAAGGGCGCTCTGCTCACACCCTGCCCCTCCAGGTCCCCCACACTTATGTGTTTCTTTCTTAGTTGAATCTGACCTCCTACAGCCCTCACATTGTATTCCCTTGCTCGATTTCTGTGCTTGTGTTGCAGGTGGGGTGCTTTCCTGACTGCACATCCTACGCCTCACAGGGCACATAACAGCCTGCAACCTGGGCTTGGATAGGCTGCGATTGCAATGGGAATGGCAGGGGAGCATGGCAACGGCTACGAGCAAAGCAGCTTCAAGCCTCTCGGTCAATCGGCCTGTCCTTATACGATCCAAGTATTCAATCTTCCGCCTTGAACATTAGCACATAAACACACCCTCTTTTCCCCTTTTAGGTATTTCTTACTGACCCAACACATCGTGCCATCAAACTCATGTTTGTGTTTTTACCAACTGGTTATTGAACGTAGTGCTTTGTGACATCATTACAGGTTGCTGACTTCAACACTTTTTGTAGCCAGTTCCCTACCATAACACAGTATGTAAACAAAGCACTACGTTCAATAACCAGTTGGTAGAGTGAGGGATGAGGAGAAGAAAGGATGGGGTGAGAAGGGATGCGGAGAAGAAAGGACGGGGTGAGGAGGGATGAGGAGAAGAAAGGATGGGGTGAGGGATGAGGAGAAGAAAGGATGGGGTGAGGGATGAGGAGAAGAAAGGATGGGGTGAGAAGGGATGCGGAGAGGAAAGGATGGGGTGAGGAGGGATGAGGAGAAGAAAGGATGGGGTGAGGAGGGATGAGGAGAAGAAAGGAGGGGAATCAGCGGGGGAAAGCAGGGGAAGTACGGGGGGGAAAGGCGAGGCAGAGAAGTGGAGGAAAGGAGGGGAAGCAGTGGGGGAAAGGAGGGGAAGCACGGGGGGGAAAGGCGAGGCAGAGAAGTGGAGGAAAGGAGGGGAAGCAGTGGGGGAAAGGAGGGGAAGCACGGGGGGGAAAGGCGAGGCAGAGAAGTGGAGGAAAGGAGGGGAAGCAGTGGGGGAAAGGAGGGGAAGCACGGGGGGGAAAGGCGAGGCAGAGAAGTGGAGGAAAGGAGGGGAATCAGTGGGGGAAAGGAGGGGAAGCACGGGGGGGAAAGGCGAGGCAGAGAAGTGGAGGAAAGGAGGGGAAGCAGTGGGGGAAAGGAGGGGAAGCACGGGGGGGAAAGGCGAGGCAGAGAAGTGGAGGAAAGGAGGGGAAGCAGTGGGGGAAAGGAGGGGAAGCACGGGGGTGAAAGGCGAGGCAGAGAAGTGGAGGAAAGGAGGGGAAGCAGTGGGGGAAAGGAGGGGAAGCACGGGGGTGAAAGGCGAGGCAGAGAAGTGGAGGAAAGGAGGGGAAGCAGTGGGGGAAAGGAGGGGAAGCACGGGGGTGAAAGGCGAGGCAGAGAAGTGGAGGAAAGGAGGGGAAGCAGTGGGGGAAAGGAGGGGAAGCACGGGGGGGAAAGGCGAGGCAGAGAAGTGGAGGAAAGGAGGGGAAGCAGTGGGGGAAAGGAGGGGAAGCACGGGGGGGAAAGGCGAGGCAGAGAAGTGGAGGAAAGGAGGGGAAGCAGTGGGGGAAAGGAGGGGAAGCACGGGGGTGAAAGGCGAGGCAGAGAAGTGGAGGAAAGGAGGGGAAGCAGTGGGGGAAAGGAGGGGAAGCACGGGGGTGAAAGGCGAGGCAGAGAAGTGGAGGAAAGGAGGGGAAGCAGTGGGGGAAAGGAGGGGAAGCACGGGGGTGAAAGGCGAGGCAGAGAAGTGGAGGAAAGGAGGGGAAGCAGTGGGGGAAAGGAGGGGAAGCACGGGGGTGAAAGACGAGGCAGAGGAGTGGAGGAAAGGAGGAGAAGCAGTGGGGGAAAGGAGGGGAAGCAGTGGGGGAAAGGAGGGGAAGCAGTGGGGGAAAGGAGGGGAAGCAGTGGGGGAAAGGAGGGGAAGCAGTGGGGGAAAGGAGGGGAAGCAGTGGGGGAAAGGAGGGGAAGCAGTGGGGGAAAGGAGGGGAAGCAGTGGGGGAAAGGAGGGGAAGCAGTGGGGGAAAGGAGGGGAAGCAGTGGGGGAAAGGAGGGGAAGCAGTGGGGGAAAGGAGGGGAAGCAGTGGGGGAAAGGAGGGGAAGCAGTGGGGGAAAGGAGGGGAAGCAGTGGGGGAAAGGAGGGGAAGAAGTGGGGGAAAGGAGGGGAAGCAAGGGGGAAAGGAGGGGAGGCAGGGACGGAAATGAGGGGATGCAGGGGCGGAAATGAGGGGATGCGTGGGGGGAAAGGAGGGGAAGCAGGGGCGGAAATGAGGGGATGCGTGGGGGGAAAGGAGGGGAAGCAGGGGCGGAAATGAGGGGATGCAGGGACGGAAATGAGGGGATGCAGGGACGGAAATGAGGGGATGCGTGGGGGGAAAGGAGGGGAAGCAGGGGCGGAAATGAGGGGATGCAGGGGCGGAAATGAGGGGATGCGTGGGGGGAAAGGAGGGGAAGCAGGGGCGGAAATGAGGGGATGCAGGGGCGGAAATGAGGGGATGCGTGGGGGGAAAGGAGGGGAAGCAGGGGCGGAAATGAGGGGATGCAGGGGCGGAAATGAGGGGAAGCAGGGGCGGAAATGAGGGGATGCGTGGGGGGAAAGGAGGGGAAGCAGGGGCGGAAATGAGGGGAAGCAGGGGCGGAAATGAGTCCAAACGTGTGGATGCGGCCTTACGCATTTCGTGTATTGGAGAAATCCGTGAGGCGAGCAGCGCGTTACTATCAGAATCACTAGGCAAGAATGATGAACTAGCAGAAGTTTGGGTACAAATATGAAACCCTAGTTGGAGTTGTACCCCATATTGGCTACCCCACTACAGCCTACAAGCATACTACAGTTTAACACACCCCCATAGGCAAAGTGGGGGAGAACAAAGGGTCACAAGACCAGTCCAGCAAAACAAAGCAACGCCCAAGGTGGATCACAATGTCACCACACTCCGAGCACAAGTAAAGGCCACAAGGCCAGTTCACATGCAGTGCTAGATACCGTACAAGACAAGCAACACAGTGATCAAAACCTAGCAAGCAAGCAACAAGATATATATAAAGTACAGTACAAAGAATGTCAAGCAGTGAGCAAGTGAGGAAACGTGGACACAAGGCCTAAAGAAGTACAGTGCCGCTGATGATCACTAGGCGGGAGCGCCTTGGTGAAGATATCAGCAGTGTTGGCCTTCGAGTCCACGTACACAAGCCGAAGCTGACCGCGCTGCTGAAGCTCTCGAGCAAGAAAGTAGCGAAGAGCAATGTGCTTCGTCCTGTGCTCCAGTCTGTGCTCCTGACACAAGGCAAGAGCCGCCTTGTTGTCACCGTACAGAACTGGAGGAGAACTAGGCCGCTCTCCCAAGTCAGTCAGCAGGTAGGTGAGCCAGCGTAACTCCTGTGCAGCCATGGCTGTGGCGTAGATCTCAGCCTCACAACTAGAGCCGAGAACAGAGGAAGAGCGGGTGGACCGCCACGAGACAGAACCTGAGCCAAGGCTGAAGGTGTAACCCTGTGACGACCGCTGCGTAGCCAGGTCGTCCACCCAAGAGGCGTCCGAGTGACCAGTGAGGACAACTCTGTCGCGTCCTCCAAGCACCAGCCCCATGCCTGATGTACTGCACAGGTAACGCAGCACCCTCTTAGCAGCCTCCCAGTGCTCTCGCCTGTGTCTCCCAGGCGCAACGTAACGAGCAAGGATGCTAAGAGTCACGAAGTTGGGGGCGCAACATGCCGGTTATGAGGCGCCTCAAAACTAGAATCCGCCCGCCCAGTCCCACATGCCGCTGAGTAAGAGGTCTGCGAGGGGGGCAACGAGGGGTGCAAGGGGAAAGAAAGGGGAGGCGCAGATGTGAAACAGGCTGAAGTGTTGAGGAAACTTCCTGCAGCCAGGCTTGGAAAAATAGGAAACTTACTGCGAGACTCATGCTTCTTTTTGTTAAGCCTGCTCGTTCGCTACTCCATGTACATGCATTCGTTCAGATAAATAGAAATTCCGGCAGTTCAAAACGAGTGCCTTTCTGACACAAATACTATAAGCCGTGCCTTTCTTTAAGCGTCTGAAAAAAAAAAGTTTAAACAGTGGCTTTAAGCCGCACCTTCACTGGAGGAAGGGGAAGATGAGGAGAGGGAGGAGGCAGGAGCAACGGCAAGTGATGCAGCAGGTGTGTCGGCGTCTGGTGCATCGAAGGGACCGGCCAAATTAAATCCCATCATCTTAGCCTCTCCTGCGGGCTCCTTCCTACTCCTCCCCACCACCTCGCTCGCAGCACCAGCAGCACCAGCAGCACCAGCAGCAGCACCGCCCTCCAGTCTGCTGGCACTTCAGACGATATAACGTCAGCCGCCTGCATGGATGGGAGGAGGGATTTCAAAAGTGCGAAGTCTATAGCTGAATTAAAAACCAGTTTTTCGTTGACTCAAAAGCATGCACTTGTCTGATCATGAAAGCACCGGATATTATCAGCACTTAGCCCTTGCTTCAGGACTTGGTGTGTGAATTGAGTCGACTTAAAAAACCACTTGGTTTGATCACGAGAGGACCAGGTAATATCAGCACAGCATTTAGCCCTTTTCTTCAAGACACGGTGTATGGATTGGGAAGAAAAATGTACTAACCCACCCACCCATTCACTTGTGCAGAACCTCTTTTGATTCGACTCGAAAGCACCGGATATTATCAGCAATTAGCCCTTGCTTCTGGACTTGGTGTGTAGATTGGGAGAAAACATGTAGAAACTCACCTATCCACCCGTGTAGGACCTACCCACCCACCTACCCAGGAGGCAAGGGTGCTTTCGTTGACACACAGCGACTGCAGCGCATTCAAGTCCACCGCTGCTGCCGCCGCTGCTGCTCTCACCTGCAACCCACCCACCCACCCACCCACCCACCCACCCACCTACCCACCTACCCAGGAGGCAAGGGTGCTTTCGTTGACACACAGCGACTGCAGCGCATTCAAGTCCACCGCTGTTGCCGCCCTCAGCTTAGCCTGCCTCTCTGCCTTTGCGGCTGAGTGAGTAGCAGATACCGCTGATGCTGCTGCTGCTGCTGCTGCCTCGACAAAGTTGTTGTTTTCGACGGTCAGGATGCGATGCAGTAGCAGATCCTCCCAGCTGGTGTGATGGCATGGGTGGGGCGGGGTGGGGAGGGATGGGATGAGTTGGAGATGAGATGTAGCACATCCTCCCAGCTGGTGTGATGGCATGGGTGGGGCGGGGTGGGGAGGGATGGGATGAGTTGGAGATGAGATGTAGCACATCCTCCCAGCTGGTGTGGCAGAAGCAGGTGGCATGGGGTGGGGTGGCATGGGTTGGAATGGTTTGGAGTTGGGGAGAGCAAGGATGGGTTGGGATGGCTAATGGGCCACGTAACATAGATGGTGGCATGGATGGTGGCATGGATGGTGGCATGGATGGTGAAGGCACGTATAACGGCATGTGTGACGTCATGTGTGACGTCATGTGTGACGGCATGTGTGACCAAGTGTGATGATGGCGATGGCGGGAAATGTGGGAAAGAGTGGCAAGAGGGGTGCAGTGCGGTGAGGTAGGAGGGCAGTACAGCAGGAAGAAGCTACCTGGAATGTTCCTCATAAGCCATGAGTCGGTAAAACTCCCCATAGCTCTCCAGCACTCGCAGCGGGTCTTCTTGGGAGGGGGGAGGGGGGGAGAGTGGGTGCAGGGCGGGGAGACATGGAGGAGGGTAGAGGGCACGAGTGAGGAGAGGGAAGGGGCGAATGTTTTTTTGAGAATTCTCAAGAAACATACGTTGGAAGAAAGAGAATGCGAAAGCCATAAAGGTGGTAGAACTCCCCATAGCTCTCTTTTGAGACGTCTCAAAACAACTTCCCATAGCTCTCTTTTGAGACGTCTCAAAACAACTCCCCATGGCTCTCCAGCACTCGCAGCGGGTCTTTTTGGGAGGGGAGAGGTGGGAGGAGGGGAAGGGAAGGGAGGAGAGGGAGACATTTGGGAGGGGATAGGGAGGGGGGGGGGAGACGGAAGGGGGGAACTGGAAGGGCTCTTAAGGCCATAAGCCACACCTCCCCCACACCCCAACACCTCCCCCACACCCCAACACCTCCCCCACACCCCAACACCTCCCCCACACCCCAACACCTCCCCCACACCCCAACACCTCCCCCACACCCCAACACCTCCCCCACACCCCAACACCTCCCCCACACCCCAACACCTCCCCCACACCCCAACACCTCCCCCACACCCCAACACCTCCCCCACACCCCAACACCTCCCCCACACCCCAACACCTCCCCCACACCCCAACACCTCCCCCACACCCCAACACCTCCCCCACACCCCAACACCTCCCCCACACCCCAACACCTCCCCCACACCCCAACACCTCCCCCACACCCCAACACCTCCCCCACACCCCAACACCTCCCCCACACCCCAACACCTCCCCCACACCCCAACACCTCCCCCACACCCCAACACCTCCCCCACACCCCAACACCTCCCCCACACCCCAACACCTCCCCCACACCCCAACACCTCCCCCACACCCCAACACCTCCCCCACACCCCAACACCTCCCCCACACCCCAACACCTCCCCCACACCCCAACACCTCCCCCACACCCCAACACCTCCCCCACACCCCAACACCTCCCCCACACCCCAACACCTCCCCCACACCCCAACACCTCCCCCACACCCCAACACCTCCCCCACACCCCAACACCTCCCCCACACCCCAACACCTCCCCCACACCCCAACACCTCCCCCACACCCCAACACCTCCCCCACACCCCAACACCTCCCCCACACCCCAACACCTCCCCCACACCCCAACACCTCCCCCACACCCCAACACCTCCCCCACACCCCAACACCTCCCCCACACCCCAACACCTCCCCCACACCCCAACACCTCCCCCACACCCCAACACCTCCCCCACACCCCAACACCTCCCCCACACCCCAACACCTCCCCCACACCCCAACACCTCCCCCACACCCCAACACCTCCCCCACACCCCAACACCTCCCCCACACCCCAACACCTCCCCCACACCCCAACACCTCCCCCACACCCCAACACTCAACCCCACCACCACAACACGCCCACTCCACCCACCCCCACACCTCCGCACCGCAGCCCCGCTCTTCCCCACTCCCTTCCCTTCCCCACCATCAGCGCGTCGCAGCTGCAGCAGCAGCCTCAGAAACGCCTGCGGAGCAGCGCTTGTACAGACACACCCATACCAGGCCCACCACCCCCACCATCCTCTTTCTCCCCCTCTTCCCCCCCTCTTCCCCCACTCTTCCCCACCATCAGCGCGTCGCAGCTGCAGCAGCAGCCTCAGAAACGCCTGAGGGGCAGCGCTTGTACAGACACACCCCCACCACGCCCATACCACCAGAAACCTACACTCCCGTCCACTCCTCCCCACCATCAGCGCGTCGCAGTTGCAGAAGCAGCCTCAGAAACGCCTGCGGAGCAGCGCCTTTGAAAGCGTCCTGATACAGCAGCAGCGCTGCCGCATCCCTCAGTAGGCGTGCTGCTGCTTTGCCTGCACTGAGGGGGTTGGAGGGGGGTGGAATGGAGAGAATAGTATGGGGAAGGGAGAGAGAGAGAAAGGGCAGCAGCGCCTTTGAAGGCGTCCTGGTAGAGAAGCGCCTTTGAAAGCGTCCTGGTAGAGAAGTAAGGCCGCTGCGACCTTCAGTAGCCGCGCTGCTGCCTTGCCCGCACTGAAGGGATACGAAGAGGGGGCATCAGAGAGGGTGGGAGAAGAGAAGAGGGTGGAAGGGGGAAGAGGGAAAACATCACTGCCTTTAAAGTCGTCCTGATAAACCAGCAGGGCCGCTGCATCTTAGTACCCACGCTGCATTCTATCTTTTGAGAATTCTAAAAAAAACACCTCCTACACATCTTTTGGAGGGGGATTTAAGTTTAAGGCAAGAACAGCGCGCCTTAAAAGCGCGTTTTTATGCGTGAAATCATGCTACCTGGGCCGTGGATCTGCAGTAAATCCAATGGCTGTTATCGTTCGCCGCCTCCCCCGAACCGCTCCTCCTTCCTCTCCCACGCCTTCTCCCCCGAACCCCCTTCTCCATCCCTGCTGTTGCGCTCCGAACCTAAAATTGCCACAGTTGCCGAGCCTGGTTCCGAGCCTGTCGTCTAGCCTCGTCAACTTTCGGCTGAGCGGATGACCCGGTCGCGCTTGTGCCTGCCACGTGCCGAATGGGGATTGAATTGGCTTCGACAGCTGCGACCCATTAGCGAGGATACTCCGGGTGTGGTAACCCGACGCACGTGGCGAAAAGAGCGACTGCGTCATCGTCGCAACTGCACCTTTCAGAAATGAATTGTCGTTGGATACGGGGCTAAGACGGCCTACCGGGTCAGGAACTAATGCGGAGCGAAGTACGGCGAGGAATGCGGCGAGTAATGCGGCGAGGAATGAGGCGATCTGGGCGGATCGGGGGGGTGTGCGGAACGGGAGTCGAGCGAACACACTTGTGCGCCAGTCAGCCGCAGCGCGAGACCAACAGCCGCCCCTAATTGGGATTGCGCGGGAAACTGGATTTGCTGCCTCTGCAGCCACTTGGGTTCTGCTGCTGATGATCATTATGCTTTCATACACATTCATACGCACATTCGCAAAACCGACACGTGACAGTAAAGGCACCTACAGAAAACATCTTAGCAACAGGGTTTCGAAAAACATATACATATTATGTATAATGCATGTACAAACAAGCACACACCAAGCCCTTGATCGGGTGGCAAATGCAAACAATAACAACGAGACATAAGCTCTATACAGCTACCCCCACTAGCCTATGTGCGCGTGGCGCTCTTGGAAATGGGATACAGGTGGGTAGGTGGTCTTGGTACTGGTACCGGTAGCATCCATAGCAGCATGCAGCAATGACTCCACTGCTTATTCTTCTCCTCAGTTGCACCTGCTCACCTCGCCTATACTTCTCACATTCTCCTCTCTCACTTACAGCCCCCTTGCTCCTCATTACCCACTTGCTCCACCACCAACATTACCTGATTCCTTCTTCCCCTTCCCCCTCCTCTCCCCCCTCTCCCTTTTATTGGCAACCCGCCCTGCACTGACGTGGCCACCAATCCGTACTCTCTCCACCCCAAAAAGTTGTCAGCAGTGCAAAGCAGACACAGCACACCAGCGTGTCAAAAATAGCAGATACCATGGAAACAAAGACCAACCTTAAAAGAGCTGCGCACAGAATTTGATTACCACCCGTCTTACTTCAGATGCTGCACACACAGTTACCTACCCATGTGGACGATTGCAGAAGCTTCCAGAATGTTACAAAATGTTACACAGCATTGCTGTAGCCTTGCGCCCTTGGCACCCTTGCAACTGCCCAGCTGCACGATGTGCCTTATGAGTCCCTTGAATCAAACCAGGGTTGCTGTTCCCCGGTGTACCCCGTTGCTCCATGCAGCCCGCATGGAGTGAGGTTGAGTCGGATCAAGACAGATTGGATCAGACTATCCTGGCAGCCATGCAGTCATCCAGTCGTGCAGTGCAGTGCAGTTGCTTGGAGCATCAGCCAGGAGAGATCAGATGGATGTACAAAGCTGTGGACGTGGAGAGCTGTGGCAGCACAGCCCTAGTGAATACAATAGCTGCTTCTGCAGAGAGATTGGAGGCTGCAGGCGAGTATAGGAAGCTCTTGCCTCGCAGGGAGATTCTGCCCAGGCGAGCAGACAGGTGCATTTGTAGATACAATAGCTGCTTCTGCGGCCAGAAGCGGGGGCTGCAGGCGAATAAGAGAAGTTGTTGCCTTGCAGGGAGATTCTGCACAGGCGAGAGCAGATGGGAGTACACTGGCTGTACAGCCCTCGTAGATACAATAGCTCTTCTGCGGCCAGAAAGTGGGCGCTGCAGGCGAGTAAAGGGAGCTTTTGTCTCGCAGGCGAGTATAAGTGAGATTCGGCCCAGGCGGGAGCAGATGAGTGTACACTTGCTGCACAGCCCTCGTAAACACAATAGCTGCTTCTGCGACCAGAAGTGGACGCTGCAGGTGCCAGAATGAGAGGACGCTGGAGCTAGCAGTTAGCTGCAGAAGCTATAGTGAAGTGAAATGTGGGTGCCGCCACGTTTGGAAGCTGTCGAGTCATAAAAGTGCCGCTAAGTGTGGTGTGGAAGCTGGGAGCGCTGAGAAGTGCAGGTAGCTGCACGAAGCGCCTACGCGTGGAAGCTGTGGCGCATCTCAGGCTCCTTCCATGCTGCTCTGGCGGGCGTGTAGCGCGACAAATGGGCGAACCCCCACAGCTGCACCACACACACGCACACACACACACACACATGGTGGTGGTGACGAAAATGAGTCGAGTGGGCCAGGGTGGGCCGGAAGGGTGGGGAGGAGGAGTTGGTTAGGAGAGAGAACACACTGGGTAACGAGAGAAGAAACCATAAGGAACAGACTTAGTGCAGTAAAGTGCGTGCATACGACTGAGTGTTGGGAGGGGGGTGGGAAGGAGGGGGGAAGGGCTACAACTGAGACATGGAATATAGGTAGTGCGTGCAGGCGAGATGAGTGTGCGCGCAGTGCAGAGAAGATGAGTGTGCTTGCAAGAGATGAGTGAATATACCTCAACGTGTTTTACGCAGAAGTCCTCTTTCCCCGCCAGGCATGGGCTGGCGAAGGTGTCACACTCGCCACTGGAGCCTGACAGCCTGCAGCTCGCACACATGGAGAGACGAGGGACAGGTAGAAGAAGGGAGGAGAAGCGAGGAGAAGGGAAGAGAAGTGATGAGAACGGAGAAAGGAGGAGTAGGGACGACAGGAGAAGGTACATGGGCGGCAAGAATAAGCAGTCTCCTCCAAAAGATGTGATTTTGCTGTTAGGCAGATGTCCAAGGAGGCATGCAACAAATGAACTCACAGGTATTCTTCCAGGCGAAGGGCGGATCTCCCGCCGCCACCGAAGGCGAGGCACTCATGGGTAGGCAGCACGTAGTAGTGGTTGCGCCCCGTGGCTGCATGCACCGTGGTGGCGCCTGAGACTGCTAGCCGCTACCTACACAACCCGCTTCACCACCCACGCCTTTTTAGCACCTCCCAGACTTACAGGTCTTCCTCGAGGCGCAGGGCGAATCTACCACCGCCACCGAAAGCGAGGCACTCATGGGTGGGCTGCACGTAGTAGTGGAGTGGTTGCGCCCTGTGGCTGCATGCACCGTGGGGAGCAGAGCCCCCCCGGACCGACACTGCTCGCCCCTACGAACCCACGAGATATCGAGGGGGGGGTGAACTCACAGGTCTTCCTCCAGGCGCAGAGCGAATCGTCCACCGCCACCGAACGCGAGGCAGTCGTGGGTGGGCAGCACGTAGTAGTGGTTGCGCCCCGTGGCTGCATGCACCGTGGGGGAGCCGGAGACGTCGGAGAAGACAAAGCAGTGGTTGCTGCCCTGGTACTTGCGCCGGTCCGATGGGGTGAGCGAGGTTGGGGAGGAGAACGCGCCAAAGATTGTGCCTGCGCTGTCTGATACCACCTGGAGGGATGGAAGGGATGGGTGGAGGGGGAGATCAATACATGACGTGCTTAGAACTGCACTGTGGGGGAGCCGGAGATGTCGGAGAAGACAAAGCAGTGGTTGCTGCCCTGGTACTTGCGGCGGTCCGACGGGGCGAGAGAGGTTGGGGAGGAGAAGGCGCCAAAGATCGTGCCTGCGCTGTCTGATACCACCTGGAGTGTGGCAGAAGGGAGGGGAGGGAGAGGCAAGAGAGAGAAACAATGAGCTCATTCAGTGTGAAACGAACGACAAGCGGCAGCGCGAGACAGAAAAACGACCAAAGAACAAACAGGATCGGAATAGGCAAAGCACCAGCAAGGTCTGGGCAGACTTTTTGACCAGGAAGAAGAACACTTTTCAAGTGGACTCGGGAACAGCAGCAAGGTTGCGAGGAGCAGGAAGGGCACGCACGAGGAGGCAGGGGCCGGGAAGCATGGAGGCCCTGCGGTAGAGAGTGAGGAGCGATATGCCATGCTTCACCGTGCTGCATGGCGCATGGTAAGTGGGCCATTGGTGGGAAGGACCGAGGAGAGGGGAGACGAATGGTGAGATAAATGAGAGACACGAATAGCGACGGAGAGGAACGGAAGGAATGGAAGAGGGAGAGAACGGACAACAGAGGAGAAAATACAGCTTGCAAGTTCACAATCAACTAGATGCATCAGCATTACTCAGCATGTACATGACTACATGCATGTTACCCAAATCTGCGTAAATCCAGCTGTTACCTGTAGAGCAGCACCCATTTGCGGCTGCTGACAGTGGCAGGCAGGTGTTTGAACACTGCCGCGCGCGTCGCATCTGTCAGAAGAAACGACTCCTCCGTCAGCTCAGGCAATCGCGGTGTGACAGCTGGCGGGGTGACAGCTGGCGGAGAAACTACAGCATCCACTGCCACGTCGCTCCTGGCTGGCAACTCAATGCTGAATGGGCGGCGTGCCGCCAACTTGCTGTCTTTGTCCTTTTCCTGGCGCCATGACTTCTCGCCCGTCGTTCCACCACTCCCATGGGGCCCGTGCTCCTGAACCGCCCATAAATCCGGGTCCAGGCTGGCAGTCCACGTCAGCGGCATGTCACAGTCCAGGACAGTAGCCAGCGGAGTGAGTGGCGGCAGCCGTTCCGACATGCTTCGGGATAGCATCCCCATCCTCGCTCCAGATTTGATCCTGCCGCCCGTTCCCAAACCACCACCAAATGTCCCCCCCGAACCTGCATTCAAACCTCCTCCCGGGCCTCCAGCCGGAGCAGAGCTTGCCGAACCGGATTCTGAGGCTGCGTCAGGGCTCGTCACAAGACGCTTCAAAGGAGACGTGTAAGACGAAGAAGGCGTGGACTTGACACACTTGGCGCCACGACCATCACCATCACCATCACCATCGCCATTACCACCGTCCGCAGCAGCAACAACCCGCGCACATGCCCGAGCAGCAGACGCGGAGCGAGGGGAGAACGACAGCCACCTCTTCCGGTTCCAGAACCCAGCTCCACCGCTCTGAACCCCCGTCTTCCTCGCTTCGAAACTCACGGACTTGCCAACAGACGCGAGCTTGCTCCAGCTCCCATCCCGCTCTCCCCCTTCACCTCCCCCCGCCTCCTCTCGCTCGCGCTCATCCTCCCCGTCCCCCTCACTCTCCTCCTCAGAATCCGAATCCTCATCCGAATCTGAGAGTGAGTACACGGACGACGCGGCGGATTGGGACGAAGCGGTAGCAGACGACGCGGGTCTCTGGCTGCCACGTGGCGTCACGAGGGAGAGGATGAACGAGGAGAAGGACGAACCGCCGGGAGTGGTAACAGTCGGAGGGGAGGTTATTGAGTTGTTGGTGAGGGAGAGCGAGAACGGCAACTCGCCGCCTTCCAGCTCCTGTGCGGATGGGATTGTGTCCAGAACCGGCCGCTGGAAGATCGGACGGTTTCGGACGGCCGTCGCCTGTTGCTTGATGTCGACTGGCTGACTGACGGGTTGCTTGCCGGGAGAAGGAGCGGGTGGTGGAAGCTTCGCGCAGGTTGCTGGGGTCAATTTCGACGGCTGTGCTGCGACTGGAGCTGCGACTGGTGCGGTCACGGGTTGCTTCGCGTCCTCGGGGGTGCTTGTAGAGAGAAAACCACCCACGCTTTCCGATTTAGTCACATTCGATAGTGATGTCCCGTCGTCGGAAGCTTCGTTTTCCTCCTCGTCGGTTTCGATTACAGCGACGGGGAATATAGCCGCGCGAAACGCTTTCGCCTTGTCTTTATCGCACGCTCCGGCCTTCGCCTTCTCCTGATCGAATACGGATGAAACAGCCTCGGTGGTAAGCTCGGAGACAGGCTCGGCAACTGCAGAAGGGCGTACGGCACCCTTTCGTCTAAGGAACATAGTAAGTGATGATAACGGGGTCCTTCGAGGAGTAGAAGCCGCCTCGGATAATAACGGATTGGAGCCATTTTTCTTCATAGCGTGAATGCAGCTGTTGCTGCTGCAGCGACCCATCAGGCGAGAGCAGGAACCCTGAATGCGAGGGAGCGACACCGCAAGCGCAAACCGGAGAAAGAGCAGCAACAACGATTATTCATGCACGAGTCCTCTACATCCTACGACAATCGTGTTCAAGCGTGACGTGCATCTACCATCAATAATCGGCGACGAAGCAGAACTTGAGAAGTCTATCTGCCAAAATTTATCCAGGCGTCATGACTCGTGTAGTCGAGGTTACCTTGGTCGCTGATGTCGCGTTCTCCACGTTTTGCTGCTGCTGGCGAACGAAGCAACTGTCGCTCGCGTTCCTTCGCATTGCCCTGCGACCCGCTGCCGTGAGCCGTCGCATCATGCGGTCACCGATCACATCACCGAACGCCATGACTCGATGTCAGAGCAAGGGCCTTCAGACTCTTGAGCGATGAATTTCCAAATAGTTTAGCTCGTTTTTTACGATCGCCGTTAAGAAAGTTGAGAAGTCGAGGGCTTCCAGAAACCGCGGTAGTGGAACACTTAGTTGGTTGCTAGACGAGAGAATTACCCGTCGTAACTGGTGATAAGGCGACGGAAAAAAGTAGCAGTTTTTGCGATGCTCGCATGTGGAGAATTGGCTTGTTATCCAGGCACTTCAATTTCTAACGCATCCGTAGCGGTTGTCGCGAGGGAGAAGTAAGCAGTGGAGTTAAGCAAGGATTCAATACACACACGCACGTCGAAGTGACATGGATGCATGAATTTCGGCCAAAAAAACATCCGACGACTAAGGATACAGCAAACCCCAGGGACGGAATCACGTGCAAAAGGAACGGAATCGACGGTTCTTATCGCGGGAGGATCGCGAGTAGTAGGAAGGGAACACATTTGAAAAAACAGGAAAAACAAGAAACGGCTGCTCTTTACAAGAACGGGGTTGGGCTTTCTGCGGAGCTCAATCACACAGATTCCACCCCTCTGCATGAAAGCTTGGAGTGAAATATATGCATGCAGAGCAGCAGCAGTCAGGAGCAGCCGCAGCGGTGAGGAGAAATCCAGGATGAGAGCGACGAAGGAGAAGGGGGCAAATGCAAGGAATGGTGGAAGAACCTGGACAGCAGTGCAGAAGTGCAACCGGGCAGAAAGTAAATTGTCCAAAAATGCTTGTTCGGTGCAGTTAACATGATTAAATTGCGGAATAGCTAATATTCAGGAGCAACTATGAACGAAAGTGGACAGCTAACTGGTGTCGTGTACCCGAAATCAGTGCGAAACAAGGCTATGAGGGGGCAGAGGAAGAATGGAAGCAGGCGGTCTTCTACCCTCTGTTGCTGGATTGGTTTGGAGGCGTTGCAGTACACCGGTGGGGTGTGGTGGCGCGTGTGCAACCTATTTTGGCGGCAGCGGCTTCTGGGGCTGAGTGTGTGCGACCTCGAGAAAATCGCATGCAATTCTCGAAGTATTCATATGCGACGACGAGCACTTCCACCAACGCAAATAAGACTGGGTGAATGCGATGGCGACGAAATGAGGTCGACAAATCTGCCTCCTCGACAGCGAGAAACGAATGGCGTTCCAAATGGCGGCATCGTCGGATGAGCTGGTGGCGACAGAACCAGCATTTCGCCAGCACGTGATTACGCCAACGGGGATGGGCGAAGCAGGGTTTCGCACAAAGCCTATTGAGGTTGCTGGGTGTTAGTTGGCATGCGGTCATCAATCACGTGGATTGCGTCAACATGTGAAACCAGAAGCGCTTTATGAGGCATGGTCATTGGCCAGCTCAAGCTAGGCTTGTGTGACTGGACGATATGCTGGCTTGGGAAGTTTTCGGAGCAATCGGTGCCGTCGTTGTGTCACCGAGCCTAGCGTGCCTGCGTTCGTGAGAGGCCCGGTTATCCCAAGCGTGAAAAGAAATGTCTCAGATCAAACCAAAAAGACCCAGGCTGACGTGCCTCAAGCGATTGCCAGGTTGACAGAACGCCAGCATGGAAACGGCTGTGTGTGTGAAGGTATTTCGTTGCAAGTGATTCGTTTCAATTTAAAATTTGACTGGAAACAATATTTGTAGCGAACGGATATTTAGTGATGCGCTCAGTGAGGGACTTGTCTACCTTTTGTCCGCTTGTGAACAACTTTTATCTGAAATCTATATACAGTAAAATTTTTCACTTGCTTGCGAAGCAACTTGCCATAAACAGAATTCTGTCCTTGTCATTATACATTCTGGGCTACTACTCACACAGCCGAAGCAGCACTAAGCAAAGCATTGTTGGCATCTTGATTCAGGGCCCAGAAGAACCACCCTCCAAAGCTTTGCCCCTTGGCATAATTAACCTTGGTGGTGATGGTGGACGGGTTGTCGTAACCAACCCACTGGTTACCCTTCACCGCGTACATGGACGACGATGGAGTATGAAGTGTAGCTTTGTAACCACCAGTGGCTACAATCTGAGAGATCTCCCTGTAAAAGAGGACACCAGCCTCCTGGCTCACAGATCCAGCCAGACCAGGCCCAGTAGCCGCAGCTCCAACTCCAGTGCTGCTAGTCGAGGCTAGAGTCCAGGTTCGGCCATACATCGCCAAGCCTAGCATGGCCTTGCTTCGGGCCAAGCCTCGGGACACCCAGGCAGCCATGGCACCCTTGAGGCTCAGCTGCGGGTTGGTCAAATCCTCCAGAGCAGTGTGCATGCCGGTCTTTGCCTCCCACGATCCATGTAGATCGTAGGTCATAATGTTAACTAAGTCCAGTGTTTTGTTAAGTGTCGGGACGTCGTATGCCTGCGTAACAGTCGGCTCGTAGGCAGAAACCGCCGCCGTCAGAAGCAGCTTCGGTCTCCCTGAACTTGCCGCTTCGGACTCGATCGCCGCCCGGAAATCAGTCAGCAGGGCAGAAAAAAGCGCGATCTGCCCGGTCGGGTACTCCCAGTCGATATCCAGACCGTCAAAATTGTATGACCGGGCAAAATGGATCGCTGATTGGATAAAGGTGGAGCGGGAGGAGGCGGAGGAGGCGGCGTTGGTGAAAGTGGTGGTGCCAGCGGAATAGCCGCCGATGGATAGCAGCGTCTTGATGGCGGGGTTGGCGGTCTTTAGAGCGGAGTTGAAGCGCAGGTAGAGGCCCTGGGTGACGTCCACTGCTGGGCTGGAAGGGACGACCTGAGTGGGAAGAGGAAACGAAACAGGGTTTAGGAAAACAGACAGACAGAAGAAATCAGAAGAAGAAGAAAAAAGACAGGTGATTGAAATATTTTTTAGTAAAATAAAGGAAATGAAGAATGAATTGACAGACAGCATTCCTTTAATACTGTTCTGTGTATGTGGTGCCATACCTGGTATGTAGTGGCATCGACGAGGGCAAAGGCGTAGAAGACATGCGTAAGTGAAGCAGCAGGGATGACGGATGGGTCCATGCCCGCCCAGTTGACAAAGTAGGCCATGCGCTTCAGCCCAGACGATGGGGGAGGAGGAGAGGCCGTGGAGGGAGGAGGCGGGGAGGGAGACGTGGATGGGGGAGGCGGGGAGGGAGAGGTAGAGGGAGAAGGGGGAGGAGGGGAGGAGGGGGAGGGAGAAGGAGGGGGAGGGGAGGAGGAAGGGGAGGAGGAGGGCCAGCACTGGGACTGGCAGCCGGGGCCACAGTAGTCGAGGGTTGAGCCACACCAGCCATATATGCTGCAGCAGAGACCGTTAGGACAGATGCTGTTGCCGTTCTGCACACCACATTCTGACCATTTAAAATGAGGCGGGGAGTGGAGAGGGATGGGGAGGGATGATGAGCACATCTGACCGTTCTGACCATTCTGTGCACGTTCTGAGCACATTCGGAGTGGAATACAAAAGAACTGGACACAGACAAAAGAGCGCTTAAAGCAGGACATTAGTACCACTTGTGTGTAGGGATTTGAGGGAGTGTGTGTGACGCAAGCCGCACTACTTAACGCGTTCAACAGCCGACCAAAGAGTAAGCGCCCTCGGTCCATTGCCTCACACCACCTCACTATGCAAGGCAATGGCGATGTGAGGCGCCTGAAAAATCGCCTCCAATAGAATACCAACCAGGATTACATTTTTATTAAGGGAAATGGAGCACTCACGGCCATTGGTGGACACAGGGGGGGACCCGGTAGTTGGCGGAGGTGGGGAGCTCGTGGGCGGAGGGGGAGAGCTGGTAGGAGGAGGCGGAGAGCTTGTGGGGGGAGGCGGAGAGGCGGAAGGCGGAGGGGGGGAGGCGGAGGCGGTTCCGCTGCACGGGCCAGATAGGCAGCCCGCGCCGCAGTAATCGACGGTGGAGCCGCACCAGCCCCACTTGCTGCAAGAAAGGGACGGTTGAGATTCAAAAAAGGAGCAGTGCGCGGGGAAGGGGAAAGAAGGGGCGGGAATGCTTAGAATCGAAGGCTCGGAATTGGAAGACGCTCGAAATCGGAGGCTCCAAACCCGACAAAACTCGGTATCAGAGGCTCGAAGGCTCAGATCCGAAGGCTCGAAATCAGAAGACGCATGGTGTCTTTGAGAATAAAAAAAACTGAAGGTCAGGATTCTGGAACATGAGTTGCATAGGAAACGTATAGGTTGTTAGCTTTTGAGGCGCCGCAAATGGAGCAGCGAACGAGATTCGAGGCGCCTCGGAAGAACTCACCTGCAGCAGAGGTTGTTGGCGCAGAGAATGGTCGCAGAGCACTGCTGTGCGACGACCGGGCGAGCGAGATGCGACGATGAGAGAACGAGGGAGAGTAGAAGCGGGACGAGGAGCGGAGGAAGCTCCCTCATGCCGCCGCGACGAGACTCCGACGAGCGGGTGACGCGGCGTCGAACGAGATCAGGCGACATTGTTGTCGGTGTGCGACAAATGACGACACGCAAATCCTTTGGGGCACCTAAAGTGCGACCACGTCGTGAAGTTAATCTTAATCGCTGCGCAGACGAGTGCACTCGAATCTCTTGAGAAGACTAATGATGAATTGACTCATTCAAACATGAATGGAGGATCGATCGAGAGCACTCGCTGTTGCAAGTAAGAGCGCGTTTCACGGTTCGTATACGCACAGACTACTCGTAACTCTAAACCTAAATGGTGCGGTAATGACGAGGAGAATCAGAGAATTCTTTGGCTTGTATTAGATCGTTACGAAAATGGACGTGCATCCCGCTGTGACACCAGTGCCTGCCTGCGCTAACTAGCATACATGGCTTCCTCCCTCGTCCTTCCAGTCACCCTACCGCAAAACGAGAAGGGGACAATGAAGGGGGGATGCTTGCAACCAAACAAAACGCAACCAGCGTAACTGCCGCTCGCGGCATTGGCCAAACATGGCGAATGCTGCTTGGTTTGGAACCTGGAATTTGGAATGGTTCTGTACGTCCGTATTGCTGCAGAGAAGGTGCCTGCCACTCAGAAGTTACCTCCCCTGACATACATGTACGGTACGGACAGACATGGCATGGGCGAACAAATATGCAGCAACATTCGGTTTAGTGCAAATCGTTACGTTTTTAAACGATAATATCACTTTACAAACGGTTAGGTAGGGTACTCTCTGAACAATGCTCCGTGCCTCACATTCCGTCGCCTTTTCCACCGTTCAGTAATTCTCTTCAAGCTATCGAAACCGCATTATAATGCGGTAATCTGTCGGGTCAGGTAGGTCGTTTCAACTTTGGCTTCGCTCCAAAACCTTGGGTCCTGCTGCTGCCTCAAATTCGTTATTTAACATGTCAGTTCGTAACGGCGTGAGTTTTCATTGGATCACCGACTTCCCGTATGGAAGAGCACCCACCATGCATTAGTAGGTGTGTGCTGCTATTGGGGTTTTAAATGATGGTGCTTGATGGTGCTGCTATTGGTGCTTGATGGTGCTTTAAATGTGTGTGCTATTGGGGTTTTCTTGGGGTTGTGTGTGCTGCTTTTTCTTCCTTCTTCCCTGTTTTTCTTCCTCCTATCATTTTTCCCCTATTCCCCTCCTCCTTTCTTCCTCTCCCCTTTTTTCTACTCACGTTATTCCTCCTTTTCTCCTCTCTTCCCGTTTCCACTCCTTTTCCTTGCGTAATTATGCTACATTGTAATATTTTTCCAAAAGTAGTGCCTTTTCTACCTAAAAAAAAAAATGCATTAGTAGGGATACATGAGTTTTGGTGTACAATATAACTAATCAATCAAGAAGGGTCAATACTCATATTTTGACATCATATCAATATTATATCATTACATAGCAAATACATTTGATGCCTCTTACCTACTGGAAAGAAAAAAAGGGACAAATGTTAGCACCAAGATGGAAACGTACTGCATGTTGCAATGCAGCCACGGCCAAACCTTGCAACAAAAACCTTTTGCCAACCTTAAAACAACTCCTAACCAGCTTTTTTTGGCTGCTGCTGCTTCAGAATCCATGCTGGAATGTTCTACTGCAAATGCCACCATGACCAAACCACGAAAACCATTCATCATCACATACACAAGTTACGTGGAGCCTCACACACACGCTCTTGCCATTCATACCACACAGCCACGCACACTTCCCACGTAGCCACACGAAACTCGGTCCCTTTAAAACCTGGAATTTTTGAAGCAGTTACAGCCCTCAGTAACACACGAACTGCCCAACAGATTGCACACCACACAGTCCTGCTCCTCAACCCGTGCCACTGCTCTGCTTCCAGTCCGACTGCTGCTCTTGCTGCTGCTGCTGCTGCTGCTCTTCCTCTTTCTGCTACTACCAGTCTTTCTCCCCCTCAGCTGTTCCTGCCACGATCAGCATTCAAATCCCCACTTTGCCTCTCCAAACCTAGTCTGCTCCACCCTACCACCTCCTCCTGCTGCTTCCTCTGCCAATCCGCACCCTGCCTTAGCCTCCCCTCCCCAGACTCCCCATCCCGCAAGCCGAAAACAACCATCTACAACTTTTTAAGTTGACTCAGTAATCACCTCGTCTCTCCCGGCCCGACTCACTCCTCCCTGGACTCACCATCCCTCGTCCCGACGAACCTCTACTCTGATACTCCCCTCCACCTCCCCCTCCCCCTCCCCCTCCGCCTCCCCCACTACTACTGCTCCCCCTTGGCGTCCCCCTTTGCCTCGGGCTCTCCCCCTCTATCCCCCCTCCACTCCCCCTGCTGCCGGCCCTCCCTGGGCTTTCGCGATACCCTCTCCCTCCCTTCTCCCCTCTCTGCTGCCCCCCCTGCTGCTGCCGCCCCCTCTCCTCCCCCTCCCGCTCCCTCCCTCGCTCTCTCTCCCTCTCCCCTCTTGACCGATGCTGTTGCTGATGCTGCTGCTGCTGCTGCTGGTGCACACTACCCCCGGATCCCCCCTGGCGCTGCTGGTGCTGCTGCTGCTGTTGGGGCGAAGCTCGCGGGGACTGCAGGTTGCGCACGCGGGGTGAGCGAGATCCCTTCTTCTCGTGAAGGGGCGTCGTGCCTGGCGTGTATCTGCCAGTCGTGCTGCAGAGAGCAGATTAAAGCGCCATAGGGGAGGGAAGGGGGGCGGAAGGGGAAAGAGGGAAGTGGGAGGGAAAGGAAAGTGAGAGAGGGTGGGATTACAGGCGGCTTGGAGCCTCCTTGACGGCTCTGTTGCTGCTGGTGCTGCTGCTGCTGTTGGGGGGAAGCTCGGGGGGATTGCAGGTTGCGCACGCGGGGTGAGCGAGACCCCTTCTTCTCGTGAAGGGGCGTCGTGCCTGGCGTGTATCTGCCAGGCGTGCTGCAGAGAGCAGAGTAAGGGGAGAGGGGAGGGAAAGGGGGCCGAAGGGGGGAGAAGGAAGTGGGAGGGAAAGGGAAATGAGAGAGGGACGGATAGCACGCGGGTACTACCCTCAGAGCCTCCTTAACGGCACTGCTGGTGCTGCTGTTGGGGGGAAGCTCGGGGGGACTGCAGGTTGCGCACGCGGGGTGAGCGAGACCCCTTCTTCTCGTGAAGAGGCGTCGTGCAGGGGGTGTATCAGCCAGGCGTGCTGCAGAGAGAGAATTTATGCACGTTGCGGGAGAGGGGGAGGGAGAGAGAGGGAAGTGAGAGGGCAGACGATAAGACGTTCATTGGAAACACTTCTCGTGAAGAGGAGTCGTGCCTGGCTGGCCTGCTCCTGCTACGAACGAAAACCCCCAAAAGCATTAGGGAAATCCCTGGGGCCAGGGTCTGTATTTTGAGTCAATTCAAAACTTGACTCAACACACAGCAACAGGGAAATCCATGGGGCAGAGGTCTTACCTGGGTTGCGGGTTGTTATTTAGGTCATAGGGCTGCGACGACAGGTAGTTGAGCGCGGTAACCACATCATGGATCATGGGGCGCTGGCTGGCCTGCTCCTGCAAACGAAACCCCCCAAAAGCAACAGGGAAATCCCTGGGGCCGAGGTCTTACCTGGGTTGAGGGTTGTTATTTGGGTCGTAGGGCTGCGACGACAGGTAGTTGAGCGCGGTAACCACATCATGGATCATGGGGCGCTGGCTGGCCTGCTCCTGCAAACGAAACCCCCCAAAAGCAACAGGGAAATCCCTGGGGCCGAGGTCTTACCTGGGTTGCGGGTTGTTATTTGGGTCGTAGGGCTGCGACGACAGGTAGTTGAGCGCGGTAACCACATCATGGATCATGGGGCGCTGGCTGGCCTGCTCCTGCAGGCACATGGCAGCGACGGCCAGCGCCTGGTACAGCCCGCGCATGGGGTAGCGGCCCTGCAGCAAGGGGTCCGCCATGGCTGGGAACTTCCTCCTGTCCTTGAACAGCGGCCGCGCCTGAGGTGGGGGCAAGGGGTGGCCCGCGGATGGGGGAAGAGGGGGGCGGAGGGGCCAGGGGAAGTGGTTGGGTGGGAGGTGGAAGGGTTGGGCGTGGGGGGATGGTCTTATGAACGCCGTGACGACATTGTGGATCAAGGGGCGTTGATGGGCCGCTGGCTGGCCTGCTCCTGCAGGCACATGGCAGCGACGGCCAGTGCCTGGTACAGCCAGCGCATGGGGTAGCGCCCCTGCAGCAAGGGGTCCGCCATGGCTGGGAACTTCCTGCGATCCTTGAACAGTGGCCGCGCCTGTGGGGGCGGGAGGTGTTGGAGGGGAAGGGAGGAAAGGGAGAGGTTGAGACAGAGGAAGAGAGAGAGACACACACGCGCATGGGGTAGCGGCCCTGCAGCAAGGGGCCCGCCATGGCTGGGAACTTCCTCCTGTCCTTGAAAACCGGCCGCGCCTGTGATGGGAGCGGGGAGAGGGGTGGAGAAGGGTAAGCGAGAGAAAGAAAGAGGGAGACACGCACAAGCATGGGGTAGCGCCCCTGCAGCAAGGGGCGCGCCATGGCTGAGAACTTCCTCCTGTCCTTGAACAGCGGCCGCGCCTGTGATGGGGTGGGGGGGAGGGAGCGGGTGAGGTCGTTTTATGTAAGTAGAAGGAAATAAGATGAGTGGACTTGGAAGTACAGCCCATGCATCAGAAGGGAAACCAACCGCTATGCCAGGCGCAGAGTATGTGAGACTGTAGACTCTTGAGTCGACTCAAGAGTCACCTAGTGGACTTAGAAGTACGCATCAGAAGGGAAACCAACCGCTATGCCAGGCGCAGAATCTATGAAGCTGTAAACTCACACGGAATAGTAGCGACCTCATGCCATGGGCAGCATTCACATGCATGGGTGGAGCGAAGAGGTGGGGGTTTCAATCCAAACCACCCTGAGCCGTGAGGGCAACAACCTACAACACGCACCCAAGCAACGAGGTTGTGCTCTCCATGCGGCTTCGAGCTGTCAATGGCCTTGCGCCCCGTGATCAGCTCCAGGAGCAGCAGAAAGGGCAACAGCAAACAAGAACCATCCAAGAGCAACAGGATGCAAACTCTCACCCTAGGAATAACACGGACCATCCCAACAAACAGCAAGAACGCACCCAAGCAACGAGGTTGTGCTCTCCATGCGGCCGCGAGCTGTCAATCGCCTTTCTCCCCGTGATCAGCTCCAGCAGCACCACTCCGAAACTGTACACATCGCTCTTAACCGTGAGCTGCCCCGTCATGGCATACTCGGGCGCGCAGTACCCATACGTGCCCATGACCCGCGTCGACACATGCGTCTTGTCCCCCACAGGCCCCAGCTTCGCGAGCCCAAAATCCGAGAGCTTCGGGTGCCAGTTCTCGTCGAGGAGAATGTTGGAGGACTTGAAATCGCGGTAGATGACGGGCGGGGAGGCCTCCTCGTGCAGGTACTCGAGGCCCTTGGCCGCCCCTGCTGCCACTCTCATGCGCTTGCTCCACTCCAGACTCGCCCTGCCCTCCGGTAGGTCTGGGTTGGAGGGGGGGAGGAGGGTGGGAGAGCAGCAGCGAGAATCACAGGAGGTGGGAAGGTATGGGGAAAGGGAGGAGGGAGGATGGAAGCAGGGGGGAGCGGAAGGAGGTGTTGGAGGATTTGAAATCGCGGTAGATGACGGGCGGGGAGGCCTCCTCGTGCAGGTACTCGAGGCCCTTGGCCGCCCCTGCTGCCACTCTCATGCGCTTGCTCCACTCCAGACTCGCCCTGCCCTCCGGTAGGTCTGGGGGAGGTGGGGAGAGGCGAGCGCGGGGGATGGGGAGGGGGAGAGGGGCAGGGGGATTGGGGAGGGAGTGGGAAAGAGGGCAGAGGCGGGGGGGGGAGGGGGGAGGAGGGGGGCGAGGAGGCGGGGAGGAGGAGGCGGGGGAGGAGGCAGGGGGAGGAGGCGTTGGTGGACGAGCGAGTCATGTGGGGCAGGTTACATGCGTAGCGATTATGCACTGCCTACCACCATGCACATAATGACACCATCGACTGTGCTGCCTTCTAAGGCGCCTCAAAAGTTGTAGCGATCATGCACTGCCAACCACCATGGACATAATGACACTTCGACTGTGCTGCTTCTCAGTCCTCACTCCTCCTGTTCCGCACACCCCTTACTCCTCACTCCACTTTGCTCCTCACTCCTCTCGTTCCTCACGGTTCTTTTTCCTCACTCGTCTGCTTCCTCACTCCTCCCCCTCTCACCACACCGTCAGCACTGCTCTCTTCCTCCCGCTCTCCCGCCCTCACCATGCAGGTGGTCCTCAAGAGCGCCACGTGGCATGAATTCGTACACCAGCAGCCGTTGATCGCCGTCCGCGCAGTAACCAATGAGATTCACGAGATTCGGATGGTGCAGCAGGCTGAGCATGAGCACCTCGACCAGGAATTCCCGATTGCCCTGCACGCCGTTCCTATCCAACTGCTTCACCGCTACCACCTGGTTGGGTAATAAGACGAAGCATTTACAGGTTATGGCGGGGACCAGAAAGAAAAAGGTCCGTGAGAAATTCGGATGGTGCAGCAGGCTGGGCATGAGCACCTCGACTAGAAACTCCTTGTTGCCCTGTGTTCCTATCTAACTGCTTCACCGCTACCATCTGTTTGGGTAACAAAAAAAGAAAAGGTCTGTGAGAAATTTGGATGGTGCGGCAAGATCAGCATGGGCACCTCAACTAGGAACTCCTTGTTGCCTTGCACGCCGTTCCTATTCGTCCCGTGCATCACACTCAGCCGTTTTCCACAAACCGACCCCGTTTCTAACCAACTCACTGTCGTGACATGCCTCAAGGATTGGAGATCCAGGCACCTGTTCGAGAGTCTCCAGCCCCCCACGAGCCACCCTCTGTACCCGTGTCCGCCCCCTTACAAGCTCTCACAATAGAGTCATTTCAATCAGCTACAAACTACCTCCCTCTCCCGTCCACTCCAGACAGCCTTTGAACACGCGCCCAACCCCGTTACAAGCTGACCCAGCCCTGTGCTTCACGAATCTTTAAGCACACACCTGGCCTGTAGACTCCAGCCACCCTTTGTACACGCGACCAAACCCGCCCTCGCCTATAAAATTCTTCTCGGAGAACCCGCCCGTCGCTCGCTCCAGTTCTCGGAACGTGAACGTCTGGGCCGCAATCCGCGCTCCTGTGGGCCCGGCCGAAGGCGCTGGCACTGCTGCCATTTCACCCGGCGGTGGCCGCTCCTGCGCGGGCACAGCTGGCGATCCGTGTAACCCTGGTGGACCTCCTGATGGTAACCCGGTAACCTGTGTCGGTGGATTTGACCGTTGGGAATCTGCTGCTGGTCCATCGTCTCGTGATAATAATTGATCTGTCGGTGCCGCGGTTGGAGATTTGTCGGATCTACTAGGTTCTGAAAGGCCGCTTTGGGCTTTAATCTTCGGGCTCTGAGCTAGCAATGGTCCATTATCTGCAAACCATCGAGTCAGCACACGGCGGGAAAGCAGCGGTGAATAGACCACCATGGGACGAGAAAATACACAGAAAATTCACTCTAGATTTGCCGATAGAGCAACAGAGGAAACGTTGAGGAAAGTCGACGTGTCTGCCTGAAGGTAAAGAAGCAGCTCCGCAATTCTATGGAGAGTCCTCAATGGAATTCCACCACTTAGGCATTCGAACAGCCTGATCTAAGCGACAATCTCTGAAAAATTAAGCCTAATCGGGATAACGCGCTAATTTCCAAACTGCGAGGTGCGACTCTTGTGAGTCTTCCGTCCAGCCACATCCACCAAATTCTGGCACAATAATGTTGTGAATGCATCGCCAGCCAGCCTCGACACTTCTGAGCGCCTTAAACAGCAGCTAAACTCTAAGATAACAAGACGCTCCCCAGAATTCGGCCGAAGTAATCATCAATTACTATTTCTAGTACGACTAAGCGGAGCGTGGAATTTACCACAGAAAGCTTCATAAGACACCACGAGGGTGTTAAGGTACCTGATAAATCGTCCGGTGCAACTTTCGGAGCGGGAACGGCCTCCTCTGATGCATCTCTCCGTCGAGGAGGAGACGTATCGTCCTTAGGTTTCGATCCCGCACAGCCCATAAGACCAGCCTATATTGCCCGTACCGCTTAACGAACTCGTTGAATTAGATACGAACACATGCCAGCTGCAGGCAGAATTGTATTATCTAATCAGCATCAGCTCAGGCGAAGACAAGAGAGCCACGCGCAATTCGATCGAAATACAAAGTTACTATGACTAATTCTTGTGTTCTTCAAGACACCACGAGAAGCTAATAACACTAGCACTAGGAAACCTGTGTCAGAGGTCTTGAAAGAGCAGCTTTCTGACATTCACGAAACTCCCTGATACGCTGTGGCTTCTTAGCCTGATCTAGGGTTGGCGAGTAATAGCAGCAGAAGCAGGCAAAGGATGGTCACAGAACAGGCAGGGCAAAGAAAGTTCAGAGTGGAGGGATGAGAAAGGGCTAACTTTTGCTGGGTAGTATTATTTAACCGCTGTCAAGTGGCAATAAACCGTTAACGAACGTAAAGCATCTCAGCCAAACCGGATTAACACATAACACTATGGATGGGTGAGGAGAAAGATGCGGTAGGGTTGAATACGGTTAATTGCAGCCCACTCTGTTGCGCAGTGCACTTCACTGGTGCTTGAGGTGGTTGCCGAATTCGAGAAGCGAGTTCCTTCCCGACGTTGACTGACGGACAAGCAAGCCGCTGAATCCGGCTTTCGCTTGAAGCTCGTTTTCGTTCAGTCGACGAAATTGTACAGTACAATCAACTGTGCGACGGGTGCTGCTGCAGTGGTGCTGCAGCAAGCATATTCGTTCGAATCGCATCGGCTGATCCGCGTCGCACATCAACCAAACCACTCCGACCAGCAGTTCCTAGCTTGTGTTCCGCAACTCCGTTCCGGTCTCGTTCGTGCCCTCAAAAGAGCCGCATCTTGACTAAAAGCGGGCAGCGGGAGAGAAGACTTGGGTTGGGTTGCGTGTGGTACGGCACGACAGTCATGACATGACCACATCAGAAGTGCCAGCCCATGACCAAATCACATGACGTGACATGACATGGATGATGGTGACTGGGGGTCACCAGGCTAGAGACCCCATGTGATGTCATGTGTGACCCTCGGGAACTTCCCCAACGCGCTCCAGCCCCCAGGCCACAACCCTCGGACCACCTTGATCTCTGTAGGGAACTTTCCCGCCACGCACGCGCGTCACGCCAATCGGGCGGGATTGCTTGCTCCATCCAAGTGCCACCTGGCCTCCACTTTCTCTGGCTGAATATCGTGTGGCAGATCGAGCCAATGGCAAGAAGCGAAGTCCAACCAGGCCAATGTTGGTGTCAGGGATTACAACGAGCGTAGACATTATACAACGAAACATGCACAAATAAAGCGTGGCGGTGTTCATGCTGGATGTTCCAACTGCGTGATTCTTGGATATTTTGTGGTGTATTGAACAGCAATATAGTGAGTATGACTTCCCTAGCCTGCCGCGCTTGCCAGCGGCGATCAGCGAAGTTCGCCAGTTTCGAGTGGTCGGTGGCTGTGTGCGCTGCCTTGGGGGGGTGACGGAAGTTGTGCATGTCAAACCGACTACTTGTACCCTATCATCGTTTCAGACCGACGCCAAACCCGCAAAAACACTGACCCCCCAAGCATACCCGCAACCAGGCGAACATCGACCATGCTGGTATGGACCTGTGGTGTGTCGCTCTAGTTCGTCCGCTGATGAACTGCGATTCCGCGAATCCCCCACGCGACAGCACCTAGGATGAAATCTCCAAACCTTTTTGTATCGTAGTAAACCAGAGCTAACCGTGGCACGTGTATGAAAAGCATTCACATGAGTCAAGCTTGCCTCAGAAGCAAGCCAGTTGTCGCCTCACGCTATGGAAGTTACTAGGTGATACGTAGTAAGTATGGGAAACCTGAAAAGCTGTTTGGACTTATTACGAGCGCCGCGCGCGCGTGCCTGTTATCACAGGCCACAGGTTAGTGCCGGTGAGACGGTAGATCCGCCATGAATGGCCAGTTGTGCAAGACTCTACTAAGCCGTACTAGCAATATTCCTAAGGCGCCTCAAGAAGTTATCACAGGCCACAGGCTGGGGTCGGTGAGACGGTAGAACGGCCATGGACGCCCAGTAGTGCAAGACAGTGAGCGCGACTAGCTATATCCGGCACTGCTCTATTTCTGACACATTACCTTGTTTTATTCCCTCACGAAGCAGACATTTGGCTCGGTGCTGTTACTTCACGTCAGTCTAGGCGTTCCCGTGGCTTTTCAGTCGACTTAAAAGTCACCCCTGTAAGCGGTCGATCCGATCGAAGAAACAGTCACCGAAGCGCTGAAAATGCGGAATTTCCGTGCATTGAGCCGCGATCTCTCCCCATTCTCCACCGTCTCCTCCGTTCGCGGCTTGGCTTTTGCCGTCCTGCTCATCTCCCCCTTCCTATCTCCCCCGTCCTTCTGCCGTCCCTTCGACATAGCCACGTCGGATCGCGGGATCCTGCTGTGGAAACACCCGCAATCATCGCAGGAGCAGCAGCAGGAGAATCATCATCAGCAGAAGCAGCATCGGGTTACGCGGCCGTCGTTTCGGAAAGCACCGTCGCAGAGCCTTCTCGCTGATGCGGCTCGATCTGGCATCAGCAGCACCAGCAGCAGCGAAAAGGGAGCGCGAGGGGTTGCTAGTTCTACTGTGGTAGCTGATAGTACTCGAGTCGGCGTGGAATCAGAAACGTCAGAATACGGGTTACCAGCTTTTGACGACGAAGTTCGCGGAAAGGTTGGCGAGAACGTCAATCCGGCGAGGAACCCTCGGAACAATGACGCGATTCGATTGAAACAGTTGGAAACTTCCACGAAGTTCGTGGGTTTCTTGCACGACAAGGCGATCCGGTCTAGAATGCCCGTTCTGCACTCCGTGCTCTGGGAGACGCCGTGGCTGCCGGTTAGCCGTCAAGATTACTTCCGTCCTGACGGCCGGTACCTCTTCATAACAGGCTCGCGTGACTACTGCGCTGGAGTGAAGCATTTCCACCTCAGCCTGACGTGTCTGATCGCGGAGGCGGCGTATCTGAACCGTACACTGATTCTGGACATGACTCAGTGCGTGAACGCGTGGCACAGTGGAGGCATGCACCATATCAGATCCATCCACGTGTACTATGACCTGGATTCGCTGAGGTATTCATTTCATGTTCGATTTCTTTGTCCTTCTCATTCTCAGTTGATATGCTCTCCTCCCCTCTCACCTGATTCATCGGCAGACGTGTCACGCGCGTGTTTCCTCAGATATGCATTCACGTTAACTTCCAATCCTCCTCACTTCCCATCCATCCTCTCCCCGAATTCCCCTTGCCGCTTCCTTCGAAACCCCCTCCTCCTTCCTCACCCAGGGCTTTCTGAAAGGAGACCTGGATTTTTTCCGCCCCTCCCCCCTCATCCAACCCCCCTCTCTCACCCTCCTCCCCTCCCCCCTCCTCACCCAAGAATGTGCCCTTCACGCCGCCACGGGGCTTTCTGCGGGGGGTGTGCGAGTGGCAGGCGTCGTTTCAAGTTAGTCTATCTCCCTTACCCCGCTTCTCTCCCCTCTCCTCCCCCTTCTACCCTGCTGTTTCCCCCCAGAACCGTGCCCTTCACGCCGCTCCAGGGTTTTCTGAGGGGGGCGCGCGAGTGGCAGGTGCAGGAGAGGCGGGTGGGGCGGGAGGGGGCTATCCGCGCGCGTGTGGTGGATGAAAGGGCGCCCATGGCCGCACTGGCCGCGGATGAAGCTACCCCCCTGATTATCCGCGAAACCAACTACGGCTTCAGCACGTGCAAGGTGGTTGGCAATGGGTGCAGATGGGCTGAGCCGGGTGAGTATGGTTGGGGATGCATGAGCTTGGGCTGGAATTGACGGTTTTCCTCTCACTTTTCCCGTGTATCCCTTGCCTCCCTAGCCCAATCCCTGCAGCGCCACAGCACCCGTGCAGTGGTAAATGAGATGGCCGGAGCTGCATCCAGCCATTCCTTCCCCTCACTTTTCTGTAAATTCTCTGCCTCCCCAGCGCCCCTCCTCCCCTCTTCCTTCCAGCACCAGAGCACCACTAGCAGCGACTTTGACGCCATGCATGTGAGGCGCGGGGATAAGCTGCGCATTTTGAGGCGCCTCAAAATGCATCTTTGACGCCGTGCATGTGAGGCGCGGGGATAAGCTGCGCATTTTGAGGCGCCTCAAAATGCATCTTTGACGCCGTGCATGTGAGGCGCGGGGATAAGCTGCGCATTTTGAGGCGCCTCAAAATTCATCTTTGACGCCGTGCATGTGAGGCGCGGGGATAAGCTGCGCATTTTGAGGCGCCTCAAAATGCATCTTTGACGCCGTGCATGTGAGGCGCGGGGATAAGCTGCGCATTTTGAGGCGCCTCAAAATGCATCTTTGACGCCGTGCATGTGAGGCGCGGGGATAAGCTGCGCATTTTGAGGCGCCTCAAAATGCATCTTTGACGCCGTGCATGTGAGGCGCGGGGATAAGCTGCGCATTTTGAGGCGCCTCAAAATGCATCTTTGACGCCGTGCATGTGAGGCGCGGGGATAAGCTGCGCATTTTGAGGCGCCTCAAAATGCATCTTTGACGCCGTGCATGTGAGGCGCGGGGATAAGCTGCGCATTTTGAGGCGCCTCAAAATGCATCTTTGACGCCGTGCATGTGAGGCGCGGGGATAAGCTGCGCATTTTGAGGCGCCTCAAAATGCATCTTTGACGCCGTGCATGTGAGGCGCGGGGATAAGCTGCGCATTTTGAGGCGCCTCAAAATGCATCTTTGACGCCGTGCATGTGAGGCGCGGGGATAAGCTGCGCATTTTGAGGCGCCTCAAAATGCATCTTTGACGCCGTGCATGTGAGACGCGGGGATAAGCTGCGCCCAGAGTTCTGTCCTCATCTCGACTCGACCGTACACCCGTACCACTTCTCCCTCACAGGTTTCTGTTGCTTTCTTCATTGTCTCTTCTCCCCCCTCCCCCCCCCCCCCCCGCTCCCCCCCTGCAGCGCCAGGACACCCCGGCAGGGGTGAACGAGACGGCCATTCGGTTTCGCCCGGAGCTGCTGGCGCTGGCAGCAAACATATCAGCAAACATTTCAGCTCCCTCCACCTTCTTCCCCACCCCTCCGTCCCTCTCCTCTCCAGCGCCAGGACACCCCGGCAGGGGTGAACGAGACGGCCATTCGGTTTCGCCCGGAGCTGCTGGCGCTGGCAGCAAACATCTCGGCGTCCATGAATGGCGGCGACTTTGACGCCGTGCATGTGAGGCGCGGGGACAAGCTGCGCCCAGAGTTCTGGCCCCACCTCGACCACGACACACGCCCCGACGCGTGAGTGGGTGTATGTTGTTGGTGCCTTCACTGCTCTCACTGCTAGTGATGGCAAGGCATGATATGAGCTCACTGCATGTGAGGCGAGGCGACAAGCTGCGCCCAGAGTTCTGGCCTCACCTCGACCACGACACACGCCCCGATGCGTAAGGCAAATGCTTTCATCCACGGCTGCTGCGTCCTCTCACATACCCATTGCCCTGGTGCTTTTTGCCATTGCCTTTCTCATATTCTGTTTGTACACTTGTTCCTTGTCTGCCACATGATCGTTGTTTTTCTTTCCATGCAGTCTCCTGGAGAAGCTTCCCAGGTTCGTTGCACCTGGACGCACTCTGTACATTGCGACCAATGAGAAGACGCCAGGGTTCTTTGACCCATTGAAGGCGATCTACACCATTCGGATGTTTCAAGATTTTCATTATCTGTGGGCTCCTGGCACACCCTGGTATGATGGGTATACGCGTCTAATTGGGCCTGACCCCAAAATGGATGCATACATGGAGGTGAGTTACAGTTACAGTTACATTTGTGTGTGTACGTGTGCGCGCACGCACTTGTGCTGTGGTGGTCTTTTGTATTGGGCTCATTTGGACTGTATTGTCTGTTTCAGGTTATTATAGAGTATACGATTCTGCAAAGTGCAGTTGTAACTGTGGAGACCTTTAATGACCTTACGGATGACGATATTGCAGGAAATGTGTAATTTAAGGCTGATATATTGTATTTCTGTGCGTGTTGAAACGACGCATGAAGGTGCTTGTATCATTTATAGTAATTTATACGTATGGAACATTTTTTTATAATATGAAACCGTGTGTGCAGTGCTTTTCTATGGGGAGTAGATCTCATTGTCGCGGATGTTCCAGTCTTCTGGTTGAGTGCCATTCAGTACGGTTATTGTTCCCTAGATACTAGCTGCACACCTCGTAGGGCGAAGGATCAAACAGCGTAGAGGTGAAGCTTAGTTTCCGCTCTTTCTTCCTCGCAGCGCGCCCATTTTCAAGCATTTAACCATTGAGAACGAGTCTGCACTCTGCAGTACTAGCGTAGCGTTTAAGGTTTCCAGGTTCCGGCACTGGTGTGATCCGAACTAGTGCATAGTAGCCCTTAGTGTAGTTCGAGTCGATTAAAAAATGCGCCTCAGTTTCTAGTACTTGTGACGCTTCCGCACACTTGTGACCAGAGTGGTGCTTCGAGTTGCCGAAGCATGGGATCGGGTTCAGGCGATGGCTCCGGACTGGACGACATTCCCCAGGAGATTCTCGATCTCCTCCCGGCCGATCCGTTTGAAATGCTGCGAATATCGCGAAGCATCGCCGTTAAAGCCATGTCCGCGCACGCGCAGCAAGCGGAGCGAGAGTCGAGTAGCATGCGCAGCAATTACGAGGCGAGCCAAGGGTCTGTGAAGAGCCTTGAGGAGAAAGTATCGAGTCTGGAGGCCTCCCTACGGGAAGCTATCGACAAGGTCGAGAAGTCGGAACGGGAGCAAGTGCGTTGACATCCTTCCTTTTTCCTCATAACCCCTATTGCACTTTTCTCGTACCTATGTTCTCCATTTCCCCTCTCTCGTCCATTCGTTGTCCTATGCTTCTCTAAAGTCCACCTCACCGTTCCATCCTTTTTTATTACCTCTTACATTCACTCCGCTGTGTCTAGTTGGAGGTGCATCAGAACGAGCCTACCTTAGCGCCACGTCCTTCCCTCAAACCGCTTGAACTCACCGCGTTGTTTCTTGCCACCGTTGGCAGGCGCGGCTGTCCAATGAGAAGACGGCACTTGTCGCCATGGTTCACAAGCTCAACCACAACGTGGCAAAGGTGGGTGATCATTCCTCCAATCCCATCCCCACCCAGGTTATCCCCACTCAGGTTATCCTCATTCTGTCTGTGAAGTGAATGTCAGGCTTTTTTTTTCCGTTCGCGTCCCTCACTTTCCTCTCAATGTCATCATTTGGCAATTCCCAATCATGTGTTTCCATTTCTTTTTCACAGTTTGTTTGTTCCTTTGTTTCTTTGTACGTTTCTTTGTCCGTCTCGTGAATTCTGCATACAGCTGGAGACGTTCAAGCGCACGTTGATGCAACATCTGCAGGACGAGAACGACGACGAGCCACCCTCCATGGTGCTTGCGCTGAACTCTCATCATCCCGCTGCCTGCGCACCTGGTAGCAGCCTAGCAGGCACTCATTCCGCTGCCTGTACACCTGGTAGCAGGTCACCGATGGTGCAGCAGCTGCAGGGCGAAAACGACGGCGAACCACCCTCCATGGTGAGCACGTTGCATTGAATGCTCATCCCTTTGTGTGCACATGTTGATTTTTGAGTTGCTTCCACTCCCTCAACCACCACACTCCTCATCTTCTTCACCGTTACATGCCTCCTTCTCCTCCCTCCGTCACCCTTACCTGTCCCTTTCTCCTCCCTCCCTTCACCCGTATTTCCCTTCTCTTCCCTCCCTCACCCTTACCTGTCCCTTTCTCCTTCACTTGTTCACCCTTACCTGTCCCTTTCTCCTTCTCTTCTTCACCCTTACCTGTCCCTTTCTCCTTCACTTCTTCACCCTTACCTTCCCTTCTCCTCCCTCTCTCCACCTTTACCCGTCGCTCTCTCCTCCCCTACCCACAGGTCGCTGCCATTGCCGCTGCTTCCAAGCCAGCAACATCAGACCCCACCACGGCCTCTGCTGGTAGCGGCGCTTCTGCTGCCAAGCAGACTGGTGAGTGTGGGGATGAAGAGATAAGGGGGGCAGGTGCGGATGGGCAGTGCGTGTGACAAGGAAGAAGTTGATGAGTGTCTCATGCTGGGAATGGTTGATCTGGTGAGGGTGGGGATGAAGGGACAGGAGGGATAGGGCCAGGTGGAGAAGAGCGCATACAACTGCTGTTCCTTCTGAGTACGGGTTGGGAGCAGAGGGGTAGGACGGGCATGCCCTCAGAACGCCCTTCCTCATCTTTTTCCCTTTCCCCTTTCATCCGGTCTTCCCCCATGTCTCAGAGAAGGCTTTTTACGAGACTGTCGTGAGGCCGTGGCGCGATTCCAAGAAAGTCGCAGATTCATGGGCACTGTGGGAGAAGCCAAGCGTCCTCATGCATGGCAAGTCTTTGCGAGAAGTTTGCGCTGACACACAGAAGAACTTTGTCACCACATACGCCAAGTTTGCGCCTGGCGACCCCACCCCTATGACTGTGGGCACAAGCGAACGGAAAATGCGTCGCGTGCGGGTTGTTATGCAAGCCGTAGAGACATTTAGGGTGGACGACTCAGCTGCAGAGACTGGATTAGCTGTTGCGCGCGTAAACAGGTTGTTGGAAAGGTCGAACCTCACCGCTCTTACAAACGGTCTGATTCTCGGGGCCACTCTACCGAAAAAGAGGCCGCGTTCAGCACCGATGTGGGAGAGGAGCACCAACGAAGAAGCGCAACGCACAGTTACTTGGCTTGTTGTCAACGAGAAGCTGCGCGACGAGGTGTGGGCAAAATCGCTATTTGGTGACGACGAATGGAAGGAAATCAAGGCGGAAGAAGAAGAGAAAGTGAGGGTGAAGGTGGCCAAGGCACAAGCTGCATCGACACGGACTCCTCAATAGATTGTGCTTAAGGTTTTTGTAGGAGGCATCATTTATGTGGGCTGAAACGGCTTAGGGACGGTCTATAGCAATTAGTTGTTCTGTATATAATTGTTCTTCCATGGAGAGCAGAGCCCATTGTCGCGAATGTTCCAACCTCTCGGGGATTTCTCCAATCACATCGCATCTTCTCGCCTCAACTTTCACCAATATTTTCGCGCCCCGCACGCCAGTGATGTCTCTCGGCTCGGCTGTATCTGCAAGGCTGGGAGGGGGGACGCACCAAGACGGGAGGCTGGCTGCCCATAGCCTAGCCTCGTCGAGAGGCTTGGCTTGCGTTTCAGAATTACTGTAGCTCTATGTCTCGTGCCATACCACTCCCAAGGCTCGCCCTCCAACCTCGGGTTCTCCTCTCCACCTCATTCCACCCTCCTCGATTACTAAAGAACGATACTTCATCCCATTGCACCTCTCTTCAAACAGTCTCATGAAGGCCAGACTTCCCTTACCCCTAGGACTAACCGTCGCCATTGCTTTAGATAGCAGCTCCTCGCGTGTTTAGGGCACAGGATCAAGAGAGTGAAGGTGAAGCATTTGTTCCTCTTCTCCCTCGCAGCGCGTCCGTTTCCAGATATCTGACTGCCGAGAACGCCTTTTCAGTATCAGCGTCTAAAGCTCTCAGGGCTCCGGCACTGGTGTGACCCGTAGTAGTGCGTATCAGGGCCTAATTGTATGTTGGGTCGACTGAAAAACACACCTCGCTCCCGCACCTGAGTGACCAAATTAGTGCTTCGAATAGCCTAAGAATGGGATCGGGTTCAGGCGATGGCTCCGGAGTTGACGACATTCCCCAGGAGATTCTCGATCTTCTCCCGGCCGATCCGTTTGAAATGCTGCGAATATCGCGAAGCATCGCCGTTAGAGCCATGTCCGCGCACGCGCAGCAAGCGGAGCGAGAGTCGAGTAGCATGCGCAGCAATTACGAGGCGAGCCAAGGGTCTGTGAAGAGCCTCGAGGAGAAAGTTTCGAGTCTGGAGGCCTCCCTACGGGAAGCTATTGACAAGGTCGAGAAGTCGGAACAGGAGCAGGTGCGTTAGTAGTTCGGCCTTTGTTTGTCTTCATAGCCCTTCGCCGACCGTTTATTTCTATTTTATATCCGTTGTCTCATCTCCCACCTTTCACCTTACTAACCGGCCACATTCGTTTTCCTTCTTGTGCCGTCTCGTTCGTCAATTCGTCGTCCGGTGCTTCTCTAAGTTTCACCCCAGCGTTCCGTCCTTTTTTTCGAAACCTCTTCCATTTGTTCCGCTGTTTCTAGTTGTAAGACGTACTGAGCCTCAAAGCCTCTCCGTTTACCGCGTTGTTTCCCGCCTCTGGCAGGCGCGGCTCTCCAATGAGAAGACGGCACTTGTCGCCATGGTGAAGAAGCTCAACCGTGACGTGGCAAAGGTGAATCGTCCCCCTCTCTCCCATCTTCACTCTGCTGTTTGTATTAATCAACGAATATGCTTTTTGCAACCCATAACGAACGTCCTTCATTGTTCTTCAGGCCTTTTTTTTTTCCTTTCTTTTCCGTTCCCGTCCCTCACAATGTTTTTTGTTTGTTTAATTGTTTGTTTGTTTGAGTTGTCTGCTTTCAGCTGGAGACGTTCAAGCGCACGTTGATGCAGCAGCTGCAGGACGAGAACGACGACGAACCTCCCTCCATGGTGAGCGCGTTGCACTGAGTTCGCGTTCCATTGCACCATTCAACTCCGCAATTTATCCTTTCGTCTCCCTCACCCTCCCCCTCCCCTTCCCACCCTTCCCCCTCCGCTCCCCCATTTCTTCCCTCTTTGAAACCTCCGCACGCCCTTCCCCTTTTCCAATTCCCTAACCCCGTGTTACTGCTCCAAGGTGACTACCTAGTCGACTCATATATCACCTCCCCACCCCTGCCTCCCCTTTCCATTTCCCTGATCCCGTGTCGCCCCTCCAAACCGATCTCCCAATACCGTCTCATGCTAATTTCCTGGACTCTGTTGGGTCATCCGGCTGTCCTCAGACCCACTCCCGTTTCAGCATCAATGAGTCCCCCCTCCCCCTCTTCCTCCTCCTCCTCCTCACCCATTCCCGTCTCGTTTCACGTCCCCTACTCACTCACAGGTAACTGCCCTTGCTGCGCTCCCAGCCTGCAGCATCAAAGAGACTCTCACTCTTCCCCCTTCTTCACCACTACCCGTCGCTTTCTCCCTTACCCTTACCTTGCCTTTCTCCTGCCCTACCCACAGGTCGCCGCCACTGCCGCTGCCCCCAAGCCTGCAGCATCAGAGCCCACCACGGCCTCCGCTGGTAGCGGGGCATCTGCTGCAAAGCAGACTGGCGACAGCGCGTCTGGTGAGTGTGGGGATGAAGATACGAAAGGGATAGCCTCAGGTGGACAGTGTGTGAGACCAAGGGGAAAATGGATTGCCATTGCCTGGGCTGGTAGCGGGGCTTCGGCTGCAAAGCAGACTGGGAACACCGCTTCTGGTGAGTGTGGAGATGATGAGTTAGTAGGAACGTTTAAGAGGCGAAGTGACCATGTCCCAGTTGCCATGTGTCATGTCCCATTTGCCAAGTGCCATGTGTTAGCAATGTTCCATGTGGCATGTGTCATCTGCTTCTCTCTATCCTCTCTGCATGCTCCCAACCAACCAATCAGATGCCGACAGCAATGCAGGCGACAAGGCCAAGCCAGCCAATCAGACGCCGACGCCAGCTGCACCAGAGACCAGTAAGCCAGCAATATCTCCTCCTCAGCCTTCCTCTCTCCTCTTCCTTTTTCAAGTCGTCTCCCGAGTCCCCTCTCTTTCCAGCTGGAGCAGAGAATTGTAGTATGTAAGCAGTATGTCCACACGCCCCTTGTCCGTTCTTCGGGTATTTATCCTTCCTCTTACAACGAGCGACAGCATGGGCAGCAGGAGCAGCAAGCTGCCGGCATGCTGACTAATTCAAACCCCTTGCTTCCTCATTCAAACCCCTTGATTCCTTTCCTTCTCTTGTCTTCTCAGCCCCCAGGCCGCCCAGCATCACAATTCCAACGGGCAGCAACATGAGCAGCAGCAATCAGCGCACACCCCTTATGACGCCCTCCCTGGTCTTTCTCCCTTGCCCCTTCTGTCCTTTCCCCTTCTGTCCTTCCCCTCATCCCATACCCCTTGGTCCCTCTAATCAGCCCCCAGGCCGCCCAGCATCTCAATTCCTACGGGCAGCAACATGGGCAGCAGCAAGCAGCGCACGCTCCTCATGACTCCCTCCCTTGTCTCCCTTCCCGTTCCGGCTTCCATCCTGTTACTTATTTGTCTCCCCAGCCCCCAGGCCTCCCAGCATCACAATTCCTACGGGCAGCAGCAAGCAGCGCACGCCCCTCATGACGCCCTCCCTGGTCTCGCCTCAATACACGCCCTCCGCCACTCCCCCCCACTCCGCCTCCGGTGCTTCTCGCGAAGGTGAGCGGTGGTGCATGGGGTGCATACATGGGGTGGTGCATGGGACGCATGCGTGGGGTTGATGGGGCTCATGCATGGGGTTGATGGGGCGCATGGGGTGGTGCATGGGGCGCATGCATGGGGTGGTGTATGGGGCACATGGGGTGGGCAGCAGGAAGCAGCGCACGCCCCTCATGACGCCCCCTGGTCTCGCCTCAATACACGCCCTCCGCCACTCCCCCCCACTCCGCCTCCGGTGCTTCTCGCGAAGGTGAGCGCTGCTGCATGGGGTGCATGGTGTGGGTGAGGTTCATGGGTACATGCATGGGCTGCATGCATGAGGTGGATTGGGCGCATGGGGTGGGGTGTGATTGTGGCGCCTCCGGTGCTTCCCGTGAAGGTGACAGGTGGTGGTGCCTGCATCGGGTGGGGTGCATGGTGGGGTGCACGAGGTGGGGTGCGTGGGGTGGGGTGCATGGGGCGTACGGGTGTAATTATGTGATACACGCCATTTGCCAGTCCTCCACACTGCGCCTATGGATGGGTATGCCTGTATGGGATGTTAGCATGGCGCGACACGTCATGGCAACACGTCGTTGTTATGTTCCATCCATGTTCTTGTGTGTGTTTGTGTCATTACGAAATAGCACGGCCATGGATGTGCATATTTGCGTGTTTTGAGACGTCTCAAAACACGTTGTTGTTATGTTCTTTGTGTTTCTGTGTTTTCCTGCCATTTTGTAATAGCACGGCCATGGATGTGCATATTTGTGTGCATGTGCATGTGCCCCCGTGCGTTGCTCACAGGTCGACCGCCACGTGTGGATGGGAAGGAGTTCTTTAGACAAGCAAGGTAGCGCCCGCTCCCCCTCTCATTCCTTTCTGCTTTCCGTTTTGTTCTGCCAATCATTGTCACATCACACACCCACTGCACTTGTATTGTAGCCTTTGTCAAGTCCTGGTGTGTGGGGGTTGTTTCTTTGAAATTCTAAAGATATCCCCCACAACTCCCTCACAGATACGCATGTGCACACAATGACATGGCTTCTCTCTGTTTTGATTCTACCATGCCAGGCGTCGATTCTACAAGCATGGTGGGACCTCTGGCAATGTCAGTCCGTGCTTCTTACCCTTCTTTCCCCCTCCTCCCCCCATCCCACATCTCTCAGGAACCGTCTGTCATACGAGCAGTTCAGCGCCTTCCTCGCCAACATAAAGGAGCTCAACGCACACAGACAGTCCAGAGAAGTGCGCCTCTTTCCACCACCGCCCTTCCTTTCCCTTCCTTTCCGTTTCTTCTTCTTTTCCTTTCACTTCCTCTCCCTTCTCCCCCACAGCCCCTCTTCTCCTTCCCCCTGTCTAACTCCTCCCCACCCCACCCACTTCCTCTCCCAACGCTCTCCACCTCCTCTCCTTCCCGTTCCTCTGCCCCATGCTCTTTGTTTCCTGGTTCCTGCTCTGCTTTCTTTCTTGTTCTCCATGACTTACTGCTCTTCTTCCCCGTCCCTCCCCTTCCACACCTTCCGTCTTCTCCAGCCCTTCATTTAGCAAATACCACTTTTTCGAGACACCTATTTTCTTGGGTGAAACGGTTCTCCCTCATTTTCCCCTGGGACTCCCCATCGCTACTGTTTTCCACCTGAAACGCCCATCATCACAGGAAACGCTGCGCAAGGCGGATGAAATATTCGGTCCTGACAACAAAGACCTCTACACGGCCTTTGACGGGCTGCTGTCACGACACCTGCCATCCTAGACCATCCTTGAGGTGCGGCTGTTGAGAAGTCTCAACAGTTGCCCTAGACAATCTTTGAGGCACGGAAAATTAACGGTCCCAACATCAAATATCTCTGCACTGCCTCGGGCGCCCGCCTGTTACGCAATATACCATTTCAAACCCTGCACCTGCTGCTGCCTCATGCCTGCTCCTCCCTGCCGACCTTCACCCGCTTCCTCCTGCCACCCTGCACCCGCATCTGCCATCTCAACCCAGCATCCTGCCTGCCAGGATGCTGAGCCTAGGCATTTGGCAAGCATGCTCTTCTAGACAAGAAGCGTGCTCTTCTAGATCTCCAACATCCTTCGGTGTTCGGCCTGCTTCCCATGCTTCCATCTTGCCCCTACAAAAGAAGAAGAAAAGAAATCCATGTTCCGTATGACCACCGTCAGGCAATGCCGGTAGTCCACCAACACGGACAATGTCTGTTTGCAGCTCTGGTCCTTATGTTTGAAGCGTTTCAGGTATTTTGTGTGTCTGGCCCATGATGCTTGCACTTGTAATATCAGCAATGGGGTCGGTTATGGTACAGTTCTGTGACATCAGCAGCAGCAGCTTATTTATTGATTTTTGTAGTGTAGTGTTCTGAGTTTCTCATGGCATCACAGATCATACCGTACAGTATGTTGCGTTAGATATTGCACTACAGTATTTCTTTTGGCAGTATTATCTCTTGGTTTACAAGTGTATATCAGTAATAAATTACCGTATGAGAACGGGCTGAAAATTGGCTCCCTGAAGCTCCACACATTCAAATTTGTTCTCCACATGAAGTCAAAGTCAACCAGCCTTATGTAAATATGGCACTCTGCATCATCAATCCTACATCACGACTCAGCATGAACAAAAATGGCACCAAGCAAGCCAACCAAGCCCTGTACGGGCTAGCATGCACGATAGTACATGCATTATTATACAGGGAGCACATTAGAGCACAATAGAGCAGTAAGTGCTCTAAAACAACACATGTTCCATCCGCCTCGACGTCTTTAGCTCTGTCAATGCCTTTTCATGGCTGACGGCCTTATTCCACCCTCCGCATCGCTCGTGAGGTTGTTGAACGTGAAAACTTTTGTTTTCGCGGCAAACAGAACCTTGTACTCCACAATGGCCTGTGAGCACAAGGTGAAACAGGTAAGGATAAGATGGCAGGTTAGGCACACCACGAGGACATACGCATGCATGGCAAACAGAACCTTGTACTCCACAATGGCCTGTGAGCACAAGGTGAAACAGGTAAGGATAAGATGGCAGGTTAGGCACACCACGAGGACATACGCATGCACGGCAAACAGAACCTTGTACTCCACAATGGCCTGTAGCACCAGGAAAGGCGAGGTAAGAGAAGAAAAAAAGGTGGTCAGACACACGACAACACACACACACACACACACACACACACACACACACACACACACACACAGACGCACGCCCACCCACCCACCCCTCCTCACACACACAAGACCCCACCTCCTCCTTCCCATCCCCCCTCCACACCCCACCTCCTCCTTCCCATCCCCCCTCCACACCCCACCTCCTCCTTCCCATCCCCTCTCCACCCCCTTTCACTCGCACACGGTTAAGGAACAGCTGAATGAGTCACTATATCAAGTTACAAATAGGCAGAATAACTACTGTACCTCCATGTAGGGGTCGAGCCTCGGATTCGCACCCAGGATTCGCGCGTATCCATCGAACCAGGGTGTGCCAGGGACCCAGAGGTGGTCGAAGTCTTGAAGTTGCCGAATTGCAAAGATTGTCTTCAAAGGGTCGAAGAACCCTGGCGTTTTCTCATTCGTCGCGATGTACAGCGTGCGTCCAGGTGCAACGAACCTGGGGAGCTTCTCCAGAAGACTGTAACATTGCAAGGTAGAGGGGAAATATGGGGTATGAAAAGATATAAACTTTTCATATGCATATCAAGGGTGTAATTCATTCTCATCAGCAGCATAAGCAGATTTTTAACATAGATTCAATTGTGAAGAGCAATTGACTTATGCAGGGGGGCTCGTGTCGTTGGCCAAGTGCGGCCATACATCAGTGTTGAGCTTGTCTCCCCTGCGCACTCTCACAGAGTCGTAGTCCCCGCCATTCATGGACTGCGACATGTTGGCTGCTAATCCCCTCAGCCCCTTGCCAGGTGCACTCATTGCTGTTATACAATGCGGTTGACTTGAATTACGCTGCAGGACTTGTGTCATTCGCAACATGTGGCCACACGGCGGTGTTGAGCGTCATATCCCTTCCGAGTCGACTCAAAAGCTTCATTCCAGTAGAGTAGTTGACTTGACTTACGCTGCAGGGCTCGTGTCATTCGCTACGTGTGGCCACACGGCGGTGTTGAGCTTGTCTCCCCTCCTCACCCTCACAGCATCGTAGTCCCCTCCGAGTCGACTCAAAAGCTTCATTCCAGTAGAGTAGTTGACTTGACTTACGCTGCAGGGCTTGTGTCATTCGCTACGTGTGGCCACACAGCGGTGTTGAGCTTGTCTCCCCTGCGCACTCTCACGGCATCATAGTCCCCACCATTCATAGACTGCGACATGTTGGCTGCTAATCCCCTCAGCTCCGGGCGGAATAGAATGGCCGACTCATTCGATGTGATGTAATCGAATCGCTGTTATTCATGGGTGGGTGGTAGTGTGGGTTTGTATGTGGGTGGGATGGGGTTGGGGCAAGCAGTTAGAAAAATTGCTGCAACGATTGCAAGGAAGAGAGGGTGGGTTGAGACGTGTTGGCTGCGAGTCCCCTCAGCTCCGGGAGGAAGAGAATGGAGAGGAGTGGGAAGAAGATGAGAGAAGGGAGGGGAGGCTCACGTTGAGCCAGTGGGAGAGCTTGCCGCGGCACGGCTCGCTGGCTTGTGAGTCAACTCAAACGAGGTTGGGCCAGTGGGAGAGCTTGCCCCGGCATGGTTCGAATGCGTAGTGGTGTGTGACATTGTAGCTAGACGACTTGTAAGTCAACTCAAACGAGAGGAGGAGGGAGGAGCAGAAGCGCTCACCAGGTTGGGCCAGTGGGAGAGCTTGCCGCGGCACGGCTCAAATGCGTAGTGGCCGTCTCGAATGATGAGCGTGGTGGTCTTGTCCTGCGCTATGGCCTGCTCATAGGGCGAGAGAGGTGGGAGGAGGGATAGAGGGGATAGAGGGGGATAGAAGGGGAGGGGAGGGTGGAGGAGATAAAAAGATGGCACATGTGCGTGCTTGACAAGGGATGGCACATGTGCGTGCTTGACAAGGGATGGCACATGTGCGTGCTTGACAAGGGATGGCACATGTGCGTGCTTGACAAGGGATGGCACATGTGCGTGCTTGAAAAGGGATGTCACACATATCGCTGTCTCAAGGGGTAAGTGATTATCGCTGTGACCACGCGCCCTTCTGAAGTCAAGTATAATTTTGCAAATTATGACTGGTCAACAAGAATATTGCAGATTATGCAGACTTAAGGCAGTCATAATGTACAGTTTTTACACCCCTGCCTTTCTAAAGAAAATCTGGTTGGGTTCACCCCTCCACTCACCCGCTCACCCTAGTCCGTGTGAGTGAGGGGTGGTAAGAAGCTCAAAACTTTTTACGAGAATCTGGTTGGGTTCCCACCCCACTCACCCTGGTCCGTGTGTCTGCTTGCACCACACAGGCGAAAAGTGATGCAGCTGACACACTTTCTCCTGCAGATACACCCTCTCCTGCAGATACACCCTCCCCTGCAGATACACCCTCTCCTGCAGATACACCCTCCCCTGCAGATACACCCTCTCCTGCAGATACACCCTCCCCTGCAGATACACCCTCTCCTGCAGATACACCCTCCCCTGCAGATACACCCTCCCCTGCAGATACACCCTCCCCTGCAGGTACACCCCTCAATCGCCTTCCAGTCGCCACCCCCTTTCCATGCGCCCCTTCCCCCCTGTTGCTCCCCGCCTCTCCCTCCTGTTCCTGCTGCCGCCGCCACTCCCTCAGACCCTGCAGAAACCCGTTTAGGGGTGTGAATTTGGCGGACCTGCGAGAGAAAAGGGATAAAGGGTCAAGAGGGAAATGGGAGAGTGAGAGTCAGTGAGTCATCCCAAAGCCGCCACACCCTCAGACCCTGCAGGAACCCGTTCAGGGGGGTGAATCTGGCGGCTTTGCGAGAGAGAAAGGCAAAATAGAGAGAAGGGCGATATAGGCGAAAAAGGTGAGAAAGAACGAAAAAAAGAGGAGAAAGAAAAGAGAGGCAATGAGTAACCCATGCAGGCTTGCAGGGAAGGGACCCCTGCAGGAGGGTGAACCTGGAGGGCCTACATAGTGGGGGGTCACGTGTAATGAGGTTGTTTTTGAGACGTCTCAAAAACAACCTCATTACACGTGCAGGCTTGCAGAGAAGGGACCCCCGCAGGGGGGTGAACCTGGAGGGCCTATATAGTGGGGGGTGGGGGGAAATGAGGCGAGGAACAGAGAGGGCGACGGGGATGGTGGAAAGGTGTTACCTTGGGGAGGGCGTTACTTGAGGGACGGTGTTACGTGAGGAAGGGTGTTACTTGAGCGAGTGTTTTACCTGAGGGAGGGCAGATCGTAGTAGTAATGCAGGCCGTGAACACTCGCAGTCCCGCCATTGTGCATTCCGTTAATGCACAACCCCATATCGAGTACAAGCGTGCGATTCAGAAAAGCCGCTTCCGCGATCTTGCACGACAGGCTGCGATGAAAGTGGCGAATCCCCGCACAAATATCGCGCAGCCCGGTAACATAGTAATATTTTTCGCCCGGCCGAAAGTAATCTTCTCCCCGAACTGGTAACCACTCCGTCTCCCAGGTTAGCCTCGGGTTTTCATGAAAGTACTTCAGAACTCTCGGCGAATCAAGAGGCTCCACGTCACCCAAAGTTCGCTGCTCTAACTCCGCCAGTAACTCGACTGGGTCACTTCTTCTCGCCGTTTCAGTCTCTCCGTTTTCGCTCGGAAGACTCGCGTTGTTCGCACGGTCCACGTCGTGGTTACCAGTTGTCTGATTCTGTTCGCTAACTTCGCGAGACGACGTCTCCTTTGATTCCAAAACAACGGGAGCTTCCCTCTGTGTTCCTGCTTCGTCTCTCTCCGACTTATTTTCCGGAGGTGATTTTTGAGTCCAGTCCAAAACATCGTCCGGATTCCCTCGCTCTTCGCTCTGCCTTCCACCATTCCTGTCCACATCCTCAATCCCATCCTCGTTCTCCGCAACCCCCGCCTCCGCGTTCTCCGCGATCCCCGCATCCCCATTTTCCGCAACACCCACATCCTCATTCTCCGCAACCCCCGCATCCCCCTCCCCCACGGGAAAATCCGGACCCTTCTCTTCCGCCACACGCTCCACGTTCCCGTCCGCTTCCGCCACGTCCCGCACCGCTGCCGCAGCAGGTTCCGTTACCGTCTCAGTTACCGTCTCGGTTGCCGCCTCCGTTAACGTCTCTGTTACCGTTCCGCTCTCCGTCTCAATCTCGACCATCACTCCCCCCTCGCTTCCCGCTCTTACGCCTCGCGGGAAGTCAACGAGCCGCGTGAGATCTCTCGGACCGCTCGTCATCGCCGCGAATTGCGGCACTAGCACGAGGAGCAGCAGCGGGACGGCCCAGAACAGCCCGTGGAGTAGACGCCCCTTCCAATCAAAATGGTCCTTTTTCAAGGTAATTGCCACGTCATCGAGCTTCCACGTGTCAACGCAGTACTCGTGAGAATTGCTCGAAGGACATCGACGGTCGCTGACCGTGGCACCACCTCTGCCGCCGACATCGCCATCAGCTTTGCCGTTGCAGTCTACGGCTTCCCGGGCTCTAATAATAGCAGACGAATACGGGCAGGTCCCGCACATTGCGCCGAGATCGTCGCCGCACGTTGTGCCGTTTCTCCCTGGGGCATTACCCGCCTGGCTGTCGAGAGCGGCGGCTCTTTCGTTCTGCACTGGACGTGGAAGGAGTAGACATTTATACTCGTCCTCGGGCCTTGCCGGAGGCACTAGGGTAGCCGTGTCCATGCCCATGCTATTCACGAAGCGTGCTGATTTTCTTTTGGACTCAAAATGTATTTTCCTGCCGCTTTAGTCTCGCGATTTATTAAATATATTTTTGTCAATGTCGAGCGAGAGAGTTTGCTGACTCGATTCAGGCGTGCGGCCTGGACAGATATAGAAGAGCCAATAGTTTGTGCTGCTGCTGATGAGACGCGCGACTAATCTTCTACCTGTTGCTGACCTGACCAGCCGCAAGCATTTGAATTAGTAGGGGCTAGGTAGGGTTCGTTAAAGCGGGCGGAAGGGGCTTGGGTCAAGTGGGGCTCGGCATGGCATTAGCCGGGGCGCCTGGGGATGGGTTTGGGGCGCTGCGCTGTGGGCCGACACCCTATCGAGTTCGCGCATGATAATAGCGAACTGACGGCTCGTTCCTGGATGGATGGATATCTGTCGCCGTTTTAAGAATCCCCGCGAGTGTTGCTGGAGCTGCTGGTGTCTCCTCGTTGTATGATTCATCTAGGTAGACGCAGAACTAATTGCTGAAAAAATAATGTTTATCTCCCAACAAAGTCATTCAAAGGAGTGAAATGCGATGAATAGAATGGAAAACGGTTACTGTATACCTCCCACTTGACCGTCAGACAAACTGGATGAATGTATTTTGGCCGAACGATGAACTGCGCCAACCGCTGGCCGTCAACTTCTCGTCAGGCAGTTGAATGCTTCCGACTGTTCGCCTTCGCTTCTCCCCCGCAACTGTTTCCTCAACGGACTTGGCGAAACTTCTCTTTCCTCCACTAAGCTGGTATCCAGGTTACTTGTCGCTTGATACATTTCTAACCGCCTTCGCGACCTAGAGGTTCCCGCCCGCGAATATCGCAGGGCACCACCACCCCCCTGACCAACCAATCCACAGGGACTACAGAAACGAGCGGCAGAAACGTCGAGGAACAGTGCGAGCTCAGCCTTACCCATAATTATCCATCCATGGCTCCCTGGCATTGCCTTCCGCTGATCCTAAACTGACAGTTCTTTTTTGGAGCAGGGCCTGCCGATTTTGCAAGAGGAACACTATTCGCATTGTGGCCTGAATCGCCTAGCCTGCTATCTAGTCGCTATGCCGGCCATTCGGGTGGGTACTGGTCATCGCTGACGAGATTGATTAGGGTTCGCGATCCCACTTGTTTATCCAACCAGTTTCCCGCAACGCTGGAGCACACTGCACCTCAGAATCCATTCACGTTTCTTATCTGCAAGAGGGCGTTTGTCTGGAAAAAGGCGTTCGTTTCGGGGGTGTTTAAGAAGCACTATACTTCATGCGAACTGGTCATTCTCTGAAATTTTCTTCTCGCTTCAGCCTCTAATTGCCAGCATCGCCACATCAGATTGTGGTTAGGGACGATATTGCCGTGGTTGGCAGTGAGCCCACTCTGTTTGTTGCCTAATATTGCTTATTCTCTTCTCTCGAATCCTTCCTAAGCGCCATTTTTACTATCTATGTCGGTGGTCAATGCCACAGGGGGACGATTGAGAAGCAGAAGCAGCGTGCCAGTCTGGGGCATACAAGGTAGGGTTCTGAAAGGCTCTCTGCGAAGGCTGCCAGTGCTGAAAATATACTAATGGGCTCCGGTTATTCGCTAGCCACAACAGGAAATAAATTACGAGATAAGTGTTTTTCCTGCTCTCAGTACCGTTTGAAAACGTCGCGGAATTATCTTATCCAGCTCTCGTTGCTGTTTGATCATTAATCGATGCACAAGATCGGCAGTTGTTGCCTCGTTCCACAATCATGAATAAAAAAGCTAAACTTTCCTTTCTTTCGATTGGCCTGTTCATGCATTCTGCGCGCTCCCCGCCCACTCCTTACCCTCCCATTTGCCACTTTCCCAGAAGGCCTCGGTAATGCCAACTGTAGCAGCGGTCTCTGCTCCGCATCCTTCTTCCCTTGACCAGCCTGCCAGCATCCTCCCTGGCGCCGCATCTGAAGCTTCACGAGAAGTTTCCGCGCTACATCCGTACGCGTTAGAGCCTTCTGCGCTACAGCCTTCCGCGCCACACCCTTCCGCGCTGGACCCTTCCCTTCGCGATTCCGCGCTGAACCCTTCCCTTCCGGCAGCAGCAGCAGCAGAAGAAGAAGAAGAAGCAGGAGCAGGAGCAGCAGCAGCAGCAACAGCAACAACAACAGCAGCAGCAGAAGCTGGAGGCGCAGAAACATCTAATTCTCTAGCCGCAGGGAGCAGCGCGGAGAGCGCTGCAGGTGCGGTCGTGGCGGGAGAGGCAGCAGCCATTGGGGACGCACTCTACGGCACAGAGGCAGGGGGGGGCGGATCAGGAGCGCAAGGCGCAGCGGGGCAGGGGTTGGGGGAGCAGGGGGGAGAAGGGGTGGTGGGGCAAGAGGCGCACGAAGCCGTGACTGGGGCACAAGGGGCAGGGGAAGCAGGGGGAACAGGGGGAGCAGGGGGAGCGGGAGCAGAAGGGGCAGGGGGCGCTGAAGCAGGGGAGGCAGGGGGAGCGGGAGCGGGAGGGGGGGTTGCAGGGGGCGCGGGAGCCGCGGAGCCAGAGCAGCAGCTGGCGGAGGCGTGGCAGCGCGCGTTGGATGAGGCGGAGGTGGAGATCCGCAAGCAGGCCATCGAAAACGAGTTCCTGCGCTCCCAGCTGCGCGTGCTCGAATGGCAGATGAGCAACGGAGTGAGCACTCTGCACTCTCGTTGAATCGCACCCCCACTCCATCCCCTCTTCCACCCACCTCCCCCCCAACTTCCCCCCACCTTTCCCGTCGCTTTTCCGCGCCTCGCACATCTCTCTTCCCCACCCCCTGCCTTGGACCTCCTTTCCTGCACCACCTCGTAGGCTCAACAATGGTTATCTTTGGATTAATTTCAGAAGTCTCTTGGTCAGTCAGGAGTAGCAGGTGCGGGCGCTTTTAATGTTCCTGCCAGGGGTACTGATCGTACTTGACGCGTCTCACCTCCCTTCTCCTCGACTGTCCTCCCCTTGCTCTCCCGCCTCTTTCCCCCCGCCGCCACTCCTCTCTCCTCCCCTCCCCCACTCCCCCCAGGCGCTAGCGAGTTCCGCGCAGCCTGACGTGGGCGGGCGGGCTGCTCTCCCCTTCCTCCTGTCATACTGAGACGCACTTTAACGCGCTTATCCTCGACTCTCCTCGCCTTACCCTCCATCTCTTACCCCCTCAACCCCCCACTCCCCCAGGCGCTAGCAAATTCCGCGCCGCCTGACGTGGACGGGCTGCTCTCCCCTTGCTCTTGTCGTGCATGATTGACGCATCTCAATTCAACGTGGATCACCCCTACTCTCCTCCTCCTTGCGGCACCCCTCTCTTCCCCCCGCTCCACCCACTCCCCCAGGCGCTAGCAAATTCCGCGCCGCCTGACGTGGACGGGCTGCTCTCCCCTTCCTCCGCGCGCCTTCCCCCCTCCGCTGCTACAGGCGCGGGGCTCAGCCCAGGTATATCTAGGGCAGGAACTCTCACAGGCCTAGCAGGGGCGGGCGCTTCTAGCGGCCCTCCAGGCGTTTTGAGCGGCGCTCTTGTAGGGAGTCCGCAGATAGGGGGGATAGGCGGAGCAGCAGCAGCCGTGGGTACTAGTGGTGTTGCTCCTGCTGTAGTGGGTATAGGTGGGACTGAAGGGGCAGTAGGGGGAGGGAGTGGCGGAGGGATTATGGCTGCTGCGGCAGCAGCTGTAGCGCCAGGAATGGCTGGTGGTAATGGTGGTGGTATGGGGGGCCTTTTAGGATCCGATCAGGTGGTTTCTGGGGAAGGTGGTATTGGGAATTTTGGCGGGATGGCAGGGGATGGAGGAGGGGGAGGGGGGGGAGGAGTGGGAGGAATGGGAGGAGGAGGGGGAGGCGGAGGGGGAGGGGGAGGAGGTGAGAAGGACTTAGAAGCAGCTCTGCTGGAGCGACTCCTTCAGAAGCTGTCTGTGAATGGCTCGCTGGCTGCTGCTGTGGCGCAGGCAGCAGGGGGAGGCGGAGCTGGGGGAGGCGCAGGGGGAGGAGGGGGAGGGGGAGGGGGAGGGGGAGGGGGAGGGTGGTGGAGCAAACGGGGTGATGAACGGAGGGGCAGGGGGCGGGCTGACTGGGAACGTGCTGGACGGGGAGCGTGACAGCCTGGCGTTGACTCCGTTTGACCAGCAGTCGCTGACTGTGCACCCCTCCAATTCCACGTCATCACGCCTGGCTGCTATGCAGGTGAGATAGGAGAGAGGAGAGTGAGAAGAGAAATTTGGGAGAGTTAACATGACAATAAAATAGTACTCTGAATCCTATTACCACGACTATTTGAGAGAGGAGGATGGAGAGCAATTACAACAGTGAATTGGCTCCCTCCTCCCTCCCCCTTTCTCCCCTCCTTCCTGCCTTTCCCGTTTTCCACTCTCTTTTTTAGTCCAGTTTATAGAAGGCCTTCCCTCCTCTTGATGCTCGTTCGTTCAGTCAAGAACACGCAAGTTCTCTCTAAAGACGATGCTTTCTCCTTTCAAAAAAACATCTCAATACATCTCCAAAATTCTCTTCGTCTTTTTTTTTTTTTATTTCCTTCCTTCCCCTCTGCTATCACCAGCCCTTCACAGCTGACTTGACTCGGTCAACGGGCGGGGTGGCAGCGTCCTTTTGAGACGCCTCAGAAACCATTTCCTTCTCTCCCCTCCGCCTCACCAGCCCTTCACAGCCGACTTGACTCGGTCAACGGGCGGGGTGGCAGCGTCCTTTTGAGACGCCTCAGAAACCATTTCCTTCTCTCCCCTCCTCCTCACCAGCCCTTCACAGCCGACTTGACTCGGTCAACGGGCGGGGTGGCAGCGTCCTTTTGAGACGCCTCAGAAACCATTTCCTTCTCTCCCCTCCGCCTCACCAGCTCTTCACAGCCGACTTGACTCGGTCAACGGGCGGGGTGGCAGCGTCCTTTTGAGACGCCTCAGAAACCATTTCCTTCTCTCCCCTCCGCCTCACCAGCCCTTCACAGCCGACTTGACTCGGTCAACGGGCGGGGTGGCAGCGTCCTTTTGAGACGCCTCAGAAACCATTTCCTTCTCTCCCCTCCGCCTCACCAGCCCTTCACAGCCGACTTGACCCGGTCAACGGGCGGGGTGGCAGCGTCCTTTTGAGACGCCTCAGAAACCATTTCCTTCTCTCCCCTCCGCCTCACCAGCCCTTCACAGCCGACTTGACTCGGTCAACGGGCGGGGTGGCAGCGTCCTTTTGAGACGCCTCAGAAACCATTTCCTTCTCTCCCCTCCGCCTCACCAGCCCTTCACAGCCGACTTGACTCGGTCAACGGGCGGGGTGGCAGCGTCCTTTTGAGACGCCTCAGAAACCATTTCCTTCTCTCCCCTCCGCCTCACCAGCCCTTCACAGCCGACTTGACTCGGTCAACGGGCGGGGTGGCAGCGTCCTTTTGAGACGCCTCAGAAACCATTTCCTTCTCTCCCCTCCGCCTCACCAGCCCTTCACAGCCGACTTGACCCGGTCAACGGGCGGGGTGGCAACGTGCGGCCCTAGTGGGTCGGTTGGCGGCGGAGAGAGGTCCGGGAACGTGAGCGAGCTGATGCAGCGCGTGGCGTCATTGGAGGAGCAGGTTCGCAGCAAAGACAAGCTGCTGGCTGCTGCTCAGGCGCGGGTGAGTTGACTCTCCTTGCAGTGTTAAAGACGGCCGTTCGGGTGGTGTGGGGTGGGGTGGAGTGGGATGAACGGTGCCAGGTAGACGGATACGTGTGTGTGACTGGGCGTGTGAACGTGGGCGAGCTGATGCAACGTGTTGCATCGCTGGAGGAGCAGGTTCGCAGCAAAGACAAGCTGCTGGCTGCTGCTCAGGCGCGGGTGAGTTGAGTGCTTGTCTTGCGAAGAGTCAAAGGATACGTGCAGTGCCAGGCAGAAGGGTCTGTGTGTGACTGTGACTGGGTGTGTGAACGTGAATTTTACTTTTGAGAATTCTCAAAAGTAAAATTCACGTAGCTGTGCCAGGCAGAAGGGTCTGTGTTTGACTGTGACTGGGTGTGTGAACGTGGGCGAGCTGATGCAGCAGGTGGAAAAGACAAGCAAAGACAAGCTGCTGGCTGCCGCTTAAGCGCAGCGCGGGTGAGTCACCCTGCTTTGTCTTGCAAGCATACAAGCTCGCAAACGTGCATTACCAACACCAGCGAAATGGTTGGGTGGGATGAGGAGGTGAAGTCCGGTGCGGTGGGGTGGGGTTGAGTGTGGTCACTGGGGTGGGGTGGGGTGGGGTGGGGTGGGGTGGGGTGGGGTGGGGTGGGGTGGGGTGTGGGTTGGGGTGGGATTGGGTGGACAGCGCCAGGCACAGGTGAGTGTATGTGACTGTGATTGTTAATATGAGTGTCGTCTCAGCTGCGGGTGGAGAAGCAAGTGTTGAGACATGATTCTTCTGTGTCCCCCCACACCCCAACACTCCAATCCCTCCCCTCTTGCTGCATCGTCCCTGTGTGATGTGCATCGTCCCTGTGTGATGTGCATCGTCCCTGTATCATTTTATGTTCAGGAGTCACAGCTGCAAGCAGAGAAGCGGTCTCTGGAGCGCAGGATGTCAGAGCTGCGACTGGTGAGACCCTCACCTCACTGCACCTAACCGCACCGCTCTGCACCGCTTCGCACCTCCCCTCTCTGCTGCTCTGCCAGTTTGCTCATCCACGTTCTCTCTCATCCACGTCCCCTCTCGTCCCACCGAAGCTCTTGACCCCCCTGTTGTCCCACCCAATCTCGAATCCCCCATGGCCCCATTTCCTCCATGCTCCCCTTTCCCCCATGCCCCCATGCTCCCCTTTCCCCCATGCCCCCATTTCCCCCATGCGCCATTGTTTTCATATGCATGATGGGGGAAACATGCATACGCCTAACGAATCTTCTAATGGCTCTGTGTGTGCTATTTCCATTGCATCACATTCACGTCACAATCCCCCGGAGCAGGCATTTGACGGGCAGCAGCAGAACCTCATGGGGTCGGCCCAGAAGGCCATGGGGTACCGCCGGGACGTGCTGGAAGAGAATGTGCGCCTCACACGCGCGCTGGAGGTGTGTCTGAGATGTGTTGTGTGTGCTCTCGAGGTGTGTGCGATGTGTCTTGTGTTCTATGTGCTGTGCTCTTGAGGTGCATACCACAAGGAGGGAGGAAGGCCATGGGGTACCTCTGGGGTGTGCTAGAGGAGAACGTGCACCTCACTTGTGCGCCAGAGGTGCGTGGTGTGCTGGGGGGAGAATGTGCCCCACACACCTCCAGCGCACAAGTGAGGCGCACACTCTCCTCCAGGATGATGCGTGGTGTGCCTCACTTGTGCGTCTCAATTGTGTGCCTCACTTGTGCGTCTCAATTGTGTGCCTCACTTGTGTGCCTCACTTGTGCGTCTCAATTGACTTTTGAGTCGACTCAAAAGTCAACTCAAAAGTCACCTTTTGAGTCGACTCAAAAGTCACACTCTCCTCCAGGATGATGCGTGGTGTGCTGGGCCTCACTTGTGTGCCTCAATTGTATGCTTGAGATGTGTGTGCTGTGCCCCGTGATCATGCTTCCACTCATTTGCCCTCCTCTTTTCCCTCACTCCTCTCCCTCGCTCATCTCTCCCGTATTCCATTTTTCCCCCCCAGCGTGCGGAGCGCGATTGCATGCTGTTCATCACCTCGCTCACCCTCTTCTCCCATGCTCCCTCTCCGTCCACACTCCCCCATACCATCCGTCCATCCCGAAAAAGCGGAGCACGACTGCATGGTCTTCATCACCATGCATGCACTATCTCTTCTCCCCTATGGCCTATTCTTCCTCTCCCAACGCACTCCTCCATACTCTCCTTCCCAACCCCCCACCCCCAAGCGAGCGGAGCATGATCGCATGCTATTCATAACCACGCTCACGCCGCTAGCAGGGGAGTTTGGCCTCTCTGCCACCGCCTCTGCTGATTCACACCACATGCTGCTCTCCGTTAAGGTGGGCTTTAAGGCTAGGTGGGCTTCAAGGCTAGGTGGGCTTTAAGTCAAGGTGGGCTTCAAGTCACAGTGAGTCACACATGTCAAGGTGCATGCCACAAGTCAAGGCGCGTCATGCTGCATCATCTCACATCACGCCGCTAGCAGGGGAGTTTGGCCTCTCTGCCACCGCCTCTGCTGACTCGCATCACATGCTGCTCTCCGTCAAGGTGGGTGGGCCCTGTCGAGATGGGTCCTGTCGGGCCTCTCTAAGGGTTGCTTGCGCATCTTGTCAAGGTGGGTGCTTTGCTTTGTTGCTGCAAACGCATCCTGAGAATTCTCAGAATCCAGGTGTTGCCCGCAGAATGGCTGGCCTTCTTGCTTCTTTTCAAGCTGCATCACAAATCACCATCTTACTCACCCACTCATCATCTCCCGCTGCCTTCCCCCTTGCTTCTTCCCTCTTCCGTCCGTGCGTCTCTGCTGCCCTCTCCTCCCTCTCGCTGTGATGCCAGTCTGTGTTGCAGCAACTGCTCACCCGCATGACGCGCAGCAACGAGGTTCGTCTCCTTCTTTCCCCACTTCATGCACATGCTGTTGTGACCCCAGCTCAATTCGATTCAAACTGGTTTGGTCCGGTGTTGTTTGGTCTACTTTGGTTTGGCCCCTCATCGTTTCCCCTCCAATCCGTCCTCCCCTTGCAGCAGGGCGGGTCGTCAGCCCCTCTCCCCACGCTCTACGGCACAACAGACCCCACCCTTGCTGCTCTGCTGCTCGCCAGTGGCGCCAACTCCATACCCTCTCTCCGTCTTCCCCTGTTCTTTTCCAGCAGGGCGGGCCATCAGCTCCTCTCCCCACGCTCTATGGCACCACAGACCCCACCCTCTCAGCTCTGCTGCTCGCCAGTGGCGCCAACCCCAACAGCACCTCTCTCGCACCAAACCCCCTCTCTTCCGCTGCTGCTCTCTCTGCTGCTGCCTCGCCTCTCCGAGCCTTGGCTGGGCTGGTGCCCCCTGCATCTGCACCTGCTGCTGCTGCTGATCCTCTGCTGCTGCGGTGAGTGCCCTAGAATCTCTCATGCTCATGCTCATGCTCATGCTGCCCTAGACACTCTTTTACTCCATCTCCCACTCTGCATATTAACTCTTCTTCCCATCTCTCGTCTCTCCACGCTTTTCTGTCCTCTCTTCACTCTCCTCACCATTTTTCCCCCTCCGCCCCATCCTCCCCCCCCGCCCATGCCTACCCAGTCTTGCGCTTGCGCAAGCAGGTTACGACCCTGCCAATCCGTTGCACTCTGCTCTGCACCCTGCCACAGCTCTCCCCCCCATCTACGCCTCTCCCACAGCGTATCCTACCTTGCAGCTTCCGCAGCAGCTTTTGTTGGGCTCTGTACCTCAACAGCAGCAGCAGCTGCTGCTGCAGCAACTTCTGCAGCAACAGCAGCAGCAGTCGTTGCAGCAACCGGTGCAGCAGCAGCAGCTGCAGCTGTTGCAGCAACTCCTGCAGCAACAACAGCAGCAGCAACAGCAGCAGCAGTTGCAGCAACCAATGCAACAGCAGCAGCTGCAGCAGCCGCCTGTTCAGCAGCAAATGCTGCAGGCGCCACCGCAACAGAATTGGCAGCAGCAGCAGCAGCATCAGCAAGTGCCATCACAACAGCAATGGCAGCAGCAACCCCCGCAGCAACAACAGCAGAACCAGCAGCAACAATACGTGGGTCAGCAGCAGCAGCCACCACAGCAACAGTACCAGCCGCAGCACCAGTACCAGCAGCAACCGCTGCAGCAGCTGCAGTACCAGCAGCATCAGCAGCAGCCACCACAGCAACAATATCAGCAGCAGCAGCAACAGCAGCAGCAGGGGGGTGGGTACAGCCCCTTGGAGCCTGAAATGTCTCTCAAAGGCGGATTCATCCCTGCAGCTGCTTCCTCTGCTGCTCCCGCTCCTCCTGCTGCTCCAGCTGCTTCTGGTTCCCCAATCCCTCCGGGGGCTATCAACAATCCCGGTGCTTCGGGCGTCTTTGCTACTGACTCGACCATGGGAGCTTCTATGGGAGGCGGAGCAGGAGTGGGGGTAATGCAGCAGCAGCAAGGGGGGATGGAGGGAATGGGGGGGAGTGTGAGCATGGGGCAAGGGCAGGCGATGGGGTATGTGGGGGGGGAGGGGGTTGCGGGGAGCGTAGGGGGGCCTGGGGGGAGCATGGGGGGACCTGGGGGGAGTATGGGAGGGCCTGGGGCGAGCATGGGAGGCGCGGGTGACCCTGCTGCTAGCTGGGGTGGTGGATTGGCTCCGATCCGTGAGGATGATGGTGAGTGTTGGTGGAGGTATGGGTATGAGAAGGTTGCATGGGGAGTGAGAGGGTTGAGTGAGTGTTGGAGGCATGGGCATAAGGATGAGTGGTAAGTAAAAGACTGATCAACCCAGCTGCATGTAGGTGACCCTGCTGCTAGCTGGGGTGGTGGATTGGCTCCGATTCGCGAGGATGAGGGTGAGTGAATGTTGGTGGAGGTGATAAGGGTATGAGGATGAGGGTGAGTGAATGTTGGTGGAGGCATGGAGATGAGAGGATGAGTGTTGGAGGCATGAGCATGAGAGGGTGAGTGTTGGAGGCAAGAGCATGAGAGGGTGAGTGTTCATGAGAGGGTGAGTGTTGGAGGCATGGAGATGAGAGGGTGAGTGTTGGATGCATGAAGATGGGAGCGTGAGTGTTGGAGGCATGAAGATGGGAGGGTGAGTGTTGGAGGCATGGCGATGAGAGGGTGAGTGAGAGTTTGTTCATTATCCATTCCAACATTCACTTGTGATTCGCTTGAACTCTGCCCCCCTCGCCGGCCCAATTGTTGGCATGCTCCCTCCCTTCCTTCCCTCCAACACCATTATTCGTTCCAGGATTTGATTTCGTGTAATCATTTTCCAATCCTCTCCAACGCTTTCCAACGTTCTGGTTGCAGGGCAAGGCTTGGCATCTCAGCAGCAGCAGCAGCTGGAGTATCAGCAGCAGGAGTATCAACCACAGCAGGATTTCGCAGGGCAGGGCATGCATGAGGTTGCTGGTGCTGGTGGTGCGGACCCCACGAGCACCATTGATTCTCAGTACAACCCCAGCATGGATTCCTCTCAGCAGCACCACAGCTTTCATATGGACGGACAGCAGCAGCAGGTGGTGCAGCAGTATGCACAGGACGACTACCAGCAGCAACAGCAGCAGCAGGAATACCAGCAGCAGGAGTATCAGCAGGATTATCAGCAGCAGCAGCAGCAGGAATACCAGGGACAGGAGTATCTGCAGCAGGATTACCAGCAGCAGGAGATGGGAGGGGAGGGCGCAGGGCAGCAGGAGGCAGCAGGGGAGGGGCAGGCAGGGGAGGGGGAGGAGGGGCAGGGGGAGGAGGAGGGGGAGGAGCTGTTGCCAGGGATAGAGGGGCTGAGGGTGATAGGAGACGCGGCCATGGGGAACAAGCTCACTGCATGTGGCCACTCAGTCAACGGCACCAAGCTCTGTGTCTTCCAGGTAAGTTGTGAGTCGAGTCAGAGATAGAGGGGACTTGGTTGATAGGAGCTGTTGCCGGGGATAGAGGGGCTGAGGGTGATAGGAGACGCGGCCATGGGGAATAAGCTCACTGCGTGCGGTCACTCAGTCAATGGCACTAAGCTGTGTGTCTTCCAGGTAATTGTTGGGTCAGCTTTATGATAGACTTGTTGCCGGAGATAGAGGGGCTGAGGGTGATAGGAGACGCGGCCATGGGGAATAAGCTCACTGCCTGCGGCCATTCGGTCAACGGCACCAAGCTCTGTGTCTTCCAGGTAAGTTGTGAGTCGATTTAAAGGGTAAGGGGAGGAGCTGCTGCCGGGGATAGAGGGGCTGAGGGTGATAGGGGACGCTGCGAGGGGCAACAAGCTCACTGCCTGCGGTCATTCGGTCAACTGCACTAAGCTCTGCGTCTTCCAGGTAACTGTTGTGTTGAGTCAATGACACAGTTGCTACCAGGGATAGAGGGGCTGAGGCTGAGGGTGATATGAGATGCGGCGATGGGGAACAAGGTCACTGCATGTGGTCACTCAGTCAACGGCACCAAGCTCTGTGTCTTCCAGGTAAGTCGTGGGTCAAGGCAAAGGTAGAAAGGACTTGGGTGATAGGAGATGTCTTTTTGGCCATCTTTCCCCGATGAGTGATACTTTCTTCTTCCCCAATGGCACTCGGCCCTGCCCTTGTCATTCTGCTCTCCCCGTCCACTCGGCTCTGCTCTGCTCTGCGCTGCTCTACGCTCATCTCGTATATGTCATCTTTTGGCTCTTGCTCTCTGCTCTTCTGTCTCTGCTCTCTGCTCTCTGCAGTGGGTGCGTCAATACCAAGATGGCACTGCTGAATTCATCGAAGGTAAGCCTCGCACCACCCGGACTCACACCACCAAGATTCGCACCACCCAGACACACGCCCTCTGTCCACCCGTTCATGTACATTCCTTCCAGTCTTTTCCGTGGGCACATGTGGGCGAGTAGCATTGTTAGCAACTACCAACCAATTTAGTGCCTTTTCGAGTTGAAAGACATTGTTTGTCCTTGCCCTCTTGCGCCCACTCTTCCCTCAGCAGCAATGGTGAACTGCAATGCCATCATCTCTGCCCCCTGTCATCCACTTACCCATTTCTTCCCCTTCCGCGTCCCCCTCCCCCTCCCTCGGCCCCTCCCCCTCCCCCTCCCCCTCCCCCTCCCCCTCTCTTCCGCCTTCCCCTCCCCCTGCCCCTCCAGCTCCCCCTTCCCTTCCGCCTCCCCCTCCCTCTTCCTCTCCCCCTCCCCCTTCCCTTCCGCCTCCCCCTCCCTCTTCCTCTCCCCCTCCCCCTTCCCTTCCGCCTCCCCCTCCCCCAGCTTCTCCCCCTCCCTGTTCCTTTCCGCCTCCCCGTCACAGGAGCATCGTCGCCCGAGTATGCAGTGTCAGCCGATGACTGCAACGCCATAATCGCTATGCTTTATCTGATTCCCCCTCTCATCCTTCCCTCAACTAACTTCACTCCCCAATCCCCCCTCCCCACTTCCTCCCCGTCACAGGAGCATCGTCGCCCGAGTATGCAGTGTCAGCCGATGACTGCAACGCCATCATCAATGTGTGGCTCTCACTCACCCACTGCCCTGCTCCCCCGTTTCCCACTCACTTTTACCCATTTCTTTGCCTCCCCAGGAGCATCGTCGCCCGAGTATGCAGTGTCAGCTGATGACTGCAACGCCATCATAGCAGTGGAGTGTGTACCGCTGGACGAGGCAGGCAGGCGGGTGAGTGTGCTTGGGGGCCAATGAGGGTGAGTGAGGGTGAGTGAGTGCATGCGTGCGTTCATGTGTGACTGGTGGTGTCAGCTGACGACTGCAACGCCATTATTGCTGTGGAGTGCGTTCCATTGGACGAGGCACTCTTGTAGACGCCATCTCCTCTCACCAACAACAACGTATTGATATGACTGCAACTCTGTTAAGCCTGTCCTGCCTCTCGCGCTGTCCTGCCTCTCGCCCCTCGCCTGCCTCTCGCCCCTCTCCATCTCCTGCCTCTCGCCCCTCGCCTGCCTCTCGCCCCTCTCCATCTCCTGCCTCTCGCCCATGTGTGCCTCTTGCCCCTGTCATACATGCAGGGGGAGTTGTCTCGAGTGGTTGTCAATGAGGGCAACTTGATCCAACTTGGTAAGAGCACAGCACAGCACAGCAACGTGATAAGAACACAACTTGTTAAGTGCACACACACGCCTGATACATTCAACTCGTATGCCGTGCCCCTCCCATGCCGTGCCCCTCCCATGCCGTGCCCCTCCCATGCCGTGCCCCTCCCATGCCGTGCCCCTCCCATGCCGTGCCCCTCCCATGCCGTGCCCCTCCCATGCCGTGCCCCTCCCATGCCGTGCCCCTCCCATGCCGTGCCCCTCCCATGCCGTGCCCCTCCCATGCCGTGCCCCTCCCATGCCGTGCCCCTCCCATGCCGTGCCCCTCCCATGCCGTGCCCCTCCCATGCCGTGCCCCTCCCATGCCGTGCCCCTCCCATGCCGTGCCCCTCCCATGCCGTGCCCCTCCCATGCCGTGCCCCTCCCATGCCGTGCCCCTCCCATGCCGTGCCCCTCCCATGCCGTGCCCCTCCCATGCCGTGCCCCTCCCATGCCGTGCCCCTCCCATGCCGTGCCCCTCCCATGCCGTGCCCCTCCCATGCCGTGCCCCTCCCATGCCGTGCCCCTCCCATGCCGTGCCCCTCCCATGCCGTGCCCCTCCCATGCCGTGCCCCTCCCATGCCGTGCCCCTCCCATGCCGTGCCCCTCCCATGCCGTGCCCCTCCCATGCCGTGCCCCTCCCATGCCGTGCCCCTCCCATGCCGTGCCCCTCCCATGCCGTGCCCCTCCCATGCCGTGCCCCTCCCATGCCGTGCCCCTCCCATGCCGTGCCCCTCCCATGCCGTGCCCCTCCCATGCCGTGCCCCTCCCATGCCGTGCCCCTCCCATGCCGTGCCCCTCCCATGCCGTGCCCCTCCCATGCCGTGCCCCTCCCATGCCGTGCCCCTCCCATGCCGTGCCCCTCCCATGCCGTGCCCCTCCCATGCCGTGCCCCTCCCATGCCGTGCCCCTCCCATGCCGTGCCCCTCCCATGCCGTGCCCCTCCCATGCCGTGCCCCTCCCATGCCGTGCCCCTCCCATGCCGTGCCCCTCCCATGCCGTGCCCCTCCCATGCCGTGCCCCTCCCATGCCGTGCCCCTCCCATGCCGTGCCCCTCCCATGCCGTGCCCCTCCCATGCCGTGCCCCTCCCATGCCGTGCCCCTCCCATGCCGTGCCCCTCCCATGCCGTGCCCCTCCCATGCCGTGCCCCTCCCATGCCGTGCCCCTCCCATGCCGTGCCCCTCCCATGCCGTGCCCCTCCCATGCCGTGCCCCTCCCATGCCGTGCCCCTCCCATGCCGTGCCCCTCCCATGCCGTGCCCCTCCCATGCCGTGCCCCTCCCATGCCGTGCCCCTCCCATGCCGTGCCCCTCCCATGCCGTGCCCCTCCCATGCCGTGCCCCTCCCATGCCGTGCCCCTCCCATGCCGTGCCCCTCCCATGCCGTGCCCCTCCCATGCCGTGCCCCTCCCATGCCGTGCCCCTCCCATGCCGTGCCCCTCCCATGCCGTGCCCCTCCCATGCCGTGCCCCTCCCATGCCGTGCCCCTCCCATGCCGTGCCCCTCCCATGCCGTGCCCCTCCCATGCCGTGCCCCTCCCATGCCGTGCCCCTCCCATGCCGTGCCCCTCCCATGCCGTGCCCCTCCCATGCCGTGCCCCTCCCATGCCGTGCCCCTCCCATGCCGTGCCCCTCCCATGCCGTGCCCCTCCCATGCCGTGCCCCTCCCATGCCGTGCCCCTCCCATGCCGTGCCCCTCCCATGCCGTGCCCCTCCCATGCCGTGCCCCTCCCATGCCGTGCCCCTCCCATGCCGTGCCCCTCCCATGCCGTGCCCCTCCCATGCCGTGCCCCTCCCATGCCGTGCCCCTCCCATGCCGTGCCCCTCCCATGCCGTGCCCCTCCCATGCCGTGCCCCTCCCATGCCGTGCCCCTCCCATGCCGTGCCCCTCCCATGCCGTGCCCCTCCCATGCCGTGCCCCTCCCATGCCGTGCCCCTCCCATGCCGTGCCCCTCCCATGCCGTGCCCCTCCCATGCCGTGCCCCTCCCATGCCGTGCCCCTCCCATGCCGTGCCCCTCCCATGCCGTGCCCCTCCCATGCCGTGCCCCTCCCATGCCGTGCCCCTCCCATGCCGTGCCCCTCCCATGCCGTGCCCCTCCCATGCCGTGCCCCTCCCATGCCGTGCCCCTCCCATGCCGTGCCCCTCCCATGCCGTGCCCCTCCCATGCCGTGCCCCTCCCATGCCGTGCCCCTCCCATGCCGTGCCCCTCCCATGCCGTGCCCCTCCCATGCCGTGCCCCTCCCATGCCGTGCCCCTCCCATGCCGTGCCCCTCCCATGCCGTGCCCCTCCCATGCCGTGCCCCTCCCATGCCGTGCCCCTCCCATGCCGTGCCCCTCCCATGCCGTGCCCCTCCCATGCCGTGCCCCTCCCATGCCGTGCCCCTCCCATGCCGTGCCCCTCCCATGCCGTGCCCCTCCCATGCCGTGCCCCTCCCATGCCGTGCCCCTCCCATGCCGTGCCCCTCCCATGCCGTGCCCCTCCCATGCCGTGCCCCTCCCATGCCGTGCCCCTCCCATGCCGTGCCCCTCCCATGCCGTGCCCCTCCCATGCCGTGCCCCTCCCATGCCGTGCCCCTCCCATGCCGTGCCCCTCCCATGCCGTGCCCCTCCCATGCCGTGCCCCTCCCATGCCGTGCCCCTCCCATGCCGTGCCCCTCCCATGCCGTGCCCCTCCCATGCCGTGCCCCTCCCATGCCGTGCCCCTCCCATGCCGTGCCCCTCCCATGCCGTGCCCCTCCCATGCCGTGCCCCTCCCATGCCGTGCCCCTCCCATGCCGTGCCCCTCCCATGCCGTGCCCCTCCCATGCCGTGCCCCTCCCATGCCGTGCCCCTCCCATGCCGTGCCCCTCCCATGCCGTGCCCCTGCCGTGCATGCCGTGCCCCTCCCATGCCGTGCCCCTCCCATGCCGTGCCCCTCCCATGCCGTGCCCCTCCCATGCCGTGCCCCTCCCATGCCGTGCCCCTCCCATGCCGTGCCCCTCCCATGCCGTGCCCCTCCCATGCCGTGCCCCTCCCATGCCGTGCCCCTCCCATGCCGTGCCCCTCCCATGCCGTGCCCCTCCCATGCCGTGCCCCTCCCATGCCGTGCCCCTCCCATGCCGTGCCCCTCCCATGCCGTGCCCCTCCCATGCCGTGCCCCTCCCATGCCGTGCCCCTCCCATGCCGTGCCCCTCCCATGCCGTGCCCCTCCCATGCCGTGCCCCTCCCATGCCGTGCCCCTCCCATGCCGTGCCCCTCCCATGCCGTGCCCCTCCCATGCCGTGCCCCTCCCATGCCGTGCCCCTCCCATGCCGTGCCCCTCCCATGCCGTGCCCCTCCCATGCCGTGCCCCTCCCATGCCGTGCCCCTCCCATGCCGTGCCCCTCCCATGCCGTGCCCCTCCCATGCCGTGCCCCTCCCATGCCGTGCCCCTCCCATGCCGTGCCCCTCCCATGCCGTGCCCCTCCCATGCCGTGCCCCTCCCATGCCGTGCCCCTCCCATGCCGTGCCCCTCCCATGCCGTGCCCCTCCCATGCCGTGCCCCTCCCATGCCGTGCCCCTCCCATGCCGTGCCCCTCCCATGCCGTGCCCCTCCCATGCCGTGCCCCTCCCATGCCGTGCCCCTCCCATGCCGTGCCCCTCCCATGCCGTGCCCCTCCCATGCCGTGCCCCTCCCATGCCGTGCCCCTCCCATGCCGTGCCCCTCCCATGCCGTGCCCCTCCCATGCCGTGCCCCTCCCATGCCGTGCCCCTCCCATGCCGTGCCCCTCCCATGCCGTGCCCCTCCCATGCCGTGCCCCTCCCATGCCGTGCCCCTCCCATGCCGTGCCCCTCCCATGCCGTGCCCCTCCCATGCCGTGCCCCTCCCATGCCGTGCCCCTCCCATGCCGTGCCCCTCCCATGCCGTGCCCCTCCCATGCCGTGCCCCTCCCATGCCGTGCCCCTCCCATGCCGTGCCCCTCCCATGCCGTGCCCCTCCCATGCCGTGCCCCTCCCATGCCGTGCCCCTCCCATGCCGTGCCCCTCCCATGCCGTGCCCCTCCCATGCCGTGCCCCTCCATGCCGTGCCCCTCTCAACTACCCCCTCACCCTCGTCACATCACACAGAGCCCATGGTGTGATGCCTCGTCTTGTGCTCATGTCTTGCCCTTTTCATCTCCCCCTGAACCCCATTGCATTGCACTCACAGAGCCCACGGTGCAGGACACGCTAGCAGGGTGGCTGGCGGAGGGCTCCACCCAGTTTGAAGCCACCCTCGTGGTATGCTGCGACCACCGACGTGCCTCAACCCACTGCACCCTACTGCACCGCACTGTTTTCTAATATAATCCCGCTAGACCACACCACTCGACACTGCACCTCTGGACACCACACCGTACTGCATCCCACCGGGCTGTGTGATCCATTTTCCGCACAATGCAATGCAGCAGTGCTCACATCCTCAATGGCATGGAGACTGGAGAAATACGTGGAATCAATTGTTTTTTAGTCGACTCAAAATCTGTCTCGTCACACCTGGAGAAAAACATGGAGACTAAAGGCTTGAGGAGCAGCAAAGGAGCTCATTTGAATCCAACAGCATTCCCTCGCTATTCTCTCCATCTCTTCTCTCATCCCTCCTGTATCCTCTCTCATCTCTTCCCTCCTCTGTCCTCTCCCCTCTTTCCCCTCTCCCATTCCAGGAAATCAGTGAGGGTGAAGAGCCACAGGAGCAGCAGCAGGCACCGCAGGCAGTGACGCTGCAAGTGAGGAGGCCAGACTTTGTCCTGCGCAAGGCCAAGAAGGCCTTTATCAAGGAGCCGTGGGGCAACCTCACTGCGGTGAGTGTTTTCAGACGTGCAGTGGTGCTCTATGATTGAGTGTTGAAGTCTTTGTGCTGTAGTTAGCCTTCTTGAGGGTGGGGGGATGGCGGTGACACTGCAAGTGAGGCGGCCCGACTTCGTCCTGCGCAAGGCCAAGAAGGCGTTTATCAAGGAGCCGTGGGGAAACCTCACTGCGGTGAGTAAGCATTGCACAACCACCGTACTTGGGTGGGGTTTTACCTGCCATTGTGTGATTGAGGCAGTGACGCTCCAAGTGAGGAGGCCAGACTTTGTCCTGCGCAAGGCCAAGAAGGCCTTTATCAAGGAGCCCTGGGGCAACCTCACTGCGGTGAGCACTCCTGGCACTGTGGACACACTGCGCTGGGTTTAGCCTGATTATGTGAGTGGAGTAGTGACGCTGCGGCCCGGCTTTGTGCTGCGCAAGGTGAAGAAGGCCCTGGGGGAACCTCACTGCGGAAGGTGCTTGGGCATTCTCAGGTTGTGAGGGGGAAGGACTTTGTGCTGGGCAATCTCACTGCTGGGTACAAGGAGAACCGACTGTGTGCTGCGCAAGGCCATGAAGGCGTTGATTCACAAATCCCTGGGGCAATTTCACTGAGATGAGCACGTGTGGCACTGTAGTGTGGTAACCACACTGTGGTTAGCCTCCCTCAGTGTGGCCCTGTGGTTCCTTCTTCACTGAGGTCCAATGGAGCCCCAAGTTGGAGCCATGACTTTGCGTGGCAACAGCGTTTTGCAAAATGTAAGGTTGATTGTTGAGTCGACTCACGAATCGGCACTGTGGTGCCTTCTTCACTTAGGTTAGCCTCCCTCTGTATTCCTGTCTGCCTGGCTGGCTGGCTCACTGGTTGCACTGCTCACGCTTCCCATGCTCTTTGTTCCTCCCTCCTCCTTCCCATCCATCCCCACCAGGTGGAGATCAGTGTGATGCATCGCATGTCGCTGTGCTTCAATCTCCTGCTTCCCCTCCCCGTCCCTCCTCTCCCTTCTCTCCTCCTCTCCCCGTCTCTCCCCTCCCCGTCCCCTGTCACTCTCCCTCTCTTTCCCCCCACCTCTCCTCAGGTGGAGATCAGTGTGATGCATCGCATGTCGCTCTTCTTTATTCTCTCAGACGGCCGACAGCTGTTCCTTGATTTCAGGGATGCCAGGTCAGCTATTCCTTGATTTCAGGGATGCCAGGTCAGCTCTTCCTTGATTTCAGGGATGCCAGGTCAGCTCTTCCTTGATTTCAGGGATGCCAGGTCAGCCCTTGATTTCACGGATGCCAGGTCAGCTCTTCCTTGATTTCAGGGATGCCAAGTCAGCTTGTTTGGCATTTCAAGGCTACCACATAACTGAGAGATTTCCCCTGCCCTGTGTATGCTATGCTTGTTCTCCTCGAGCAACTGGCTGAATGGTCCCTCGCCTATAATCTTACCCCAATTCTTCCAGTGCGTCAAGCCCCGCGCCTGTGGGCTTGCCCCAATCTTCCGGTGCCGGTTTTTTGTAGACGCCTCAAAGTCTTGCTCCATTGTGCCGGTGCTGAATGAATTCTGTGCTTGTGGCGTCCTCTTTTCCCCTCTTCACCTCTCCCCGACTCTCCCTTGTTTCCTCTCCTCTTCCCATCTTCCCTCTTGCCCTGTCCCCCGTTATCCTCTTATCCCCGTATCAACTTCCCTTTGAGCCTCTCAGAACGAGGGACATGGCAGCGCTGTGCATTCGGCAGTTCAAGGCCAACGTGCATGAGAAGGTGTGTGGGGAGTGTGGAGGTGAGAGAGGGAGTGAGATGTGGAGGTGAGGATGGGTGGGATGCTGAGAGGAGAGTGTGGAGGTGAAGGGTGCATCAGGAATTGGCTGAACCAGAGAATGGGGACAAGGAGGTAGAGGAGGGAGAACCCAGGGAGAAACAAAGTGTGAAAGGAGTTTAGTTGCCCTCTTCATTACATCGTTCGGAGTTCTTGGCGGCAGCTGCGTGATCATTCATACTACCCTTCCTTCTTGCCCTTGACTCATTTCCTTTCCTGTTTCCTACCCTTCCTTCTTGCCCTTGACTCATTTCCTTTCCTGTTTCCTACCCTTCCTTCTTGCCCTTGACTCATTTCCTTTCCTGTTTCCTACCCTTCCTTCTTGCCCTTGACTCATTTCCTTTCCTGTTTCCTACCCTTCCTTCTTGCCCTTGACTCATTTCCTTTCCTGTTTCCTACCCTTCCTTCTTGCCCTTGACTCATTTCCTTTCCTGTTTCCTACCCTTCCTTCTTGCCCTTGACTCATTTCCTTTCCTGTTTCCTACCCTTCCTTCTTGCCCTTGACTCATTTCCTTTCCTGTTTCCTACCCTTCCTTCTTGCCCTTGACTCATTTCCTTTCCTGTTTCCTACCCTTCCTTCTTGCCCTTGACTCATTTCCTTTCCTGTTTCCTACCCTTCCTTCTTGCCCTTGACTCATTTCCTTTCCTGTTTCCTACCCTTCCTTCTTGCCCTTGACTCATTTCCTTTCCTGTTTCCTACCCTTCCTTCTTGCCCTTGACTCATTTCCTTTCCTGTTTCCTACCCTTCCTTCTTGCCCTTGACTCATTTCCTTTCCTGTTTCCTACCCTTCCTTCTTGCCCTTGACTCATTTCCTTTCCTGTTTCCTACCCTTCCTTCTTGCCCTTGACTCATTTCCTTTCCTGTTTCCTACCCTTCCTTCTTGCCCTTGACTCATTTCCTTTCCTGTTTCCTACCCTTCCTTCTTGCCCTTGACTCATTTCCTTTCCTGTTTCCTACCCTTCCTTCTTGCCCTTGACTCATTTCCTTTCCTGTTTCCTACCCTTCCTTCTTGCCCTTGACTCATTTCCTTTCCTGTTTCCTACCCTTCCTTCTTGCCCTTGACTCATTTCCTTTCCTGTTTCCTACCCTTCCTTCTTGCCCTTGACTCATTTCCTTTCCTGTTTCCTACCCTTCCTTCTTGCCCTTGACTCATTTCCTTTCCTGTTTCCTACCCTTCCTTCTTGCCCTTGACTCATTTCCTTTCCTGTTTCCTACCCTTCCTTCTTGCCCTTGACTCATTTCCTTTCCTGTTTCCTACCCTTCCTTCTTGCCCTTGACTCATTTCCTTTCCTGTTTCCTACCCTTCCTTCTTGCCCTTGACTCATTTCCTTTCCTGTTTCCTACCCTTCCTTCTTGCCCTTGACTCATTTCCTTTCCTGTTTCCTACCCTTCCTTCTTGCCCTTGACTCATTTCCTTTCCTGTTTCCTACCCTTCCTTCTTGCCCTTGACTCATTTCCTTTCCTGTTTCCTACCCTTCCTTCTTGCCCTTGACTCATTTCCTTTCCTGTTTCCTACCCTTCCTTCTTGCCCTTGACTCATTTCCTTTCCTGTTTCCTACCCTTCCTTCTTGCCCTTGACTCATTTCCTTTCCTGTTTCCTACCCTTCCTTCTTGCCCTTGACTCATTTCCTTTCCTGTTTCCTACCCTTCCTTCTTGCCCTTGACTCATTTCCTTTCCTGTTTCCTACCCTTCCTTCTTGCCCTTGACTCATTTCCTTTCCTGTTTCCTACCCTTCCTTCTTGCCCTTGACTCATTTCCTTTCCTGTTTCCTACCCTTCCTTCTTGCCCTTGACTCATTTCCTTTCCTGTTTCCTACCCTTCCTTCTTGCCCTTGACTCATTTCCTTTCCTGTTTCCTACCCTTCCTTCTTGCCCTTGACTCATTTCCTTTCCTGTTTCCTACCCTTCCTTCTTGCCCTTGACTCATTTCCTTTCCTGTTTCCTACCCTTCCTTCTTGCCCTTGACTCATTTCCTTTCCTGTTTCCTACCCTTCCTTCTTGCCCTTGACTCATTTCCTTTCCTGTTTCCTACCCTTCCTTCTTGCCCTTGACTCATTTCCTTTCCTGTTTCCTACCCTTCCTTCTTGCCCTTGACTCATTTCCTTTCCTGTTTCCTACCCTTCCTTCTTGCCCTTGACTCATTTCCTTTCCTGTTTCCTACCCTTCCTTCTTGCCCTTGACTCATTTCCTTTCCTGTTTCCTACCCTTCCTTCTTGCCCTTGACTCATTTCCTTTCCTGTTTCCTACCCTTCCTTCTTGCCCTTGACTCATTTCCTTTCCTGTTTCCTACCCTTCCTTCTTGCCCTTGACTCATTTCCTTTCCTGTTTCCTACCCTTCCTTCTTGCCCTTGACTCATTTCCTTTCCTGTTTCCTACCCTTCCTTCTTGCCCTTGACTCATTTCCTTTCCTGTTTCCTACCCTTCCTTCTTGCCCTTGACTCATTTCCTTTCCTGTTTCCTACCCTTCCTTCTTGCCCTTGACTCATTTCCTTTCCTGTTTCCTACCCTTCCTTCTTGCCCTTGACTCATTTCCTTTCCTGTTTCCTACCCTTCCTTCTTGCCCTTGACTCATTTCCTTTCCTGTTTCCTACCCTTCCTTCTTGCCCTTGACTCATTTCCTTTCCTGTTTCCTACCCTTCCTTCTTGCCCTTGACTCATTTCCTTTCCTGTTTCCTACCCTTCCTTCTTGCCCTTGACTCATTTCCTTTCCTGTTTCCTACCCTTCCTTCTTGCCCTTGACTCATTTCCTTTCCTGTTTCCTACCCTTCCTTCTTGCCCTTGACTCATTTCCTTTCCTGTTTCCTACCCTTCCTTCTTGCCCTTGACTCATTTCCTTTCCTGTTTCCTACCCTTCCTTCTTGCCCTTGACTCATTTCCTTTCCTGTTTCCTACCCTTCCTTCTTGCCCTTGACTCATTTCCTTTCCTGTTTCCTACCCTTCCTTCTTGCCCTTGACTCATTTCCTTTCCTGTTTCCTACCCTTCCTTCTTGCCCTTGACTCATTTCCTTTCCTGTTTCCTACCCTTCCTTCTTGCCCTTGACTCATTTCCTTTCCTGTTTCCTACCCTTCCTTCTTGCCCTTGACTCATTTCCTTTCCTGTTTCCTACCCTTCCTTCTTGCCCTTGACTCATTTCCTTTCCTGTTTCCTACCCTTCCTTCTTGCCCTTGACTCATTTCCTTTCCTGTTTCCTACCCTTCCTTCTTGCCCTTGACTCATTTCCTTTCCTGTTTCCTACCCTTCCTTCTTGCCCTTGACTCATTTCCTTTCCTGTTTCCTACCCTTCCTTCTTGCCCTTGACTCATTTCCTTTCCTGTTTCCTACCCTTCCTTCTTGCCCTTGACTCATTTCCTTTCCTGTTTCCTACCCTTCCTTCTTGCCCTTGACTCATTTCCTTTCCTGTTTCCTACCCTTCCTTCTTGCCCTTGACTCATTTCCTTTCCTGTTTCCTACCCTTCCTTCTTGCCCTTGACTCATTTCCTTTCCTGTTTCCTACCCTTCCTTCTTGCCCTTGACTCATTTCCTTTCCTGTTTCCTACCCTTCCTTCTTGCCCTTGACTCATTTCCTTTCCTGTTTCCTACCCTTCCTTCTTGCCCTTGACTCATTTCCTTTCCTGTTTCCTACCCTTCCTTCTTGCCCTTGACTCATTTCCTTTCCTGTTTCCTACCCTTCCTTCTTGCCCTTGACTCATTTCCTTTCCTGTTTCCTACCCTTCCTTCTTGCCCTTGACTCATTTCCTTTCCTGTTTCCTACCCTTCCTTCTTGCCCTTGACTCATTTCCTTTCCTGTTTCCTACCCTTCCTTCTTGCCCTTGACTCATTTCCTTTCCTGTTTCCTACCCTTCCTTCTTGCCCTTGACTCATTTCCTTTCCTGTTTCCTACCCTTCCTTCTTGCCCTTGACTCATTTCCTTTCCTGTTTCCTACCCTTCCTTCTTGCCCTTGACTCATTTCCTTTCCTGTTTCCTACCCTTCCTTCTTGCCCTTGACTCATTTCCTTTCCTGTTTCCTACCCTTCCTTCTTGCCCTTGACTCATTTCCTTTCCTGTTTCCTACCCTTCCTTCTTGCCCTTGACTCATTTCCTTTCCTGTTTCCTACCCTTCCTTCTTGCCCTTGACTCATTTCCTTTCCTGTTTCCTACCCTTCCTTCTTGCCCTTGACTCATTTCCTTTCCTGTTTCCTACCCTTCCTTCTTGCCCTTGACTCATTTCCTTTCCTGTTTCCTACCCTTCCTTCTTGCCCTTGACTCATTTCCTTTCCTGTTTCCTACCCTTCCTTCTTGCCCTTGACTCATTTCCTTTCCTGTTTCCTACCCTTCCTTCTTGCCCTTGACTCATTTCCTTTCCTGTTTCCTACCCTTCCTTCTTGCCCTTGACTCATTTCCTTTCCTGTTTCCTACCCTTCCTTCTTGCCCTTGACTCATTTCCTTTCCTGTTTCCTACCCTTCCTTCTTGCCCTTGACTCATTTCCTTTCCTGTTTCCTACCCTTCCTTCTTGCCCTTGACTCATTTCCTTTCCTGTTTCCTACCCTTCCTTCTTGCCCTTGACTCATTTCCTTTCCTGTTTCCTACCCTTCCTTCTTGCCCTTGACTCATTTCCTTTCCTGTTTCCTACCCTTCCTTCTTGCCCTTGACTCATTTCCTTTCCTGTTTCCTACCCTTCCTTCTTGCCCTTGACTCATTTCCTTTCCTGTTTCCTACCCTTCCTTCTTGCCCTTGACTCATTTCCTTTCCTGTTTCCTACCCTTCCTTCTTGCCCTTGACTCATTTCCTTTCCTGTTTCCTACCCTTCCTTCTTGCCCTTGACTCATTTCCTTTCCTGTTTCCTACCCTTCCTTCTTGCCCTTGACTCATTTCCTTTCCTGTTTCCTACCCTTCCTTCTTGCCCTTGACTCATTTCCTTTCCTGTTTCCTACCCTTCCTTCTTGCCCTTGACTCATTTCCTTTCCTGTTTCCTACCCTTCCTTCTTGCCCTTGACTCATTTCCTTTCCTGTTTCCTACCCTTCCTTCTTGCCCTTGACTCATTTCCTTTCCTGTTTCCTACCCTTCCTTCTTGCCCTTGACTCATTTCCTTTCCTGTTTCCTACCCTTCCTTCTTGCCCTTGACTCATTTCCTTTCCTGTTTCCTACCCTTCCTTCTTGCCCTTGACTCATTTCCTTTCCTGTTTCCTACCCTTCCTTCTTGCCCTTGACTCATTTCCTTTCCTGTTTCCTACCCTTCCTTCTTGCCCTTGACTCATTTCCTTTCCTGTTTCCTACCCTTCCTTCTTGCCCTTGACTCATTTCCTTTCCTGTTTCCTACCCTTCCTTCTTGCCCTTGACTCATTTCCTTTCCTGTTTCCTACCCTTCCTTCTTGCCCTTGACTCATTTCCTTTCCTGTTTCCTACCCTTCCTTCTTGCCCTTGACTCATTTCCTTTCCTGTTTCCTACCCTTCCTTCTTGCCCTTGACTCATTTCCTTTCCTGTTTCCTACCCTTCCTTCTTGCCCTTGACTCATTTCCTTTCCTGTTTCCTACCCTTCCTTCTTGCCCTTGACTCATTTCCTTTCCTGTTTCCTACCCTTCCTTCTTGCCCTTGACTCATTTCCTTTCCTGTTTCCTACCCTTCCTTCTTGCCCTTGACTCATTTCCTTTCCTGTTTCCTACCCTTCCTTCTTGCCCTTGACTCATTTCCTTTCCTGTTTCCTACCCTTCCTTCTTGCCCTTGACTCATTTCCTTTCCTGTTTCCTACCCTTCCTTCTTGCCCTTGACTCATTTCCTTTCCTGTTTCCTACCCTTCCTTCTTGCCCTTGACTCATTTCCTTTCCTGTTTCCTACCCTTCCTTCTTGCCCTTGACTCATTTCCTTTCCTGTTTCCTACCCTTCCTTCTTGCCCTTGACTCATTTCCTTTCCTGTTTCCTACCCTTCCTTCTTGCCCTTGACTCATTTCCTTTCCTGTTTCCTACCCTTCCTTCTTGCCCTTGACTCATTTCCTTTCCTGTTTCCTACCCTTCCTTCTTGCCCTTGACTCATTTCCTTTCCTGTTTCCTACCCTTCCTTCTTGCCCTTGACTCATTTCCTTTCCTGTTTCCTACCCTTCCTTCTTGCCCTTGACTCATTTCCTTTCCTGTTTCCTACCCTTCCTTCTTGCCCTTGACTCATTTCCTTTCCTGTTTCCTACCCTTCCTTCTTGCCCTTGACTCATTTCCTTTCCTGTTTCCTACCCTTCCTTCTTGCCCTTGACTCATTTCCTTTCCTGTTTCCTACCCTTCCTTCTTGCCCTTGACTCATTTCCTTTCCTGTTTCCTACCCTTCCTTCTTGCCCTTGACTCATTTCCTTTCCTGTTTCCTACCCTTCCTTCTTGCCCTTGACTCATTTCCTTTCCTGTTTCCTACCCTTCCTTCTTGCCCTTGACTCATTTCCTTTCCTGTTTCCTACCCTTCCTTCTTGCCCTTGACTCATTTCCTTTCCTGTTTCCTACCCTTCCTTCTTGCCCTTGACTCATTTCCTTTCCTGTTTCCTACCCTTCCTTCTTGCCCTTGACTCATTTCCTTTCCTGTTTCCTACCCTTCCTTCTTGCCCTTGACTCATTTCCTTTCCTGTTTCCTACCCTTCCTTCTTGCCCTTGACTCATTTCCTTTCCTGTTTCCTACCCTTCCTTCTTGCCCTTGACTCATTTCCTTTCCTGTTTCCTACCCTTCCTTCTTGCCCTTGACTCATTTCCTTTCCTGTTTCCTACCCTTCCTTCTTGCCCTTGACTCATTTCCTTTCCTGTTTCCTACCCTTCCTTCTTGCCCTTGACTCATTTCCTTTCCTGTTTCCTACCCTTCCTTCTTGCCCTTGACTCATTTCCTTTCCTGTTTCCTACCCTTCCTTCTTGCCCTTGACTCATTTCCTTTCCTGTTTCCTACCCTTCCTTCTTGCCCTTGACTCATTTCCTTTCCTGTTTCCTACCCTTCCTTCTTGCCCTTGACTCATTTCCTTTCCTGTTTCCTACCCTTCCTTCTTGCCCTTGACTCATTTCCTTTCCTGTTTCCTACCCTTCCTTCTTGCCCTTGACTCATTTCCTTTCCTGTTTCCTACCCTTCCTTCTTGCCCTTGACTCATTTCCTTTCCTGTTTCCTACCCTTCCTTCTTGCCCTTGACTCATTTCCTTTCCTGTTTCCTACCCTTCCTTCTTGCCCTTGACTCATTTCCTTTCCTGTTTCCTACCCTTCCTTCTTGCCCTTGACTCATTTCCTTTCCTGTTTCCTACCCTTCCTTCTTGCCCTTGACTCATTTCCTTTCCTGTTTCCTACCCTTCCTTCTTGCCCTTGACTCATTTCCTTTCCTGTTTCCTACCCTTCCTTCTTGCCCTTGACTCATTTCCTTTCCTGTTTCCTACCCTTCCTTCTTGCCCTTGACTCATTTCCTTTCCTGTTTCCTACCCTTCCTTCTTGCCCTTGACTCATTTCCTTTCCTGTTTCCTACCCTTCCTTCTTGCCCTTGACTCATTTCCTTTCCTGTTTCCTACCCTTCCTTCTTGCCCTTGACTCATTTCCTTTCCTGTTTCCTACCCTTCCTTCTTGCCCTTGACTCATTTCCTTTCCTGTTTCCTACCCTTCCTTCTTGCCCTTGACTCATTTCCTTTCCTGTTTCCTACCCTTCCTTCTTGCCCTTGACTCATTTCCTTTCCTGTTTCCTACCCTTCCTTCTTGCCCTTGACTCATTTCCTTTCCTGTTTCCTACCCTTCCCCCATACCCCTGACTCATTTCCTCGTATTTCCTTTTTCTTCCTCCCTTCTCAGGGTTCCTCTCGGAAGGGTCTTGGTTGGCTCGGGATAAAAAAGCCATGAGCCCTTTGATAGCTACAGCTGTTTGCATTTCCAAACAAGCTTCTTTTCTGCAGTATGCAATGTGATTATTTTTCTTTCCAGATTTGTCGCATAATTTATTGCCGTTTGTATAGAAGTCCTAACTGAGGATGCACTAGCATCTGTTTTGCATTGTGCATACTTATGTTAAGGGGGGAACAGACTACAGCCATTTTGGTTCAGAAACAACTACTCCCTGCATTTTCTGAGCACTAAGCAAACCCGGTTGAAGTTGGAATTTTGTCAAACATATCGGAACATTAGGTGAGCATCAATGTTAGCAGCCCGGAATCTCGTTATTAGGTTATTCGCAGATCCTCGCCCAGATTGTACTGCAGTGATTCCGGCGTGACACACTCATTTAGTTGTCTGACGTGTCAACGCGAAGACCCACATAATTCAATCAGTTCAAAAGGACTTCCGAAGCGCACAGAATTGGCGCGAGATTTCAAATTTCACGAATCGCTTGAAACAGCCAATCCAGCCAGCTATATTTCCCGCGCAATCGCAACAGCACCAGTCTCGAACAAACTGGTAGTCCATGACGGGGGTTCAGTCTTCTTTCAGAACCTACCGAACCACTCATTGTCATTAAGAAACCATTTTGAAAAGACAAAGAATCTTATTAAACTGTAGCAAGAATGAGATAGGAGAGCACCAACACAAGCAGCCATTTCCGCCATTCCTCTCCTTCACTTCGAAGCGTGCGCTCTGCTAGGTAACGACCTACGAGTGGCAGACACAGTCGTTTCTATTCTAATGCGAATGCGGCTTTTTTGCCCTGTTTCTTCATTCTAGTTCGCCGTTCTCGAAGCTCTTTCTGTTGATTTCGAGTGGCTTCTGAAAACTGTAAAGGCGAGCATCCGTGAATCTGCATCCCTGCTGGTCACGTCATCTTGGTGACGACTCCTTGCCATCACATTAGAGCGTAGTAAGAAAGTCTTTTACAATCACTATATTGAGGGAAGTAATTTGTAACCATGACAGGCCATGAGAACTCTCAAAATGGGAAGAAGGCTCGCAGAAGCCCCGGCCCGCTGAAAGACGGGCAGTTGAAAGACGGGCCGTCCAAATCCTCCGCCTTTTCCAGCCCTCAGCAGTCTGTTCCCTTCGCTGCTAACAACTCCGCAACTACCGCCGCGATTCCCGGCGTGAATTCCGCTCACACTGCCTCTCCACTTCCCGCTCCCCTCGCCGTTCCAACCCTATCTTCTTCGAAAGAGAACGAGCAACCTACGACGCACTTCTCCTCTCTCTCCTCTCCTCGCTCCCTCTCACCCTTCACTACACCCTCTCCTGCCGTCTCTGCCGTCTCCACGCCTGCTACAACCCCGACGCCGTCTCTTCCGGCCCGCCGAGCCGCCTCTCCGGCCCGCAGACGCTCTCTGGGAAAGAGCACTTCGTGCGGCGTGTCCAACGGCGTTTCCAGCGGCGCTACCGCCGGGTCCGCCGCGAGCGGCGGCGGCGGCGGCGGTGCGGCGAGCCCGGGGAGTCTCTTCCCCGGCGGCGGCGGCGGCGGCGGCAGTGACGGCGTAGGCAGCGGGACGTGCAGCCCCGGGCAGTTTAACTATTTTATCGTGGAAAGCCCGTCCGCGCAGCAGCCATCGTCGCAGTCGCAGTCGCACGACCAGTCGCACGGGCAGCCGCCGCGTCGCCACAGCGGTCGCGTGGAGAGGTCGTCGCCGTCGCAGATGACTCTGGCGAAGGCGAAGCGCAGCCTCAGTCTTAACTCCTCGCGAGTCGAGGGCGCTCTTAACTCCGCGGCGCTCAATCCGCTCTTCGAAGTCCTCGCCGGCGCGCCGCGCTCCCCCGAATCGGCTGCGCGCCGCGACTTCGCGCCCGGCTCCGGCGGAAAGGCGGCCGCTTACGGCAAGCATGCGGCGGATCTGACGGCGTGGAGTGCGGACGTGGCGGCGGCTGCTGCCGCTGCGGTGGCGACGGCGCCAGCGGCAACGCCAACGGCAGCGGCTGTGGCTGCATATGCTGCGCCGAAAGCGGAGGCGGAACGTGTAGCGAGAGACGAGGGGGAAGAGGAGGCCGAGGATGCGGAAGCGGGGGAAGATGGGGGCCATAAGGCGGGCGCGGAGAAGGGAGGGGAAGGGAGCATGGCGAATGGGAGTGCGCAGCTGGCGAGCGGGGAAAGCGAGGCGGAGAAGGAAGGTGGGATCGCAGAAATGGAGGAAATGGAGGAAGAAGGGAGCAAGGGCAAAGATAAGGAGAATGACAAGGCGAAGAGCAAGGAGAATGAGGAGGCGAACAGCAAGGAGAATGAGAAGGAGGAGGATGATGAGAATCAGGCTGGGGCGGAAACAAGGCTCGACGGGGCAGTCGCTGACGTGGCGAAGGTTGCTGACGCTGACGCGGGGGATGCGGTGAGGCACCGGTCACGCCATCGCCACCACCACGACCGCGACGCGCATCACCAGCAACAGCAGCGCCGCCACCACAGTCGCCACGAGGCCCGCAGCGGCGACAGCAGTAGCGGCGGGCGCAGCAGCAGCACCCGCGGAAGCAGCTGGCCCCGCGCGGGCGGAATCCTCCGCGCGCTCTGCGCGGTTGTGCTCTCCGCCGCCCTCTTCCTCTCCGCCCACCGCCCCCTCTCCGCGCTCTCTCCTGCACTTTCCTTCCTCGAACCTGCCGAGCAGGTCTGGAAGACGTACCTCTCTGCCGTACCTGGAGCCTGGTTCGGCAATGGTGAAGGGGACGCTGGTTCCAGGCTCGGAACCAGGCTTGGAAACGGCTGGAAGGCCGTTGCAGGCCGAACCTCGGTGCTGTGGGAAGCAAACGAGCATCAACCAATGGGAGCGTTTGAAGGGATGAGCTGGGCGGCATTGGTTGGTGGGAGGCGAAGCGGAGAGAAGGAAGAGGCGGCTGGTTTGACTAGAGATGATGTTGCGACAGTTGGTCTCGGTATTTCAAATTCTGACGTTTCTTCTGAAGAGGAGGAGGAGGAGGCAGGCTTCGCCTCTCCGGACTCCCTGAAAACCAGCTCCGATTGGGTTGTGCAGCAGCAGCAGCAGGTGCAGCCGGTGGTGGTTGCGGTTACCGCGGGAGAAGTGGCAGGCATGGTTACGGCGAAGCAAGCTGAGCTGGTTACGCAGCAACCAGGGGATGAGAGGGTTGAAGAGCAAGAGGGTGCTGCGGCTGCTGTGGTTGTTTCGACCGGAGTGGACGGGAAGGAAGGCGACGAGGGGATTATTTCGACTGCTGGTGGAAGTGGCACTGTGAAGGCTTGTGACGCTGCTGACGTGGAATATGCTGGCGTGGAAAACGCTGACCTGGAAGACGCTGACGTGGAAGACGCTGACACGAAAGATGCTGAGGCTTCTTCTGAGGAGGTTGAGTCTGATATCGTGGAGCCAGCAGCGCGTGACTGCTCTTCTGCTTCAGCTGCTGTCTGTCCTGCCGACGCCGCTGCCACTGCCACAGCTGCTGCCACTGACACTGGCACTGCCACTGCCACGGCTGCCGCCACTGCTGCGCAAGAGGCTGTAGCGCCACTGGAAGCCAGCGCTACAGCCGACCTTGCTGCAGCTACAACCGCCACTGCTACACACGTCGCTGCTACAGCTGCCGCTGTTACGGCTGATGAGGTGAGGGAGGCAAGGGTTCTTCCAGGGGCGGAGGAGATGTTGTGGGAGGCAGAGGAGGAGGAGCAACAGCTTGAATCAGTGTTTACAGGTGATGCTACAGCTGCCGCTGCTACAGCCGCCGATGCTACAGCTGCCGCTGCTACAGCCGCCGATGCTACAGCCGCCGATGCTACACCTATCACTTCTACAGCCGGTGAGACAGAGCAGGGTACGTCCCTGCCAGAGGCGGAGGAGATGGCATGGGCATTAGAGGAGGCGGAACAGCAACGGCTGGCAGCGCAGCAGCAGCAGCAGCAGATGCTGCTGGTAGCTGCTGGTGTGGTGGTCGGGGTGGTGGCTGCTGCTGCCGCTGTAACCACCACTGCTTTCCGGCGCTCCACCAAAGCAGCAGGAGAGTCAGTCCCAGGTGCGTCTCACCCGCTTGCTTCACACCCTACTGCCTCTCATGGCGTCTCTGCGCGTGCTGGATCCCACGCTACGTCCCTTGGCGGGTCGCTCGGTGGGTCGCAACTGCAAGCGGCGGCGCCCTCTGCTTCAGCAGGCGCGCGCAGGCAGAGCTTCAGTGGCCAGTCCTGGGGTGCTGCCGCTGGTGCTGGCACTGGCGCTGCTGCTAGTGGTGGTGCTGCTGCTGTTAGTGGTGGTGGGAACGGCAGCTTCATGCACCCCCAGCAGCTGCAGCAGCAGCAGCACCAGCAATGGCAAGCACTGGCAGTGAGCGGAGCAGGACGGGTGGATGCAGGCTGGACACTCAGCGAGGGTGCTAGGCTCGGCAGGACTGCCGGACCTGGATTCAGCTCCGGTAATGCTGGTGCCTGTGCCGCTGCTGCTGCCAGGCCTGCAGGCTCGGCGATCTCGGGGCTGAGGCTCGGGAATCAAGGCATGGACTCGGTCTGTGAGAGCACGAGCAACTACTATGGGCCGATGGGGATCAGAGGGGGAGGGGGGGGAAGACAGCAGCAACAGCAGCAGAGGGAGCAAGTGCTGCAGGCGCAGCAGCAGCAGTGGGATCAGATGAAAATGGGGTGGCAGGCCGGGGCAACGTGCGGAAGCGTGGGCGGAGGCATGGCCGGGGGCGCTGGCGGAGCCATGGGCGGAGGCATGGGCGGAAGCATGGGCGGAAGTATGGGCGGACATAGCCCCGTGGGGATGGCGCAGATGGTGGCTGTGGGGGATGTGCTGGTGGCGGTGGGGGGCGATGGGGAGGGGGAGGGGGGCGCGCAGGGAGCAACGGGGTCACCAGGGGGGTACGGACGGTATAACGCATTTAAGCCCGTGTTGGTGCGAGAGGTGAGTTGAGCTGTGTGTGGGCCTGTGGGCCTGTGAGTGTGAGGCTGTGAGGGAAAGGGGTAACCAGGGCAGGCGAGGGGGTACGGTACGATGCGTTCAAGCCCGTGGTGGTGAGAGAGGTGAGTCGTGCTGTGTGGCTTGTGAGGGTGTGAGGGTGCAAGGGTGTGAGGTTGTGAGGTGATGCGGACGCGCAGGGAGCAGCGGGGTCGCCAGGAGGGTACGGACTTTTGAGGCGCTTCAAAACCGCGTGAACTGAGACGATTTTTGAGGCGCCTCACAAATCGGGAGCAGCGGGGTCGCCAGGAGGGTACGGGCGGTACAACGCGTTTAAGCCCGTGCTAGTGCGAGAGGTGAGTCGTGGTGTTAATTACTCAGGTTGTGAGGCTGCGAGGCTGTAAGGGGATGGAGTCGCCAGGCCAAGAGGGTACGGGCGGTACAACGCGTTTAAGCCCGTGGTGGTGAGAGAGGTGAGTCTGATGCTGTGAGATTGTGTGAGGCTGTGTGGGTATTGGGGTCGCCAGGAGGGTAGGGACGGTACAACGCATTCAAGCCCGTGGTGGTGCGAGAGGTGAGTTAGTCGTAGCTACAGTCCTGATGGCCGTCAGTGCTGCCGCTCCCCCTCTCCTCTTCCAGAGCCTATTCCAAAACCACACATCCTTGTCTCCATTGCCCTTCCTCTCCCTCCGTCTTCTAACCACAGGGATCAGAGCAGCAGGTGGTGCTGACACCAGTCAAGCGCTCCAGCCGCCTGCGCATGGCCGTCAGTGGTGTCACTCCCCCTCTCCTCCGCCACTTCCTTTCCAGAAACATCCACCCCCTCCCGTCCCCATTATCCCCTTCCCTCCCCCTATTGCAGGGATCAGAGCAGCAGGTGGTGTTGACGCCAGTCTAGCGCTCCAGCTGTCTCCGCATGGCCGTCAGTGGCGCCACTCCCTCCTCTGCAAGAGCCTTTTCCAGACCAAACCACACATTCTTGCCCTTCCTCTCCGTCCGCCTTTGAACTGCAGGGATCAGAGCAGCAAGTGGTGCTGACGCCAGTCAAGCGCTCCAGCCGCCTCCGCATGGCCATCAGTGGCGCCACTCCCTCTGTCAGCGCATTCTCCCAGCCCACCAGCAGCTATGCTGGCGGGGGAATCAACCACGGTGTCGTCAACCGGCCTTGAAAGGTTGTGCTGGGGTAGTTAGGTTACTTTACATCACACCATCCGTGCGTGTAGTATTCGCTCTTATACCAGTTCGCATGGCCATCAGTGACGGCAGCGGCATTAGTCCCTCGGCCAGGGCCCCCTCCCACTCAGCCCACAATGGAGGCGGCCCTTTGTGCGTTATAGTATTCGCTCTTATACCAGCTTGCATGGCCGTCAGTGACGGTGGCAGCGTTACTCCCTCTGCCAGGACCCTCCCACCCAGCCCACAATGGAGGTGGCCCTGATGTTACTGTTAGGTGCTTAGTACCGCGCATGCTAATGCGCATTTCTAGTAAGTACGGTAGGAGTTGCCTTTGTGCAGTCTAGGTTTTGTTGCTAGGACAGGACATCGCTTGCTTTTGAGACATCTCAAAAGCATTTTGCTGTTACAGACTTTCCTTGCTATATAGTGCAATAAATACTACGATTACGGTACTGTAGTTTTGTGGATATAGTGTAACAAGTTTGAAATTGCAGTTTCTTCTGCGACTGAGTATTTTGTAATACAACTACCCGGACAAGGTCTGTCTATGATTTGGTATGGAGTTAACAGGTTACCTAACAACGCAGATGTGACACCTGGAAATGAGATTGGGTTGGGTGCGGTGCGGGCTGGGAAAGGAAATGGTTGAAGATGAAGCAAGCAGGAGCCTCGGTGGTTGTTGGGACGGGTCGTGCATGTACGCGATACAATTCAGACCTTGTACAGAATTGAAAACCGCAAGGCGGAACCATTGAGCGTAGAGTGGGCGTAAGGTGGTTGGTGGGTGTAGAGTGTTTTGAAGTCGGCAACAGTTCCATTGAGGGGAGTCAGAATGGCAAGCAACCTTCCCATTACCTACAAGGTAAGTTGACTTGACCATTATCATTTGCAAATGCTAATTCTTGCATTGCCATAATTTGGATTGAAGGAGAACACAACCAGTATTCGGTTTAACGGCTATCCTCATTTCTATATCCAAACAACCCCCAGAACCAACCCATGAAGGTCGGCTCGTTCAGGCTCGGAGGTCGTATATACCCATCTTCAGGGTCGGACGTTAGGTTCGGGAAAGTCCGAACCACAGTCCGAGCCGAATTCAGCACTTCATAGTCAACTATAACCTGCATGTACGGGTCGAAAGCAGGTTCGGAGACTCCCAACATCTCCACATATACGTCGAACCACGGAGTGCCTTGGTGCCAGAGGTGCTCAAAGTCCTCTAAACGGTACAGCTTGTAAAGGGTACGAAGAGGGTCAAAGAACCCTGGGGTTCTCTCGTTTGTGGCGATGTACAGTGTGCGTCCTGGTGCAACGAATCTGGGAAGCTTCTTCAAGAGCCTAGAGGAGGAGGAGGGGGGGCCAGCGAACAAGAGCAGGGGGGAGAGGAGAAGGGGGGCCGGGGTGGGGAAAGAAGTGAGTGCAAAGGAGAAGAGTGTCGTCCAGGTGCAACGAATCTGGGAAGCTTCTTCAAGAGCCTGGAGGGAGGTAGGGGTGGGGGAATTGAGAGACAAGTGAGTGCACATATGTACACACACTGGGCTGGGCACGAACAATGTTGGGGGCAGTGGGGGCAGTGGGGGGCAGCGGGGGCAGTGGGGGAAGTGGGGGAAGTGGGGGGCAGCGGGGGCAGTGGGGGCAGTGGGGGAACCAGCAGCAAGCAACACTCACGCGGGGGGTCGTGTGTCGCGGTCCAGGTGCGGCCACCTGTCGGGCTTGAGCTTGTCCCCTCGCCTCACATGCAGTGAGCTCGTAGCATGCCTCCTTTGGGTCACATGGATGGCAGTGGGGGAACCAGCAGCAAGCAACACTCACGCGGGGGGTCTTGTGTCTTGGTCCCAATGCGGCCACCTATCAGGCTTGAGCTTGTCCCCTCGCCTCACATGCATCGAGTCGAGGGATGTGAGGCACCTCATGACAAGCATCGGTTGACTACCCAAGGGGACACTCACGCGGGGGGTCGTGTGTCTCGGTCGAGGTGCGGCCACCTGTCGGGCTTGAGCTTGTCTCCTCGCCTCACATGCACCGAGTCGAGGGATCTGAGGCACCTTATAACAGGCATACACCCCTACAGCAACACTCACGCAGTGGGTCGTGTGTCGCGGTCCAAATGCGGCCACCTGTCGGGCTTGAGCTTGTCTCCTCGCCTCACATGCACGGCATTGAGGGATCTGAGGCACCTAATAACACGCATTCACACCCCTACAAAAACACTCACGCGGGGGGTCGGGTGTCTCGGTCCAGGTGCGGCCACCTGTCGGGCTTGAGCTTGTCTCCTCGCCTCACATGCACGGCGTCATAATCCCCCCCACCCATCGCCCTCCCCATCTCTGCTGCCAATGCCAGCAGCTCTGGCCGGTGGCGAATGGCGCTGTGGTTGCTGGGAATGGGGTAGTCCCTCTGTCGGGGGGAAGGGGGAAAGAGGGGAAAAGTGGGGCGTGAGAAAGGGTTGGGCGATCATAATCCCCCCCACCCATCGCCCTCCCCATCTCTGCTGCCAGTGCCAGCAGCTCTGGCCGATGTCGTATGGCGCTGTGGTTGCTGGGAATGGGGTAGTCCTTCTGTTTGGGGGAGAAGAGGGTGAAGGAAAGGGGGTGAAGAGCGGAGAGAATGGGGTGCACGGGGAGGGAGTGGGCAAGTGGAATGGCAGTGCCAGCAGCTCTGGCCGATGCTGAGTGGCGCTGTGGTTGCTGGGAATGGGATAGTCCCTCTGTTCGGGGGGAGGCGGGAAAGTAGGGGGGAGGGAGGGAGAAAGAGGGGAACAAAGGGGTCGGCAGAGCGAGTGGGAATGGGGGTGCCAGCAGCTCTGGCCGATGGGATGCTGAATGACGCTGTGGTTGATGGGAATGGGGTAGTCCCTCTGTTGGAACCAGAAATGGGGGAGGAGGGGGAAAGGTGGCAGCCTCGGCTGATCCTTCTTGGCACTGTGGTTGCTCGGAATGGGGCAGTTCTTTTGGAGGAGAAAAAAGGTACAAGAGAGAGGGGTGATCGAGGGGGATTGCGGCAACTAAAGTGGCGGGTCCCCCGGCTGATACTGCTTCGCGCTGTGGTTGCTGGGAATGAAGTTGTCCTTTAGGAGGAAGGAGGGGGGTTAAGGAGAAAAAAGAGGAAGAGGAATAGGGTTGGACAAAGAGGCATAAGCCACTTGTCAAATAAAATCCATCATATCAAATCATCGTGTCAAATCGAATCCACCATATCAAATCCAATCCATCATTCCCCAACCCCATCATTTCCAATCTTAAAATGGTACATTGCTGCACGCACCTCATGGCGCGGCTTCGCGTGGAACGGGTTGAACTCGCACGCGGCAAAGCCGTAATTCACCGTCCGAATGATCAGCGCCGTGTCATCATCGCCCACTAGCCTTCATGTCCTTCGGGAGTCCTCAAACGCAGTCACCACACAACTCACCTCGTGGCGTGGCTTTGCGTGAAAAGGGTTGAACTCGCACGCGGCAAAGCCGTAATTCACCGTTCGAACGATCAGCGCCGTGTCATCATCGCCCACCAGTCTTCTTGTCCTCACGTGCGCGCCCACCACCCGCACAGGAAACCGCAGCGAACCTTCCTCCGCTGCCTTCCCGCCCTCCCCTTCCCCCTCCGCTTCCGCGAGTCTCCTGGCTACTGCTTCTCCTTCCGCTGCCCCGCCTGCACCTTCCGCCTCCCCCCAGTCTCCCCCCCCATCCCGCGTCCCCAGCCCCGCCTGCCATTTCTCCGCCTCCTCTAGAAAGCCTTGCAGGGGGGTGAAGCGGACGGCGCTGGGGGGAAACGGGGGAGGAAAAACGGGGGGAGGGGAAACAGGGGGATGAGGAAGGGGGGGATTGGGAAGGGGGGTTGGAGAGCGGGGCGGGTGAACCGTTCGGGCGTTATAGGATGAACACAAAATATTGCTTGGAAGGTGCTTATCACATGAATCATTCTCGTTATTAGACCTCCCGACAACGGAAAGGAGGTTTCGTGACCCTCACCAATATTCGCGGCATACCTCAGAGATGCAAGGTCGTAGTAGACATGGATGGGGTTAACTTGGAATTTTCCCTCGTTGTGCAGTCCATTAATGCACAACCCCATATCGAGTACGAGCGTTCGATTCAGAACCGCCGCCTCTGCGATTCTGCACGACAGGCTGCGATGAAAGTGGCGAATCCCCGCACAGAAGTCCCGGTGGCCGGTGACGAAAAGATACCGTCCGTTCGGATCGAAATAATCCTGACGGCTAACCGGCAGCCATCGCGTCTCCCACCACTTCGAATGGCCGCTTCCGGGTAGCAACACCCTACCGCGCGGCTGCAACAGCTTCTGGACCTCCGGCGAATCTAACGGCGAAAGAATCCGGCCGTTAATCGGGACGGTCACGGCCTCGAGCGCCTGTTTGACTCGAGCTTTCTTCGACATATGGAAAGAGCAAGGAACACCAAGTTTCCGACACCGCCTCTGTCGCCTCTTTCTCTCCTTCCTCTCCCTCTTCTTCTTCTTATTCTTCTTCTTCCCTTTCTCCGTTATCGCTTCAATCTCTCGCGACCCTGCGTCCCCTTCCCCCCGCCCCTGCTCCGCGTACCCTCCTTGGTACTCCCCCTCTTCTCCCCCTTCTGTAGTTCCGCCATCGCCTGCATTTTCACTTTCCGCCAGCTCCAACTCTCCCCCTTTTGATAAGTCCCCCACTCGTTCCGCTTCCCGGGAATTCCCGCGACTGTCGAAACCTTCCGCATTCCGCGCCGGATCCCCTTCCTCTTCCGCCCATCCGCTATCTTTCCGCGCCCACTCGATCCGCTCAATCGACTCACCTCCTTTCCCCTCACCCCTCCTAATGCCTCTTACACTATGTTCTCCCCCTTCCAGGGTTCGAAGTTCATCCTCGATAGAAGCCCAGCTTCGACCGACCATAATCGAATCTACCGCGTCGATCCCCGAATCGCCCGCCCCGTGGCCGCGCAGGATTGGCCAGCGCGCGAGAAGCACGGTTCCGAGAGCGAGAAGCAGGAGGGCCGGCAGCACGGGAAACCGGGAGGACAGCGGCAGCGGCACGGCAGCCTGCTTGTGCCCGACACGTGCCGCCGGCGGAGGCATCATCGCAGCAATGAAACCGCGACAATCCTAAATCTGTTGGACACGTGCCGTCAGAAAACGCCGAAAATGAGAGAGGGGGAGCGTGCCGCTTATTGGCGGGGCCGCCAGTAGTGACTTGAAAATTGCCAAGTAAGTAGGACGTTCGTTCCTTATTGAGTGACTAGATCCTTACAAGATCCACTAGATTATTACTACACCCCCGAAAGAACGCGATCATCAGGCGTCGATTCTGCGGACCCTGAATCCGTTCAGGAAATGTAACTGTTAAGTTGTCTTCCGCTGAGGCGTGCGCGCAGGCGGCTGGTTACCGACAAGAAAATAATTGATCTAGACTGCACGTACTACGGCTGTTGCTGCTGGAAACCGCCTGATTTGATGGATAGGCGATGACTTCATCTGGGTGCTACCACTGCATGAAGAACACGTATATTGCCAGAAGTAAAATTCGCCTACGGAAATGTGGCAACTGCTGAACAGCCTTTGGAGACGTCTCGAAAGCACTCTCATTTGCCTCAGGGCTCGCTTACTGCTTTGCTTAGCTGGTTGAAAGGCTTGCAAGAATTTGGCAGCGTACGATTGGTTGAACCCTACCTATTCCTACTTGACTGCTGCGGCCGGCGATCTGGAAACTCTCGGAAACTTAGTAACGCGGCACGGAATCCAGGCTCATGTCATACCAGTTACGAGACGGCATCTGGCGGTACAGGCGAGTGATGACGAAAATACAAAGGTGTCAGAATCAGAAAGCAGGGGAAGAGCGGGGTGGGTGGGGAGAGTTGAAGGTGTTTTGCTCCAGCCCGCATGCTTTGTCACAGACGCAGGGAGTGCTTGTGGAGTGCCCCCCACCACCTCTGACTGACCAGTGAGTGACCTGACCTGACCACTACCAGTCGCATCGCATCGCAATTCGCAATGTACTGCTGGCGAAATGAGACGATGTGGCGGGATGCGGTGCGGATTCTGGCAGCAACAGCCAGAGCGGCTCGCCCCACTGTTTTCACCCGACCCCGTTCGGACTTTCTGTTCGTGAATTCGCTTCGGGAGAATCGATCACGTTGGGTAATCGCCCACCGCACTGGCATAGATTCGGACGTGCAGTCGCGTTCCCGAAACCGCCAACCGAGAATTTTCTCTAATTCCTTATCGGGGTTGACTGCTGCGCGTACAACCCGATTTTCGGAGTTCGCACGTTCGGGCGATTTCCACGCTGCCGAAGCTCCTCGCGTCGCCTTCGGCATTTCCATCGCCAAACCTGCACCCAACCTCGCTCGCCCGAGGTTTCCTCCTAGCTAGGCTAACCTACATCAGTTCTCGCATTCATTGTATTCTCAGATTCATTCAGTCACAGTCTCGTTATTCGTTTACCTGCGCACTCTCTTTTACAACTCATAACACCTGGTATCAGAGCTACTTTCCTAGTTCACCCCGCTTTTCGAGGGTAGTTTGGTGGCATAGGGTGTGGTTGGTTTAGTGACTACACGACGGTTGGCTGCAGAGGTTGTTAACTCAACCCTGCCCGACTCCGATAGTTCGTGTTTTCACTTGCCGGGCGGCCACGGGTACCCAACTGCCCACCAGACGTAGTGCTAGAAACATGGATCAGGAGGCTGTTAACCGACTGATGGCGCAAGTGGCAGAAATGGCGAGGGGCATGGAATCGCTGCAAGCGGAAGTGACAACACTGAAGGAGGAAAACGCCGAGCTACGCCGGACGCGAGGTGAAGCGCGTCAGACGTCGCCTGTGGACGAAGGCGAGGGCAACAGTCAAGTGATGGGCAATCCTCTGGACGAGCTCACACGCGACTTCGAAGAAGAAGATAGGCAGCGAGCGGCGGCAGCGCCAGTTGCAGTTACGACGATCAAGATCAAGCCCGTCAACCCGCCCCCGTTTAATCCTACGGACAAGACGACTACAGTGAAGGGGTGGCTGTTCGGGGTTGAAGTCTTCTTCACTGCAGCCGGAGTTAATGACGATGCCACGCGCATTAATTACGCAGTCTCGCTTCTTCGAGGTGCAGCACTTGAATGGTGGCGCCGGACCTTGGAAACAGGGACGTCGACAGGTGTGACACATGCGGCAGACGGGACCTCTACAGTGGTTAATCAAGTTGCAGAACCGATCTTCGGTGTGACCAAGATACGCACATGGAAGGAGTGGGGCGCAGCCTTACGGGATCGCTTCGAGCACGTATCCGCCTCGGAGCAAGCTCGCATGAAGCTGCGTGCATGGTCGCAGATGGGATCTGTCCAAGACTACACGGCGTCATTTATGGGCTTCGCCGACCAAATCGATGACATGTCGGAAGCTGAGCGGTTGGATAAATACGTGAGCGGCCTTAAGTACGAGATACAGTTCGAAGTTCGCCGCAGCCGCCCGACATCGTTCCTCGAAGCAGTACGCGTGGCAGAGTCAACGGATGCGCTGATGCAGTACGCGAGAACGGCTTCCAGGGATGGGAGAGGTTTTCGTGGCCAGACCCATCGGGCCACAATCAACGCCGTCCATACACCCGACCGCCCTCCTAAGGGTCAGTGTTTCCGGTGTGGGAAGGTGGGTCACTGGAAGAACGAATGCAAGGAGAAAATGCCGCTGACAGAGAACGACAGGAAGGAGCAGGGAAATGGGAAGAGTCAGTAAGTAGCGGGCCCTTTACTGACTGTGCTCCGTCGCCCGAACACCACCATCCCCACCGAGTCGTGGTTCCGATTCATGCAATCGATCGCACTCGGCCGAATAACGGGGATAATCATGTGGATCACCCTGTGCTGGTCGCTGGCAAGGTGGGGAAACATCATTTGAAAATGTTCGTCGATGGAGGGGCCAGCCATAGCCTCTTCAACTTGGCGAGCGCAAAAAAATGCAACATGCAACTTGACAGGTGTCTGCCCGAAATCGACGCACGACTCGTGGATGGGACGCCTCTGGCGATAACGGAAGAAACACGGATGGTGCGGATCGAGTGCGGCGAAGATTTCGGCTTCAGCATGAAGTTCCTCGCGACGACGCTGGATGGCTGCGACGTGCTGCTGGGACGCGATTGGCTGCGACGACACAACCCTGTCATCAACTGGACAACGGGATCGTGCTGCGTCAGCAAGCACGAGGGGCTAATTAAGTTGCCTGCATGGACACCTGACTACATACAAGCCCCGTGCGTCAAAGCCATCACCATCGCCCACCACTTCAACAGGGGTGCGCAGCTGTTCGCCGTCTGCTTGCGCGAGTTGGCAGTCGACACCGACGTGAAGGACATCGAAAAGCTGTGTGCAGCTGTTCCTCCGGATTTAGCGGAGCTAATTCGACGGTACCCCGACATTTTCCCGGACGATTTGCCACCTGGGCTGCCACCCGAAAGACCCGAAGACCATAAAATCCAGCTGGAACCTGGCGCGCAACCTACTGTTCGGACACAGTGGCGGTTGACCCAGCCGGAACTCGAGGAACTACGCCGACAAATTGTTGCACTGTTGGAGAAAGGCTTCATTCGGCCGAGCACCTCCCCGTTCGCGGCACCGATTCTGTTCACTCCAAAGAAGGACGGCGGGCTTCGCATGTGCATCGATTATCGCGCGTTGAACCGGGTGACCATCAAATCTCGCTACCCAATCCCACGCACCGACGACCTTCTCGATCAACTTCGCGGCGCTCGCTACTTCTCGAAAATCGACTTACGTGGCGGTTACCACCAGATTCGGGTCTTCGCCGACGACTGTCACAAGACCGCGTTTCGTACACGCTACGGGAGTTACGAATTTACAGTGATGCCTTTCGGCCTCACGAACGCGCCTTCGACATTCCAACTGACCATGAACAGGGTTTTTCGCGATCTTCTAGACCGATGTGTCATCGTCTATTTGGACGATATCCTGATTTTTAGCAAGACACGGGAGCAGCATCTCCGCGACCTGGACGCAGTATTTAAACGGTTGCAGGAGAACCGCCTCATCACCAAGGGCTCTAAGTGCGAGTTTTTTAAGCAGGAGTTGGAGTTTTTAGGGCACGT